GTTCAAGCCCTTGCAGTGTCAAAACATGAGTTGCATGAAAAGAATAATTGGAAGAAATTTCAAAGACTCGAAGTTTCAAAAAAAAAATTGGGCAGTTAAAAATAATCGGAATTTCAAAAAAAATTGGAAGTTTCAAAAAGAGGAAAAAAATTCACAGTTAAAAAAAAATTGGACAGTTGAAAAAAATTCGAAGTTTCATAACAAATTCGGAATTTCAAATAAAAATTGAAAGTTTCAAATAAAAATAGAAAGAAATTTAAAATTAATTCGAAATTAATTCGAAACAAAATTGAAAGTCGGAAAATTAAATTCCAAAAGACAATGCACGGGCTTGAACAAGGTGGGGAGGAAGAGAGAGAGGAGGGAAGAGAGAGAGAGAGAGGAGGGAAGAGAGAGAGAGAGGAGGGAAGAGAGAGAGGAGGGAAGAGAGAGAGAGGAGGGAAGAGAGAGAGAGGAGGGAAGAGAGAGAGAGGAGGGAAGAGAGAGAGGAGGGAAGAGAGAGAGAGGAGGGAAGAGAGAGAGAGGAGGGAAGAGAGAGAGGAGGGAAGAGAGAGAGGAGGGAAGAGAGAGAGGAGGGGAGAGAAAGAGTATAAAACAGGTGAGTCTGGATGTATGCTCTCCCCTTTTCTCCTCTCTTCTCCACTCTCTCCCTCCCCTTCCCTCTCTTAACCTTCTCTCTCTCTCTACCCTTCTTTCCCCTCCTCTCTCTCTCCCCTCCTCTCTCTCTCCCCTCCTCTCTCTCTCCCCTCCTCTCTCTCTCCCCTCCTCTCTCTCCCTCCCCCCTTCCTCACCTTGTTCAAGCTCTTGCATTGTCTTTTAGAATTATTTTTGACTTTGAATTTTTTTTCTATTTTTTTGGAAACTTTCCATTTTTTTTCAAATTCCGAATTTGTTATGAAACTTCCAATTTTTTTTTCAAATTCTTAATTTTCTATGAAACTTCCAATTTTTTTCAACAGTCCAATTTTTTTTCTCTTTTTGAAACTTCCAATTGTTTTTTTGAACCTTCTAATTTTTTTTTCCATTTTTCAACTTTCAATTATTTTTTGAAACTCCGAGTCTTTGAAATTTCTTCCAATTATTCTTTTCATGCAACTCATGTTTTGACACTGCAAGGGCTTGAACCCACTACCGCTTATGGACTAACCACTGTCCTAACCAACTCGGCCACCGCTGTTGGTGGTGAAAGACGACAGTTTTTTATTTTACTTAGTTCTTTCTTCGTCTTAAGACGTTTTAAATTTTCCAAGTCCTCGAAGCTCATGTTTTGACACTGCAAGGGCTTGAACCCACCACCGCTTATGGACTAACCACTGTCCTAACCAACTCGGCCACCGCTGCTGGTGGTGAAAGACGATTGTTTTTTATTTTACCTAATCGTTTCTTCGACTTAAGACTTTTTAAATTTTCTAAGTCTCACCACCGGCTATCAGTGTTGATGGTGAGACTTAGAATTTTTTAGACTTAGAATTTTTTCACCTTATTCTTACAAGTCTTTGAAATTAAATAAGAATTTGCAACTCAATATTTGACACTGCAAGGGCTTGAACTACCCACCGCCTATGGACTAACCACTGTCCTAACCAACTCGGCCACCGCTGCTGGTGGTGAAAGAAGGCAGTTTTTTATTTTACTTAATCCTTTTCTTGGAGACTTTAAATTAAATAAGAACTCGCAACTCATGTTTTGACATTGCAAGCGCTTGAACCTCCACCGCTTATGGACTAGCCACTGTCCAAACCCACTCGGCCACCGGTGCTTGCAGTGAAAGACGAAAGTTTTTTATTTCATTTTATCCTTTCTTTGGAGTCTTTAAATTAAATAAGAACTCGCAACTCATGTTTTGACACTGCAAGGGCTTGAACCACCGCCGCTTATGGACTAACCACTGTCCTAACCCACTCGGCCACCGCTGCTGCTGGTGAAAGATAAATGTTTTTTATTTTACTTTATCCTTTCTTCGACTTAAGACTGTTAAATCTTAATATTTGGCTATCAGTGCTGGTGGTGAAGACTTTGAAGTTAAATAAGAAGTCGCAAATTATTTTCTGGCTTTGCAAGGGCTTGAACCACCCCCTATGGACTAGCCACTGTCGTATCCTTCTCGGCCACCACTGCTGATGGTGAAAGACGAAAGTTTTTTTTGGCTTTCGTCTTTTCTTCGACAGGAAAAGATGGAATATCGCAGAGATTCGATCCTACAACTTATCAAACGGGGTCCATCGGTGCTGGTCGCAAAAGTCAAGACTTTTTATTTCACCTTTTCCTTTTTAGGGAAAAGATGGAATATTGCTAAACGCAGTGTTTATGACTCCAGTCAGCATCAGTGGAAGGCTTACTATATATAACATTGCCTAATGTGGTGATTATGGGATTATAACTCGCTCACTGCGACTGCGCGAGAAATGAAGTGAATGAAGAACATTTGAACCAACTCTCTCAGTCTGCGAAATTATTGTCTTAAGAACCAGGGGCCGGTTGTGTCAAGCCCGTTTAGCTTAAACGGTGAATAAGTTCAAAATAGAACGCAATCTATCGCTTTATTCAACAAGCAAACTAAATTGAGAACAGTGCTTACCACAGCAGTTATTGATCGGAAGAAATGCAAAAAGAAGGCAATGCATATCAACCATTCATATGAGGGCTAATGGTTACGGTGCAATTGTTTGGCATCTTTAATTCGTATTTTATCACTGATGCCTTAGAGCGTATTTACCGCTCTACAATTTGCAAAAGCAATGTCAACTAGGCTACAAGGCGACTAAGGCTCGCCATTCCTTAATTTATTTTAATATTTTTTTAGATCAGTACGAAAAACATTTCTTATCAGATTCGAACCATCGACTTACCACTCACGAGTCCTTCGCCACCAGAGTCACCACGATATTTGGTTGAGAAACTAGCGCTAATTTAATTTTCCTAATGTTTAATGGTCTGTAAAACACCCGCCAGGAGCTTTTCCCTTCCAAAACAACTGCTCGGGTTTCCTCAGGGGCAATAGTTTGAAAAAAGTATGACAGGTATGCAGTCCCTCAAAGAATGAAGAACATTGTGTACCGTAGCAGTTATAATACTGATCAGAAGGAAAGCAAAGAAAAGGCAATGCATTTCAACCATTCATATTAGGGCTTGGTGGAGCTAATGGTTACGGTGCAAATGTTTCGCATTTTTGAAAACCTTCCGTTGAAAATCTGCCCATGCGATCGTGACGAGCTCACTCTGTGCGCGGAATAACCCGGTTCGGTCCTTAATTGGTATGATCTTTATTAATTTCAAATTTTGGAATTTTTTAAAGCCTTTTTCATTTTTGAAATAATTGCATCTACAATGCCTTCTGGTTTTAGGGTTTACGGTGAGGGTCAGGTTTATTTTTGAATATATTTGCCTTTAAGATTTTCCAGATAAGCTAGAAATCACAGCCCGGACTGGATTCCTTTCTTTAGCCGCAAGTCTTAATACTTTATGCATACCTTATGTATTGGCATCAGAAGTCATAGTAAAAGGTTTCATCTTAACTCTTCTACTTCTCCCTTTTCTTTCCAGCAATAGTAAAAAAAAGGGGAAAAAAATTTCGTCACGATTCGAACCGCGTTTTACAACTTAGGAGAACGTTGCGCTCACCACTAGACAAGAAGTTCTTGTGTCAAACGCCTATGGTTATTTCTTCATCTTTACCTATTCCTCAGAGGTCATAATGAAAAATTCTTGCATGAAGTCGAAGGACTGAGCAATCACAACTACGCCAACAGATCATTTGGAAAGGCTAATTCATTTTTCTGAATGCATTCTCGTCTTTCGAACACCCAACCGTTTCGTATCCCTTCCGAAAATTCAACTTAACGTTCTAACGGATCCTAAGGCTCACATCAGTACGATAGCACACCAGCTCTTACACTATATTTTGCCCGCTGCCGATCGGTAGGGATGGAGACGGTATCCGAGCGAAACGATCGGGCTAGGGGTGAAACGGTGTTTCTTTTGAGTTTGCTGTTTTCGGCGCAGATAATAACTCTACGAACCATGCTATTTTAACGGTACCTCCTCCATCCCGTGATCAACTGTCACACGTGAGTCACTGAAGTGAAACCGTGGAATAAACGATACGAACATCAAAGTACACACACACGCAAAAAGAAGAAAAATACCTGTAAATGTGGCGATCATTAATGAATTTACCTTTACCCCAAACACCAATTCAACGACCAAAACGGGTGTGAAAAGAACTGTGCTTAATCCTGCAAAACAAACTAACAAAAAAACCCCAGCGAGATTAATAAGACGCTTCTCCCGTAGAGTTCACAACATCGCGTGAAGTCGTTAGGGAAAAGGGAGGGATGGGTCACGCAAGCAACTAACAACTCGATCAGGCAAACTGGGCTCATATTTATACTCACCGGAGGGGGCAAGTAACCGACCGGACCAGCGTCCTAAGACCCGAGACACTACGATACGAAGACCCGTATAACATTAACTTCCTTTATTATTTAATAATAAATACATTTAATATCTCCGAAATAAGTATGATAAGTATGCTGCCGTTGAAAAAATGAAGCACCGTTTTTAGTACAAAAAATGTCACCGTAATCATACCAACTTTCGATACAATAAATTGGGGTCGGGTCTTCCGCACGATCAGCAGATAAGAGATAAACGCAGTAGTTTTGCAAGTGGTCAAGCGATCGTTTTAGTCCTATCAACGTACGTATTTTTCCATCGAAATTATTACTTTATTATAAACTATCTGAGAAAAGAAAAGGTAGAATTGTTGCTATATACTCTGGCGATTTTCAAATGCTACTGTATTTTCATTTGCAATGAAAATTTTTAATCCACGAGCGACCCAACTTCGAACTATATAGACCAGGAGCTCTTGTGTTCAACGGCTTTGCTACCTATTTTACTTTATCCTTTTCTCGGAGGTCATTCGGATACAAATAATCGATTCAGGACTATGCTTCAGATTCGGGAAATAATAAACAAAACAATCCACCATTAATTTTGAATACATATATTTAATAATTAAGCAAGCAAGCAAATATATTTAAGATTAAAATAAGTTAATATTGACAAGTTAACCATATACAAAGCTAGTTTACCATACAAAGTTTACCTCATAGCGATGCCAACAATTAAATTCTTTGAAAGAACTCAAAGACATACTTTTTCGTCCGTACGAAGATGTTAATCAATTACCTTTAACTTTAATATGCGTTAACATTTACGATACGAAACACAATTACAATGTTAATGAAAGCGTTTAAAGCATGCAAAGCGTAAATTACGTTTAAATTATTTAATTAGAATAAGATGAAAAATACATTCAAAGCGTGGTTCCAGTGTTGCAGTAATTTTGCTAAGTCCTAGAAACGGAAAATCATTCATTAGCGAACGGAAGATGATTATGAAGCTATATATACATACTATTTTTACAATAGTCAACTATAAGAAGCCTACAGCCTAGTTTTCACTTTTCCCCAGAGCATACCATAAGCGTGAGAGATCAAACATTCAGACTTTTTGTTTAACTTCTTGGCGGTTTCATATTTTTTATTTGAAAAATATTGATTGTTCCTTGGTTTTAAAATATCAAGTCCGTTTGCCCTTTATTGCCTTTTATCCTAAAAGAATTTTTCTTCGATTGGCGTTTGCCGTTTCACGTATTGCGTGAAGCTTAAAACTCCCTAATGTACATTTACTTACATTTGGCAGAGATCGCATGATCTTCGGCACAAAGTTCGCATTGCTCGTGCTGTGAACGGCTCGTGGCAGAATCCTTGAGATGCATAAAGTTGACAGTGTTTGTCTACATCAACGCACCCGCCACCTAAAGAGCAAGAAAGATAAAAAATTTCAAATCGATGTAATTAGTCGGTTAAAAAAGAAGGCGCGGTTTTAAGACACCACTCCCAATAGATTCATCGATTCCCATTGCGCTTTCGTTCTTTTAGGTTATTCAATTACAGAGAAAATAATGGATATCAAAATCAACTATAGTTCTCAAACTATTAATTCACAATCAAACGAATACACGCGATTTGTTTATGAGAGTGAATTGAAATGACACTACACTATGCTATTTTTCTCGCATATTCTGGCGCAATTTTTATTTATTTCGTCGAAAACATAATATGTCCCGGGATTTTGTTTTAGTTTATCGTGTTGTATGTCTTTTCAATAGGATGTTTGACGCTTAATATGCACCAAATCCGGATTTGAGATTGAGAAATTAAAACGACGTTCAAGCCATTAGCCTTGTCCTATACCTGTGTGTTTAGAATCATATATGAGTAGAGTGCTCAATATACCGAAGTAAATAGAGCTAATAAGACGAGAATAAAATACCAAAAACTTGGATAAATAATATATATATATATATATATATATATATATATTATATAATATTATTATATATATATATATACCCATTTGCAAAAACGTTGGCCGCAGATAGATAGATAGATAGATACTCGAAGTCTAATTAGAATTGTATATGATTACATTTGCATGGGATTTCTATAATATTACACAACATATGCAATTCTAATTAGATTTCGAGTATCTATCTATATATCTATCTGCAGCCAACGTTTTTGCAAATGGGTGTATATATATATATATATATATATATATATATATATATATATATATATATATATATATATATATTTGGTGTGATCCGGCAAGCTATTAGATTATGCCGGGTAGAGGAAGATTGTTCGCTTGGCTTAGGGGTTAATTTGTTGTACAAAATTTCTAAAAGCATAAGCTTCAAGCAGGAGGTCATTTCAAAGCTTCACTGTACATTGCTTTTAGGTTAAAAGCACTTACCATTGTTGTTTTGTGGTGAAACTACGTTTGAATCGTATTGTCCTGACCACGCGTTGTAATCAACATTCTGAGCTCTTCCACCGTTATAGTACACGTCCTTGTATTTATATTCAGGATAGACATCAGTCAGCGTTCCCATTGTCTTCGATGCGGCTAAAGTTGATGGTGTTTTCTTGAACAACGCCTGAGCTCTCGCACGGAATTGTCGCAAAGGTCTCGATGCTTTTTTCACAGCTGGTGCCTCGGGAGCCATAGGAGCTTTGGGCGTTTCAGAGCGCATGTCAGGTGGACAGAATTTACAATAGATGTTAAGACCTATATGAATAATATTTTATGATTTCATTGTGCGATAGAAAATAAACCTTTTGTTGCACAATAAATTTTTACAATCTTATTTTCAATTTACCTACAACCAAAACATACAACACCACGACTCATTGTACCATACCACACAATCAGTGGCGTAACTAGAACGATAATTCGGGGGGGATTTCTTTTGTAATCGCAATAGCTTACAATAGAAATCCGTCTGGCAGAACTGAATATATGAATGTTCACCCCCCCAATTATCGCTGTAGTTACGCCCCTTCACTCAATATTCTAACCATACTACCATCTCACCCCATAGCGTATAAAAGTATACCAGATGTGCATCATACTATACAACAATTAATATTCTGTCCAAAAACGTACAATATTATTACATCACATCACACAGAATCACACTATACCTAAAAATTCATACCATGCGTCACTCTCTACCATGTCAGAACATAAAAATCACTCAAAAATAAAAGAGTTTTCTCTTACCTCTCTTGCATGGAGAACATAGCTGTGTTACAGGAACAGAGCCTAGGAATAAAAATACATTTGGAGTTATTTTGATGCGATGATAACAATATCAATTATAAGTTTAAATCAGTTCTAAAATATCCCTAAGTCATACCTTGAATCAATGAAGTTATTGCGGGAGCCACAGTTATCAACCCCTTTCTCAGGTTGCCTGGACTGCTGATATCTGCTGTAAACATGTGCTTCGCAATGGGTTTTGATACCAGTGGTTTTACATCCGAATTTCTAGCTGGGAATAGGTCAATCACGAATGATTCAACTCCCTCACTCTTTAAGTCAAGTGATACCTGCTTAATCCTGGGAGCGCTGTTGCCTGCAGTCACTGTGATCAAATATTTTGACGATTTTGGCCGAGCAGATGCGCCAAATAAGATTTCATGTGCCAAGACTAAGCCGTGGTAGAGAGATTGTGGATTACGTCCACTGCTGGGTGGATACCTGATCATGTTAATCAAGCGAGTAAGATGTTCAAACGTTTTAAAGTATGTCATGTCAAATATCAAATGGGCATCCTTGTCATCAAACACTATCAAAGCAACCCTATTGCCAGATCCTGGTACAACAAACTTCCTTGACACCAACTTCACAAATTGGAGCAAGATTTTAAACTTCGAGTCCCCAACAAGAGAAGATCCATCAATAATAAAGCCAATATCAGCTCCACCAATTCGTCTTGGCCCATTAGGTCCACCTGGACCACCTGGACCACCGGGACCACCAGGACCACCTGCACCACCAGGTCCACCAGGTTCACCGGGCCCTCCAGGTGGTGTAGGTCCTTTAGGCCCACCAGGACCACCTGGGCCTCCTGGCCCACCTGGTCCACCAGGTCCACCGGGTGATAAGGGTCCTTCGGGTCCACCTGGCCCACCAGGACCACCAGGTCCACCTGGGCCTCCAGGTCCACCAGGACCTTTTGGTCCACCAGGTGAACCAGGTCCACCAGGTGGAGTAGGACCTCCTGGACCACCAGGACCACCTGGACCCCCAGGCCCACCAGGACCTCCTGGACCACCAGGTCCAAGAGTACCCCCAGGCTCACCAGGCCCACATGATGGACCCCTTGGACCTCCAGGTCCACCTGGTCCACCAGGGCCGCATTTGCCTCCAGGACCTCCAGGTCCACCTGGACCACCAGGGCCACCAGGACCCATTATTCCACCAGGTGTACCTGGGCCTCCAGGGCCACCAGGTCCTCCTGGACCATTAGGACCACCAGGGGTTCCAGGTTTTGGTGTCTCAGGTGACTTAGGTCCCCCAGGTCCACCAGGTCCTCCAGGTCCACCAGGACCTCCAGGACCTCCAGGTGTACCTGGTTGGCCAGGTACACTGGGTATACTAGGTACACTAGGCTTTTGAGGAATCGTAGGTCCACCAGGCCCTCCTGGTCCACCAGGCCCACCGGGACCTCCAGGACCCCCAGGTCCTCCAGGTCCCCCAGGTCCTTTTGGTCCACCTGGACCTCCAGGGCCTTTAGGCCCACCTGGTCCATTAGGCCCACCAGGTCCATTAGGTTTTCCTGGTTGTCCAGGAACATTTGGCACACTTGGGCCACCTGGCCCACCAGGGCCACCTGGCCCACCTGGCCCACCAGGTCCACCTGGCCCACCTGGACCAACTGGTCCTCCAGGTCCATTAGGTCCACCAGGTTCACCTGATTCACCAGGAGGTGTTTTCCCACCTGGTCCTCCAGGACCACCTGGACCTCCAGGTCCACCAGGACCCCCAGGACCTCCAGGTGCCAATGGACCACCAGGACCATTTGGCCCTCCTGGTCCATTGGGGCCACCAGGCCCATTTGGCTTTCCAGGTTGTCCAGGGATATTGGGTACACTAGGTCCTCCTGGTCCACCAGGACCACCAGGCCCTCCTGGGCCTCCTAAACCACCAGGTCCTCCAGGTCCACCTGGACCACCATTACCACCAGGTTTTCCAGGCTTACCTGGTCCTACAGGGCCTCCAGGTCCACCTGGTCCATTTGGACCTCCTGGTCCACCTGGACCTCCAGGACCTTTTGGACCACCTGGACCATATGGTGAACCAGGTCCACCTGGCCCTTTTGGCCCACCTGGTCCACTTGGCCCACCAGGTCCACCTGGACCATTAGGTCCACCTGGTCCACCAGGTCCTTCAGGGCCACCAGGCCCTTTTGGTCCACCTGGACCTTGTGGTCCACCAGGATCACCAGGACCATGTGTTGTTGGAGGTCCACCAGGCCCACCTGGACCGCCTGGACCACCAGGACCTCCAGGTCCACCTGGCCCACCTGGGCCTTTTGGTCCCCCAGGCTTTCCGGGCCCACCAGGAGGTGTTTTTCCACCAGGTCCACCAGGTCCACCTGGGCCTCCAGAGCCACCTGGACCACCAGGTCCACCAGGTGATAATGGCCCACCAGGTCCATTTGGTCCTCCTGGTCCATTAGGTCCACCTGGCCCATTAGGTCCACCTGGTCCATTAGGCTTTCCTGGTTGCCCAGGAATATTAGGCACACTTGGTCCACCTGGCCCACCTGGCCCTTCTGGCCCACCAGGACCTCCTTCACCACCTGGCCCACCAGGGCCTTTTGGTCCACCAGGCCCACCTGGGCCTCCAGGTTGACCAGGACCACCAGGTTTTGTTGGCCCATTTGGCCCACCAGGACCATTTGGCCCACCTGGTCCATTCGGTCCACCAGGTCCTTTAGGCCCCCCAGGACCATTTGGACCACCAGGTCCACCTGGTCCATTTGGTCCACCTGGCCCTCCAGAACCACCTGGGCCACCAGGACCGCCTGGTCCTCCAGGACCACCTGGTCCTTCTGGCCCTCCAGGTCCATTTGGTCCACCAGGAGCACCAGGTCCATGAGTTGTAGGAGGTCCACCAGGCCCCCCTGGCCCACCTGGCCCACCAGGTCCCCCTGGCCCTCCAGGACCACCAGGACCTTTAGGTCCACCAGGTTGGTTTGGTCCACCAGGAGGTGTTTTACCACCAGGTCCTCCAGGACCACCAGGGCCTCCAGGACCACCAGGGCCTCCAGGGCCTCCAGGTGTTAGTGGTCCACCAGGTCCACCAGGTCCTCCTGGACCCTTTGGACCACCAGGACCATTTGGACCACCTGGGCCATTGGGTTTTCCAGGTTGCCCAGGAACATTTGGTACAGCTGGTCCCTCTGGTCCACCAGGTCCTTTTGGTCCCCCAGGACCTCCTTCACCACCAGGTCCTCCAGGACCTGTTGGACCACCAGGCCCACCAGGACCACCAGGTTGACCTGGACCACCTGGTTTTGTTGGCCCATTTGGCCCACCAGGACCATTTGGCCCACCTGGTCCATTTGGTCCACCAGGTCCTTTAGGCCCCCCAGGGCCATTTGGACCACCAGGTCCACCTGGTCCATTTGGTCCACCTGGCCCTCCAGGTCCTCCAGGACCCTTTGGCCCACCAGGTCCATTTGGTCCACCAGGTCCACCAGGCCCCTTTGGTCCACCTGGTCCTAAAGGCCCTTGAGGACCACCTGGTCCTTTGGGTCCCCCTGGACCACCTGGTCCTTCAGGACCACCTGGTCCTTTTGGACCTCCTGGACCATTTGGTCCACCAGGATCACCAGGACCATGAGTTGTAGGGGGTCCTCCAGGCCCACCTGGGCCTCCTGGCCCACCTGGCCCTCCAGGTCCCCCTGGACCACCAGGACCTTTGGGCCCACCAGGTTGACTTGGTCCACCAGGTGGTGTTGGTCCACCTGGCCCTCCAGGACCACTAGGTCCTCCAGGACCATTTGGTCCACCTGGGCCACCAGGCATTAATGGTCCACCAGGTCCACCAGGACCTCCAGGACCTTTAGGTCCACCTGGGCCATTAGGGCCGCCAGGACCATTTGGCTTACCAGGTTGTCCAGGGACATTTGGTACAGCTGGCCCTCCTGGTCCACCAGGTCCTTTTGGTCCCCCAGGACCTCCTTCACCACCAGGTCCTCCTGGACCTGTTGGACCACCAGGCCCACCAGGACCACCAGGTTGACCTGGACCACCTTGTTTTGTTGGTCCATTTGGTCCACCTGGTCCATTGGGCCCACCTGGGCCATTGGGCCCACCTGGTCCATTTGGCCCACCAGGACCTCCAGGTCCACCTGGCCCTCCAGGCCCATTTGGCCCACCAGGGCCATTTGGTCCAGCTGGCCCATTTGGTCCACCAGGTCCACCTGGTCCCTTTGGTCCACCTGGTCCACTTGGGCCTTTGGGCCCACCTGGCCCCTTAGGCCCTCCTGGCCCACCAGGCCCTCCAGGACCACCTGGTCCATTTGGCCCACCAGGTCCACCAGGCCCACCAGGATCACCAGGTCCATGGGTTGTAGGTGGTCCTCCAGGCCCACCTGGTCCTCCAGGTCCACCTGGACCTCCAGGTCCTCCTGGACCACCAGGACCCTTAGTTCCACCTGGCTCACCAGGGCCTCCAGGTGGTGTTTTTCCACCTGGACCTCCAGGCCCACCAGGTCCTCCAGGACCGTTAGGTCCACCTGGGCCGCCAGGTGTTAATGGTCCACCCGGTCCACCAGGACCTCCAGGACCTTTAGGTCCACCTGGGCCACTAGGGCCACCAGGGCCATTTGGCTTACCAGGTTGTCCAGGGACGTTTGGTACAGCAGGCCCTTCTGGTCCACCAGGTCCTTTTGGTCCCCCAGGACCTCCTTCACCACCCGGTCCTCCTGGACCTGTTGGACCACCAGGCCCACCAGGACCACCAGGTTGACCTGGACCACCTGGTTTTGTTGGTCCATTTGGTCCACCTGGTCCATTTGGTCCACCTGGGCCATTAGGCCCACCTGGTCCATTTGGCCCACCAGGACCACCAGGTCCACCTGGCCCTCCAGGTCCATTTGGCCCACCAGGACCGTTTGGTCCAGCTGGCCCATTTGGTCCACCAGGTCCACCTGGTCCCTTTGGTCCGCCTGGTCCACTTGGGCCTTTGGGACCACCAGGCCCCTCAGGCCCTCCTGGCCCACCAGGCCCTCCAGGGCCACCTGGTCCATTTGGCCCACCAGGCCCTCCAGGACCACCAGGATCACCAGGTCCATGGGTTGTAGGTGGACCTCCAGGCCCACCTGGTCCTCCAGGTCCACCTGGACCACCAGGTCCTCCTGGACCACCGGGACCTTTGGTTCCACCTGGCTCACCAGGGCCACCAGGTGGAGTCTTTCCACCTGGACCTCCAGGCCCACCAGGTCCTCCAGGTCCATTAGGTCCACCAGGGCCACCAGGTGTTAATGGTCCTCCAGGTCCATTTGGTCCCCCTGGTCCGTTGGGTCCACCTGGCCCATTTGGCCCACCTGGTCCACCAGGTTTTCCAGGTTGTCCAGGAACATTTGGTACTTTAGGCCCATTTGGCCCACCAGGTCCTTGTGGCCCACCAGGACCTCCTTCACCACCAGGCCCACCAGGCCCTGTTGGTCCACCTGGTCCACCCGGACCTCCAGGTTCACCTGGGCCTCCAGGTTTTGTTGGTCCATTTGGTCCTCCAGGTCCATTAGGTCCACCTGGTCCATTTGGCCCCCCTGGTCCATTTGGCCCCTTTGGACCTCCAGGACCACCTGGTCCTCCAGGACCATTTGGACCACCAGGTCCATTTGGACCTGCTGGCCCATTAGGACCACCAGGCCCACCTGGTCCTTTCGGGCCACCTGGCCCCCCAGGCCCATTAGGTCCACCTGGCCCATTTGGCCCTCCAGGCCCACCAGGCCCACCTGGACCACCTGGTCCTTTTGGTCCACCAGGTCCTCCAGGTCCATTAGGAGCACCAGGTCCATGGGTTGTAGGTGGTCCACCTGGCCCACCTGGTCCTCCGGGTCCACCTGGACCCCCAGGGCCTCCTGGACCACCAGGGCCTTTGGGGCCACCTGGTTGACCAGGTCCACCAGGTGGTGTTTTCCCACCTGGACCCCCAGGACCACTGGGACCTCCAGGACCATTAGGTCCACCTGGCCCACCTGGTGTTAATGGTCCACCAGGTCCACCTGGACCTCCGGGTCCTTTAGGTCCACCTGGCCCATTTGGTCCACCTGGTCCACCAGGCTTTCCTGGTTGTCCAGGAATATTCGGGGTTGTTGGTCCTCCAGGTCCACCAGGTCCCTTTGGTCCTCCAGGACCTCCCTCACCACCAGGCCCTCCTGGGCCTGTTGGACCACCTGGTCCACCTGGTCCTCCAGGTTGACCTGGGCCTCCTGGTTTTGTTGGTCCATTTGGGCCTCCAGGACCATTTGGTCCCCCCGGACCATTAGGTCCACCTGGCCCATTGGGCCCACCTGGCCCACTTGGTCCACCAGGACCTCCTGGCCCATTTGGACCACCAGGTTGACCAGGAGAGCCTGGTTGTGTACTTGGTTGTTTGGGCTTTGTTGGTTCTTTGGGTCCTCCAGGACCACCTGGACCACCAGGTCCACCTGGGCCACCTGGACCACCAGGACCCCCTGGACCACCTGGTCCACCTGGGCCACCAGGCCCTTTTATTCCACCAGGACTACCAGGAGTGTGTGGTGTTTTGGGACCACCTGGTCCACCAGGTCCACCTGGACCACCTGGACCACCAGCTCCACCAGGTCCTCCAGGACCCAATGGTCCTCCAGGCTCACCTGGACCACCAGGAGGCGTTTTCCCCCCTGGTCCACCAGGACTGCCAGGACCTCCCGGACCATTTGGTCCTCCGGGGCCACCAGGTGACAATGGTCCTCCTGGGCTACCTGGCCCAGCTGGACCTTTAGGCCCACCTGGTCCATTTGGTCCACCTGGCCCATTTGGCTTCCCTGGCTGTCCAGGCACATTAGGGACTGCTGGTCCACCAGGCCCACCTGGTCCATGCGGACCACCAGGACCTCCTTCTCCTCCTGGTCCTCCAGGACCAAGAGGACCTCCTGGTCCACCAGGACCGCCAGGTTGTCCTGGACCACCAGGTTTAGTTGGTCCATTTGGTCCTCCTGGTCCATTAGGGCCACCAGGACCATTTGGTCCACCAGGGCCTTTTGGCCCACCTGGCCCATGAGGTGATCCAGGCCCACCAGGTCCTCCAGGACTTCCTGGCCCACCAGGTCCACCAGGTCCACTTGGAGTTCCTGGTGGACTTGGTTTTGTTGGGCGTGGTTCAGGTGCTTTAGGTCCTCCTGGTCCTCCGGGCCCACCCGGCCCACCAGGCCCACCAGGTCCACCTGGACCACCAGGGCCACCAGGCTGACCAGGACCTCCAACATTCTCTGGTTTGGTTGGTGGCTGGGGGTTTTTAGTACCAGGTGTCACGGGAGTTCCAGGTGCAGGGGGTCCTCCTGGACCAGCAGGGCCACCGGGACCACCTGGGCCCCCTGGACCTCCAGGCCCACCAGGTTGGCCAGGCCCACCAGGAGGTGTAGAACCTCCAGGCCCACCTGGACCACCAGGTCCACCTGGGCCTCCTGGTCCTCCTGGTCCACCAGGACCTCCAGGTCCATTTAATGAGCCTGGCCCTCCAGGGCCATTTGACCCACCAGGCCCTCCTGGACCACCAGGACCATTAGGGCCACCAGGCTCACCTGGACCAGCTGGTTTGTTTGGCTTCTTTGGATCATCTTTACCACCAGGTCCATTAGGACCACCAGGTCCACCAGGTCCTCCTGGTCCACCAGGTCCAGATGGTCCTCCTGGTTCACCAGTCTTACAAGTTGGGCCATCAGGGCCGCCTGGACCACCAGGTCCACCTGGGCCACAGGGTCCACCTGGGCCACCTGGCCCCCCTGGTCCCCCAGGACCACCAGGTCCACCTGTTCCTCCAGGCATCCCTGGCCCACCTGGACCTTCGGGACCCCCTGGTCCTTTTGGACCACCAGGTTCACCAGGTCCACCAGGAGGTGTAGATCCTCCAGGACCACCTGGACCACCAGGTCCCCCTGGACCACCTGGTCCACCTGGTCCACCAGGGCCTCCAGGATTTCCTGGACCTCCAACTCCGATTGGAGGGTCGATTGGAGCATCAGGAATGAGTCCACCTAGTAAAAAACAATAGATTAGATAAGAAATACATAATAATTTTCTTTCTGGAAAATCTGAAAAGTTGTCTGAAAATCGTTCTGAAAAGTTGACAAATACACCTGTACCTTTTTTATTGATCATTTCAATAACTTCATCAACATATAATTTCAGTTGCACTGGATAATTAATGGATAAAATATGGTCAGGTGAGCTTGCAATCATCTTCACTGCATTCATGTCGCTATTTATAGCAATGACAACTGAGACAATATCCTCAGATTTCAGTTTCTCTGAGTATGTTGTAGGGTCATCATCAGGTTTGCCAACCAAAAATGTTACAATTCCTTTTTTGATCTTTTTGCTTTTTCGCCCACTTGTACCAAAGAGTTGTGAATGTGCTGCTGCTAAGCCAGCACCAATATTATTGTTGGTACCACCTGGTAGTTTAAGTTGATCAACTGCCATGTCTAATGATTTCATTGATTTATGTTGTTTAAAGTTGAACGCTGTGTTACCAGTTTCACTGTAGGTAACCATACCAACATGTGTGCCTTGAGCAGAGACAGGAAATGCGTGGTATATAAACTTGGTGAACTCAATGATCATTTTAAAGTTAGCCTGTCCAACAATATTTGCACCATCAACAACAAATGCCAAATCGAATGGAACTAAAAACATAACATGAAGAATTGGTACAAAAAGCAAATTACCTTGTTAAAAACAATGCTATACTTGTAGATCCCAAACTTACCAATGGTTTCACCACCTGGTCCAACTGGTCCAGGTAATGGTTTTCCAATTTCCTTTCCAACAGCTGCAAAATTTAAGTATATGCCCATTAACAATTAAAGATGTTCATTGTAAGAGAAAACACTACATTTTCAATTTACTGCAGTATCAGGCTGTCATTGTGGTTTTCCCAAAATTTTAAATGGATTACTTACCACTGTTAATTTTGCCAACCAGTGGACCTGCTTGTGTACCTAGTTCACGCATTGGCCTTTGAATGAGAACAAACTCAGGGGAGGATGCAACAGGCGTAAGCTTGGATGGGTCCACACCTTTTCCAATACCAAGTACAATCAATTTAACTCCTTGTGGTTTCAGTGCAGATGCCGGTGCAACCATGTCATCTTGTGAATTCTTAAGCATAAGAACAACAAGAACTCTAGGTACACCAGGTCGGCCACTTATGTCAAACACACCACCCTTTACAGAGCCAATTGCTTGCCCAACATTTCTACCTCCACCGAGGAAGGGCATAGCTTGAATAGCTTTAGAAAGTGTCAGTTTATCTGTGTTAGCGTTAAGTTGGAATGCGATCTTGCTTGTGGTCGAGTAGACAATTCCAGCAAAATGTACCCCATCTTTCTCAACAGGGAATGACTGTGCAACAGTATCAAATAATGATAGCTCCAGCTTAAAACGCCGTGGGCCAACTCGTGTTGAACCATCCAAGAGGAAAACAATATCAATTTTTTCTGCAAAATTATATCAGAGTTATGTTGTCTGCAAAATTATATCAGAGTTATAGCAGTTAAAAAAAAATAGAATTTAGCATATGGCATTTCTTAATTAATTGGACTGAATACCAACCTGGTGTTGGTTTTGAGGGACCAACTGTCGGTGGCCCTTGTTCCTTCTTACCTGTTAAAAAAAAAGTGTGACATGTCAGTAAGGAGTTTTCAATCTTGTGAAGGATAATAATGCAAAAGTAGAAATGTTTCAAAAAAAGAAATGTTTATTTTTTGAACACCGTTAGTGTTTTCTAAACTGCATAACACATATGTTATGTATTACTGGCTTGAAGGTCCAAAAAGAAAATATTTTTTCTTTAGACCGACAGTGAAGTGAAACTCAAAATTGCTAATGGTGACAAACAATAATTATTTACATAATTTACTAAAATTCAATTTTTTTTTAATTATTGTCCCAGTCCATATTTTCTTCAAATGTAAAAATTAAAAATTGTCAAGTAAATTCCACCCACTGCTAGTTTGTAAAACAATAAAACAAGTTATTAGATTTAAGAATCTTACCAACAGGAAGGATGTGGGAGTTAGGACTCTTTTTAAGCCATTTTTTACAGGAGAAAATGTATCTGATGCCTGTTTGGGTATCCTTGATCACAACCTACATTTGAGAATGAGATTAGCAAATAGGAACCATACATATGCGCTAAATCCACACAATCTGAATTGCCCCCCACCAACAAAAGAAAAAAAACAGGCAGTAAGATCTTATTAGCATTCACCAACCTTTGACAGGTACCAGTCATCAATCTTTCCAAAGAAACCTGTTCCCTTAGTTGTATCCATTCGGACAGTTATCTTTATTAGATCTCCAAGGTCCGTTGTATCCAATTTAAACAAATCTTTGCTGTGAGAATGTGGAAAATATGTGTTATATCCCTATATACACAATTGACGTAAGTAATAACCAGACAGAAAGCACACCAATTTTCTGGTGGTTTGTATAGGTTTTTACAGGTTTTGCCAGAAAATTAATTACCTTCCACGTTCAAATAGAGCCTTAGCCTTTGCTTTGTCTCTTCGTGTGAGATAGATTTCCTTAGTTACACCTTTAGAGCCATGAATAGTCAAGAAGACATGTTGATCTGTCCCACCAAAGAATTTTGTACCAGTTACTACTTTTACCAAATAGATTTTATCTAAAGGAACAAGGAAACAATGGTTAAAGACATTAGCATTTCTTTATCTAGTACAATAATTGAATATATTATTATTGCTCTACATGACTTTTACTTACTTAAGGGGCCAGCAGGGACACCAGCAGGTTTGGCAGGTCCTCCAGGGCCAGATGGCGGCATTTTTCCAATAGGTTGTCCAATAACTGCAAGTAAGAAATATTGTATTCAGTTTAGGGAATGCCCTCTTTGGTCTCAAAAGATAACAGGGAGTACCACAATTAATATGAGAATTAATTGATTCTGTGATAACTTACTATTGTTAATCTTTTCAATGACAGTTCCCAAAATTGATGGCAATTTTGAATAGCTTGTTGTTGTCACCACATTCTCAGGTGTGCCAGTAATGACATTTAACTGAGCTTGGTCAACGTCTCCACTACCAGCAATAGCCACAACACCGATGCCAGACTCTTTCAGTGCTTTGCTTGGCAAAGACACATCATCTGCAGCTTTGTTATCCAATAACAATACAATTACCTTTGGTACTATACGTTTGCTTTTATCAATTGCTGTCTTAGCTTGTTTGAGGGCTGCACCAACACTATTATCACCATTGGGATAGATTACTTGACGTATACTAGCATCAACATTAGCCTTTTCTTTATATCTTCCAAGTTCTATCACAATCTGGTTTGAAGGCTGAACAACTACGACACCAATTTGAACACCCCATGGGGTGACAGGGAATGCATCAATAACACTGATAATAAATTTGATTGAGATCTTAAAGTCATCAAAGCCAACACTTGTTGATCCATCAATTACAAAAACCATATCCACCGGAGCTAGGTAACAAAAAAAGGTTTAATACAGTGAATAGAAATTTATCTTGTACAATTGGGTTTGCTTGGGAATTTCTAGCAAAATCTTTTTTCCAAGCTTAGAATACAATTGTGTGTTATTTAGGTGATGAAATATTTTAATACATACCTTCAACCTTGGTACCAGGAGGTCCAAGAGGAGATCGTGCTGGACCACCAGGTGTTCCTGGTTGTCCAGTTGCTGGTGTAGCTGGTGGTCCTCCAGGTCCACCAGGGCCACCAGGACCACCAGGGCCACCTATGCCACCTGGACCACCAGGGCCTTGTGGTGCACCTGGAGACCCTGGTGCACCTGGAGACCCTGGTGCACCAGGGGATCCAGGAATTCCTGGTTTTGCACCAGGTGCTGCTGGTGCAACAGGTATCTCAGCAATTTTCTGACCTGTGGCTATATAATAAAAAGATAAAAAAATTAACTCCATACTTTCCTTCTGCTAATACACCACCTTCTGCTGATTAACAGTTTTAGTGCTGGCAAAATTGTACCAGCTCTGCCAAGCACGTTCACTACTGTTTTAGCAGACATGAGATTTTAATGCAAGTATTCAGGATACAATTATTTAGATCAAGCTTTAATGATAACAAGTTCTAATTACCTGCATTAATCAGTGCAATCACATCTGGTACTCTATCAGGCAATTGTGGATATGAGGGGACAACTAAAGCATTCTGAGGGTTAGAAGCTGTATTCTTCAGGTCATCAGAAGGAACCCGACCAATACCAACAACAATAACTTTGCTTATGCCAGCTTTTTTAATTTGATCAGCAGGAACAGAGATGTCATCTTTGGATTTTCCAGTCAGTAAAATAACTAGTATCTACAGGTGTGTTATCAAAATGCAAGGTTTTATGATGATGGTAATGGATAGTTTTAAGAATTCTCGCAGTTTACGCCCTCATATAAGTTCAACAAGATATTATCAATCCCAAATTATTGCAACAATTCAAATTAGTAACAGAAATAATGTGGTAAACTGCTTCAGCAATCAGAAAACTGAATCAGCCATAGGTTTATGCCAAATAGTTTAAATGCTTCCATTGTGACCTATTACCTTAGTGGCTTCTTTACGTCCACTTGTTCCAAACAAGTTATCCTTAACTAGTACAATTCCTTTTCCTGCTTGACGACTTTCACCTGGGTAAGGTGATTTTCGAATAGATGAAAGAAAGCTTGCAGTGTCTGTGTTTGAACTGAAGTCACTAATCAAAAGACCATCACCAGAAATGATGGCAAAGCCAGCATGGATCCCTCTCTTCGAGATAAGCAGTGCTTGAACAATGGTTGTCACAAATTTCACCTCAAGTCTGAAGTTTATTTCAGTGACTCCTTTAGAAGCATCCACCAAGAAGGCAATATCTACTGGAACTGAAAAAAGGGAATCATTTTATAAATTAACTAATAAAAGGAACTAAAGCACTCTCACTAAAGCATGACTCAAAATCTGTCCTCACAGATAACTTACTTTGAGCATTTGGACTGCCTGGTGTAATTGGACCAGTTGGTGATATAGGAGTTGGTGGCCCTAACACAGGAGCTATAAATATAGAACAGAATATAGATATAGAAAAAATTCCTACTGAATTTAGCATCTTGGTTGACAGAGGACAAGAAAATTATGAGTAATATTTATTTGCAATCATAATTACCCTTGCATGAGCCCTGTTTAATAGCATTGAGAAGGTTTTCCAAGCTATCCTTTGATGAAAACAAGTGTTTGTTGACAGGTTGAGACACAACTGACTGTAGAACAGTTTTATTTGAACGAATACCAACAGTGACAGCAAAGATTTCCACATTCATTGCTCTGATTTGGGAAGCAGCATTAAATGGATTATCATGACTCAGAGCATCTGTAATCACAATCATCTTTTGAGGAACATTAGGCCTTCTGGTTACCAGAACCTAAATATAATAATCATCATTCAAAAGTGCAAGTGGAGCATAATGTACTATGGCTATATCAGAGTACAACACATGCCTATTTCATCTCATATTGCCTAATTCAGAAAAACGTACCACATCTTTAGCTTGTTTGAGTCCTTTTCCGAGGGATGAAGTTGTTCCAGGGAATTTAATTTTATCAATATCTCTTAACAGTGCTGCTTTAGTTTTGTGAGTTTCAAACTTGAATATTGTGACTGCCTCTGTGGCAAACACAACCAAACCAAATCTTGTATTCAGAGGACCAACAACATAGTTGTTTGCAAACTCCTTGACAAGTTTCAATGTGCGTCTAAACCCTCCATGAGTGTTGTACTCTGCACTAGCAGAACCATCAATGACAAACGTTATATCCACTGGGCCCTTGCATACAGTTGGCATCAACACTGAGAATTAAAATATATTATAAGCATTTTTCCTAACTAGTTAATTCAATAAATTATAAGAATTTCATGAGAGAAATAATGCACAATTTCTGCTGATATTTAAAACTCTGGTACTTACAATGTATAATACCAGGTCCATCTGAGGCAGATGTTCCAATTGGAGTAATAGGTGCTTGACCACCAGAACCTGGAGGTGATGGAATACCAGGAGCAAAAGGAGTTTTTCCCGCTGTAGTGGCACCTGGTAGAGATGGTTTAACTTTACCAGCAACTGTACCAAGACCTAATAAAATTGCGAATAAGATAGAAAAATATAAGATAATATAAGAGAGAAGTAAAACTGCTCAGTAAATAACAAGAAAATTGTACAAAAAGATCAGAAATATCCCTCTAAAACTAATAGGTGAAGCTATAAATTTAGAGACAACTTCGAATCCAAAGATTTTGTATTTCAAGGAGTTCAGATGAACACAGGATATCTTGAATAAAAGGATTGGCCTCATGACATGTAAAAGGATTAGCCACATGAGGGTGCAGTTCAACATAAACACACCATTTACAAACAAAACAAACCTCTGTTAACTCTATCCACAACCCTTGGAATAAGCGTTGGCAACTTGGTAACATCTCTAACGATAAAGCTATCCTTAGGTGAGGTCGCAAGCTGCTTTCCTTGCCGCTTCTTCACTTTTGGTCCGACACTCACAACTAACAAAGAGACCTTTTGTTTCCTCAAATTCTGACCAACAGATTGAACATCACCAATGGCCTTGCCAGTAGTGATAACAATGGCAACTCTTGGTACCAATCCTCGACGACCTGTTACTTGGAGAACAGCTGTATAAGCTGTCATAACACTCTGTCCAACATATCGTTTATTACCAGCTTTCAGGGATACTCTATCAATTGCATTATCCAATGATTGCATTTCATTGTATTGATCCAGGTTGAAATCAACATGACCTGAATCTGATATTTGAACAAACCCAACACGCGTAGCTTGTGTAGAGACAATGAATGCATGTGTGATTTCTTTCACAAAGTTTTTGAGGAAATTGAATGTTTGAGAACCAACAGTTTTAGAGCCATCAACTATGAATACCATATCAAGAGGGGCTATCAAATAAAAATTAAATAAACATTCAGTATATATTGGAAAACTTACAAAAATGCAATATCATAAACATATTTGCTTTCTGTTATATTTTTGCATTTTAACATTTAATTTTAGAGGTTATCCATTGTTAAAATTTTATTGTTATCATAATGTGTCATTGTAATAGTATTATACTCACCAGCAACTTGTTTTTCTGTATTACAACTTTCACATGGTGGAAGCCCAGGAACACCAGGAGGAGACACACCTGGTTTACCTGGGATAGCAGGTTGTTTTGGCTTTGTTGGCGTAGTTGGCTTTCCACCAGTAGTTGTTTCTGGCTTTGCAACATCACCCTTGAGACCACCTGGAACAGGTTTAGATAAGTGGTTGGAGGATAGATTATAAAATTCTTCAATGTACATGCTCTATAACATTTAGTTAGGTTGTTTGTTTTGGTATCCTCTATGTTTTAAGCATAAAATATATTGTATCCATTATAATATAGCTACTCACTGTATATGAGCTATTTTGTAATCTGATTGGTCAAGGTACCCACAGTATATCATCTCATATATGGTGGGTAGCAAAACCAAAGAAAAAGCAAAATGGCTGACCAGTTTGCTGAGGTAAATAAAGAAATTGACAGAATTCTGGAATATTTTTGTCGCTCAACAAATGGTATTTGGCTATATTATAAAACAATTATACCACTTGCTCTTGTCGTATATGGCTGATATATGGCTATCAGCTCATATACAATTCAACCTTGTGGTGTGATTGTTAATTATTTCTCAATAATGGCACACTCACCACGTCCAGCTAAGTCCTTGTATACTGCACTTGGATAGTAGCGAAGCTTCTTGAGCTTACCATTGAAGTTCTTTACAAGAGGGAAATCAATAGCAGTATACCCAACTTTTGGTATGCTGCCATCCAAGTCCTCAGCAACACTGAAATCTTTTTCACCTTCCTGAGTTTGGTCAACATAAATGTAAAATCTAAAAGATATAGAGAGAAAGTGTAAATACAACATCTCAGAAAAATTCTTTCAGATGATGACGAATAAGGCAAAATGATTGAAGCAATAGTTCAAATCAATTATCTTTATTTGTCACATCAAACAGGATTGTATTTTATAATCAATCAAACGAAATTATTAAATGAATTATAATAATTGATTGCTAGCTAATTATTGATAACCAAAAATTGATTGTATTTTGAACCAATTTATTATGTAAATTTCTGGGTCTTCAACACAGTATACTTGAAAATTCCACACTAACCTGTCCTCACTTGCCACATGGACAACACCAAATTCATGCCAATTTCCGTCGTTCACCTTGGTCTTACTCTTGACTTTTCCAGAAAGTCCAACCTCAAACACCAGTTTGCCTTTTGTATTGACATAAAGACTTTTACTGTTTGGAAGGAATGGTTTTCCTGGAATGGTTTTTGAGATAATAGTGCCTCCTATTTTTGTGTTTATGAAACCCGCAATGGAGAAATCAACATCACCAAGATTAATTTTTGCTGCTGAAGCAGGTGGGACTGGCATTTGCTCATTCCCTTTCAATCGCTTTGGTATTTTGCCAATGATCTCAACATAGTCTAAAAGAAAATCAAAATCATTTAACATAAACACTCAACTCTGCATGTCATAGTCAAATACAGCACTGGCTAACCACTTACTTGATGCTTCCGGTGGTGGTTTTGTTCCTGGTGGTGGCAAAGGTCCAGCAGGTGTTTTTGTGTCAGGTGATTTCTTTAGCAGACTTACATACACATCCCGAAGTTGAGTGACAATGTAGATCTTATCCAGTGAGACTGAAACATGTTTGACAGGAGTATTTAATGTTCTTAACTTTTTCCATGACCTTCCATAAGGTAGATCTCTTGTTACACCAACTCTTATCACAACAGCACCATCTGGAAGCAAGCCTACCACAATTCCAGCTGGACCAGCCTCAATCTGGGTAAGCTTAACATTTGTGCCAACCCTGATCCATTTGAGACCACCTGGACGAACTGCATTCACACCAACCCTAAAGTACACATGGTTCTTTCTGTTGACACCCCAACAGCCAAACAGACCACAGGAGGCATACTTCAGACGACCTGGTACCCTACGCCACATGGTTCCCATTGGCATATTGGGTAATATTCCTTCTCTGACAAAAATTTTGTGGTCTTTAGTTACACCATATACAACGCCAGCAGGTCCAGAGTCTACCTGTGCAAGAATACCAGGTACAATTTGCCATGGCTTTTTGGGCTGAGAGAACATAATCTGGCCATTTGCATTAACACCCCAAACACCTCCTTGACCAACGCTAACATGTCTCAGAAGAGTAGGTTGTTTGATAGGATACAGTTTGTTTGTTGTTCTTCCAACTCGGCGAACAATCTGGCTTGAGTCTGTACCAAGCACAGTTTTTTTCAAACCACCATCAATTTGATCAAGTTTTCCACGAATTCTCTTCCATTTTTCTGTGAAAAATAGGATATTAACATTTAGGGGTTAATCAAACACTTTGAACCTGATAAACACTGACTGCATATTAATTTTTTAAGACCAAGGAACTGATGGGTTTGTCTCCACATGACATGACATCTAGAATGGTAGTATGCTTTTCCATACCAATCCACAATTTTTTTTAATCTTCACATGATATTGTGTGTCTTTAGTAACTTCAGAAATACTCATACATGAATTGGAAGAATACTTACTTGAAGGTTTAGGTTCAGTACCTGGACCAACTGGTTTGGCAGGGACAGCAGGTTTGACACCTGGAGTTGTTGGCACAGTTCCTGGGACAGCAGGTTTTCCACCTGGAGTGACTGGGACAGTGCCTGGGACAGTGCCTGGGACAGTGCCTGGGACAGTGCCTGGGACAGCAGGTTTTACACCTGGGGTAGCAGGTCTTCCACCCGGAGTAGCAGGTCTTCCACCTGGGGTAGCAGGTCTTCCACCTGGGGTAGCAGGTCTTCCACCAGGTGTGGTTGGAACACTTCCAGGAGAGGCAGGAGTAGCACCAGGTGTAGCAGGAACAGCGCCAGGTGTAGCTGGGATGGCTGGTTTCCCTCCTGGACTAACAGGTTTTTTAACTGGAGTGGTTGGTGGGCCACTTGGAGTTGCTGGAACCCCTGGAGGTGTATACTTGTCACCTTAAACATAAGCAAGATATTTATAATATCAAAATATTTATTATCTTATATTTTGATATTCATACAACAATAAAAAAGATGTAATTGCTTTTGTAGTTGACACTTATTATATCTTAAAAGTGATGCATTATTATTCTATATTAATATCAAGTCAGTTTTTATTTCTTCTTCTTAAAGTAAAATTGTTCATATTACCATGATTTTTAAATACATTTTGTTGTCAATCATCCTTAGTTTAAAGTAAAGTAAAAGTAATATATACTTACCACACAAATAATTATCGTTCCATGTGTGTGGATCAGCAGGTTCAGACCACTGTATACAAGCTTTTCCAGAAATCGGCCCAGAAAATGACCACTTAAGATTGAGTGGGGAATCACTAGGTAGGCAGAGATAGTTATCATGCCAGGTATGGGGGTCAGCTGGTTCTTTGACCTGTATACATTTCATTCCATTCTTTGGACCTGCAAAACTCCACTTTATTCCAGGATCCTTCTTGTCACCAGAAGAACAGAAGAAGTTATCTTGCCATGTATGTTTGTCAGCAGGCTCTGATATCTGTACACAACGATAGTTCTGTATTGGTCCGGCATTATTCCAACGGAAGTCATCAGGCCACGATGGGAATGGTCGGCCAGGTTTTGGAGCTAAAAAAATTGAACTCAAATGAGCATACACAGATTGTTCCAGGTGTTATGTATTTAAGAGCTGCAGGTGGAAATTTGTAACTGAACAAACATACATACCTACTCTAGCAAATTTGATAAGGATGCTGTCATACAGTAAAATTGTATAGAAGTTTTAAGGCAACTTACGAACTGGTGACTTGGTGTAAAGATTTTTCATCAAAGGTGTTTGTGTACTTCCTGAAGGCAGTTTCACACGCACAGTTAGGTGATCACCACCACCACCTTCTTTGAGATATGCCTCCATGTAATAAACTCTTCCCTTTTCCAGACCGATTGGTTTAGATCTTTGCTGTTTTTTATATCTATCAAAACAATGTTTATTAATACTTTGAATTATGAATTAAGAATTCCTGGTTCCTTTGCAGTGGAGGTTAGTGTCATTACTACGACTATGCTTTATTGTTTTTATAACACTCACCCGGTCATTACATATGACCGGGTGAGTGTTACAAAAACAATAAAGCATAGTCATTACAAGTAAACTTAACAAGTAGACTTGCATTCAGATCATTGTCATACATAAAGGAGAGGAACGATTTTATGCCTGCATTGAAAAAATCCTTCAGACTAAATGCATAAAAGATGACAACCATTGTATGAGAGTAATATGAGAGACAGAACATACTTATTCCATTGTCTGGGACTTGTATGGCCTTTGACCCCTGCAATTCTTCTTGCATTAACTTTTGTGTCATCTGTACTAAGTCGCAATTCAGAAGAATCATCTGAGGCAATATAGAATCTGTAGTCTCCAGTTTGTGGTGCCTAAAAATATAAAATTATCACATTTAATAGACATATTAAATAGTTATATAGTTTGGCAATTTATGTATATTGTAGCAATAAAATAATCATTGTTGTAATGAAATGATGACAGCATCTTTTCCCAATTTTTTTTCACATTTACCTGATAATATCCTGTTACTCTTGCACCATAATTATCTCCACGATTCTGTGGTGTGCTGAATGAAGGTAATGCCTGAGTCTTGTCTGGATTATCAGGGTAACGCTTATCTTTGAAGAGTAACTTCAAGTCATTGCCTGGTATATTTTCCCAGATATCAAAGTTCACACCTCGTTTTGCTGGAGCTATAGACAAAAGTTGTTTTATTTTAGTTATGATAAACCTTATAGTTTTTGGCACAATACACAGTAGGACAATACACAGTGATCACAATAAATAAAGCCACTCACGCTCTTCAACAGGAGTAGTTGTAGGTGTTCCTCCTCCACCACCAGTTTCAGGTGTTGTTGGGCCTATGAAAAAATGGAAAATACAATTTACTTTGTTGCAAAGAAATTGTTATTATTTAATATGTGAAAAATAGGTGAAAGACATAAAAAGTATAATTGTGAATTTTGATATAAATTATGCACATAGACTTCGAACCTGGTACATATCAGTTGTAAAAATTTAGTCTACCCTGTGGTTAAGAGTTTATTCATATAGTCCTAATTAAGTACAAGTAACAAGATTGTGACTTTTGACCACAGATAAAAACCAAAGAACCATACATACCAGGTAGTTTGGCATAGAGATAATTCTTGGATATGGGTTTTGGTCCATACCCACGAGGCTGTTTGACAGCAACACTTAGATGGTCACCTCCTCCACCTTCTTTCATTAATGCCTCCATGAAGTAGAAGCTGCCTTGTTGAAGCTGGATCTTGGATGATTTTTGTGATGGATATCTTGAAATAAAAAAAAAGAATGGTAATGCCATGTTAAAATATCAAATCCAATCACATATATCATAACAATTGTGCATTATGATTATTAAAGACCTACAACAGTAATTGCACAGCCCAGCCACAATTTTTTACAGTTATAATAGTTCAAATTGTACTATTTTGTTATATACATACTTTCTGTATTGTCTTCTCCCAGTCCACTTCTTATTAAAGATTATTTGACGCAGATTCTCTGGTTTGTTGTCTGTGCTTAATGATAGTTTAGTTTGATCATCACCAGCGATATAGAATACATAGGATCCCGATTTAGGTGGCTGGAAAAGGAAGGTTATTAGTATTTAATTGAGTTGGTATCACCTTAGAGAAAATACATTAACAAATGAAAGAATATGTCTGAGATTGATGCTACTCTTATGAAATGCTTGAAAATATAACTTACCATGAAATAGGTTGTTAATCGTACTCCATAATTATCATCAATATTTTCTTGAGTTTCAAGGCCTAGTGTTTTTCTAGAAACATCAGGTTTCCCAGGATAGCGAGGGTTTGTGATAAGAGTATTTAGATTAGTTCCAGGAATATTGAACCACATTTGTACATTAACTCCATTTTCTGGAACAGGTATTCCTGGAGGTGCAGTGGGATTGGTTGGTGCTAAAAGGTAAAGAAATGAAATTATGTGGAATAATATGTTGCAAACAATTGACAATCAGTTTGTGTCAATAATATCGATATTGTATTTTCATTTTAGAATATACTATTACGGCAAATCATATGGATGACTACAAAACAATTTTAAACCTCACAGATAAAAAAACATTACCATTTTCAAAATGCAATGGTACTTATGGCTGTAGGCATACAACCTTGGAAGCAAATCATACCTGGTGGCTTTACATACAAGTCTCTTTTAGGGATGATTCTTGGCCCTCTTCTCCTTGGTTGCTTGACAGCGATGCTAAGATGATCTCCTCCAATATCCTCCTTCATTAAAGCTTCCAAGTAGTAAACTCCTCCACGCTCAAGCCTCACAGGTCTGGATTTCTGCCATGAATACCTGAAACGAAAAGTGTATGTTATTCCATAACTCAACCTCAACAGAAGCAGTTAGAACAATGTGAAAACTGTATTCATCTGAAGCAAGGCTTACTGTTTAAAGCTCTTGGGTCGAGTCCACCGATCTTTGGGGAATAACACAAGAATCTTAAGGTTTTCGGGTTTCTCGTCACTACTAAGTGATAACTGACATTGATTATCACCAGCAACATAGAACACATATTTTCCTGTTGAAGGAGCCTATATGGAATGACAAGATTAGTATGCATTTTAAGTGAATTTAAGTGACTACAATTAATTTAATCACTCCTAATAGTTAGCATATGTCAATGAACTGTGAACTCTCCTTTCAAAAGCATTTAAATAGACAATGACATACCACATAGTAAGTTGTTAGTCTCACACCAAAGCGATCTCCTTGGTTTGGTCTGATAGAAAGGCGACCAATCTTCTTTGAAGTGTCAGGTTTGTTGGGGAAACGTGGATCAGTGAAGAGTTTTGAGAGAGCTTTACCAGGAATGTTTCTCCATTTTGCAAAAGTCACACCATTTTCTAAAAGAATTGAAGTTGTTAAAGTTTTAGAGACATATGAATTTAGTAATTTCAATCAATGTTTATGCGCTGGCATAAAAAGATTTATTGCCCTCACCAGGTATTCCTTTGCCTCCAACAACAGCAGTTCCTGGTGCTAAACAATATTCAAACAATTTGTTCAGTATATGCAGTCACGAAAGTTAGGGTTCATTAACCAGGTTGGGGATAGAGAAGAATAGTATAGAGTGGAGGATATTAAAGAAAGGATAGCAAATGCTGCCACACTGGGTTGCAACAACAGTGTAGTGGGATTATTAAATTAATCTACCTGGTGGTTTAACATAAACATCTTCTTTAGATATTGGTCTTGGCCTTTTCCTCCCAGGAAGTTTTACCCCAACACTAAGATGATCACCACCTTTGCCTTCCTTCATGACAGCCTCTAGGTAATATGCTTTGCCCTTTGACAAATAGACTGGTCTTGATTTTTGTTTTTGATGCCTGAGTAAAGCATAAACAACAGGTTTGATATTGACATTACAGTCAAAAAATACACATAGACTTGAAAAAGAAGACTGATCCAATCTACCTAATCATTAATAATGAAAGCTGAAAAATGCTAAAGTAGGGGAAACATTAATTTGTATTAGTGCACAGCCATGCAAATGCTCACTTGTTCCATTGGTTACGATTAGTCCAGAGGTTCTTTGGGAAGCGAACAATTTCCTTCAGGTGTTCTGGTTTGTTGTCTGTACTCAGAGACAGTTTACACTGATCATCACCAGAGACATAGAAAACATATGTGCCTGATCTTGGAGCCTGGGCAAAGAAAAAATCAATTGCATTTAATATAGAGTGGAAAAATTAAAATTTTTCTTATGTTTTCTTATTTTTTTAAAAAAAACAAGAGTACCAAAAATGATTACTCACCACATAATATGTTGTTAGACGTACTCCATACAAATCACCTGCATTTTGTGGGGTTTTCAATTTCTTAATTTTGGTTGTTACATCCGGCTTACTTGGATATTTTGGGTTTGTGGTAAGACTGGAAAGAGTGTTTCCTGGTATATTCTTATAGACTTCCATAGTGACTCCACTCTCTATGAAAGTAAAACAGATAATAAATAACTGTGCAGAATTATATTTTCAACCTTGCAGAATTTTAATTTCCTAAAAATTGATTTGACCACTGAACTTCAGTATCCAGATGCCAAGAATTGATAAAAGGTTAGCATGTCTACTTTAAAAAGAGGAATTTTTAAATTTACCAGGTGTTGAAGGTGTGACACCAATAGGACCTGTTTGAAAAAGAAAGAGATGATAAATATGTCAGAATTTGTTTGAATGTGATGCCAGAATACCCTCCTATGCCAGCTGTTTACTGAATATATATAGTATGTTCCCAATTATTGCATAAGTGTATATAGGATATAATCAATTAAAAACAGGTACCTGGTGGTTTAATATAGACATCATTGTTTGAAATAGGTCTTTGTAAGAAACCACTTGGTAGTTTTACTCCAACACTAATGTGATCTCCACCTCCCCCTTCTTTCATCAAGGCTTCGATGTAATACACCTGACCTCTAGACAAGTTGATTGGAGCTGATCTTTGTGATGGATGTCTAGGGAAAGAAATGGATTACTTACTGTACTGAAAGATAAAAGTTTAAAAGACATTAATGGTTTGGATGGAAATACTAAGATGCTAAGTGTATTTCTCTAAAGTTCTATATTTCTGTAATGTACAGTTACATACTTGTCCCATTGGTTTGGCCGTGTCCACAATCCATTCTTGAATCTAATGATAGTCTTTAAGTGCTTAGGATCATCATCATTACTGATTGACAATCGACATTGATCATCCCCAGCAACATAGAAGGTATATTTCCCTGTTTCTGGTGCCTAGGAAGACAAAGTCTAATTTAAGCACTAGCATCTACTAAACTACTGTTCACCTCAAAGTCTTCACCATACTTGTTAGGCAGAAGAGAAGCAGAATGTTAAACAAGGCATTATCAGCAATTACGATCTCTCTATGGCAAATATAAAAATATAAAATTTTATCTATTACATCACATACCACATAGAAAGTAGTCAGACGCAATCCATAATTATCTGCCACATTCATGGGTGAAACAAGGCCTGGTAGTTTCTGACTTGAGTCCGGTGTTTTTGATCGGAACTTCTTATTGTACAACAAACGATCCAAAGTCATTCCAGGAATGTTGTTATATATTTCCATAGTAACTCCACGTTCTAAAAATTGACAAAAAACCAATTGAGAATACCTTCCAATTGGAGTCTGGAGTTATAGTATGGAAAAGATCTTATGTATTTTTGCACTGACCACTCACCATCATCTTTTATATATCAATAATGAACACAAAACATCTTATGTTAATCTTACCAGGTAGCGATGGTGCTGGAGGAGTAACTGGTTTTCCACCAGGTGTAGTAGGTGGGGCTAGAAGAAAAAAACAGATGGCTGCTATGAATAACCTGGAATGCATTTCCTAAAAAATCTTTTGAATCATACAAAACATACGTGGCACTCCAGTGTAAACATCCTTCCCACCCAAAGGCATTTTTTCTGCTCCAGAAGGAAGTTTAACCTTCACAGATAAATGGTCACCTCCACCACCTTCTTTTGCAATGGCTTGCATGAAGTATACTTTGCCTTGTTGGAGTTGAACTGGTTTTGATACTTGTTTCTTTGGGTATCTTAACATTAAAAAAAATCATTATAACACCTTTTTCAACCCTACTGTTATTTGATTGTGCTGTAAAGTGACAGTTCTGTCAAACAATATAAATAAAAGAGATTAAGGAATAAAAGAGATTAAGGAATAATAGAGAAGCATACTTGTTGAACTGATTAGGATTTGTCCATGTATTAGCAGCAGTTCCCATAAGATATTTAGCATTTGTTGGTGTTTCATCTGTACTGAGCCAGAATTCACATTGATTATCTCCAGCAATTGAGAAAATATATCCTCCTGATTCTGGAGCCTGGTGGTGACAAATGTAGTTAGCATGCCTTTCAGCAATAGGCTAAGCAAGTCAAGGACATCTATATACTTGTCTAGATAACCTCAGTGCACATTACTAATGTAAGTTGATTCTCCTTTTTCACTGTAGAGCCGACTGCCATTTTCCATTCTATACAGTACTAGTATCAGCTTTTTGAAACTACTGTAGCTATATACTAGTTTGGTGGCCACATTGCTTGGCTAGCACTATTGTGCAGTTATACCAAATGAAATAGTTTGATAAAATCTATACATGAAAGAATAATGACTAAAGGCAGTACTTTAACATTCTCATGCTGATATTATGTTGTTTGTAGCAGCTACTGGCAATAAAATCTACTATGCATTTGAACCATACCTTAAAGTATGCAGTCAATCGAATACCAAAGTTGTCCATTTTATTCACTGGTGTTGCCATGTTTGGGATAACTGAGGAAGTGTCCGGTTTGCTTGGGAAACGTGGATTTTCCTTCAATTGATAAACATTGTTTCCAGGGATGTTTTTCCAAATTTCCATAGTAACACCTGGTCGGGCAACTAAAATAACAAGACAGTCATGAGCACAGGTTTTGGAATGTAAAAGCAGAGAGATGCAGTTTCCTCTATCTTTTGTAACACATGGCAGAACTCACATGATGCATTATAACATTGTCAACTATTTCTTACCTGGTTGGTTGCCTGTTGTGGTCTGAGGTGGTGGTGGTTTAACTGTGTGAAGATATTAGAAATTCGACTCAAAATTTGTTTCTTTGTTGTACTTCATTCAACAATCAATGGTAACATACTTTAGGTAAAATAGTCCACAGCAATCTCACAATTACATGCATGGAGATAAATTTTGAGTGAACTTTTAGAATACAGCTCATGCACTCACACATTGAGGGTGACATGGAAATTTTGTTATTACTAATCAGTGAAAAAGTTATTTCTTAATCAGTGGAAAGATTTATGGTGAAACACTAAAAATCACACTCTATTCATGTAGAAATATTTTCATAAAAACATAAGAAGATTGAGTTCCATCACTCAATGAGTTTGGGTATGAGTTAGCTTTTAGAATACAGGCGTTAGTGTTCCTAAGGGACTTAAACGTGGTTGTTGGTCAAGCTTCAAATATGCAACCTGTTGAAGGAAACATTACTGGAATTAGCTGTCTACTTGGAAAGTGCAAACAAGGTTAGTTTAATCGAACTAAACACTTACCAAGAGTATTTCTACAATAAACATTGAGATCAGTATTTCTTGAAGTCCATATCCATTTTGCCTCTTTGGCAATAGACGGTCCTTTGATTTTGTCATTTCTTTTCACAACTTCAGCACCTGGCCAAGCACTATCATCAAATGCAGGAGATTGCCATTTTGGATATTTCTTGTTGGTACAACGCCAGGTTTCATCAGTAACAAGTCCTGTGCTAAATGATCCAATTATGCCAGCAGGGCCACCAATGTTGAAACCATGGATAGCAACAACCTTAGTGGTAGCTGGAAGTTTATAGATTTTACTCATAAACCATTTGCCATTGTCTTTTCCAATTTGAACACCATCTGCATAAAGCTCCATTCTATCATCACAGTTTATAATAGCTGTAACATCTACAAAGACAAAATGATAAATAGGAGTACTCTATGAACATATTCACAACCAAACTACATTTTAGCAGTGTTGCGTTACAATTTAGCTTGCGATGCACCTAGATGCTACATATTTTAGTATTGCACTCATTCTAATGCCAGATGAATTACCAGTTGCAATGAAAGCTTACTGCCAGTTAATGGGGTAAATCCTTTGCTGGTTAGAGTACCTTATTTTCAGCACTGGCTTTATGAGATGGCAAAACAATTTACATCATCATTTACTTGCCCAAAACAATTACAATTAAATAGAAATTAGATGTAAGTCAAAACATGATAGAAGACTTACCCTGAGGTCCAGCACCAGGTGTGCCTGGGGCTGGTGCAGCAGGAGTGCCCTTTGGTGGTAATGCAGGAACTAAAAACAATAGAGAGTTCAGGTTAATTGGTTCAAATTATGTATCTTTAATGATGCAATAGTACAGAGCTGTAAAATTTTGTTTTTTAAGCAAAAACACCATAAAGAAAACCTGCAATCTAAGCTTACCATTGGGTCCAATAAACAAGTTAGTGTTTCGAATTGGTCTCTCCATTTTCTTATTTGGAAGCTTTACTCCCACACTGATGTGATCTCCTCCACCTCCTTCTTTAACAAAGGCCTGCATGAAGTATGCACGTCCTTTTTCTAGTTTGATTGGTCCAGATACTTGATTAGCTGGGAACCTTCAAAGACAGCAAACCCAAGATTGTTTTGTGGATATGTTTTCTCACTTGCGCAAAAATTATTAAAATGTTCCCTTAATTCAACTTGTCTATCATAATCATCCATGCTATCTTACTTGTTGAATTGATTTGGATTAGTCCATTGATTTGGTGCGAAGGCCAGGATACGTCTGGCATTAACTTCAGCATCATCACTACTTATCCACAACTCACACTGATCATCTCCAGCCAAATAAAAGGTGTAAGTGCCAGTCAATGGGGCCTAAAACCAATACATTAATCAAAACATGTACAACTAAAGGGTTGCTAGAGATACTCCTCATTGGTATAATGAGAATTTAAAAAAATGGCAAACCTGACTATGTTATATGGGAAAAGATAACAAGAAAATGCATGTTATGTAATGTTTACATAAAAGCTAACATGATATAATGTGCTTGTCTTTAATATAAAACATTTATAATTTCATTACCCTAAAGTAGGTTGTCAAACGAGCACCATAGTTATCAGCAAAATTTTTGGCAGACTCAAAGTTAGGTAGAACTTCCATTTTATCAGGATTGCTTGGGAATCTTGGGTCCTCTTTCAGTTTGGCAATAAAGTTTGTTCCAATGTTTTGCCATAACTCATATGTAACACCATTTTTAGCAGCTAAAAATGATTTAGATATTTCAAAATTCAGTCATTTGTGTAATGCAAGAACTCCAGAGGAAAAGATTGTAGAAGAAAATGAGGCTCTAAATAGGCAAGCATTGAACTATGTGATACTTACTTGGTTCTGCTGGTTGGCCAGGAGCACCACCAGGGGTACTAGGTTGTGCTGCACCACCACTTCCAGGTGTAGTTGTTGTTGTTCCTGGGGTACTTGGGGCTCCTGGGGTTTCAGTGCCTGGTAAAACTACTCCAGCAGGGACTAAATAAAAGTCCCAAAACCATAAGAAATATTTAAAGCTAACTAATCAGAACATAATTGAAACATATTAACATAACTAAGCAGAACTAAAATACTACATGAATTTCCAAGTATTTAAAGCAAGCATACCAGGAGCCAGGAAAATGTTCTTGCTAATGGGTCTGTCAAATTTGCCACCAGGATAACGTACACCAATGCTTAGATGATCACCTCCACCGCCTTCTTTCATAAGTGCCTTTATGTAGTAGGATTTTCCTGCTACAAGCCAGACTTTCTCTGTTACCTGATCATTTGGATATCTAAAAAATTATTGATTAATTTAGTACTTGAGTATATGATAGAGAAAATGATACATTCATTCAGTACGCAAGCGAACTCGAGTATATCACCATGCATCAAATTTTTTGCATACTCAGGTGTGTAAAAAGTTAAGATGAAAAAGTCTTTAAAGTCAATATTCCCGAACAAGTCTGCCATTCTACTTACTTATTCCACTGTTGATAACCAGTATGACCAGTTTTCTTTGTTTCCTTTAATTCTGCTAATTTCCGTGCATTTCCCTTGTCCTCATCAGTGCTTAACCAGAATTCACCTTCATCATCGCTTGCAAGGTAGAATATATAAAAACCACTGATTGGAGGCTAATAATAGAGAAATATGTTAATAATATTTCAAAAAAGTGAACATTTAATTTTTTGTATTATGATGGAACATTGATGCACAACCACAATAAACATACCCTGAAGAATCCAGAGACTCGCACGCCATAGTTGTCAAAACGATTCTTTCCAATATCAAATGTTTTCAGGGTTGATTGTTCATCAGGTTTGTTAGGGAAGCGATTATCAGCTTGGAGATTAGATAATCTGTTACCACGGATATTTTTCCATGTTTCCATACGTACTCCAGGTTGAACTGTAAGGAGTTGTTTACTGTTTAGTTTCACAGCAATTTAATACTATAAATTTTGTGTAAATTTCAAATCCATATTTCCTTTGTAATTTTGTTAAGACTCACACAAACCTTTTTCTTTTTTCTTAGTTGGGGTTTGTTTTCTTACTAAGAATGTAATATTTGTGATTAGAGTTTTTCAATTAATAGCATGTCTAAAAATACCAAAATAGGAATTGGAAAGCTACTCACATCGTCCTAAAAGCTCAGTAAGCTTCTTGTGCCTAGTAAAGTATTCTTTACTTTTCTTTTGTACATTATACGCAGTTCCTTCAGGATTGAGAGCTCTCTTTTTGTAACAACGCCATTTCTTTCCACGTCTCTTTCTGTTGTAGTCAAACAATGCAACCAATTTAGATGCTCCAGTAGTTCGAACATTCATTCTGCACCATTTGTTCAAGTTGTCTTGTTGTTTACCAGTAATTTCCAAGCCTAAATTAATAATTATAAAACAATAATTTCTTAATATATAATGACAAATCATATAATGTTATCACTAGTGATGAGAGCTGGAATGGTGATGAAAGTTGGGATGATGGGAGCTGGGATGGTGATGAAAAAAAAAGGGGCAAACTAGGAACTTTGTAAGAGAAAACTGAATTTTACCTTTATTGAAAGTCCTTGATAGTTTCTTGTCACCTCTTTGCTTATCAAGCCACTGCCGTGCTGGGAATTGGTAGTTATCACCAGTGGTGTAATCCACTACAGTTACCTAAATTAAATGAAAAAATCAGTAAAAAAATCAAGATATAGTTATTTTTCTAAAAATGATAAAGCTAATCCAGCACTAATTATTCTGGAGTTTTTTTAATATTATAATAATCCATATACCTGATTGATAAACCAGGCTTCTTTTCCTCCCTTGTTGTCATGCCTGACAGTGACTGACTTCAATGGACCCAAATCATTATTTACAAATTGGAAAGCAATAGCACTATAGAAATTTAAAAAATATATAAGAATTTCATGGCAGTATTCCATCTTTGTAAATATTGCATCCTAATACTTGGCATTGAGACTAAGAATTATCACAACCATTTTAAGGAAATGTAGAAATTACAAACCTTCCTCTCTTGAAAGGAGGAATGTTCTTTCTTCCTTCCCTCTTCTTCAGTTCAATCTCTTTAGTGTCACCATTTTCACCACTCACTATGGCAAATGCACTGGCCTTGCTACCAGCTTTCTTTTGATGGCCAGTAAAGATTGTGATAAAGTAAATATGATCTGAAAACAATGTATAAGAGTGAATCAATTATGTAATGTACTAAATGTACCTATGTTTGGAAATGTTTCCAAATTGCCATAAAACTCACACCTCAAACACTATAAGTCACACTATCAAAAATGGATCTTCAATGAACATGTGAATGTTTAAAAAACATGCCAAGTATTGGTAAATTTACTTTCCCTTATGGTGTATGGATTTTACATGTAACAAGGGCTTACTTTGAGGTCCAGGTGGAGGCGTGCCTGGTTCAGCAGGTGGTCCAGTTGGTACTGGAGGAAGAACAGGAGGTTTGGTCGGCGGCTTCACAATTGGAGGAGGAAGTGGTCTTGGACGTGGTTTGGGTCTAGGTGCTCTTCCAGGGCGTGGTTTTGGTCTCAAAGGCCTAGGTCTTTTAGGTTTTGGTGGTGGACTTATAACTTTGAAAGAAAGTAATGGTTTTGTTAAATAGTGCATGCTAAAGTTTCCAAATGAAAAATATATAAATCATTAAACATCATAAGTGAAATATATATTTTTAGGAATACGAAATATTCAATAAAATGAAGCATACAAAAACTGTAAAAACAATATTTAATGTAAATTAGTGGAAGACTTACTTTTTTTAACCAAATTAATGACAATCTGTCTAGCAGATGGTAGTTGTCTATAATTAATTCCAGACACACTATTATCTACAGAGGAAGCCAATTTCTTTATAAGACGCTTGTCAGCTCTGCGTCCAACACCAATGGGAATGATATTAATTCTTCTTCTCATTCTTTGCACAATCCGGTTAACTGGATCAGTAGAGCGACCTGTTACGAAAATTATCAAAATTTGTGGTGCTCTTTGTCGTGAGCTTCTCCCAATCAATCTTCTCATTGCATTACGAAGAGCTCCACCAACTCGATTTCCACGACCACCAGGATATTGCACTGTGAGCATTGCTTTATCAATACTAACTGGATCCTTGTACTTTCTGTAATCAAATTGAACCCTTGCTCCACTGGCAAACACTTGTAATCCAATGTGGGTATCAACAGGAGACACAGTAAGCCCCTGGTATACTGTCTGTACAAATTTCAAAAGCCGTTTAAAGTTAGTTGAACCAACATTCCTTGATCCTGATATCAGGAAACCTACATCAGCTGCAAAAGAATATTAGGAATAATATGTTAGAATCATATGTTAAATATAATGTTTCTAAGTTTAACATACCTTTAGTTCTTTGAGGCCCACCAGGCTTTCCAGGTCTAATTGGTTTGCCTGTAGGTGTGTTTCCTTCACTATCAGGTAACCCCATCACTTTATAAAAGAGAAGAATATTATTTAAAAACCCAGTAAATTAAAAATTGAAAACATCATAATATAATATAGGAATCTTACATATGGAAACAATTTCCTCAAAAGAACTCACCGTTCTTAACTTTGTCTGTAATAACTGATGTTGCAGCTAACAGATTCGTGTAATCAATGTTGGTTAACTGATGCTGTGGTGAGGTAGCCACTGAATCAACCTGAGGCTGTGAGAAACCTTGCCCCATACCAATAACAATAGATGTAACACCAGTACTTTTAAGAGAAGCTGCTGGTGTAGACACATCATCTGCAGACTCAGAAGACAACAATGTTATAATAATCTTAGCTGCATCTTTGCGCTTACTCCTTCGGAACAAGTCACTCTTTGCTAATTTTAGGGCTGCCCCAGCATTACACTTTAAGCCAGCTCCACGATAACGAATCTTCAATGCTTTGTTTCTCAAAGAAGGTATATTTCGATATTTCCTAAAGCCAAACATCTTTTTGGGTTTCGAACCAATGACAATAAGACCTACATTCACTCCACTCTTAGCAATACCCAAGTTGCTGGTTACACCAACCATGAACTCCAAGCTTATCTTGAACTCTTTCTTGCCAGTTCCAGTTGCAGAATCAAGAATGAAAATGATATCTGCTTTGCCTAAACAAATGCAACAGACATGAGTTAGAAAAAAAATTCATGTTGATTCCTAAACCGTGTTTTGTTATGAACAAGTTATCTCTAATATGCTTATGGAAAACAGCTAAATGGAACCAGGTTTAACACAAAATAAAGATATTTTTCTGAATCTTATGGGCTCTTTTATTGCTATTTGCAACAAACATAATATTGATGTTCTAATTTTCCTATATTTAAGAGAATCTAACTTATCAAACACATCAAACATTAGATACCAGCTTTTGCATTTGTTCCAGATGGACGTGGAGCTGGTGGAGGAACAGGACCAGGTGGTCTTGGTCTGGGTCGAATGGGTCTTGGCCTAGGCCTAGGAATAGGTCTAGGTCGGGGTCTTGGTATGGGTCTGGGCCTCGGTCTGATTATTGGGCGTGGTCTTGGACGTGGTCTTGGACGTGGTCTTGGTCTTGGAAGTGGTCTTGGTATTGGTCTTGGTGATGGTTTTGGTATTGGGAGAGGTTTTGGTGGGGTTGGTGGACGTGGACATGGAACTGGTTTAGGGGCTGGAGGTTTGGGGAGCTTAGGTTTTGGTTTAGGGGTTGGTTTAGGTTTAGGTGGTGTTGGTGGTGCTGGATTCCCAGGTGTGGGAGCTGGACCAATTAATTTGTCAACATCTCCAGTAATTGGTTTACCATTTCGACCAATAGCATACACCCTACCACGCCCTATGGACACACTAGCAACTATTGTTTTTCCAACTGCCTTCCAAGCTTTCCCTGATGGAGTTTTGGCAGATATACCAATTCTGACAAATATTCTACCATTTATATCAACACCCCACACAGCACCAAATTGTCCAGACTCGATTTGAATCAGTTTTTTGCCTTTTACTCTTCGCCATTTAGTTCCTTGTGGCTTCTTTGGTGTAACGCCTTTTCTGAAGTAAACATTTCGCAATTTGTTTACACCCCAGTGTCCGTATTCACCACATGAAATGTAACTGAGTTTTCCTGGCAATCTGATCCAGCTTTTGCCAGGACGGAGTTTTGGAGTAATGCCAGTTCTACAGTAAATGTTATCAGCACGATTCACACCACACACTATTCCTGATGGTCCTGAGTCTATCTGTTTCAATTTACCAGGAATTTGAGCCCATGCTATTCCACTCTTGCGTTTAGTTATACCCTTACGGAAGTAGATATTTTCGGCACGGTTTACACCCCACACACCAGATTGCCCAGAAGAAACATGGGTCAATTTTCCGGGAATCTTTTTCAGTTTCCCATTTTGTAGTGAGAAGACATTATCATTAGGATCCACAGTCCAAGGAGTCTTAGTCAAGCCAGCATCTATTTGACCAAGCACTTTTCCAACAGGCTGCCATCTCCCATCTAAACATAAATTATTACAATGTGTTAATTAGCACTTATTTACCATGACGAAGGAATTATTATGTTTTGTGGACCCAAGAATGCCCAATATTTCACAATGCGAGGCCAAGTGTAATATTGACAGTCAGGAGAGGCAACATCAGAATTTTGTCACTCTCTCGTGATTCACTCTCAACCATTGAAACCCTACGAACATTAAACTTTGACAAGTGGTATATAATAAAATCGATTATCTTTATGCAAGTTATCGTATTATCTTTCATTTATAAAATGGTGCCACTTACCAGTTGTGGGTGGCTTTGGAACAATGCCTAAAAAAAAACTCATGTTAAACAAAGTTTTCTCAGAAAGAGACATTTGTTGCAAAATAATTAAATATTTAATGCAGCTACAGTGTTTGATTGTCAGTGCCTGGTACTGCTTTCATTAGACTGTCTCATGAATCAAATACAATTCTCCCTGACTTGTGAATATATTAGTTCTATTAGACAGGAAACATTCTTACCTCCCACTGCTGCTATGGTTCCTCTATAAATATTCTTGAAGGAATCAACACCAAAAACAACACCTCGACCAACTGTAGCATGAACAAACAACTTCAATCCTGAAACTCGCTTCCAACCTCTTCCAAATGGTCTTTGCTCAGTAACACCAGTACGAACATACATCTGACCTTTTGGGTTTACACCCACAACCTGACCAAATTGCCCAGCTTCCACCTCAGTCAAAATACCTGGAATCCGTTTCCATTTTATTCCTTCTGGCCTATTTCTGCTGACACCTTGTCTGAAATAGATGTAGTTGTTTTTGCTGACACCCCAGTGCCCATAATCACCACATGAAATGTATTTCAGTTTACCAGGAACATGCACCCATCTTGTACCATATGGAACACCTCGTGAAATCTTAACTCGGCAATAGATATTATTACCACTGTTCACACCACATACAATACCCTTAGGTCCAGAGTCTATCTGTTTTAATCCACCTGGTACTCTCTTCCATGTTCTGCCAAGAGGTAGTTTTCTGCTTACACCAACTCGATAGTATATTGCACTTCCCATAACACCCCAAACACCAGCTTTACCAGATGATATGTGGTTCAATCCACCTGGAACCTTCTTCCATTTACCTCTGTTTAAACCAAAGATACCATTTGATTGATCAACAGCCCATGTTGTTTTCCATGTGTCAATTTGTTTAAATTTCAGCTTCAATTTAGCCCATTTAGTCCCTTAAACAAAATAGATATGGGTTAATAATTTTACTTAAAAATAAAATTGACCTAATATCATTTTACCTGGTGGTTTCCTTGGAAGACCCTTTTTACCAACAAAAGATGATGCCTCCCCTGTGAAAGATTTTCCATTCCTGTCAATACCATACAAGGTTCCAGGTCCAACAGAAATACTCACAAGCTTCATTTTTTTAAAACGTTTCCATTTCATTCCAGTTGGACTTGTTGGCTTGATACCTAAGCGAGTATACACCCCCTTATAAATATGAACAGCCCACACAGCACCATCGGGACCTGATTCAATTTGGTGCACTTTAATTCTTCCAATGGTTGTCCATTTCGTGCCATGTGGTTTATTTGATTTAACACCCTGTCTGAATCTGACTTGATTGTTTTGATCAACAGCCCAATGACCAAAGGCACCACAGGATATATATTTCAGTTTACCATCAAGTTTTATCCATCCTGAACCTGATGGTTTTACTGGTGAAATGCCCTTTCTACAATAAACCATATTCACTTTATTTACACCACAGACAATTTTAGATGGTCCAGAATCAATCTGTTTAAGTAAACCAGGAATCCGTTGCCAGGTTCGTCCAGTCAGACTTCCAGGACTAACCCCAGTACGGAAGAATATGAAATCACCACTGTTGATAGCCCATATGCCTGCAGCTCCAGATGTTACATGCTTGAAGTTGGTTCCTGAGATCTTCTTGAAACTACCATCAACAATTGTGTATACTTTCTTGCTACGATCAATCCCCCAGACAGCTGGAGTAAGACCAGTGTCAATTTGAATCAGTGGTTTCCTATTCTTTGTCCATCTGCCATCTAAAAATATTTTGTAATTTAACAAAAGTGTTTGTAATGACAAGTGATTTTTAGATGGCAAAGTTTATCGGATTGATTGATAAACTCTTTCTGGTAGTTTGATTGACAAAACATTGAGGGTATTGATATTTAGCCCTATTTTCTTAAACCCTTAAAATTAAGGTATGTAATGTTCAATCACAATTCTTAAAAAGTGAAAATGTAAGTATGTTAACCTCTTGTGATTTTTGGCTCTTCACTTAATGCACGTAAATTCTAGAGTTGAAGTGTGTATAATTCCACTCGAAATTAAGACCCTTTAAACCACATTTTTCACATTTTAAGAAAATATGACAAAAATGTGCCAAAGTGCCAAAAATCACAATTGATTTATACAATAATTAAGGTAATAATCAATTTGATCCATGTGTATACATTAATACATTAAGCATTGCCTTTTTAAAACATTCATTGCACAAACCTTTTTTCGGTGGATGAGAAGTAATACCTGAACAAAACAAGGTTTTAGTTAATGCTTACAAGTGCATGAGAGTATCTTGTAAAATTCCATACAAACTGTTAATTGCAAACAAACTATTAACAAACAGCATGAAGTATATTTTACCTGCAGTAGCTGGTGTAGTGCGGTAAACAATGCCCCTCTTAGATACACCAAAGACAGCTCCTATCCCTATAGTAACATGCTTATACATTTTCCTTGTCTTTATTCTTTTCCAACTTTTGCCCCATGGTATTTGTTGAGATACACCAGTTCTGACAAACAGCAGTCCAGCACTGTTTACACCCCAAACCTGGCCATACTTTCCAGCCTCTATCTGAGTCAATCTTCCAGGGAGCCGTTTCCAACTCCAGCCAAGAGAATTGACCCTAGAATAGCCAACTCTAAAATAGATCTGACCAGCCTTGTTTACTCCCCACTGACCATAGTCTCCACAGGATATATACTTGAGTTTACCAGGTATTTTAGCCCACCTTCTTCCTGATGGTGTTCTTACTGTTATTTGCATTCTGCAGAAAATATTGCCGAGAGCATTTACACCACAGACAACTCCTTTGGGTCCAGAATCAATCTGCTTCAATTTACCAGGTACTTGTGCCCAAGTGACACCCTTTCGGTTCTTAGAAGTAACTCCTGTACGATAATATATATTTCCAGCACTGTTGACACCCCAAACACCAGCCTTGCCTGATGATATGTGGCTTAATCCACCTGGCACTTGAATCCATTTTCCTTTGAGAAGAGTAAATATATTTCCACGTTTGTTCACAGCCCAAGGTGTTCGAGTTATACCAGTATCAATAACAGTGAACTTTCTCTTCATTTTTGTCCAGCCACGATCTATTGAAAAAAGGATTTGAATGTTTAACTTCAGCTGTTTGCAATTCATTTAAACACAGTTCATGATTGTCTATAATTAGCAGATAGGATTCTTTCATTTTCAATTTAGCAACATGCAAATATGATAAGTACATTATACCTGGCTTTGGTACCACTGGTTTTCCTGAAAGAAAAAAAAGATATATGTGAGGGAAGTAACATATATTCAAAATATGATTGCAAAGATATTATAATATATGTAAACTAGCTGGATCCCTACCTGGTTTTCTAGGAATGCCTGCCGGGCCAACCAATTTGGCAACATCACTAGAAAATGGTGCCCCACGTCGCCCCACAGCATATACAAAGCCAAGACCAACAGATATACTAGACATAAGTTTCTTTCCTACAGGTCTCCATGCTGTACCAGTTGGATTTTTTTTAGTAATTCCTCGGCGAGTGTACACAATACCTCGGAATGTCACACCAAAAACAGCGCCGTCTGGACCAGACTCAATTTGGGTCAATTTACCGGGCACCTTTTGCCACTTTGTTCCATATGGCTTCTTCCTATTTACTCCATGTCTAAAGAAGATATCATGCCCACGATTAACGCCCCAATGTCCATATCGACCACAGGAGATGTAGATAAGTTTACCAGGAACACGTTGCCAACGAATACCATAAGGTCGTTTGCGTGAAATACCTATTCTACAGTAAGGTACACCAGAACTGCTAATACCACAGACTATACCATATGGACCAGAATCTATCTGGACCAAATGCCCACTGATTCGCTTCCAGGACTGTCCAGTTTTTCGTTTCAAAGTAATTCCTATGCGTATGTAAATATTCTTATTTCGGCTCACACCCCAAACACCAGCTTCGCCAGATGAAACATGCATCAATCTCCCACCAACTTTTCGAACATTTCCTTTCTGTATAGCATATATATTATCACTGGGATCAACACCCCAGGGTGTATCAGTCATTCCGGAATCAATTTGTGCAAGAACTTTACCAATGCGTTGCCATTTGCCATCTGAAAGTGTTGAAACATACAAGAAACAATTAAACTATAATTATCTTTTTCTCCGAAAGTATCCAAATGACACCCATTGGGTTTTTGTCACTGTAAAGGCTTATTGGATTGGTTTTCCCTATCTCAAAGTTGGTAAATTGTTTACTTGTTAATGTGTCACAATTGGAAAATTGTACTCAAAATCCAACTGTTTTTAAAAATATATTTACAACACATACAAATCACTTACCTCTTACAGGTAGTTTTGGAGTAACACCTGTGAATGTTAAAGATATCTGTTAGTAAGCTCAGTAAAAATTAAGGAAAAAAGATTAACATTCAATTTAGTAACTCTTTGATATAAAATAAGTGTGTGAACATGTTAACAAGTAGGATTTAGTATTACCACCAATTGCAGCCAGTGAAGCCCGATATATTTTTTGGGTAGAATCAACCGCGAATACAATGCCTCTTCCAATGGTGGAATGGGAGAAAATAGTTACACCAGGAACCATTTTCCATGATTTACCAAATGGAAGTCTTTGTGTTATACCTAAATGGGAAAATTTCATTATTTACACAAATTAACTGATGAAACGTTACTTATCATTCTTAAATATCCATAAATCCTAACGATCTGCATCTTGACCTGACTAAATCTATTGCAAGCCAAATCCTAAGACCAAAATGCACTTATTTATTACTCAATTTATTTATTACACTATTACATAATTATTGGAAGAATTTGAGCGAGATATTGAGAATCATTAAGGCACAGGTTGGGGTTATCAAAGGCTTTGGCAGATAACGCCAACCAAGGCCTTAATAATCCTCAATATCATGCGAAAATTGAATTTAATAATTATTTTATTATTCATCTGATTAAATGTAGCAAAGAAGTCGAATAAATTAGTAAATTGATAAGTTAGACATCACAATTACAGAATACCAGAAATTATTTGTAGCTGGTTAATCAATCAAAACAGAGTTGAATAAACAGTGATTAATAAAATACAATATTACTCACCAACACGAACATACATCTGTCCTTGTCTATTCACGCCTACCACTTGACCAAACTGGCCAGAATCAATTTGGGTCAAGGCCCCAGGTATTCTCTTCCACTTATATCCTAAGGGTCTGCTCCGTGTAACTCCTTCTCTGAAGTAGATTAGATTAGCTGTGTTTACACCCCAGTGCCCATAGTCACCACATGAAATGTAACTCAACCTTCCCGACATGCGCTTCCAGTAACGTCCAAATGGTCGATATTTGGTGATGCGCATTCTGCAATAGATTGCCCCTCCACTGTTAACACCACATACAATACCCTTTGGTCCAGAATCTATCTGCTTCAAACCACCAGGAATTCGCTTCCATCTAACACCAAGTGGGCGTTTTTTGCTAACTTTTACTCTGTAGTAAATAGCATTTCCCATGATTCCCCAAACACCTGCTTTCCCAGACGATATGTGGTTCAATTTTCCTGCAACCTTCTTCCATTTTCCATTGTTAAGAGCATAAATACCGTTCCTTGCATCAACAGCCCATGTGGAAGTTCGTGTGTCAATTTGTTTGAACATTTTCTTCATTTTTTTCCATGTAGTGCCTGTGGAGAATACAAACATGAATAGAATAATATCAGATGCTTTAACGTACAAGTGTCTTCTTGTAGCACATTATATATTTTAAAAGAAACTCTGGTAGACAAATACTTTAAAAAAAAAATATGATGCCAGGTAAACCTATTGCTATGGTGAACTCAACTTTGGTCAGGGCACATATAACCATGTGTATACCTGCTGGCTTCTTTGGAAGACCATTTGGACCAACAAATGAAGATGCTTCTGCTGATAGTGGTTTTCCCTTCCTGTCAACTGCCACCAGAGTTCCAGCACCAACTGAGATTATTGCCAGTTTCTTTTTAGTAAATCTCTTCCATTTCTTTCCCACAGGATTCACTTGTGTAACACCAATGCGAGTGAAAACTCCAGAGATAATATTCACACCCCATACAGCACCATCAAGACCAGATTCAATTTGATGTAACTTGCCAGGTACATGTTTCCACTTTGCTCCCTGTGGTTTTCCAGGAGAGACTCCATATCTGAAGAATATATCATTGTTTTTGTTGACACCCCAGTGTCCAAAAGCACCACAAGAGATGTACTTCAGCTTTCCAGGAACTCTGAGCCAACTTTTGCCATAAGGAATTGCAGTTGTGATACCAGTTCTGCAATAGATATCATCTGCTTTATTCACACCACACACGATTCTATTGGGTCCTGAATCAATCTGTTTTAACTTCCCAGGAACTCTTCTCCATGATCTCCCAATTGGATTCCTTGGATCAATGTTGTTGCGGAAGTAAATCAGATTTCCACGGTTTACACCCCACACACCAGCCTGGCCAGCAGAAACATGAATCAACTTGCCGGGTATCTTTTTCCAGTTACCATTATGTCGAGTGTAAATACTATCATCAGGATCAACTCCCCAAGTGTATGGAGTGATACCAGTGTCAGCCTGTGCAATGACACCACCCATCTTTGACCATCTAGCATCTAAAACATTACAGAGTTTGGTATAATAAATTGTGAAATGTTCAGAATGCTACAAAAATAGTATTTTATTCAATTTTGTTGTGTGGTCTGTGTGGACAACAAAGTATCGCTTACATCATGCACACAATTAACTCATCTGCACAGTCTCAATAAACAAGTGCAAAATATACAAACCTTTTGATGGGCGACGTGGTGTGACACCTAAGAAAAAGGATAACATGCATTAAAAAGGCACAATTTCATGTTAAACAATTAATGGGAATGTCATCTATCCATCCTCTGGTAAACCTAGTATTTTATACTGATGAAGTATTGTCTAATATTACTAAAATACTATACCCATCACTCTACTAAGAAAGGCTATATTAATAACACTCTCACAATATTCAAATTGTTCCATTGTTTTAACTCTAGACATAACCCACTATTTTAGAAAATTCTACATTATGGCCTTTTATTAATCCAGAGAGGATGCATAGGAAAACAGCATGATAAAGCTTCACTTTTGTTGATTTAAAAATTGAACAAAATATAGTAACTAGCTTCCAACCACCAATCTTGTGTTTTCTATATACTTCAGACCTACCTCCTGTTGCTGGAATTGTTCGATAAATCCTTCCATTTTTTCCCACACCAAATACTGTGCCAATTCCGATTGTGATACGGCTCCATTTTTTCTTGGTCCTCACTCTCTTCCATCCACGACCCCATGGTGTTTGTTCAGTGATACCAGTGCGAAGATATATATTTCCATGCATAACACCCCAGACTTGGCCATATTGCCCAGCTTCAAGTTGATTCAACTTCCCAGGGATACGTCTCCATTTCAACCCTGCAGGATTGCTTCTCGATACTCCTTCTCTGAAGTATATGTTGTTAGCTTTGTTCACACCCCAGTATCCATATTCACCACAAGAGATGTACTTTAATTTACCAGGAATACGAGCCCATCGTCTGCCTCTTCGAGAGCGATAAGTGATTTGGACCCTGCAGTAGATATCATCATTTTTGTTCACACCACAGACAATTCCTTTTGGTCCTGAATCAATCTGTTTCAATTTGCCAGGTACACGGAACCATCTTCTCTTTCCACGATTGTAAACATTACCATTGCCACTTACACCCCATACACCTGCTTGACCTGATGAAATATGTCTTAATCGTCCTCCAACTTTGTGCCATTTGCCTTTAGCAAGTTTAAAGATCATGTCACGTTCATTGACAGCCCAAACACGCCTAGTAATTCCTGAGTCAATAACTGTGAACCGTTTTCTTGATTTGCTCCATCCTTTGTCTGTAAGGATATGGAAAAATATGAGATTTAGATAACAATTCTTATCTGCTAAAGGTAAGTTAAAACATGATTAAGTCAAGGATACAAGAAACATAGAATTACTTGATAATACATGCAAGTATGAGTTGAATTGTGACTATTCACTTTTAAAGTCACATCATTATTTCAAAGTTAAATTCTGTACAGAAAAATCACAAAAAATGTACTGGTTACTCATATATGGTATTTGTAGAACATGTATGAGAAAATTGACAGTGAAGTTTGTCCATAAACACTTGAAACAAACATTTTTTTCATCTACATACCTTTTGGTTCTGGTCCTGTAAGAGAAAAGAGAAAATTAAAATCTAAAGTTTAATGTTTAATAATTCCAGTGAGAACATTATCCTTGCAGTTTTATTTTTGTCAGTCATTTCGTTTTAAATTTATTAATTTGTGAAAAAGGGGAGTAATGATGTGGAGCATCTAAGTTGGTGCAAATGCAGCTCTTTTATTACTGTATAAATGTATGTTTTTGAATGTTAATTAATATAAACTTAAAAATTAGGTACAAGTTGGACTTCATCTTACTTGGCTTCATTGGAAGTCCTCCTTTTCCAAGCAATTTTTGTACATCAGCAATAACAGGAAGGCCTTTTCGATCAATTCCATACACAAATCCAAGACCAACAGATATGCTTGCAAACGACTTCTTTCCAACACCCATCCAGGAAATACCAGCTGGTTTCTTGCGAGAAATTCCCAATCGAGTATACATTCGACCTGTTGGATCAACACCCCATACAGCACCATCTGGACCAGATTCAATCTGTATCAGTTTGCCTGGAATATGTTGCCATTGGGTGCCCTGCGGCCTATTTCTTCTGACACCTTTTCGGAAATAGATATTTTGTGCTTTGTTCACACCCCAATGTCCAAACTTGCCACAAGAAATGTAAACAAGTTTTCCCGGAACATGAATCCAGCTAGTGCCATATCGCCTTTGCCTAGTGATGCCTTTTCGACAATAAATATTGTTTGCAGAGTTAACACCACAGACATAGCCAAATGGTCCTGAATCAATTTGTTTTAACCCTCCTGGTATACGTTTATTTGAGCTACCAAACTTGTTACGATTACTAATCCCTCGACGGAAGTAAATTCTGCTGCCTCCATAGATGCTCCAGACACCAGACCCGCCAGCAGATACATGACTGCAACCACTTCCAATTCTTTTGCGCTTTCCATTTGCAAGAGCGTAAACATAGTTGTTTGGATCTACCCCCCATGCACTTTTGGTATATCCAGAGTCGATTTGTGACATCACTTTACTAATCACTTGCCATTTACCATCTACAAAAGAATATACAGAAAAATTGAAAAAAATGAATGCAACATTGGATGATTTCATGAACCTTTTTGAAAGTTAAATTGAATTACTCACCCCTCGCTGGTGGCTTTGGCCGGACACCTGTAAGAATAAATCACACACAATACTTTAAACAAATAACGCACTTAAGGCTTACTCATACTGATCAGATGTGTCTGGGTCTGATGTGTATTATTCAAGGCCTATTCCCATGAAAACAGTATGATTTTTGGTAAAGTAAATAAAAAAACCTAAGCTGCTGAAGTTGCATTCATCAAATGACTTAAACGTTTCTTATTTACCTAATGAGTACAAGAGAGCCTTCATGAAACAGGTGTGACTTACCACTAACAGCTAGCAGGTTACTTCGATAAAGTGACTTTCGTGCACTTAAAGCTAATAGGACTCCTTTACCAACTGTGACATGGGACCATGTGTTAGTACTTTTCACTTTTCTCCATCCAGTACCCCATGGCCTACGCTCTGTGATACCAGTTCGAACAAACATTTGCTTCTGTGCATTAACACCAACAACTTGACCATACTGACCCGCATCAATCTGGGTCAGACGTCCAGACACACGCTTCCATCTTATGCCAGCGACTCTACTTCTACTAACACCAATTCTGAAGAAAATTTGACCGCTAGGTGACACACCCCATTGACCATAATCACCACATGAGATGTATTTCAACTTTCCAGGAATGTGTATCCAACGCCTACCCCATGGTGCTCTGGAGTAAATACCACCACGGCAGTATATATTGTGATTGGTATTCACACCACATACAATACCCTTTGGTCCAGAGTCAATCTGTCTCAATCTTCCTGAGATTCTCTTCCAACTTGTCCCTAATCGACGGTTCTTCTTTACCCCACGCCTAAAGTAAATTTGATAGCGATAAATTGTCCACACACCAGCATCACCAGATGTTACATGATTACTGCTTCCCAATCTCCTCCATTTGCCTTTATTGAGGGCATATAAGGAATTTCCCTTTGTACAAGCCCAGGTTGTTTTTCCAGAATCAACTTGTGCAAATGCTTGTTTCATACTCTTCCATACTTTGGCTACAAAAGATTGAAGATATATTTATTATTTAAATCTATTTGATATAAGTAATTGCTTTAGAAATTTGGAAGATAATGCCCTGCAAAATAAGGGTTTGTATCCTAAGAGCTCTGATGCAAATACATAATGCAAATTTCAATCAATTGGAATACATATTTGGATGCCATCATACCAGTTGTTTGCTTCTTAGGGAGGCCTTTTTTCCCAACAAATGCAGAGGCTTCTCCTGAGAAAGGTTTGCCTTTTCTATCAACTCCGTACAACTTCCCAAGACCCACCGAGATACTGACAAGCTTCTTCTTTGCAAAACGCTTCCATCTACTTCCAACTGGATTAGCACGTGAAATTCCTAAACGTGTGTAAACTCCTGTAACAATGTTGACACCCCACACAGCACCATCTGGGCCACTCTCGACTTGGTGTAACTTTCCAGGGACATGTTTCCATCTAGCTCCTTGTGGTTTTCCAGCAGTTACTCCATATCTGTAGTATATGTTGTTAGCCTTATTCACACCCCAGTGGCCAAGAGCACCACAAGAAATGTACTTTAATTTTCCAGGGACTCTAATCCAACCAGTACCACTTCGTTTTGAAGGACTAATCCCCTTCCTGCAGTAGATGTCATCATTCTTGTTCACACCACACACAATGCCTGGGGGTCCAGAATCAATCTGTTTCAATCTACCACCAACATGAAGCCAACGTTTTCCAGTGTAGTAGTAAATTGCATAACCACGATTTGATCCCCACGTTCCAGCAGCACCAGTTGATATGTGGGTTAACAACCCTGGTATCTTTTTCCAGTTACCATTTTTTCTAGTGTAAACATTGTCTTGAGGATCAACACCCCATACAGAGGGTGTAATACCAGAGTCTATTTGAGTGATTACTCCTCTCATATTAGCCCATCGGCCATCTGAAAAAAATATTTCTGTTATTAATGGCCAGAATTCGCCACAAAAATAGAACAAAAAAAAACATTCAAGAGCTTCCTGAGTGTACAACAGTAAAAATAAAACATTCTGCCAAATGTTGTAAAGGCAATTGTCATAACAAAGTCAACTTTTCAGGAAAATATATTCATCAATCAACCTCTTTTTTTAAATCAATAAAATAGCTAAATATTCAATTACTAGAGGTCATATTGATATACTAATTTGAACCTTCATTGTGAACTACATATAGGAACTCAAGTGTATTTCACACTGATTCGTAATACATTAGCTACAGATCCATTTTGAATATACTAAATTTATATATAAGCGTACCTTTCGCTGGTGGGCGAGGGGTTACACCACCAGTTGGAGGTATAGTTCTGTATACCCTTCCATTTCTTGCCACACCATAGACAGTACCAATTCCAATTGTGATACTACGCCATTTTTTCTTGGTCCTCACTCTCTTCCATCCACGACCCCATGGTGTTTGTTCAGTGATGCCAGTACGTACATATATATTTCCACGCATAACACCCCAGACTTGGCCATATTGCCCAGCTTCAAGTTGACTCAACTTCCCAGGGATATGTCTCCATTTTAACCCAGCAGGATTGCTTCTCGATACTCCTTCTCTGAAGTATATGCTGTTAGCTTTGTTCACACCCCAGTATCCATATTCACCACAAGAGATGTACTTTAATTTACCAGGAATACGAGCCCATCGCCTGCCTCTTCGAGAGCGATAAGTGATTTGGACCCTGCAGTAGATATCATCATTTTTGTTCACACCACAGACAATTCCTCTTGGTCCTGAATCAATCTGTTTCAATTTGCCAGGCACACGGAACCATCTTCTCTTTCCACGATTGTAAACATTACCATTGCTACTTACACCCCATACACCTGCTTGACCTGATGAAATGTGCTTTAATCGCCCTCCAACTTTGCGCCATTTGCCCTTAACAAACTTAAAGATTAAACCACGTCTATTGACAGCCCAAACACGCTTGGTGATTCCAGAATCAACAACTGAGAAACGTTTTCTTAGTCTGTTCCATCCTTTGTCTGCAAGGCATACATGAATTAAAATGCATATATTATCTATGTCATCATACAAATAATAGCGCCCCTTTAATGTGCAATATTTGAATAAATTACAATTTTTACTTACCATGCTTGTCTTTGGATGGTTTACGTCCTAAAGTAAGCAAAAGCATAAATGACTTACAAACCTCAGCCTATACTTTTTAGCAGACCACAGAGTCAGGTTGTCATGAAAGTCAACCTAAAATATATGGCCTTTTTTGTCTGCAGTCATTGGGAAAGAATTTGCTCAAAATGTTGGAATTGCATCATAATATTCTTCATAATTCCATAATTCCTTTTATAAGGATAGCCCATCTTATCTATTGGTTGGTTCATTGCCTGTGTTGCCCGTTGACAGTATTTTTAACATAGATTACTGTAAAATACAAAGTTTGCTTAGTAGTCCATGTAGTGTATCCAAGCTACCATATAAACTGCTAGGGTAATGTTGTAAAACCTCTGTGTTTTAATTACCTTTCAAATACAATGTTATCTTTATTACACTAGGTCCTTTGGCCTGAAGATTTCCAACCTAAAAAATTGGAAAATCCATGAAAGCTACTTGAATGTTTAGCAACTAAATGTTTTCCAATTTATGCATTTTAGTTCAATATCACTCTCACAAAGTGTCACAACAATTTTTACCTGTTGCACATATGAAGGTTTTTGTTTGCCAGAATACCCAATCAATGCAAATGAACCACGGTAACTTTCTTTTAAAGGTTTTTTAGCACCAATCCTGAGAAGAGCTGAATAACCAGCAGGAGTCATACGTCGTTTAGCTTCATCTTGTATTGCCACCAGAAATATTTTGCTAAATGAGGTAGACAGTTATACTTTATTTCCACAACTAATTAATTACTCTATTTGCCATTTACAAGATGACTATATCAACCCATTGACTGCCAAACTTATACCAATCTTACATTGCAACCATATGGTTTGACGGTTTGCAAGTTGTGAAATAACCAAAAGTATACCATACCGTGGTTTTCTCCGCAATCTATTTAAGAATTGAATCATTAGTTGAGTGTTTCGTTTATTTGCATGAGTATCGAATGATCTACGCCTGATAACTTTCCCTAGGAATGAAGAAGTCAAAAAATTGTATAAGCTACCATTATTATGAAACTAATGATTTCTCTCAAACATGCCAAACTAAGAAGCATAAAAGACAAATCTAGAATGGTATCTCTAATAGTTTCAAGGACCCATTTTGGGCCGAACTCTCCCCATTTGAGGAACCTGGAATATGTGAGGCATTTCCACATTCTTGGAGTTAGAATTATTTCTGAATCACGCAATCCCATTTAAGACCAAACAAAAGAATACATACCTGTGACAGCATTAAGAACAACAACATTGTATCCTCGGCCATGTTTCGAGTAGTCTTTCCCATTGACTCTAATTATTGCACGTCCACATCCACGGTATCTGCCTTTGTCTTTGCATCCCTCGCTTCTGATGTACAGTCTAACCGGTTTACCTATATCATAAGAGTTTTATTTAGGTTATATTATTAAGTTATTACACTATTAAATCAGTGTGGTTTGGATGAAAGGAAGAATATAAGAGGTAGCTATGTAAATCAGGGGCTTTGTACAACACTGAAGTAGCGAGCCTATTGCCATTGATATATTGCCATTGATGGAAACTAGGGCATCTAAGAATGGTACACTGGTCTCACTGATCTCCCATGTAAATTGGAGGCTGTATTTACTTGTGTACTTCATCAAAATTAATTATTATACCATTCCTTTTCCAAATTTTATTTCAAAAGCACAAAATTTATGTATTGAAAGTTAAAATGATCAAACATACCAGGCTTTTTCGGTAATCCTTTTGGTCCCAGGAACTTGGAAACTTCTCCATACACAGGCCTACCCTTTTTGTTTATAGCAAAAATGACACCCAGGCCAACAGAGACACTTGCCATTGGAGTTCTACCCACACGTCTCCAGGATCCACCAATTGGGTTTCGTTTAGATATACCCCGACGGGTGAAGAGAATTCCATCAATGTTTACACCATATACAGCTCCATTTGGTCCGGACTCAATCTGAGCTAACTTACCAGAAACATGTTTCCATCGTGTACCTTGTGGTCTGGTGGGCTTCACCCCATATCGGAAATATATATTCCAGGCCTTGTTTACACCCCAATGTCCATAGAGACCACAAGAGATATACATCAGTCTACCAGGTACATGAATCCAGTTTCGTCCTGTACGTACTTTAGGGGTTATTCCACGACGACAGTAGATTTGATCACCTCTATTTACACCACAGACAATTCCAAATGGACCAGAATCTATTTGTTTTAACTTTCCTCCAATGTGTTTCCACATAGATCCTCTCTTACGCTTTGCAGTGACACCCCTACGGAAGTAAATATTGTTTCCCCTATTTACACCCCAGACTCCAGATTCACCTGAAGAGATGTGGATCAATTTTCCAGGAACTTTTCGAACTTTGCCATTATCAATTGAGTATATAACATCATTTCCATCCACACCCCAAGGGGTAACTGTAATTCCAGAATCAATTTGCGTCATCTTTCGACCAGGGACAACTCGCCATCTTTGATCTATAAATAGTATGTATACCAACAATTAATTAATATGAAAGAGTTTCAAGACTACCAATGGAAGACTCTGACTTCCCCCACTTAGGTATGCCAATGTATCTTAATAACCCTGCTCAATCTTAAAGATACGAATGCAGAATGAACTTCAGAATGATTCTCATTTTTAAAAGGGTAAAAAGATAAAAGAAATAACAAACCTCGTTTAGGAATTTTAGGAGCAATGCCTAAAGAAAAATATTAAAAAATATTAACAATAAATCTTTTTCATAAATGTCTGCTATCTTAGCAATTATTTTCCCTTTTTACCTGCAATAGCAGTCAAGGTACTTCTGTATGCAGCCTTGAATGTGTCTAAAGCGAACATCTTTCTGCCAATAGAAACATGTGACCAGCGTTTTACACCAGGGATCAACTTCCAACCTCTACCTTGAGGTTGTCGTTGTGTAATCCCGGTTCTAACATACATTTGCCCTCGTCTGTTTATACCAACCACCTGACCATTAAGACCACTTTCTATCTGGTTCAGTAATCCTGGTATTCTCATCCAACGCCAACCTTGGGGCCGACTTCTGCTTACACCTTGTCTAAAGAAGATATGATTAGCTTTGTTTACACCCCAGTGTCCATATGAACCACAAGAGATATATTTAAGTTTGCCAGGAACATTTATCCAACGTCTTCCATATGGTATACTTCTTGTAATCTGAAGGCGACAATAGATGTTGTTTGCACTGTTTACACCACAAACAATTCCTCTTGGTCCTGAATCTATTTGTTTCAGTCCACCTGGAACTCTCTTCCATTTTATGCCCAGTGGACGTCTTCTTCCCTTGACTCGATACCAAATACTGCTTCCACTGATACCCCAGACACCAGAAGGTCCCGCTGACACATGATTTAGTCTACCTGACACTCTCTTCCATTTGCCACGGAAAAGTGAGTAGATAACTTTTCCTGCATCAACAGCCCATGTGGAGTAAGTTGTGTCAATCTGTTTAAATACACCAGGCAACCTTGCCCATTTGCTTCCTAAAAATGAAATATAGGTAAAATCAAAGCTACATGGCTTGTCATTATCCTGAATATCTTACAAAAATAATGTAAAATTGAAATAGCCACCTCCATTAGCTGGTGAGATTGAACATGAATTTCATTGTTAAAAGGTGGAGGATTTCTTTCTTCTACTAGGGGTGCTAATTTCTGCCAAGGAGAACATATTTCAATGCCCTATAACAAAGTATGCCTTACCTGTTGGCCGTTTAGGTAGGCCATTCTTTCCAACAAATGTCGATGCCTCTCCAGAGAAAGGTCTACCCTTTTTATCCACACCATACAGCTTACCAAGACCAACTGATATACTGACAAGCCTCTTCTTACCAAAGCGCTTCCATCTTTTTCCAACTGGATTGAAACGAGAGATACCCAAGCGGGTGTAAATTCCTGTTATAATGTTAACTCCCCATACAGCACCATTTGGACCAGTCTCGATTTGGTGTAACTTTCCAGGGACATGTTTCCATTTTGTTCCCTGAGGTCTTCCAGCAATGACACCATACCTGAAGTATACATTGTTAGCTTTATTCACACCCCAGTGTCCAAGAGCACCACAGGAAATGTACTTAAGTTTTCCAGGTACTCTAATCCATCCAGAACCACTAGATCTGGTTGGACTTATTCCTTTCCTGCAGTAGATATCATTATTTTTGTTCACACCACACACAATGCCTGGGGGTCCAGAATCAATTTGTTTCAATCTTCCACCAACATGAAGCCAACGTTTTCCAGTGTAGTAGTAAATTGCATAACCTCGATTTGACCCCCATGTTCCAGCAGCACCTGTTGATATGTGAATCAACGATCCTGAAATCTTTTTCCAGTTGCCATTTTTTCGAGTGTAAATATTGTCTTGGGGGTCAATGCCCCATACAGAAGGTGTCATTCCAGAATCCATTTGAGTGATTACACCTCCCATTTTTGACCACCGGCCATCTAAAGGGAAAGAAAAAGGGTGGACATGCTGCAATGATTACCTTACAACTAGCTGTAGCAGAGTGGCTTAACACTTAAAAAAAAGGAAATAAAAAATGTAATATGTAAATGCACAAAGTTAATTACCTTTAGCTGGTGGCCGAGATGTAACACCTTAAAACAAAGAAGAATTTATCACTGGAATTGTTGTTATTTACAGCCTAACATATTGTGTGCTGATGCAATTGCTATGGATGAAAATCCTCAACACACAAAAATACTCAAATTGCATTTAAAAGAGATATATAAAACTACAAACCAATGACACAAAATGCAATTGTTGTGCATATAATTGTTACAATTTAATTGTTGTGACTTAAACCTAAATCAATTCCTTGATTCTAATTACCTCCAGTTGTAGGAACAGTTCTATAGACCCATCCATTTCTTGCTACTCCATAAACAGCACCATATCCAATTGTTATACGATGCCATGACTTCTTTGTTTTCACTCTTTTCCAGCCAAGACCCCATGGTGTTTGTTCTGTGACACCAGTACGAACATATACTACTCCATTTCTATTTACACCCCACACCTGACCATATCGTCCAGCCTCAAGTTGTCTCAACTTTCCGGGAATATGCCGCCATTTTATTCCTGAAGGGTTGCTCCTTGACACCCCTTCTCTGAAATATATATTGTTGGCTTTGTTCACCCCCCAGTGACCATATTCACCACATGAAATGTACTTCAGTTTACCAGGAATGTGAACCCATCTTTTTCCTCGTTTGAGACGTGATGAGATTTGCATTCTGCAATATATGTTATCCCCTTTGCTCACACCACAAACAATTCCTCTTGGTCCTGAATCAATCTGTTTCAATCTACCAGACACATAATACCATCTTTTCCTTTCACGGAAGTAGATTTTTCTATTACGGTTCACACCCCAAACACCAGCTTGACCTGAAGAGATGTGTCGAAGTCGACCTCCAACTTTACGCCATTTGCCCCTTACAAGTTTGAAAATGAGACCACGTTTGTTGACTGCCCAAACATGCCTTGTCATCCCAGAATCAATACGTGTGAAGCGCTTTCGGATTTTACTCCATGCTGGGTCTGTTGAGAGAAAAAAATCATCAGTTCTATATCAAAAGACCTTCCCCAGTTTATGGTTTGAAAGCAATAAATTCATGCATGATAATACTAATCAATAAAAGGGTACCTCTTGTTTTTCCTGGACGTTTTGCTAAAGTAAAAAAATTATCAGTAACACAAAAAACAAATTAAAACTATTATGATCATTTATGATCATATACAGAAAGTTCAACTTCAGTCTTCAAATACCTTTAAAGGCTAGTGCTGTTCTAATAACGCTTGGTCCTTTACGACGACGTTTTGCAACCTGTGAAAAGAATCACAAAGCTCCTCAGTAAAAATTATAATTGTTCGCAATGCTTTAATTTAAGCTACCATATCCTACCTGAGGATAGTTTATGGATTGATGTAATGTAATAACAGTCATTTTTACCTGTCGAACAAATGATGGCCGCCCTGGTCCAGTGTATCCAACAAGAGCAAATGATCCCCGGAAAGCTGCATTTAGTGGATTCCGTGCTCCAATTCTACGTAAAGCACTGTAAGCATTTCCCCTCATTTTTCTTTGACCTTCATCTTGAATTGCAACCAGTACAATAAGACTATGAAAAAATTGACAGTTTTGATTAGTTAGAAGAAACACAATAACACTTGAGAGAAGCCAGGTAACAAATACCATAGATTTTGGAATTTTGTAATATAAGATGAAGCAATTCCAGATGTATAACTAGTTCCATAGACAGCTATTTTATAAATAAGCAATGTTTTATTTCTTAGAATCTCTTACACTATAAAATATATATAAATAGATTCTTAGCAAATATGGGGACCTATGGCCATTCTGGTCAACTCCATCTTCTGCATGAAATTTATGACTACTCACCCAGGTTGCTTGCGTAGCCTGTTTATGAATTGAACCATTCTTTTTACGTTACTGTGGTGTGCATGGGTGTCGAAAGACACACGTCGAATTACCTTTCCTGTTGGTGAAGATTAATGGAGTGTTCTACTTAATTGTTCATTTTTTTAATGTTCATTAATTATTGTGTATCTAATTAAATTGACTGCAGCTATTCATCTGTCTTATCGCATTATAAGAGCTGTGAAACAAACTGTTATAAAAACATGAAAGTTTCTCTAAAAAGGGCACACAATACCTGTCGATCCAGTCAGGACAACAAAATTGTATCCTCTTCGGTGTGGAGAAATATCTCTGCCATTCAGTTTTATATAAGCACGACCACACCCAGGTGCTCGGCCCTTGTCATCACATCCTTCACTTCTAATCACAACAGTCTTGCGTTTGACTGAAAGTTTTTAAGATATTATATAAGCCATACTGCAAAATAAACTAACGTTCTAATAAAGCTGCAACTGAAAAGAAATAAAAAACTAAAGTTTTCCTTTTGGTATAAAATGTGTTGTGTTTTTAGGCAAGACAATGTCTACACAGCAAAACATTCAAAATTGCATACCTTTAGGTTTTGGCTTTGGTTTTCCTAGAACAGAATAAATGAAGAATTAGTTGATAAAATATTTATCAGTATAAAGAATTGCATAAACACATTGGTATTTTTACAATACAGAGCTTCTCAATTATGTTAATATAAGTTGCACAAATTACTAGTGACAGAAGTTATATGTAGAGAAATGTACATACGTCCTGCTAATGGTATAGCAGTTCTAATGATGCTTGGTCCTTTGAATCGACGCTTGGCAACCTAAAACAAAGAATTTAATGTTTGTTGAAAATCAGGAAAAAACACAACATGTTTAGAGCAAGACCCAATTATAATTTCAAGTCATTTATCTTTAAGCATGATAGGCATTGTTGAGCCTTATGTCAAGTTATTTTTTTTAATGTTTAGGCCTTTCCTCAATAAAAATCATATTTTTAATCCTGTGTGATCTGTAGTGGATGAAATTTTATGTTTCAACTTACTTGTTTAACCCAAAATGGACGCCCAGGCCCAGTTGTTCCAACCAATGCATAAGAGCCACGGAAAGATCTATAAAATGGATTTCGGCCACCAACAAGGCGTAATGCCTTGTAAGCTGCTGTATACATCTTTCGGCTGGCTTCATCTTGTACAGCAATTAGGAAAATTCGACTGAAATTTAATCAAAAAATTTTCTAGAAACATCAAAGCAACAGAGGTATACATAAAAGTTGCTGCAGCCTGTTGCTGCATAAAACGTTTTCATTGTAATTCAGGATATGCTTTTTGTATTTGACGTTACACAACTACAGGAAAAGAATTGTATAACTTACTATTTTATCTTCTTCATTCTTTTCAAAAATCTAATCATTCTGTTCACATTGGCACGTGCACCGTGAGTATCAAAGGACTTCCGTCTAACAACTTTACCAGTAAATGAATTTAGTACAACAATATTGTATCCTCGTTTATGTCTGGAGTAGTCCCTGCCATTGACTTTGATGTAAGCACGGCCACATCCACGATATTTTCCACGATCATTACAACCTTCACTTCTTATAAATATCTTTGCAACTTTGCCTGGTCTTGGCTTTATTGGTTTAGGCCCTGGGAGGAATGTAGAGGAATATTGTTATTACAGACAATGGTTTTAAAAATGTATATAAATATAAAATCACAGAAAATTGAGAGAAATTTCATAATTTCTGAAATTATTTTTTCAAAACATGTAAAAGCTGAGGAGAATAGAGGTGTACAGCAGACCAGATAATTTAGCAAAAACATACCAGTTTTCTTTGGAATACCATGTGGGCCTAGGAACTTTTTCACATCTCCTAAGAAAGGACGACCTTTACGTCCAATGCCATATAGAACACCACGCCCAACTGAAATACTGCTAAGTTTCTTTTTGCCAACAATCTTCCATCTTTTGCCTACAGGATTTCTTTGAGAGATACCCAATCTAGTGTACACTGTGCCAAATTGGGTCACACCAAATACTGCACCATTTGGTCCAGATTCAATCTGCGCTAATTTTCCAGGAACTCTCCTCCACTTAACACCTTGTGGTCTACGTCGGTTCACACCATGTCTGAAGTAGATATTATGATTTTTGTTGACACCCCAATGTCCATATAATCCACATGATATGTAGATCAGGCTACCAGGAACCCTCTTCCAGCTTTTACCATATGGACGTCGCTTAGTGATACCAGTGCGACACCATATTGAAAATTTATGTGTCACACCACAGACTATGCCATAAGGACCAGAATCAATTTGACTTAAACTTCCACCCACTCTTTTCCAGGACCTACCACTTGGTCTTTTGGAGGTCACACCACGACGGAACCAAATACTTCGGCTCCTTGCGCAACCAAATACACCAGAAGCCCCAGACGATACATGCACCAATCTTCCACCAACTCTTCTCAATTTTCCTTTTGTGTATAAATAGATAAAGTCATTTGGATTAACACCCCATGTATAACCAGTTATGCCTGAGTCAATTTGTGACAATATGGAGCGTAAAGGTTGCCATCTTCCATCTGAAATGAAAATAACACAATGACTAAGTAGAGTTCCAAATAAATCAGGAAGACAACAGGATTGAAGGAATTTGAACTTGAAGTGTTAAATCACATACCTTTAGCAGGTGGTTTAGGGACCGCACCTACAGCAGAAGAAAAATAAGGTAATGTATAAGTACATATATCAACAATGGTGCCATTATATGAAAAATGCCGATTATTTTTTACCAATTCATAAAACACAAACTTTTCTCACTTTCAAAATATTATCAGGATATCAAATATGCATTATTGCCATTTAATTGAATATGAATGGTTTCATGTTATTTAATTGAATATGAATGGTTTCATGTAATGGTTTCAGAGCCGTATTTTCTGTACTGCATACCCTACATGTTGAGGATATGGAATAATTGTAGTGATTAACTTAATCATTACATGGGACAATAGTGTACATGGAACGTACCTCCTATAGCTAACAGGTTGGCCCTATAAGCAACCCTAGCAGTATCGAGAGTGTAAACGGTACCATATCCAATTGAGACCTGTGCCCACAACTTCACAGATGGAAGATGTTTCCATCTTAAACCATATGGTCTATTCTCTGTCACACCCAAACGCATATACATTTTTCCTTGTTTGTTCACACCATATACTTGGCCATACTGTCCGGCAGAGATCTGAGCCAGGTTACCAGGTATTTTCTTCCAGTTATACCCTTGAGGTCTGCTTCTTGTTACACCTAATCTAAAGTAGATCTGACCAGCTGGATTCAATGTCCAGTAACCATACTCGCCAATAGAGATGTATGTGAATGGCCGGGAAACATATATCCATCTTCTACCATATGGTGCATGACGACAAATTTGGAGCCGACAAAAAACTTTGTTTAATCTACTAACGCCACACACAAGTCCTTTTGGCCCAGAGTCAATTTGCTTGAGTTTGCCACCAACTCTCTTCCAACGTGTACCAAATGGCCTTCTTTTTGTCACACCAAGTCGATAGTAGATTCTATTCAATGTTGCAATTCCCCAAACACCTGCTTTACCAGACACAATTGAATATAATCGACCAGATATCTTCTTCCATTTCTTTCCAGAAAGACCATAAATATACCTTGGATTGCGGATTGCCCAAGTTCTGACACCAGTGTCTATTTGGCTGAAAACTTCTTGTGTTTTTGTCCACTTTGAACCTAAACAAACAAAAAAATGACAATATAATTATTTTTAACAGTTAATGTAAGTCAGTACAATAAAAACTACAGACATATTTATAACACTAAACATGTCAAAATGAAACTGACATGTGCAATATCATCTGGGCAGTAGAATAACAACTCAACTTCGACCATGTGATATACATAAATATTTAACATTTTATGTATCACACACCTTTTGTTTTCTTAGGTAAAGCTTTAGGGCCAGCAAGTACAGATACAACTGTGGAGAATGGCCTAGACTTTCGGTCAACTCCGTATAATGAACCAAGTCCAACTGAGATGCTGACTAGCTTTTTCTTTTTGAACCCTCTCCATCTTGTTCCAATAGGATTGCTTTTGGTTATACCAAGACGAGTATAAACACCTGTGTAAAGGTTTACACCCCATACAGCTCCATCAGGACCAGACTCAATTTGATGTAGTCGGCCAGGTACACGTTTCCACCTTGTCCCCTGTGGCCTGCCTGGATTAACCCCATATCTGTAGTATACATGGTTGTTTTTGTTTACACCCCAGTGTCCAAGTGCACCACATGATATGTACTTGAGTCTTCCAGGAACCTTGGTCCAACTACTACCAAATTTGTTTACAGGTGAAATACGTGTTCTGCAGTAGATATAATCATTCTTGTTCACTCCACAAACAATTCCAGGTGGCCCTGAATCTATCTGTTTTAATCCACCAGGAATTCGCTTCCACATTCTGCCTTTAATATTTTTACCACCAACTCCCAAGCGGAAATAGATTCGGTTATTTCGGGCAACACCCCAGACACCAGCTCCTCCGGAGGAAATATGAGTCAATCTTCCACCAACTTTTTGCCATTTTCCGTTCATTCGCACCCATATTAAATCACTTGGGTCCACACCCCAAATATTGGGGGTCATTCCAGTATCAATTTGGGAAAGCACTCTACCAAAGGCCGTCCATTTTGGATCTACAAAATGTCGAAATGATTTATTAATCCACCTATCACTACTTCAGAAACAAAATATTGAGAATGAGTAAAGTAGCAAGTGAAACTATGATTATATAGAGAGAGAGAATCTTTAGATACCTCGAGGTTGTGGTCTTGGAGTTACCCCTAAAAATCAAATGTAATTTTATTGTTAACACATAGCTGTACAAACAAAGAGCTATATGGTTTACTTATTTGCTTAGTCTGGTAATGGTTGATATGGTATGGGGTATGGGTGCAATTGTGCAATTTTTTGTAAAAAATTCAAACAGGACAAATTTACCTCCAGTAGCTGGAGACGTTCTATATGCATGTCCATTTGAAGCGACACTAAATACAGCACCAATTCCAATAGTTACATGTCGCCATGCCTTGCGAGTCTTCACCCTCTTCCATCCAATGCCCCATGGTTTAGATGCAGTAACACGAGTACGAACATAAATCTTTCCCCCAGGGCTGAGACCCCAAACTTGACCATATTTCCCTGCCTCCAATTGACGTAACCTTCCTGCCACTCTTCGCCATTTAATTCCCAAAAGATTGCTTCGTGAAACACCTTCTCTGAAGTAAATGTAGTTGTTGCGGTTCACACCCCAGTATCCATATTCACCACAAGAGATGTACTTCAGTTTACCAGGAATGTGAATCCATCCTCTCCCTCGTCTATAGTGTTGACTGATTTGACTCCTGCAGTATATGTTATTTTGTTTGTTCACCCCACAGACAACACCTTTCGGTCCAGAATCAATCTGTATGAGTTTACCAGGCACACGTTTCCAATATCTACCCTTAGGCTTTCTTGCTGTGACAGACATACGGAAGTATATACTACCACTGCCAGTGGTGCCCCAAACTCCAGCCTGGCCAGATGAAATATGCTTTAGTCCTCCAGAAATTCTTTGCCATTTTCCTCTTATATAGGTAAAAATTTGCCTTCGCTTGTTTACAGCCCATGCCCTGCTTGTCATGCCAGAATCAACCACTGTGAAACGTTGTTTCATTTGTGCCCAGTTTTTGTCTACAGGTTCAAATTTAACAATGGTTTAGTGTAATGGTTTCATTTCACTGCAATGTAACTACTTTTTATCTTACTCTCTTCCATACAAACTATTCCAAAAATTGATAAAAGCAAAACAAAAACTTTTATATAGGCTATAGCTTTAACAAATCGTATACATGTACAGTACCTGGGGGTGGTCCAACACGTTTTTCTTAAAAGAAGAAAAATAATTTTAATTAAAAATATTGAAAGAGTATTTATCAAAGATTTTAATTAAACGTGTTTAAATCAGATTTCTATACTAATGACAATGACATGGATTTCAATCAGTTCTTTTAATAAGTAAAAAACATCTCTTACTGAGTCTAATGGCTACATTAATGATGCTAGGCCCTTTGTATCTTCGATTCCCAACCTATACAAACAAAATGTGTGATTTAGAATATAGAATGTTTTATCCAATATAAAGCTCAAAGGTATTCAAAGGTATTTATTGCATGGTACATTTTTCTTACCTGCTTGACAAATCTTGGTCTACCCGGTCCAGTATAACCAATCAGGGCAAATGATCCACGGAAATCTGCATTGAAAGGTTTGCGTGCTCCAATTTTACGCAGGGCACTATAGGCAGCAGTGGTCATTTTGTTTTTTCCCTCATCTTGTATGGCAACAAGAATAATTTTGCTAAAAATATACCATTTAGACCATTATGTTATGTTGCATACCACTGTCTAACTCTTGGACTCAAACTATATATACATGTTTTATACTTCACCTGCATCACAAAACCCCCATTTCTACTGGTTTGTTTCTACTGTATGGACTGAATGACTACACTAAATTAATATCTTACTTTGGAATTTTCTTTATTCTGTTCAAAAATCGAACCATTGTATTGACATGTGACGGTTTACCATGTGTATCAAATGAACGACGTCTGATAATTTTGCCTAAGAAGAACAAAGAACTGAGTAAGTTCAAGCTACTAGAAACAATTCAAAACAAAAAAAAACATACAAACTGTACCTAAGAAACAATGTCTAACCTGTATCAGCTCGAAGTACAACAATGTTATATCCTCTTTGACGCCGTGAGTAGTCTTTTCCATTCACTTTAATATTGGCTATACCACAATGACCTCTCTTGCCTCTGTCATTACAGCCCTCACTCCGTATGGAGATCATCATCACTTTGGCTGCAAATAGAAATGTATAAGATTTGTTATGGATGGTTTGCATGCTAGACATAGCAAAAGTGGTGCAGAAGGCCTTTAAAATTATTGGACTATTATCATATATTTAGGTAAAAAAATGTTGAAAGATTTAGGTGAAAGTAAACATATAATATTTGAAATCATACCTGGTCTAGGCCTTGGTTTTGCTGAAAGGAGAACAAAGAAAACATTTTAATAAAAATAAAATCTCTAATTTACAAACAAAAGTATGACCAACAATTTAACGTGTAAGCTTAGGTAGGTCTAAGATAACATGATTTACCTCTCATAGCAAAGGCTGCATTAATAACACTTGGTCCCCGCCTGCGCTTGTTAGCTTTCTATAAAATTTTGATTATAAAAATGACTCATCAGTTTGTACCCAATATAAATTGCAAAAACCAGTCTTTCCGATAGAAGCACGTAAACCAACCTAATGGCAAGTTTACTATTACCTGTTGGATAAAAGGTGGTTTACCAGGACCAGTATAGCCAAGCAGTGCATATGATCCTCGAAAGTCTGCTCTGAATGGACTCTTTGCACCGACTCTTTTTAATGCATTATATGCAACACCTGTCATACTCTTTTTCCCTTCATCTTGTATTGCAACTAAGATAATTTTACTACAAAAATGAATAATTTTAAGATAAGATCATAAGTAGGACATTTCCAATTAGTTTTCATATTAGAAGGTTTCCAATTAGTTTTCACATTAGAAGGTTACCAATTACTTGATCGAATATGCAATTGCTTGTTTGAACTCATCCCTAAAAATAGATCTGTTTAGAAAGGTTTCTTTTTATCTTACTTCTTTTTTCCTTTCATTCTGTTCAAAAATCTGGCCATTCTTTTAGCATTTCCCCGATTTGCATGAGTATCAAAAGACCGACGTCTGATAGGTTTGCCTAGTGTAGTGTAAAGAAGAACTTTTCAAGATAATTTAAAGAGTAATGACTGACACTAGAAGCTTGCAATGGACTAGATGGTCTGTAAGAAGAAAAAAGTATCTATTAAAAGATAGCTAATTTCCTCAGGCAGAAATCAAACATATGCTTCTAGAATGTTTGAGCAGTGTATGAAATGCAGTGCACAATCACATAACTCATAGTAAAAAGCATTGGTTAATAGAAAAAAAACAACAATTTCACATTCCAATGTTTACACTCATACCTCTGCTGTTCAAGACAACAATATTGTATCCACGGCCATGTCTGGAATAATCCTTTCCATTCACTTTAATGTAAGCACGTCCGCATCCTTTGGCTCGTCTTCTGTCCTCACAACCTTCACTGCGGATATAGATGGACAAAACATTCCCTAAAAATAATGTAAAGAAATATGTCAGCAATAAATGCAACTTGTTCTATGTTTACCTTCAATATCACCAGAATGCAGAAATGCTTATTCATGTGTTACACAATTATAAAATATTAGAAAATGTGCATGAAACTCCTATCAAATGTTATCACCATTCTTCAAGTGTTTAATATTCATTTTATAGCATCCACATACCTGGTTTTATTGGTTCTGAAAGATAAGAAGAATAAAAATGATTACAATATAGTAAATAGAAAATGTGCTTTGACCATATCAAGTATAAAACTTCGCAAATTTTTAATACAACAAAGCTACAATCTATTTATTTTAAACTTCTAAAAGATAACAAATGTCTGGTTGGACATACTTGGCTTCTTTGGCAAACCATTCCGTCCAAGGAACTTAGCAACATCACTAATATATGGCTTTCCTACATGATCTATTCCAAAGAGGTATCCAAGTCCTACAGAAATTGTTGCCAGGTGCTTTCTGCCAATAGGTTTCCATGATGATCCAATAGGATTACCACGGGAAATGCCCAGGCGAGTCAAAACTCTTCCATCTAAGTTTACACCCCAAACTGCACCATTAGCTCCAGATTCAATGTTCACCAAGTAACCAGGAATATGCTTCCACCGTTGTCCCTGGGGCTTGCCAAACTTCACACCATATCTGAAGTATATTCTGAAGTTTTTATTAATACCCCAATGCCCATAGAGACCACAAGAAATATATGTAAGTTTTCCAGGGACATGAATCCATCCAATTCCCATGGGACGTCTTTGTGTAATACCTCGCCGGCAGTATATGTTATTGCCTTGATTTACACCACAGACAATTCCAAATGGTCCTGAGTCAATCTGTTTCAGTCTACCACCAATTCTGGCCCAACTTGTCCCTGATACTCTCTTGGGTGTAATTCCTCTGCGCATGTAGATGCTATTTCTGCGATTTACACCCCAAACACCACCTTCTCCTGGAGAAACATGTGCCAAATGTCCACGAACTTTTTTAATTTTCCCACTTACAAATGCATACACACCATCATTGAAGTCAACACCCCATGGTGTATTGCTAATTCCAGAATCCAACTGGGATAATGGTTTACCAACTCGTTGCCACCTGCCATCTAAACAAAAGTGTAATAATATAAGCCATTGTTGTAAAAAATCATGCATCAATTAGTTTCAGGCATTAGGATAAATAGAAACTTACCTCGAGGGGAAGGCTTTGGCTTGACTCCTAAAACAAAAAATGTTGAAAATAACTACTCTAAAAAAGTAATTCACCTCTGAAGCTCAACAAACAAGGTTTTCATGTGTTGTTTCCAACATTGAGTACATATTCTAACTTGCATATCATTTCTAAAGCTGCAGTTGTAGATATGAGATAAGCATATACACACATTTGCATTGTACACATTATAAGCGTCTTACCACTGATGACAAGGGGATTTGCTCTGAATAGAGTCTTTGATGGATCCAGAGAGTAAACAACACCGATTCCAATAGAGACATGACTCCACACCTTTGTGGAAATTCTCTTCCAACTAGTTCCATGCCGTCGTTTCTCAGTGACACCAGTCCTCACATACATTTGCCGAGATTTGGCCAAACCATACACCTGGCCAAATTTACCAGCCTCAATTTGAATAAGATTTCCTCCAACTCTTCGCCATTTATAACCAACTGGGTTGCTTCTGCTCATTCCCGCTCTGAAGTAGATTTGACCTGTCTTGGTCACTCCCCACATACCATACTCGCCAATAGAGAGATACTTAACTGCAGCACCACCTACCATAACCCATCTTCTACCATATGGCAGTCTTTGTGAAATACCCTGACGACAATATACCTTACTACCAGTGCTACCACAAACAATTCCTCTGGGCCCAGAATCTATTTGCCGCAATGAGCCACCCACTCGTTTCCACCTCAAGCCAAGTGGTCGTTGCCTGGAGACACCAACTCGGATATATATATTGCCTCTTCTTTTGCCTGAGAATGCAATACCCCATACACCAGATTGGCCAGTTGAAACATGGTCTAGCCTACCAGCTATTTTTCTCCAGTTTCCACGATAAAGTCTATAGATCAATCTTGAAGCATCAACTGCCCACACAGATCTTGTTATACCAGAGTCAACCTGTTTGAAACGTCTTCGCATGTTTGTCCATTTACCTTTGCCTAAAATTAAAAAGCAACAAAAACAGTTTTGGGGTAAATAGAGATTATCATTGGACATCTTTATTATCTAGAACAATTGAAAATATTGCCTACCTGAAGGTTGTCTGGGTAGGCCTTTCCGTCCCACTAATGCACGAGCTGGTGTTGAATATGGTCTACCATTTCTGTCCACTCCAAAGAGAACACCAAGGCCAACTGATATACTAACCAGTTTTTTCTTCTTGAAACCCTTCCATCTTTTTCCAATTGGATTTCGTCGACTTACGCCAAGACGGGTGTAAACTCCAGTGAAGATGTTCACACCCCAGACAGCACCATCTGGACCAGATTCAACTTGATGTAACTTACCAGGTACATGCTTCCACTTTGTTCCCTGTGGTTTTCCAGGCAAAACACCATACCTAAAGAATATGTCATTATTTTTGTTCACACCCCAGTGTCCAAGTGCACCACATGAGATGTACTTCAGTTTTCCTGGAACTCTAGCCCACTTAGTGCCATACAAACGTGCAGATGAGATTCCAAGTCGGCAGTAAATATTATCACCATTATTCACCCCACAGACAATTCCACGGTTCCCAGAATCAATCTGCTTCAGACTACCAGAAACCCTCTTCCATCCTGTACTGGCATAGTAGTAGATCTGTAAACTGCTGCTTATTCCCCATGTCCCACTGCCACCAGTGGTTACATGTTTTAATCTTCCATTCACTTTTCTCCATTTACCATTTTTGCGGGTGTAAACATTGTTACTAGGATCAGTTCCCCAGACCTGTGAGGTTATACCTCCATCTATCTGTGAAAACAGACGGCCAATCTTAGACCATCTTGGATCTACAAAAAGAAATAGAGGAGAATGAAATGCCAATAAAGCAACTTTTACTCACTTTCTTTTTTAAGGCATATTAACAAATGATTATAAAAATATGTGTTATAGAAATGAATCAGTAAAGCTAAGTACACTGACCTTTTGATGGTGGACGAGGAGTGACACCTGGAAGGAACATATTATAGTATATTAACAAAAAGTTGTTTTACTACTATATCATTACGCTAGCATCAAAAAATGTGTGGTAAACATGATAAAAATTATAGCACTATGGAAGCCTTGTAAGGAATCTCTATTCCTACCTCCAGTTGTTGGCATTGTCCTATACACATATCCATTTTTACCAATTCCAAACACTGACCCAATTCCAATGGTTATATGTTTCCATTTCTTTTTTGTTCTCACCAGTTTCCAACGGCGACCCCACGGAACATTCTCAGAAACACCTTGACGAACATAGACATGCCCACGGCGATTGACTCCCCACACCTGACCGAATCGCCCAGCTTCAATCTGTGTCAATTTTCCAGGAATCCGTCTCCATCTGGACCCACGTAGATTACTTCTGGTGACACCTTCTCGGAAATATATATTGTTCTGCTGGTTGACGCCCCAATACCCATAATCGCCACATGAAATATACTTCAGTTTTCCAGAGACACGGGTCCAGCCTTTTCCAGTGTGTCTCAAGCGTGTTATTTGAGTTCTACAGTAAATGGTTTGTGAGGTGGTAACTCCGCAAACAACTCCTCTCGGTCCAGAATCAATTTGCCTCAATCTTCCAGAAATCTGAATCCAACGCCTGCCTCTACGGTTTCTGTTGTTAGTGCCTTGTCTGTAATAAATCTTATTGTTATTTGACGTTCCCCAGACACCTGCACGGCCTGATGATATGTGTTTTAATCTGCCACCAACATTTTGCCAACGTCCTTTGTAGAAGACGAAAATTTGCTGCTTTCGGTTGATTGCCCAAATTGATGTTGTTATCCCAGAATCAACAACAGTGAAAATTCGCCGCATCTTTTTCCATGCTGGATCTAACATGAAAATTTTGAGGTTTGCTTTCTAATGTAGTGAACATTCATTAAATATTAATTGGATATGCACTTCAGTAGCAGAATTTTACAGGTTGGCAGACAATTCAAACATCCTAATATTAATAATCATCACAAAGAACCCCCAAAATGTATATAAAATGTATATAACCAATACTGCAAAGATATCTGTTTATGATCTGATGATCATATTTTTGTTTCTCACCTCTTGGTATTTTCGGTTTGGGTCTGGGTCTGGGTCGAGGTCTTGGGCGAGGTCTTGGGCGAGGTCTTCGTCTAGTCCTCTTGGCTATAAAAAATATGATATCATAAGAAGATAAAGGCACACATGATTGTGATATGATTTAATCCATTTATCAATATTACTAAATACTTGTTCGACCTGCTAAACATGTTTTTTATGGAAAAATGCCAACAATTTGCGGAAGTTTACACAGAACCCACTTTATTTAACATGTTGGCTGGAATGAGTAACTGGCTTGCAACAGTTTACCCTTAAGTCTAAAATATCCTGGGCATTTATTGGGCAAATATTGAGGGCATTTATTCACATGATTTTGTAAAGTTATATTGAAGTTTATACCTTGATTTATAATAAATAGTTACAATAAACTTACCACAAAGGTAATTATCATGCCATGTATGTGGATCAGCAGGTTCTCTCCACTGTATACAGGCCATTCCACGAATCTTACCAGCAAAAGACCACTTGAATCGCAAGGGTGAACGGTGGGGCACACAGAGATAATTATCTTTCCATGTATGTGGGTCTGCAGGTTCAATGATCCGTGTGCATCTCATGCCACGAATTGGGCCTGCAAAACTCCATCTCATTCTTGGGTTACTCTTTGTTCGGCGTGAACAGAAGTAGTTGTCATTCCATGTGTGGCGGTCTGCAGGTTCTCTGATCTGAACACACCTGTAGCCACGTTTACGCCCTGCATTACTCCAGCGGAAATCACGAGGCCATCTTGGAAAACGACGTCGAGCTAGTTAAAAAAATATAGTTAACATGAACTAACATGAAAAAGTAGAACTTTTTGTAACACAGCTATAAAACATCAGCTTTAAGTGACAATAATAACTAAGAGAATAACAGCATATAAATTGAAATAGAGGGAAACAGCAGAATAAAAAATAGTAGAGGCAGTTAGGCAATGAGAAAATAAAATAGTGAGAAATTGTTGTTATTATCACTCATAGCTTTTCCATACCGGGCAGGGAAGGTCTTGGCCTAGGTCTTGGTCTTGGTCTTGGCCTGGGTCTTGGCCTGGGTCGAACTTGTGGTCTCACTAAATGAGGTAATTTGAATTAGAATATTTAGAGATTAATTAACCCTTAAATCATCTACACAGAACTATTCTTAAGCATTTTTTCTTCTATTACTTTACTCTAAAGTCATGCCTAAGGAAACATCTCAACTATTACTGTATATACATTAAATGGATATAAGGGTTTATGATTAAGTTTTATATAGTTATATGAAATATGACAATCATCCTACCTGGCCTTCTGATTCTTCTTGCTATAGAATAGATACAGTATTTGTAAGCAAAATATAGAGATTGAATTTTACATGATTAATAACGTTCAAACATATGCAACAATTCTTGGTTCTGCATAAAGATTGTGCAAACCATAATATTCATTACAAACACTCAGCCACTAATGTATTTTTGCCTTCATGGACATCATCAACTTACCACAAAGGTAATTATCATTCCAGGTATGTGGATCAGCTGGTTCTTTCCACTGTATACATGCCATTCCACGAATTCTTCCAGCAAAAGACCACCTGAATCGTAAGGGTGAGCGATGGGGGACACAGAGATAATTATCGTTCCAGGTGTGTGGGTCTGCAGGTTCTCTAATCCTTGTACATCTCATGCCACGAATTGGGCCTGAAAAGCTCCATCTCATTCTTGGGTTCCTTGTGTTTCGACGTGAACAGAAGTAGTTGTCATTCCATGTGTGGCGGTCTGCAGGCTCCCTGATCTGAACACACCGGTAGCCACGTATACGCCCTGCATTACTCCAGCGGAAATCACGAGGCCATCTTGGAAAACGACGTCGAGCTAGTTCGTTCGAAAAAATATAGTTTTTTGTAAAACTGCAATAATAAGAACCAGCATGAAATTCAACACTAAGGCAGGTCAACATAAACAATTTAGAATAATTACAACAAAAAAATTAGATATAGAAGGGAATAATGGAGGAAAAAATAATTGCAGGTAGTTATGATTCAAAAAATAATATCAAATGAAATTAATAGTTATAATCACTCAGCTTTTTTATACCTGGTGGAGAAGGTCTTGGTCGAGGTCTTGGTCTTGGTCGAGGTCTTGGCCTTGGTCGAGGTCTCAGTTGTGGTCTTGGTCTTACTAAATTAGGTTATTTGAATTAGAATATATAGAGAGTAAAAAGACTATATAAAAGACTTGATACTGTCTCCTACTACTGTATATGCACTAATATATATACACCAATACTGTATATACACTAATTGATGAAAGGGGGTATGGTTAAGATCAATTTATTTACAGAGAATGTGCAATCACCAACCTGGCCTTCTTCTGGCTCTTCTTGCTATAAAATGGATACATTGTTTGTTAGACAAATAATATATTATTTGTTAGACAAATAAAACAACTTTGCAGAGACTGTACAAACTATGGTGATTGCTTTGGTCATAAAGATAAAAAATCTCTTTTATTGATGAACATCATTAACTTACCACAAAGATAATTATCATGCCAGGTATGTGGATCAGCTGGTTCTCTCCATTGTATACATGCCATTCCACGTACTCTTCCAGCAAAAGACCACCTGAGGCGTAATGGCGAGCGTTGGGGAACACAGAGATAATTATCTTTCCAGGTGTGTGGGTCTGCAGGTTCATAGATCCTTGTACATCTCATGCCACGAATTGGGCCTGCAAAACTCCATCTCATTCCAGGGTTCTTCCTGTTCTTTCGTGAACAGAAGTAATTATCATGCCATGTGTAACGGTCAGCTGGTTCTTTGATCTGGACACATCTGTAACCACGAACAGGCCCTGCAAAACTCCAGCGGAAATCATAAGGCCACCTTGGGAATCGAAGTCGAGCTAAAAGATAACAAATAACTTCATTATACACAGAGTTATTATATACATTATATACATATGAATTACACAGATTATATGTAGAATAACAAAAACCCATATGATCACTTTTTGGGAATACAAATTACCATGCAAAGTGTTTCTCCTCAATTACCAAACAGTGTAATCAATTTTGAAACTTCTATATTGATCTTAGGTATGAGCCCCCAAAATATATTTTTGCTATTTAGTAGGCTTTTTTTAGCACAATGATGATAAAACATAATGCAAATTTTGGAAAACAATTTTTCTTCAAAAATATTCTAAGGCAGGTCAAGTTATTAGCCAGGATAACTTTTAAAAGTGAAAAGTGAGAACTTGCTCATTATACCTGGTGGTCTTCGTCCAGGTCTTCGTCCAGGTCTTCGTCCAGGTCTTCGTCCAGGTCTTCGTCCAGGTCTTCGTCCAGGTCTTCGTCCAGGTCTTCGTCCAGGTCTTCGTCCAGGTCTTCGTCCAGGTCTTCGTCCAGGTCTTCGTCCAGGTCTTGGTCGTCTTCGTCCTTCACATAAAAAGAAATTATTTCTTTATGAAAAAATTCTCTATACAGCTCCTACCATTGTTGTCTTCCATTCTGTTTCAAACAAAGGCTTTTGTTTAGACTACAAATTTGATGTAACATACCATACAATGGTACACGAATCACAGCACCAATTTGAATTGGTCCTTTTCCCCTGCGTCCAATTTTCTAAAATATAACTTTCAAAATATAGCACTTAAAATAGCACTTTCAAAGAACATAAAAAAGTTCATTATATAAGTTTTAATTTGTTTCATAACAACTGCCCCTGGGTTTGAATCCTACGATACACAATTGTCATGCAGTCATAGTCTAGATGCTGTTATTGTTTTACTCAAACAGCTGTGAACCCTTTAGACAATGTTTACAACTCAGTTATTCACTAATCTAGTTGACTTATGCAATGAAACATTGAGGACAAACTCTTTGCACATACTTCTTTTCATGGAACATGCCTGAGGTAAAACATTGCACAAACGAACCTGCTTTACGAATCTTGGTCTTCTCCTTCGTCCACCAGTATAGCCAATTAAGGCAAATGTACCACGATAATCTAAACGTAAGGGTCCTCTTGCCAAAAGCTTGCGCAATGCACGGTAACCAGGACTTGTCATCATTCTCTGGGCTTCATCTTGTACAGCAACCAATACAATTTTGCTAAGATTTATAAAAAGGTATTATACTATGAACAAATTAAATAGAACAAGATTGGAAATTTCATGTTAAATTGTTTCATAATTGACAAATGTATTTTAAATGTGTATTTACAACTAGAATCCAGTAATCATTTATTGTTTCAGCAGATTTCGATGAATGTTGAAATTGTACATACTTGCGAGGAATTCTCTTAACAAATTGTACCATGGCCTTCACGTAATTTCTATTCCCATGGGTATCAAAAGATTTCTGCCTAGTTACAGCACCTAATGTGAAAGTTAAAACCAGTCTATTAATATCAGAACAAATAGATTTTTTGTAATCAAGATGTTACTAAGTTTAAATGTGCAATATAAATTCATAGCAGCAGATTATCATTGCTTGGTATTGTTATGTACAAGTTTTTCTGAATATGTTTGGTAACCTCTGCATTTTTATAGTTCAAAAGTGCACTGCAATTAATGACAGTATTAATAGATATACTTTTCACCTTAAACAGCAAGTTTAATATCATACCTGTTGTTCCATCTAGTACAACAAAGTTGTATCCACGTCCATGTTTTGAATAATCCCTGTTATTCACAGTAATCTTGGCCAAACCGCAACCATTTTCTCTACCTCTATCTTCACAGCCTTCACTTCTAACTTGAACTGCAATCTTTTTAACTTTAAATATAACAGAAAGGTAACAAACAAGTGATGAACAAAACTTATCTTCAAATCAAACTGATATAACTACACAATTACAGTAATTTAAATAACATAATATTTTGATACATACCTGGCCTTGGCCTAGGTCTAGGTCTTGGCCTGGGTCTTGGCCTGGGCCTTGGGCGTATGACTACAGTAATTACATAGGGGAAAGTTAAACTATAAAGCATTTAACTATGATGGCTAATAATCCACCAGCAATTTACTGTTTATTTACAGCAAGAGTTAACTAAACAATTTTTATTCCTATCAAATGCCATACCTGGTCTTGGTCTAGGTCTTGGTCGCCTCCCTATAACAATCGACAAATTATAATTGTGATTTTCAAGCATGTATGTAAATACTTTATATCTACTTATCATATATTTAGCAATTATGTGAGACTAATATTTTGTAGCATACCTGGTCTGGGTCTTGGCCTCCCTATGCAATAATAAATGCAATTTGTTGAAAAAAGGACAGGAAAGATAAGTTATATCACCAAAATTGAGTTAATTCATGCAGTTTTGCAAATGCAATGACCATAATGACAATTTATATTATATACATACATGGTCGAGGACGAGTTTGTGGTCTTGGTCGTACCCTGACACCTGTAATTGATTAAATATATGTTTTGGACTAATTTCAATGATAGGCTCATCATAGATAAATTCACTCAATGGATTCACTTATAAGAAGGAAAAATGAAGCCATAATATGAGAAAAGTAATATGAATCAATGTTTGAGTAAGCAGATTGGAAAACAAGCTATTTTCAAACTAGTGTAATCGTGTTCTATTTCAAGATCAAAATCCTCATACGTGTTGGTTTAAGGTAGATATTTCTTCTTGAAACTGGTCTGATGCGCCTTGAGCGAGGTTTCCTTACTCCAACACTGAGATGATCACCACCACCACCTTCTTTCATGACCACCTCCATGAAATAGAATTTTCCTCCCCTTAATCTGATTCGTTTTGACTTTTGTGAACGATCTCTGAATAATAAGAGCTGGGCGTAGTATCAAATCAATGCTTATATGTTATGTAACAATAAATTCAAAACAGATCACACATTTCACAATTGATTCATGATTTATAGAATGATGAAGATCAACATACTTATTCCATTGATTTGGGCTGGTCCAAAGATTTTTTCTAAAGCGTATGATCTGCCGGAGATATCTTGGGCTACGGTTTCTACTGATTCTCATTCTACATTCATCATCACCAGCAACATAGAATGTGTAATACCCAGTTCGAGGTGCCTAAATGAATACAGGTAAACAACATTGTAGTATAGATAGAGATAGAGTTTTCAGTTTAGGTTATCTTTGGCTAGCTCTAGCACTACAAACAAGACCATCAACTATTAATAAACTATTAAAGAATCAGAAAATACAAACACAAAAACTTATTTCTTACCCTATAGTATGTGGTGAGACGTAATCCATAGTTATCATCCATGTTGACTGGTGTATTCAAACCAGGTATATTGATAGATACATCAGGTCTTCTGGGGTAACGACGATTGCGAAGTAAGGTATTCAAATTGTGAGATCCAATTCCTGTCCACATTTGCATTTTTGCCCCTCTCACTATTGCACAATACATAAAGTACAATACTACATAAGACTAATAAAACACAAATTATATCGGTCAAAAACATTTTGCTGCCTCATTTGAAACTTTTTATACCAATTGAAAATGTTTCGGAATAGGTGGTGAAAATCTGATCTTTTTTAAAACTATAAAATCACTATATTTTCCAAATTTTATAGAAAAAATACAGCTTACCATATCTTGGTGGCCGATATCTGCGAACTAAAAAATAATCCAAATTTTACACATTGTTGCAAATTGTGAGAAAATATCAAATATAATTGTTATGTCCATGGCTTGCTATGTATATGGCACAGTTGCTTGCTACAAATGTTTTAGTTATTTCCATCCATTTTACCTGGGGGAACCAGATATAGGTATCGCCTAGGAATGGGCCGGATATTTCTACCCATTTTCACTGCAACACTAATATGGTCACCTCCACCACCCTCTTTCATCAAAGCTTCCATGTAATAGACTCTTCCACGAACAAGGCGTATTGGAACAGATCTCTGAGACTTTTGTCTATGAGCAAACATTTTTGGAAAGTTGACATATTTACAAAATATGTATGATGAGTAGGTATAATATATTCACACATTTCTCATTGATTTCTCATTGATTGGAAAATCACAGCATAAAACAATTTAGCTTACCTATTCCATTCATTTCGTCTGGTTGCCAGTCCTTTGGGAAACATGACAACCATCTGCAGGTTTCTACGTGTATGATCTGTACTTACAGACAACCTACACTGATCATCTCCAGCAACATAGAACACATACCGACGAGTTCTTGGTGGCTAAACAAGAGTGTAAATTCCACTATTTAAACTGTAAGAGATGATACATACAGCTGAGAGCTATGCAAAGTGCTTCTAAATTTCTGATTTCTTTGATTACAAACATAAATAGTTTAGTATCTGGATTTGTAGTAAAAGTGATTAACATCGGTAAAGTAAAAAATCTTTGTCTACATTTTGAACTACATCTCTGAAAATATAATGTATTTTTATGTCTACTTAACACATTATTTAATATGCTTTTAAATTAATTTTCAAGTGGCAATTGAAAAAAGTAGGTCATTTATGTTATGAGCAAAACAGAATTTGCCTCACCTTTACTACATATGGAAAAAATACAACTTACCACAAAGTATGTTCTTAATCGTAATCCATAGTTGTTCCCCTTATTTACAGGTGACACAAGATTCCGTATTTTCACAGCTTTATTAGGTCGTCTTGGATATCGTGGATTGGTAAAGAGACGTGACAGCTCATTTCCACCAATTCCATTCCATCTCTCCATCATAACACCTCGCACTAAACAAAATATCCAAATTCATTTATAACATGACAAACGTTAACATTCAGTAGATGTGAATTGACTGATATCAATGCCAAACTGCCTAAATTAAAATTGCCTAAATAGAGTTAAGAAACAAAAAAGTCTCTAGAACATGCTATATAAAGTTTATGTATAGGATTGCTCATAAAATTATCAGTAATATTTCTAATATGATCATCTCAACTACATACTAGGACGTGGTCGGCGCACTGGTTTTCGTCCAGGTCCTCTTCCTGGCCGACGTCCTCCTACAATATCAATTGTGTTATTAAAACAATGAAAATGTGTGAGAATTTTAGTTGTTTTTTTTAAAAAAAAACATAAATGTTCCCAAATGAGAGTGACAGCTAATATTGAAGGACATACAATTTTTAATCAAAGCGAACAGCAAAAGTTACAATATTAATTCTACTGCCAAAAAAATGAGAATGGAATCAATTTTCAGTTAAAACTAATAACCACTCTACCTGGTGGTCTTTGATAAAGATTACGTCTTGGAACAGCTATAATCCGTCTTGAACGGGGCATTTTTACACCAACACTAAGATGATCACCACCACCACCTTCTTTCATTAACACCTCCATAAAATACACTCGTCCCTTAATTAGCCGGACTGGACTGGATCTTTGGGAAGGATTCCTATGATAAACATATTGCATTCTGGATTTTCCACTTTAAATTGCAAAAGGCTTAGTCTCTTTTCAATGCGTACAGTTAAGAACACAGAAAATTCTAGCAGAGATAGATTTGCATTTGAACTTTTTTATCCTATGTACAAAATGGATGCTTTTCCCTAATAAACATACTTATTCCATTGGTTGGGGTTTGTCCAAAGGTTTGCAGCAAAACGGAGGATCTTCCTCAGATTTCTTGGACTGCGGTTTGTACTAATTCTCATTCGGCATTCATCATCCCCAGCAACATAAAATCTATATGTACCTGTTACAGGTGCCTAAAATAATTTGAAAGGTCAAAATAACAACTGCGTATATTGCATAAATTACATTTGTTGCCAAATACATCCAACACTACAGTTTTACCACAATTTAGAAAAACACATTCTCTGGTATATTTCCAGTATTTAGTCATATATCAAATGCAAGGCTCAAAAAAAGAAACAAAAGTACTCTCAGTAATATTCATACCTATGTTATACCCCATTTACATTAGGGAGATTTTAACTAGCTGACAAATTAAACCTAAAGTTCTTTACTAAAGAGTTAGTAACACTTACCCTATAGTAAGTGGTAAGACGAAGTCCATAGTTATCATCAATGTTGATTGGTGTCTTCAATCCAGGTAAGTTAATAGTCATGTCAGGTTTGTCTGGGTAACGATTGTAGCGCAATAGCGCTGATAAATGATGTGATCCAATTCTTGTCCACATTTGCATTTTTACCCCACGTACTAGTTGAAAAATTGACAAAAATTCAAATCTCATTCATTTTTCATCAGATTATTAATCTCAGACATATATTCATTCATAGGCAGGTTTCTCTTAATCAAACATTTGTTACCATACAACATCTACATACCTGAGTGTCTACGTACAGGACGAATATAACGAGCTATATATAAGGCAAATTGAAGGCATTAGACTTTCCAAAGATTATCTGTAAAAACTTAAACATAAGAAAAAAAATGGGTTTTGATGAAATATACCTGGAGGAATGAAATAAAGATATCTGTTTGATATTGGTCTCTGCAAACCTCCTCTTGGAATTCTTACTCCAACACTAAGATGATCTGGTCCACCAGCATCTATCATCAGAGCTTCCATGAAATAAATACGACCCTTCCTTAAATAGACTGGGGTTGACTTTTGGGAACGATGTCTATGCAATGAAAGTGTTAATGAAGTGTTAATCTGGGCACAGATATATAGACAAAGGTATAGTTGATTTTTTAATAAAAACATACTTGTTCCATTGATTACGTCTAGTCCACAATCCTTTAGGAAACATTGCAATCATCCTCAGATTTTGTGAGGTATAATCACTGCTAATAGATAGTCGACATTGATCATCACCAGAGAGATAAAATGTATAACTTCCTGATCTTGGGGCCTGAAAAAAGTATGAATATTAGGACAATTGAGTTCCCAAAACAATATGTTAAATAAATTGCTTAACCTCTGAATAATCCAAATTTATATTTACATAATTACAAATTAAAAAACTTGCCTTATAATAAGCTGTTAATCTCACACCATAACGGTTTCCACCATTAGGAGGTGATACAAGCCCTTTTATTCTTCTTGTCCGAGTAGGTCTTCTAGGGTAACGTTTGTCAGCAAACAGTGTTGAGAGAATATGTGTATTGCCTCTAAGATTATTCCAAATCTGCATTTTTGCTCCTCGAACTGTAGTAGATAATAACATTCATGCATCAGTACTGTAATTACTATACCTTTAAACAGATATGCATGTTCAATACCTGGCTTGAGTATAGGTCTTGGTCTTGGGCAGATACCTATGATCATAAAAACGTTTGACTGTCATACTCAGTTTATACTGCAATCTTTTAGTTATATAAAATACAAATTTTTTGAAAGTTAATTTTGAACTCAAAATGAAACTTGCTTTTAAAGAAACTTAATACATACTTGGCCTGGGCCTAGGTCTTGGTCTTGGTCTCACTGGTAATAATACAAGCAACTTGTTAGAGCGACTTACTGCACAATAAAGCTTTTCATGCTTTAGTTTAGTCATTTTTAGTCCATAAATTATCTATAATAAGTTGTGTGATGTTTTAAGCACAAACCTGGCCTTGGCCGTGGTCTTGGTCTTGGCCTAGGTCGTGGATATCTTCCTGATTGTTATGGAAAAAGGTAAGACATAAACAAAATGCAACATAAATGAGAAAAAAAAACATATGTACTTACCTGGTCTAGGTCTTGGTCTAGGTCTAGGTCTTGGTCTAGGTCTAGGTCTTGGCCTTCTGCGTCCTAAAATATGGGGATTGCAGTTTCATTAGCTGAGAAGCAACAAAAACTGATGTAAAATCTGATCTATTTCTATTCTAATGAACATCTCTGTTGCAAAATACAAGCACTGATAAGAAAACCCCTTACCAGGTGGTCTTGTGAAAATATCTCTCTTCGAGACAGGTCTAATCCGTTTTGAACGTGGTATTTTTACTCCAACACTGAGGTGATCACCACCACCACCTTCTTTCATTACAACTTCAATGAAATAGATCCTCTGTCTTCTTAGTCTGATACGTCTTGATTTCTGTGATCTATCTCTACAAGAATTACACACCATGACATCCATTTTTCAGTTTATGGACCCATATTTCAATTTAATGGAAGTAATATGGAAGAAATTTATATAAAAAATTCAAATGTTCTCCATTATGAACTTATGCTTCCTATTTTCAAAACTTTTAAATTGGAAATATAAATCTGCTAATTGGCAGTTGAAAACTAAAATACAAAAAGCATAATTATCTAATTATCAATATCTATTAATATAAAAGACGATAATAAAATGGCATACTTGTTCCATTGGTTTGGGTTAGTCCACAGATTCCTCTTGAAACGTATGATTCGCTGCAGATATCTTGGGCTACGATTTTTACTTATTCTCATTCTACATTCATCATCACCAGCAACATAAAATGTATAGTACCCTGTTCGAGGTGCCTAAAGTATGACAAAAAATCAACTTAGTTACTACTGCCACATATGTCATACTGATCAGGATCACATAAATTCCATGGGCTGTTTCATTAAAGTAAGCACATGTTTGTTGATACTGTGATATCCTGTTTGGCAACAACATTGGTAAGAAGTTAATACAAAATACTTAAATATAAAATAATTCATTAATCATACAATTTTAGCCCATGAAATGAACCATAAGAAGTCACATGTGGTGGCTTTATACATGGTAAAGTATTATGAGTGCTAATTAGGATGGCATATTATATCATTTGTCACGTTCATTAATATTCTGTATAAAACGTTTCATCCTAATTAGCATTTGTACACATAGAGAAAATTTATTGCTCGACAACAATGCAGCATATTTGAAATAATTTAAAACACTCAAACTCACATTTTATCATATCTAAAAATGCTCCTTATCGTGTTTTAAATACTACATATAATTTATGGTATTGTAGCAATACATACTTTAGCACTTTGTAATTATGTATACCTAGTTGGTAGTATTATTTCCTACCCTATAGTATGCTGTGAGACGTAATCCATAATTATCAGCCATGTTGATTGGTGTCTTCAAACCAGGTAAATTGATGGTCATGTCAGGTCTTTTTTGCCGGTATCGGGGATTGCGAAGGAGAGCACTCAAATGGTGAGACCCAATCCTTGTCCACATTTGCATTTTGACTCCTCTGACTGTTGTAAAAACAATCATTCTCATTAAAATTAACTGCTATTCAGGTAATACACTATACATAATCTGAATGAACTCACCAAACCTTGGTCGTCGCATCGGGCGAACTAAAAAAAAATTTAGTTATTATTAGACACATGATGATTTTACCAAGATGGCTGTTGCTAACAGCATTTATGTTGATAGTCTAATCCCAGTGCATGACATATATATAAGCATATCTATAGCAAATTGCTATTAAACAATCCACTTCACAACAATCTTACCTGGGGGAATCAGATAAAGATATTTGCTTGGTATGGGTATGATTCTTTTTCGCATTCTCATTGCAACACTGATATGATCACCACCACCACCTTCTTTCATCAAAGCTTCCATATAATATACTCTTCTTCGAATAAGGCGAATTGGAATAGACTTTTGAGATGTATGTCTAAATATGACAAATATATTTGACAGTTGCACACATTTGCTATGAAGTTGCAAATGTTCTTATTTTAAGGCATGCAGGATTTCAAACAAAAAATATGCAAATTTTCAACATGTGCATGTAGTCTTAAAAAATTACAAAAGAAGAATTAGCTCACTTATTCCATTGCTTTCGTCCAGTTGCTAATCCTTTTTTGAACATAACAATCATTCGTAAATTTCTGCGTTTATGATTTGTGCTTATTGACAACTGGCACTGATCATCACCAGCAACATAGAACACATATCTACCAGTTCTTGGAGGCTAAAATATTTTCAATTATAAAAATTAGAATTCCTTTTGACAGGATTTCTGTAGTCACTGCCAAAAGTTTTACTTTTTCACATGAACACTTACAACAAAGTATGTTGTCAATCGTAATCCATAGTTGTTTCCTTTATTAGCAGGTGAGATAAGGTTTTTTATTTTCATACGCCGATTAGGTCGTCTTGGATATCGCGGATTAGTAAAGAGACGCCATAGCTCATTTCCACCTATTCCATTCCACCTTTCCAACATAACACCATGCACTGAAAACAAATGAATAAAGGAGATAAACATATTGCAATTAAATTTTTGTTTTTTGATATACTTAACAATTTACAATCATTGGATTTACTGCAAACAGAATACTTTAGGTAGAAGTTCCTCTTTTTAAACATCTAGATAACTCAGACCATTGCTTAAACCAGTGCTTAAAAGTTCAGCTCTTTCACCTATATTCTAAAAGCTCATACTCAAACTCATTGTGTTGGAGATCACAATCTTCTCATAACATTTCCATGATGGTATTTTCAGTCTAAAAAAGCTCGAATTTCAGTCTTTTACCTTAAATCTCTCCTTGGATTAAGAAAGAACTTTCACATTGGTCAGCAATAAAAAAATTCTATGTCACATCTAATTAGTGTGAGTGTTAGTGAGCTTTTTGAATACAGGTATTTAATTAGGAAGAAAAATGTACACACACATGACCCAAAATAAGAATACAAACTACTTCATCATTTTGTATCCTACTTTACATGAACTTACTTGGCTTTCTTACTGGTCGTGGTCTAGGCTTTCTTACTGGTCGTGGTCTAGGCACTCTTCCCGGTCGTCCTGGGCGTCCTATAAAATAACCAAGTGAGAAAAGTGAATGTTGAAGGATTACTACACTTATCGCTCACTTTAAACAGATACCAAATAACAACATAAACAAAGTTAAACAATCTTTCTAAATCTTAATAAATCTAAATGACACAATATACAAAAAAAATGTCTAAAACTCTAAAAACATAATGAAAGTAATTATGTTCAATCTGTCTTTCTTCACACCTGGTCTGGGACGAGGTCTTCTTCCTCTACCTGATAAAAAAAATGATTGTAAAAATGAAGGCTATTGTATAACTTTTAAACACTGCAAATTAAAACTGCAATAAATTCATGGTAATTTTTACAAAATATGTGAAAATGTTTTGGATTTTTCTACCTGGGGGTCTTGAATAAAGATTTCTCCTTGATATAGGTCTGATTCTTCTTGTACGAGGTTTTCGGACACCAACACTGAGATGGTCACCACCACCACCTTCCTTCATTACCACCTCAATAAAGTAGACTTTTCCACTTCTCAATCTAATTTTTCTTGACTTTTGTGATCGATCCCTACACATGACAAGCAATGCATAGAATAGAATCATGACTGGCCACTATTTTCAAAGCAAGTTACCAAACTATTGAAATATTAGTATATATTGCAATAATTTTCTGCAAAAATTATAGTACCTTTTAAATCATCCTTTGGTACAATATACAGTGAATTAAATATTAAATAAGCAATATTTTACTTATCATATTAAACTCTGTTTTACTCACTTATTCCATTGGTTAGGATTTGTCCAGAGATTCTTTCTGAAACGTATGATCTTTCGAAGATATCTTGGACTTCGGTTTTTACTGATTCTCATTCTACATTCATCATCTCCGGCTACATAAAATGTATAATACCCTGTTTGGGGTGCCTAGAAGATTAAAAAGTACAAAAGATATTAATATATAGTAATTTCATTAATCTTGTACATGTGATGATATTGTTTAGGAATGATATACTTCTTGATGCATAAGGAGTATATTCCTTTCTAGTTATGAAAGTTTAGGTAATATATTTTGCCATAGCTTGCATACATTAGCTAACAGGTAAATTTTTACACTAGACACTAAATTAATAGTATGTTTACCCTGTAGTATGTAGTAAGGCGTAGACCATAATTGTCATCAATGTTCACTGGTGTCTTTAAACCAGGTAGATAGATAGTCATGTCAGCTCTTTTTTGTCTGTATCGAATGTTCCGGAGTAGAGCATCCAGATGATGAGATCCAATTTTGGTCCACATTTGCATTTTAACTCCTTTTCCTACAAAACAGTAAGTAGCTTATTTAAAATTTAAATTTAATATAATATCAACTAGCCCAATTTAGCCAGTTTTTAGAGCTGTGTAAGAAATATATAGAGAAAAACATTCTTTTACTTGATCTTTTCCGTGTGGGTCGTACAGCTCGACCTAAAGGTATAAAAAAAATTAATTTTTAGTCATTTTATTTTTAAAAAAAAAACTATTGTAATGGCATAAATCACTGAATAGGTTTTGGTAAAATAACGAAGATAAGATAAAAATATGCCCAAAACTGAACTTTACCTGATGGAAGAACATAGATATTTCTGCCTGATATTGGTCTTTGCAAACCTCCACCAGGAATTTTTACTCCAACACTAAGATGGTCAGGTCCTCCAGCATCTATCATCACAGCCTCCATAAAATATACACGGCCACGCCTTAAGTAGACTGATGTCGACTTTTGGGACTGGTGTCTAAAACAAATTGAATGCACTTAACCTGAATTTCACATACACAATTTACCAAAAAAATCTAATTAACCTAAATGATGTGGTGTTATGAACACAGATAAATACATTTGTGTCTTGGTAGTGGTAACATCGGGCAGGCAGGTGTTCATCCTGCTCAAGCATTTTTCTTGTAGGGTGATGTTAGTTCAGAGTGATATCAAACAAAGCCAGCTAATTATCAAGTAATCAACATACTTGTTCCACTGGTTAGGCTTAGTCCACAATCCTTTTGGGAACATTGCAATCATTCTTAGGTTTCGTGAAGTATGATCACTGCTGATAGACAGTCTGCATTGGTCATCACCAGAAAGATAGAATGTATATCGTCCTGTCCTTGGAGCCTGGATTAAATGCAAACATTTAGATCAATTCTATAGAATAAACAGCTGAAAGGAATCTCTATCTACCCTACCTACCAACATCAACCTGTATTAATCCTTGTACTTCCCTAACTTTAAGCAAAATCAATAAAGGACTTACTTTATAATAAGCTGTCAATCTGACACCATAACGATTGCCACCATTCGGAGGTGCTACTAGACGTTGAATTCTTCTTGTTCGAGTGGGTCTTTTAGGATAACGTCTGTCAGAAAGCAGTGTTGACAAGACATGCGCATTCCCTCTTAAGTTGTTCCAAATCTGCATTGTTGCTCCACGAACTAAAATAGGTGTGACATTGACTAACTATCATGGCAGACCATCCATTAATGTTCAGAAATATATCCACAGGTCATTCTACAACTTTTTTGCAAACATTTAATGCAGATATTGAATACATCAGTAGTGTGCTGTGCAATTAGTATGCTATTTTTTATGCTTGTTGCTCCACAAACTAAAATGGGTGTGATATTTGCACATGAGCACTAATTATAATGAAAGAACATCCATTAATGTTTTAAATATATACAGTAAATATAGGGTGCGTGAAAGATTCTCAATATTTATGTACTGTACCTGGCTTCAGTATAGGCCTTGGTCTTGGACGAACAGCTATAATGATAAAAATAATTGATTAGTTTCAGACAACTATGTTTTTAGTTTCACCTGAAACTTTTTCAGCCCACTTTAAAAAAAACTGCCCATACTTGGCCTAGGTCGTGGTCTATGATGTGGAACACCTCTTGGTGGTTTACGGCCTGGTACAGGTCTATGTTTTCTTCTTCCTGCAGAACCAAATAAATTGAGAAGGTTACAAGACTCATTTTATCAGTAACTCACCCCTATGAGTATGTATGAATACAAAAGCAGAATAAAAATGACTGAATGAAGAATAACAGCTTATAGAAAAATGCATAAATTAAATTTGGAATTTTTTTCAGGAGAACAGAGGCAGAAACACACAATTATTAGAAACTAACAGGTAATGTTGTAAAAAAGACAGCTTTGGCAACCTACACCTCCTGTATACAGTGAAATATAGTAATACCTGGTGGTCTGACGAAAATATCCCTCTTTGAAATAGGTCTGATACGCTTTGAACGAGGTTTTTTAACTCCAACACTAACATGATCACCACCACCACCTTCTTTCATTACTACCTCCATGAAATGAACTCTTCCTCTTCTTAGCTTCATTTTTCTTGACATTTGTGACCGATCTCTGTAAGGAAAACACAATGCAGTCAAAATTTAGGAAAACTAGAAACAAAGCAACACCAGCATGCATACTTATTCCATTGGTTTTGATTTGTCCAGAGACCCCGTCTAAAACGTATGATCTGGCGGAGATATCTTGAATTACTGTTTCTACTGATTCGCATTCTACACTCATCATCACCAGCAACATAGAATGTATAATAACCAGTCCGAGGTACCTACACAAAACCATATATCAGATCATAATCATCTTAAAAAGAGCTCAGCATTTGATTTATTAATGCAACTTGGAGCTAAGAAACTGCTAACTCCAATATTTGTAAAGTGCTCTAACACAGGTAGCTATACAATCTTAATCTGTGTCTAGCTCATTTGATGTTAACTTGCTGTAGCAGTAATTATATATCAGAACAAACAAGCTTTGTCACACTTATTATCCAAAACCTAGTAACTATCTAAAGATAGCTCTTTACCCTATAATATGCAGTTAGACGTAATCCATAGTTGTCTCCAATGTTGACTGGTGATTTTAAACCAGGTACATTGATAGTCATGTCAGGTCTTCTAGGGTAACGGGAGTTGCGAAGCAAGGTGTTCAAGTTATTAGATCCAATCCTTGTCCACATTTGCATTTTTGCTCCTCTCACTGTTACAAATACAAAATATAAAATGTGTGCTTAAAATATTGTTTTAAATATATTGCTTGCATCTGCAAAATGGGTAGGGTGATTGCTTATAGTGTAGTGTATATAGTTACACATTATACAAATTTAACATACCAAATCTTGGTCTCCGAATTTTACGTCGTACTGAAAAAAAATTTGAACAAAGATGAACAATAAGATACACAAGGCTGCAGCTATTTTTGGTGGAAGGTTTGTAATTTCAGTAAAATGGGTTATGGGCCATAGAAGGGGGGTGTATACTGCCATCACTACTGGATTTGGGAGGGATGTATACTCATATATTCATAGGAACAATAGTGTACAAAAGAAACCAGATGGGCATATGAAATACATGATTACGAACCACCCTAAAAAATATCTAGCTATTGCCATGAATCGATTTAACTGTATTGTACATTCAATAGGTATGATCTATTGCATGAGCAAAAATGAAAAATTATAATTGATGTTGGCATACCTTTGATTATTAAAACTTAGCATACAAGTTTGTTGATTGTTAATACTTGTTTCATTGATAGCAATATTATCTTATTACCTGGTGGAACCATGTAAAGATATCTTTTAGGAATGGGTCTGATTCTTTTTCCCATTCTCATTCCAACACTTATGTGATCTCCACCACCACCTTCTTTCATTAAAGCTTCCATGTAATACACTTTTCCACGATAAAGGCGGATTGGAGGAGACCTTTGAGATTTATGTCTATAAAACATCATATATAGTGAATGCAAACCTGAGGAAATAAACGTTTTTGATCATTATACTTCTGAAACAATCTTGAAAATTTACAAAAAGGGAGATTAAATGACAAAACTCACTTATTCCATTGATTTCGTCCAGTTGCTAATCCCTTTTGGAACATAACAACCATCTGCAAATTTCTACGGGTATAATCTGTACTTATGGAGAGCTGACACTGATCATCCCCAGCAACATAGAACACATATCGACCAGTCCTTGGAGGCTAAAATATAATAGGTATGAAGGCATCAATTTTGTATCAAGCGTAAAAAGAAAATCTGGCCTATAACAACTTACCACAAAATATGTTTTCAATCGCAATCCATAGTTGTTTCCCTTATTGACAGGTGACACTAGATTTCTTATTTTTACACGCTGACTAGGTCTTCTTGGATATCGTGGATTGGTAAAAAGACGCCACAGTTCATTTCCTCCAATTCCATTCCATCTCTCCATTAAAACACCTCGCACTGAGCAAAAATAACATAAAAATAGTGAAATAGTGCACCAGTAAAAAGTTGCTTTTATTGATATTGCAAATTGATTGTCTGCTATTTTTTTCCAACACCTCTGAATATAGTCCCACAAGTGTTATTCAAGAATATAGTGCAACCAAGAAATAAAAGAAATGCTAAATATTCAGAGGAACATAATTACATCCTAATTCCTAAAATTACTAAAACAACTAAAAATGACGATGATGCCTATAATGCATACTTGGTCGCTGTTTTGGTCTGGGCAGTCGTCCTGGTCTTCGTCCTGGTCTTCGTCCTGGTCTTCGTCCTGGTCTTCGTCCGGGTCTTCGTCCTGGTCTTCGTCGCCGCCCTAGATAAGAAAATACTTCTATAATAAACATGCACTATGAAAAAAGAAATGAAAAAAATGACATGGCAACATAAAAAAATAAGGAAAAAATCCAGTGATAGCAGCAAACAATAGCAACAAAAACAAGAACAATTATGAATTTAAAGAATAGTGATATCAGGGTGAAAAAAATCCAGAACAACAATTATTTACTAAAATGTTTTACCTGGAGGTCTCTGGTAAAGATTTCTCCTTGAAACTGGTTTGATGCCTCTTAAACCTGGTTTTCTTACTCCAACACTGAGATGATCACCACCACCACCTTCCTTCATCACAACCTCCATGAAATAAACTTTTCCCCTGATTAGCTGGATGGCTTTTGACTTTTGTGTTCTGTCTCTAGAAGTTTAATTCTTAAAGTTACTAAATATTCTTGCAAGCAACTTCTAAGGTAAAACAAACATTCTGCAAGATCTTGTAAAAAACATTTTGTCACATTATATTTTAGTATGGATTTGATCAAACTGAAACATTTGTTAAGTTGTTTGATTGTTTCAAAAACAAAGAAAGACGTCTTTGTACATACATGCAGTAATGTAATTAACAAAACATACTTATTCCATTGGTTTGGATTGGTCCACAGGTTCGTTTTAAAACGTATAATCTGTCGAAGATATCTTGGACTACGGTTTCTACTGATTCGCATTCTACATTCATCATCACCAGCAACATAAAATACATATTGTCCTGTTCTAGGTGCCTAATATAGTGCAAACATATTGTTTAGTCAAACATATTAGTTAAGAAAATAAACATTGTTTGGCTCATCTCTCCACTCACTAACATACCCTATAGTAAGCAGTAAGACGAAGGCCATAATTATCATCAATGTTCACAGGTGTCTTTAAACCAGGTATATTAATGGTCATGTCAGGTCTTCTTCGCTTGTATCGAATGTTGCCAAGTAGAGCATTTAAATGATGAGATCCAATCCTAGTCCACATTTGCATTTTTACTCCACGTACTAAAATATTAAAAAAGATTATAAATATATCAACACAAAACTTCACTAAATTACAATTAATCATAGAATAACAATAAAATAATTTTTGTGAGCAGAAAGCCTTCCTATGCAGTGGTAAAATTCTTAGTTGAATATAATTTTATTTAGCCAAAACTCAATTCACTTACTTGATCTTCTACGGATAGGCCGGACAAAACGAGCTAAAATTAAATTATTGCAGTTCTTAATAAAAATTGAGAATAAAAAATTTTGTATTTCAATCTTTATTTCAAAAATTTGTCGTTAAATTGAAGATTTAAAGCACTGAAAGAAATGGGAAGTTTATTCAAACCTATTGTACTTTACCTGGTGGAATTATATAGAGATTGTTCCTTGATATTGGTCTCTGCAAACGTCCACCAGGAATTCTTACTCCAACACTAAGATGGTCAGGTCCCCCAGCATCTATCATCAGAGCCTCAATGTAGTAGACACGACCACTCCTCAAATAAACTCTAGATGATTTCTGGGACCGATGTCTATGGAATTTAACAAAATAAGAGAGTAATTAGCAAACAATTTAATTACTTATTGCTAAAATGTATGCATTGAAACATAAATCTGCACTAGAGATATATATTAAGCACACACTTGTTCCATTGGTTACGTCTAGTCCACAATCCTTTAGGAAACATTGCAATCATCCTTAAGTTTCTTGAAGTAAAATCACTGCTGATAGACAGTCGGCATTGGTCATCACCAGCTAGGTAAAACGTATAGTGGCCTGTTCTTGGGGGCTGAAAGATGGGGAGAGATAGTTGTTACTTGTAAATAATTACAAAGATATGTTGATGTTAAAAAATACTATATATTTTGTGATTCATCCATGGCAGCTTTCTAAGAGAAACTGACCTTATAATAAGCAGTCAGTCTAACACCATGACGGTTTCCACTATTTGGAGGTGCTTCCAGTCGACCAATTTTTCTTGTTCGAGTAGGTCTTTTAGGATAACGCCTGTCAGCAAACAGTGTTGAAAGTACATGTGCATTGCCTCTAAGGTTGTTCCAAATCTGCATTTTAGCACCTCGAACTACATAAAAATGTAAAACAATTGCACAGAAAGATAAACAATACCAAGTTTTTTATGCTAAGGAGCATAACATGATGCAGCTGAAATACATAAGCAAAACAAAATTGTGTACCTGGCTTTAGGAGAGGTCGTGGTCGTGGTCGTGGACGTGGGCGTATCCCTAAAAAATTATATGATTTGTATGTTCAAATTACACTAAAACATCATCAAGGTTCTTGAAAAGACAACATATTGATACCAGAGGATGATAGATAGGTTATTGCATACCTGGCCTTGGCCTTGGCCTTCGTCCTGGCCGTGGCCTTGGCCTTCGTCCTGGTCGTGGCCTTGGCCTTCGTCCTGGCCGTGGCCGTGGCCGTGGCCTACGTCCTGGTGTTGGACGTGGTCTTCTTCTTCCTAAAAAAACAAATTGTTTCTATTCAAACACTTATTATATAATGTCATTGTTATTTGCTAATATATCATTAATACTTCATTAGCAGATCACCTCATTAAAAGAGAAGAAGTATTATTTGCTTACGCGGTGGTCTAACGAAAATATTTTTCTTTGAAATTGGTGTGGTACGTTTGGAGTGAGGTTTTCTTACACCAACACTAACATGATCACCACCACCACCTTCTTTCATTACAACCTCCATGAAATAGACTCTTCCCCTTTGTAGTTTTATTGGCCTTGATTTTTGTGATCGGTCTCTACAAGAATGATGCAATAAAATTTCTAGATTTGAACAATTTGTTTTATGTACAAAGCTAAATCATACCAATCATAATGAATTTACTAGTGTTAATTCACTATGGCACATAAATATACAAAAAATGATATTATACTTGTTCCATTGATTAGGGTTTGTCCATAGACTTTTCTTAAAACGAATGATCCGCCTGAGATATCTCGGACTACGGTTTCGACTGATTCTCATTCTACATTCATCATCACCAGCAACATAAAATGTATAGTACCCTGTTCGAGGTGCCTGCAGGTAAAAAAATGTACTTGATATCCAATTAAGGGTGTTTTAACCCTTTTCATAATGATATCAAATGCTGAAAGTCCGATGTTACACGAAGTTTGACTGGCTCGACAGTTTTGTGGAGCCAATCAAATTTTGTGTAACATCAGAAGCATTTGACATCATTATAAGAAAGGTCAGTTCATATAAAAAATATTCTCCCCGATCTATTTCAGTAGCCCTTACAAGTATTTATTATGTAAAGAACAATGATGGACACAAGGCAATTGTCTTTCACAAATCATGTTCACAAACCAAAACATTTAGTCATTTGGCAAAGATGGTTTCCTACCCTATAATATGCAGTTAGACGCAACCCATAGTTGTCATCAATATTCACTGGTGATTTCAAACCAGGTACATTGATTGTTACATCAGGTTTTCTTGGGTAACGGGGATTGCGAATTAAAGCACCCAAATGGTTTGATCCTATCCTTGTCCACATTTGCATTCTTGCTCCTCTCACTATTGTAAGAAATAATTCATTTTATCAAATGCAAACATAAAAGTTTAAGATTGGAAATTTTTGAACAAATAACCATGCATTATCTTCTCCCAAATATCTTTTGCATTACAAACTGGTGTATAAAAAAAATTTAGATGTTTTACTCAATTAATTCAACCAGTTTTTGTTTGTCAATAAAATAATATATTTGCATAGATCAAACTTAGCATACCAAATCTAGGTCTTCGTATCATGCGTCGAACTAAAAAGAGGAAGTGAAAAAGATCAGCAAAACAACATGGAATCATTAGATAAATTCTGTCATTGTAATCATATATCATGGATAATCAATTCATTCACATACAAATATCATCTATCTCACCTGGAGGAATCATGTATAGATATCTACCAGGAATGGGCTTGATTCCTCTTCCTGTTTTCATACCAACACTTATGTGATCTCCACCACCACCTTCTTTCATCAAAGCTTCCATGTAATACACTCTTCCACGATAAAGGCGGATTGGGGGAGCCCTTTGAGATTTATGTCTATATAAAAGTCATACATGGTGAAAGTAAACTTAGGATACGAAAATTACCTACGCCTAAGTAGAGCAAATAGTTAATAAAATTGGTGAAACTAATACAGTAAAGTAACAAGGTGAAGATGTGATACTTTTGCAAAAAATCAAGTTGTTCAGTTTGAAACAGAATGATTACAAATTTTACAAATTTAGGACTTTTTTGAAAGATCAACAGAAATGGGAAATTGAGCCAACTCACTTTTTCCATTGGTTTCGTCCAGTGGCTAATCCTTTCGGGAACATAACAATCATTCGTAAATTTCTCCGTGTATGATCAGTACTTATGGACAACCGGCACTGATCATCTCCAGCAACATAGAACAGATATCTACCAGTTCTTGGAGGCTGGAATATACAAGTTAAAGTCAAGTATTATATAACACTTGTGTAATATTATGGCACTTTATCAAACCACCTACCACAAAGTATGTTCTCAATCGCAATCCATAGTTGTTTCCTTTATTCACAGGAGACATAAGTTGTCTAATTTTTACAGCTTTATTAGGCTTTCTTGGGAATCGTGGGTTAGTAATCAGATTTGATAATTTATTTCCCCCAATTCCATTCCATCTCTCCATCATCACACCACGTACTAAAGAGGAATGAGATATAAAGCTATAAATGTGTTTCACTTCAATTTCCAATTTCCAATTTCCAAGAGATAGTTCTCATGCAAACATAAACCACACAGAAAACAGAGTAAATAACAAAGATGCTTTTACAATTTTTATATCTCTCGCGCTTTAAGTATATTCCTAATGGAAAATTATACTGGAAAAAAATTAAAAGAGGTTTACATGATTATAAATCACTAAACTCATTAACCTTTCAATGAAATAAATTACTTTTAATCAAATTCATTTATTGCAAATTGCATACTTGGTCGTCTTTGTCCACTAGGCTTTCTTCCTGGTCCCTTTCCAGGTCTTCGACTACGTCCTAAATAACATGAATTTGAAGTGAAGTACACCCAAAACAGAATTAATAAAGCAAAAGCAATAACTAAAGCAACAACAAATGGGCAACAAAAATAAATATGGATACTGTTATAAATATGGAACAAACAGGGGAGCAATAGACACAACTAATTCACCTGGAGGTCTCTGGTAAAGATTTCTCTTTGAAACAGGCCTGATGCCTCCTCTGCGAGGTATTTTTACACCAACACTGAGATGGTCACCACCACCACCTTCCTTCATTACAACCTCAATGAAATAGACTTTTCCTCCATTCAACCTAAGCGGTCCTGACTTTTGAGTTCTGTCTCTACAATGGTGCATTGAACATAAATTATTCATTTATATCTTCCATGCTCATATTGATGACATATTCATAATTAGACTATAATTGCAATAAAGAAAATTACTGCTTTGTATTATTGAAAAAAAAAATTGTAATACACATCATCATTGACATATACATCATTATTAAGCATACTAAAACATACTTATTCCACTGGTTTGGATTTGTCCAAAGGTTCCTCCTAAAACGTATGATCTGTCGCAGATATCTTGGACTGCGGTTCCTACTGATTCTCATTCTACATTCATCATCACCAGCAACATAGAATACATATTGTCCTGTTCTAGGTGCCTATAATGGCCCAAACATATTGTTAATTAGTCAAGTCTAGAGAATTATTGTTTAGTTCAACTCCCATGTTTATATTATACTTTTAATAACATACCCTATAGTAGGCAGTAAGACGAAGACCATAGTTATCATCAATGTTCACTGGTGTCCTTAAACCAGGTATATTAATGGTCATGTCAGGTCTTCTTCGCTTGTATCGAATGTTGCGAAGTAAAGCATTCAAGTGGTGAGATCCAATCCTAGTCCACATTTGCATTTTTACACCACGTACTAAACAGGATGAAAGTAAAACAAAATATAATAATCATAAACACATAAAGAATTGATTAACATTGAAACATCAAACATGGCAATTCTATGGACCACAATACTAGTGTTTCAAATAATTTTACTTGGTGGTTAGATTCCCTGCAGAAATCAAAATGTTTCTTCCAAAATGTTATTATTCTAAATTATTAGAATTCTGTACTTACTTGATCTTCTGCGAATAGGCCTCACATAACGAGCTGTGAAAAAGAGCATTAGTAAATGAGTATTGAATTTAGCACAGAATTTACAGAAGTTTCCACAATTTAATGATTTAAAGAGAATCATTGGAGAATCATCACTCTACAATTTATTTACCTGGAGGAATAACATAGAGATTTTTTCCTGATATTGGTCTTTGAAGACGTCCACCAGGAATTCTTACTCCAACACTGAGATGGTCAGGTCCCCCAGCATCTATCATCAGAGCCTCAATGAAATAGACACGACCACTTCTCAAAAAAACTGTTGATGACCGCTGAGATCTATGTCTATAGTATTAAAAAATAAGAAATACTCAACATACATTTTTCGGATAAACAAAAGTGCATATTACATAACCATAAAAAAGTTGACAATGTTTAATCAATACTTGTTCCATTGGTTATTTCTAGTCCACAATCCTTTAGGAAACATTGCAATCATCCTCAAGTTTTGTGAGGTATAATCACTGCTGATGGACAGTCTACATTGGTCATCCCCAGATAGGTAGAATGTGTATCGTCCTGAACGTGGGGCCTGAAACAAGTGTATATGCATTGTTAGTGGCTATGAAATGTATATATATGTATGTATATATATGTATATCTATGTATATATATGTATACATAACATATATATATATATATATATATATATATATATATATATATATATATATATATATATCTGAGATATGGTCAATATAAAATTGCTACACAGAAACCCACCTTATAATAAGCAGTTAATCTAACACCATGACGGTTGCCACTATTTGGAGGAGCTACAAGACTTCTTAATTTTTTTGTTCGAGTAGGTCTTTTAGGATAACGTCTGTCAGAAAGCAGTGTTGACAAAACATGCACATTCCCTCTTAAGTTGTTCCAAATCTGCATTGTTGCTCCACGAACTAAAATGGGTGTGACATTGACACATGAGCACTAACTATCATGACAAACCATCCATTACTGTTGAGAAATATTACTGTTGAGGTCATTCTACAACTTTTTTTGAAAACATATGATGCAGAAATTGAATACATGAGTACTGTACTGTACTGTACCTGGCTTTAGTATAGGCCTTGGTCTTGGACAAACAGCTGCAATATTAAAAAAGATAATATATTGTTTTCTTTTGGACTTAGTACTCTATGTTTTTAGTTACAGCTGCAACATTTTTGGAGCACTTTCTTAATTTTAAGAAAAAATTGCCCATACTTGGCCTAGGTCGTGGTCTACGGTTTGGTACACCTCTTGGTGGTTTAGGGCCGGGCCTACGACCTGGTCCACGTTTTCTCCTTCCTGAAAAACCAAATTAAATTAATAAAGAGGAGTAACTCATTTTAACTAAAAACTAAATTAAATTAATAAAGAGGAGTAACTCATTTTAAGTACATTAAAAACAAATAAACAGCCTTTGGATCATAAAATTAAAATAATTAAATGTTTATGGTTTTCTGTGATAAAAAAGGCAGGAAAATAAGATCTTTAAGAACAAACTGGGAGTTTTATGAAATGCGAATTTGTTCCTCCAAGAGGAGTTCAACCCATGGTGAAGTACAGTAATACAGTTGCAATTATAAGAGCACAGGTGGTCTCTATTATCATACATGGTAGTCTGATGAAAATGTCTCTCTTGGAGATAGATCTGGTACGTCTTGAACGAGGTGTTCTAACTGTGAAATATAATAATACCTGGTGGTCTGATGAACATATCCCTCTTTGAAATAGGTCTGATACGCTTTGAACGAGGTTTTTTAACTCCAACACTAACATGATCTCCACCACCACCTTCTTTCATTACTACCTCCATGAAATAAACTCTTCCTCTTTTTAGCTTTATTCGTCTTGACTTTTGTGACCGATCTCTGCAAGGAAAACACAATTGTAGCCAGAATTTCAAGTTACTTGCTATTGGTATAATGTAAATAAATTGACACTAGCATACTTGTTCCATTGGTTTGGATTGGTCCAAAGATTTCTTCTAAAACGTATGATCTGCCGTAGATTTCTTGGGCTATGGTTTCTACTGAGTCTCATTCTACATTCATCATCACCAGCAACATAGAATGTGTAATAACCAGTTCGAGGTGCCTAAACAAAATCATATATCAATTATCCTTAAAAATTCTTAGGCTTTAATTTACCAATGTTATAAAAAAAAACTGTTTTAATGTAAGATAAAGATAGCTTATTCACCCTATAATATGCAGTTAGACGTAATCCATAGTTGTCTCCGATGTTCACTGGTGATTTTAAACCAGGTACATTGATAGTCATGTCAGGTCTTCTAGGGTAACGGGAGTTGCGAAGCAAGGTGTTCAAATTATTAGATCCAATCCTTGTCCACATTTGCATTTTTGCTCCTCTCACTGTTGCAAATAATTACAAAACAGAATGCATAATGTACTTTTCAATTGTCATGAAATTAAGAAAAGTAAGAGTAAGAGTGTCATTCAATTTTGACTTATCCACAGTTTAAGTTAAACAGGCTTGATACAACTGGCCCCTGATGTGTTATAGTTACATTACACAAAGTTATACATACCAAACTTAGGTCGTCGAATTGTACGTCGAACTAAATAAAAAATTTGGAAAAATGCTTAACAACATGACACACAAAGCTTGCAAAGATTTGCAACACATTTATCCTTGGAAAAATTAATCAGGATAATGGATTTACACAAATCGTGCATTGAATGGGTATGAACTGTTAGTAAAATGAAAAAGTTTGTTGATTGTTGATACTTGGTCATTGACAGCATTAAACCATGTATCTCACCTGGTGGAACCGTGTAAAGATATTTGCCAGGAATGGGTCTGATTCTTCTTCTCATCCTCATTCCAATACTGATGTGATCTCCACCACCGCCTTCTTTCATTAAAGCTTGCATGTAATACACTCTTCCACGATAAAGGTGGACTGGAGGAGACCTCTGAGATCTATGTCTATAAATACAGTAACAGTTAACTTAAAATATAGAAACGCATTTTGGTATCATTTACTGTTAAAATCAAATGTTCCACAGTTGAAAAAATCTAAAGCATATTAGAAAAAGTATGATTTGCTCTTTTTTCAGATTGACTCAATGAAATAGACCAGTTTGGATCTAAACATATGAGATAATGAGACAACGGCTTACTTATTCCATTGATTTCGTCCAGTTGCTAATCCCTTTGGGAACATGACAAGCATCTGCAAATTTCTACGTGTATGATCTGTACTTATGGAGAACTGACACTGATCATCCCCAGCAACATAGAACACATATCGGCCAGTCCTTGGTGGCTAAAATATAATAGGTATCAAGGCATCAATTTTGTATCAACTAAGCTTAAAAAGAAAATCTTGCCTAACAAATTACCACAAAATATGTTCTCAATCGCAATCCATAGTTGTTTCCCTTATTGACAGGTGACACCAGATTTCTTATTTTCACACGCTGATTAGGTCTTCTTGGATATCGTGGATTGGTAAAAAGACGCCACAGTTCATTTCCTCCAATTCCATTCCATCTTTCCATTATAACACCTCGCACTGAACACAAATAACATAAAAATAATGAAATACTGCTCTGGAAAAATTCATATTCCACATTGATACTGTACTAATTTTTCTCTGAAAAAAGTAAAGAGAGAGAGAGGATATAGTGTGCCCAGAAAGTAAAGGAAATGCTAAATTCCTAAAATCACTAAAATAGGTAAAAAAAACTCTATTATGCATACTTGGTGGCCGTTTTGGTCTGGGCAATCTTTGTGGTCTTCCTCGTTGTCCTAAATAACAAACACTTCTAATAAATGTCTACTATGAAAAAAGGAATATGTTTTGTTGCAGGTTGTAGGTAGAAGAGTATTAAAGACAAAATAGACAGCAATAACAACAATAGCGAAATCAAGGAACAATTAATACAGGGTGAAATATCAGAAAAACAATGGGAACAATATTAACAAAATAAAAGTATTACTTGGTAATCTTCGGTACAGATTTCTCCTTGAAATAGGTCTGATTCCCCTTACACCTGTTCTTTTTACTCCAACACTGAGATGATCACCACCACCACCTTCTTTCATTACCACCTCAATGAAATAGACTTTCCCTCTTTTCAACCTTAGGGGTCTTGACTTTTGTGATCGGTCTCTGCAAGGATAATAATTATATTTTGTGTATGTACTATACATGAATCTGCAATTTGTATAATTAAAGATTCAACACAATAACGCATGTATATTGTGTGAACCATATAATGCTTTTCGTAACAACAAACATACTTATTCCATTGATTTGCATTTGTCCAAAGATTCTTCCTAAAACGTATAATCTGTCGAAGAAATCTTGGACTTTGGTTTCTACTGATTCTCATTCTGCATTCATCATCACCAGCAACATAGAATATGTATTTCCCTGTTCTAGGTGCCTGAACAAGAACAATTCATTTTTAATTTTCATTGCTCTGTATAAATGGTTAGTAAAAGCAATTTCCCATCTAAACTTCAGTATAGTGAAGTTAAATTTATGCCATTGTTGATAACCCACCCTATAGTAGGCAGTCAGACGTAGACCATAGTTGTCATCAATGTTCACAGGTGTCTTTAAACCAGGTATATTAATGGTCATGTCAGGTCTTCTTTGCTTGTATCGAATGTTGCGAAGAAGTGCATTCAAATGGTGGGATCCAATCCTAGTCCACATTTGCATTTTTACACCACGTGCTACAATGAAAAAATATAAAAAATCACCATATAACAAAAAATAACAGCTTTGTGTGCACCATGACTAAAATGTTCATCTCCATAAATTCTAATGATTATAACCTATTGGAAATAACATTTACTAACTTGATCTCCTGCGAATAGGCTGTACGTAACGAGCTAAAAAAAGAATTACATGTAATGCAAAAAATAGAATATTCATGAAAATCAGTTAGGCTTCTCTGTTGAAACACATATGCAGTGCAACTTTTACTTCTAACAAAGTCACAAGATATATTAGATTGGTCAGAATTAAAAAAAAAACTCTTGGGACATGTACTTTACCTGGTGGAATGATGTAGACATTTCTTCCTGATATTGGTCTTTGAAAACCTCGACCTGGAATTCGTACTCCAACACTAAGATGGTCAGGTCCCCCAGCATCAATCATCAGTGCCTCCATGAAATAGACACGACCACTCCTCAAATAAACTGTTGATGATCGCTGAGACCTATGTCTATGGCACAAAAATATTTAAGAAATGTTCAACATTTTCCTGATAAAAATGCATGTTACTTAACCCGTAAAGAAAAGTTAGTTATGTTAAATGCATACTTGTTCCATTGGTTACGTCTAGTCCACAACCCCTTAGGAAACATTGCAATCATCCTCAAGTTTTGTGATGTATAATCACTGCTGATAGATAATCTACATTGATCATCACCACTTAGGTAGAATGTATATCGTCCAGATCTGGGGGGCTAAAAGAAGTGTAGATATCATTGTTGACAGTTAGAGACATATATACAAGCATTATAGTTATCTAAGATATAAGAAATAAAAATATTCTATTTAAACAAACCTTATAATAAGCTGTCAATCTCACACCATGACGATTGCCGCTATTTGGAGGGGCTACAAGGTTTCTCAATTTTCTTGTTCGAGTAGGTCTTTTGGGATAGCGTCTGTCAGCAAACAGTGTTGACAGAACATGTGCATTACCTCTCAGGTTGTTCCAGATCTGCATAGTAGCACCACGAACTTAAATGGATTCAATATTTGTACATAAGTATAGAATAATAGCTAGATCACAGCACAAATTTTTTAATATACAGGAAGAGCTGCATTACAACAACGCAGAAGGAACTATATATGTACCTGGCTTTAGAATAGGTCTAGGTCTTGGTCGCGGTCTTCGTCCAGGTCTTCGTCCAGGTCTTCGTCCAGGTCTTCGTCCAGGTCTTCGTCCAGGTCTTCGTCCAGGTCTTGGTCGAGGACGGGGCCTTGGTCTCGGATGTCTCCCTAGTAAATATATAATATAAGAGAGTCAATGCTTAAGTCTTTTCACTATACAACATTTTTTCATGCAATAAAGGTGTATCAGGTAATGGATAAGGTATATTGGCTATCATACTAGAAAAATAAATCTATTTGAAATTTAAAACTCTGGAACTTATTGTCTATGAAAATCAATGACAGGAGGATAAAATGTTCATAATTTTCCCCTACTTGGAGGTCTGGTGAAAATATCTCGCTTTGAAATAGGTCTGGTACGTCTTGAACGAGGTCCTCTTACTCCAACACTAACATGATCACCACCACCACCTTCTTTCATTACAACCTCCATGAAGTAAACTCTTCTTCTAATCAGCCTGATACGTCCTGACCTTTGCGATCGGTCTCTACAAGAGAAACACATTCACACAAATTAACAGTACGGTCTTAATAAAAGTAAATACAAACAAAATAAAATATTGCCTAATATAAATTAATTTGAGATATTACAGAAATCCCTTTTATAAAATATACTAACAATTGCCAAAACACACAGAAACCTTTTAAAAAACAATTGTGAAAACATACTATCATTACAGTCAAGGTAGAAGAATGATAAAACAGGATATTTAATTTAAATAGTTTCTGTGATCAAACAGAACTCCTCTGCTTTCCAAACATTCATCCTGTTACAAATGTACAAAAACAAGGTCTAGAAATACAAAATAGAAAACAAAAATATACTTGTTCCATTGGTTTGGATTGGTCCAAAGATTTCTTCTAAAACGTATGATCTGTCGTAGATATCTTGGGCTACGGTTTCTACTGATTCTCATTCTACATTCATCATCACCAGCCACATAGAATGTATAATACCCTGTTCGAGGTGCCTAAAGCAGAAAAAGTATGAATATATGCTGTGAAGTCCAAACTAGCCAGATCCTACAAAGGGAAAATTAGAATAATGCAACTCCAAAAATAATCTTTCAAATATTCACTTATACTATTATATTTGACCTGCACGAAATTAGGTCATTGGATTTGATTGGATGTTTAACTATTTCCTACCCTATAATATGCAGTTAGACGCAATCCATAGTTATCAGCAATGTTCACTGGTGATTTCAAACCAGGTAGATTGATAGTCATATCAGGTCTTCTGGGGTAACGCCGATTGCGAAGCAAGGCATTCAAGTGATGTGATCCAATTCTTGACCACATTTGCATTTTTGCTCCTCTAGCTGTTAATGGTACAGTAAAAGGTAAATGGAATAGGAATGGTCACCACATAAACGGTAGCATAAAAATCATCTAGAATGCACTATCAATTAAGATAGATCTCTTAATGCTGACTAATAATTTTAACATACCATATCTAGGTCTTCGAATTCTGCGTCGAACTAGCAAAGAAATGTTAATTTAATTTTTATACATCCAGCGCATCTGGTGCTTTTCAGTACACATAAAGGATTTTTTTTAATAAATTAACAATACCATGTTTTTACCTGGTGGAACCATGTAAAGATAACGACTAGGAATGGGTCTGATTCTTCTTCTTACTCTCATACCAACACTGATGTGATCTCCGCCACCACCTTCTTTCATTAAAGCTTCCATGTAATACACTCTTCTGCGATTAAGGTGCACTGGAGGAGACCTCTGAGATTTATGTCTAGAAAAATCATAAGTAATGAAGAGTATTAAATACTTACGTGGTGTACCTGCAAGCTACATTACTTATTGACTGTCACCATGCAAACATACAAGAATATTAATAAGCAAGCTATAAACAAATGTTTAAACATGCCAAGTCAAATGTTTCAAGCTTAAAAATGCACATTTCATGTTTGTTTTCAATCAATATTGCCTAGGTTCAATACAGTTTTGCATACTTTGTGTCTATTGCTGAAAATTAAAATGGAAAACTTTTAAGTTTAATAAAGGCAAATAAGTTCAAAATAGATTATTTACTTTCTAATTCGTAAGTACATCTTTACCTGTTCCATTGGTTTCGTCCAGTAGCTAACCCTTTTGGAAACATGACAACTAATTGTAGATTCCTGCGTGTATGATCTGTACTTATTGACAGCTGGCACTGATCATCACCAGCAACATAGAACACATATCTACCAGTCCTTGGAGGCTAAAAATACACAAACTTGGAACTTGCTATTTTGGCTTTAAAATGGTGATTAACACTGCAACAATGGCAATTCCCTTGTCCACTTACCACAAAGTATGTTCTTAACCGCAATCCATAGTTGTTTCCCTTATTGGCAGGTGAGACAAGATTCCTTATTTTTCTAGCTCGATTAGGTCTCCTTGGATATCTTGGATTGGTAATAAGCCGCCACAGTTCATTCCCTCCTATTCCATTCCATCTCTCCATTATGACACCTCGAACTAAACCGAAACCAAAATATATAAACTTAATGCACAGATCTTTTGCACCATTTTTGTATAAGCAATATAAAAAATTAATCTGAACAAATAAGGAAATGGATGTTGCATACTTGGTCGCCGTTTGGGTCTAGGTTGTCTTCCTGGCCTTCTTCGTCGTCCTAAATAATTAAATTAGTAATTTTAATAAAATTAATATAGAAAGTAAGAAGCAACGACATGATTACAAGAGAAAATCAGCAATATATTGACCTGGTGGCCTCTGGTAAAGATTTCTTCTTGAAACAAGTCTAATTCCTCTTCTACGAGGTAATTTCACACCCACACTGAGATGGTCACCACCACCACCTTCCTTCATTACTACCTCAATAAAGTAGACTTTTCCTGTCTTTAAACTAATACGTCCTGACTTTTGTGATCTGTCTCTATAAGAATAATATTTTGCATATATTCAAAATACAATTTCTCACCTTTAATCTGATAATACATATATTCATGCATTTACACTACACTTTATGATAATGTCCTACAGTGGCAAACTTGTATATGAGTACTAAATTAAAATCATTATCCTCAATTCCACTAATGTACAAAATTTAGCCATACTAAAACATGCATACTTATTCCATTGGTTTGGGCTTGTCCAGAGATTCCTCCTGAAACGCACAATCTGTCGAAGATATCTTGGACTACGGTTTCTACTAATTTGCATTCTACATTCATCATCACCAGCAACATAGAACGTATAATACCCTGTTTGCGGTGCCTATGGTAATAAAGTAAATGTTTCCATATAGCTTGAGTAATTGTTGTGTAAAAAAATAATTGTTGTGTAAAAAAATAATTTAGGTTTAGCTGTTGTCAATTCACACCACATTGTATCAAACTCAAATTCAATAACTTACTCTATAGTAGGCAGTCAAACGTAGACCATAGTTATCATCAATGTTGACAGGTGTCTTTAAACCAGGTATATTAATGGTCATGTCAGGTCTTCTTTGCTTGTATCGATTGTTGCGAAGAAGTGCATTCAAATGGTGGGATCCAATCCTAGTCCACATTTGCATTTTTACACCACGTACTAATATGAAAAAATATAAAAAATCACCATATCACAAAAAATAACAGCTCTGTGTGCACCATGACTAAAATGTTCATCTCCATAAATTCTAATGATTATAACCTATTGGAAATAACATTTACTAACTTGATCTCCTGCGAATAGGCTGTACGTAACGAGCTAAAAAAAGAATTACATGTAATGCAAAAAATAGAATATTCATGAAAATCAGTTAGGCTTCTCTGTTGAAACACATATGCAGTGCAACTTTTACTTCTAACAAAGTTTCTCTTGGGACATGTACTTTACCTGGTGGAATGATGTAGACATTTCTTCCTGATATTGGTCTTTGAAAACCTCGACCTGGAATTCGTACTCCAACACTAAGATGGTCAGGTCCCCCAGCATCAATCATCAGTGCCTCCATGAAATAGACACGACCACTTCTTAAATAAACTGTTGATGATCGCTGAGACCTATGTCTAGGGCACAAAAAGATTTAAGAAATATTCAACATTTTGCTGATAAAAAAGTTAGTTATGTTAAATACATACTTGTTCCATTGGTTACGTCTAGTCCACAACCCCTTAGGAAACATTGCAATCATCCTCAAGTTTTGTGACGTATAATCACTGCTGATAGATAATCTACATTGATCATCACCACTTAGGTAGAATGTATATCGTCCAGATCTGGGGGGCTAAAAGAAGTGTAGATATCATTGTTGACAGTTAGAGAAATATATACAAGCATTATAGTTATCTAAGACATGAGAAATAAAAATATTCTATTTAAACAAACCTTATAATAAGCTGTCAATCTCACACCATGACGATTGCCGCTATTTGGAGGGGCTACAAGGTTTCTCAATTTTCTTGTTCGAGTAGGTCTTTTGGGATAGCGTCTGTCAGCAAACAGTGTTGACAGAACATGTGCATCACCTCTGAGATTGTTCCAAATCTGCATTGTAGCACCTCGCACTATTTATCATACATATTTAGAGAAAAATATATCAGTTAAGCTGCCAAAGTCAAAGTGCATTTTATATGCCTAAGAGGTGTACTGTACCTGGCTTTAACAGAGGTCTTGGTCTAGGACGAGGTCTTGGTCTAGGACGAGGTCTTGGTAATCTCCCTGGTAATTATATTATGCCCTGATTTAATTTGCATCACCATAGTTTCCCAACAACATGATTGTAGGAAATAATATACTATAAGAGGTTAATAATAGCTGTTGCATACCTGGCCTTGGTCGTGGCCTACGCCCTGGCCTTCGTATTGGTCTTCTCCCTAGTTGTTAGAAAATGCCAAATTAGGAAATTTCACAAGTCAAATTTGCAAATTGAATACTGTGGAATTGCAACTGCTAGTTTAGATATGAAAGCCAAAGTTACATTAGACAAAAAACATACTTGCAGCTGGGAACCGAATTCGAGTATAGATATTACTTGGTCCTCGTCCCTTAGCTCTTTGTACCTGAAATTCCACATAGATCAGATGTGTATCAGCCTAATATTCACATAATTTTACTAATTTTATTTTCAGCCAGAAATCATGAAAGGAATATCTACCCCTTTAACAAATGATTTTCGTCCAGGACCAGTGTAACCAATGTAAGCAAACGAACCACGATATCTTCGTTGTGGTCTTCTCACACCGATTTTACCTAAAGCTCTGTAGGCATTTGATGTCATCCCCCGAGCGCCTTCATCTTGTATTGCAACAAGGACAATTTTCCTTTAATGAAATAGCAAGATGATAGGTTGATATTATTATAAAAAACGGTGTCAGGGATAAATGAGTGTTATAGTTAACTTTACACACAGTTCTTATTCTTTGTTACTCTTTCCATACCTTTTTGAAATTGAGCGCAGGAATTGTCTCATTTGTCTTGCCTTCAAACGGTTTCTACTCCTTGAATGTGTATCAAACGAAGCACGTTTTTCAACAACCCCTTAAGAAATGAACAAATCATGTGATTGTTTATGTTTTCATGAGTTCAATCCACATTCGCAATGACAAAGGGATATTTGTCTTACAGTAACTTGGCCTGACTAATTACTGGAGAACAGGAAGGCTGACTAAAGATTGGTATGTTTGATGTTATTACATACCTGAGAAAGCATCAATAATGACAAAGTTATATCCCCTGGAATGTCTGGATAAGTCTCTACCATTGACTCTTATTACAGCTCTGCCACATCCTGGTCGTCTGCCTGGATCACTGCAACCTTCACTCCTTATCACAATCTTCATTCGCCCTATTATAGAAGTACCAACATGATTAAATTTTTGTTGAAGATATATTTGTGAAAAAAAGAAATAAGTGAAATAACATGGCTAAATTTTAGTTGTTTTCAACTCTTGTAGAAATATTTTAAAAATATTTGATAAAGCTTTTTGTTAGCCTTTTAATCAATAGGAGTGGTTATACTTTATCAGAAATATCAGTTTTCCAAAACCTCTGTGCTAGCAACTTAGCTTTCAACAATTACTTACTTTTTGGTGGTGCAATTTGAGCTAAAAGAAAAAGGAAAGAGTTCAACTGGGCTGTGTTTTCAATAGTGTCATTACGTGCTAATTTAATAGGCCTGTCAGCACATAATCTTTAAAAATACTATCTTAAGTGACATTGGGATTTTCATTTTAGATAATTTGCCTAATTTGCAGAATGAAAAATTATCCGAACTAAGTTACCTGCAACAGGAATTGGTATTCTTGCAGTAAGAGTACTTGGACCACGTCTTCTGCCATTTCGACGCTAAATTGCAAAGATTATGTGTGAAAAATTAACGTGTTACGCGAAATTATAAGTTAAAAAATGCATGGAATAAAAATAAATAACATTTTGCTTTCGTACAAAAGCATGGGTGTAAATAAGCATTGTTGTTTATTCTTACCTGCCTGACCCATCGAGGTTTGCCTGGTCCACTGAATCCAATCAATGCAAAAGAACTACGGTATCTTAATTGAGGATTTCTTGCACCAATTCTTTTTAAGGCTTTGTATGCTAAGTATTTCATTTTTTTACTGCCTTCATCTTGAACTGCAACCAATATTATTTTGCTGCAATGAATATAAAAATGGAAGCTGTAATCTTGTGTCTTTGAATTGAAACTGTTTTAATCACATGCCTAAAGAATAATTCTATAATAGTAAATAAAATTAATTTATTCGAAGACAACTGTTTTAATTTGTTAGTTTAAGTAACACGTCTCCAAGCTCAGTTAGAAAACAAATAATCTTACTTTGGAGAAAGTCCCTTCAAAAATGCCTGCATCTTTGCTGCAGCCGAAGGTCTTCCATGCGTATCAAAATGCCTTCTTCGTTCATATCTCCCTAAATAGTTTGATGCAAGATATAGGAATTGTAGTCAATACTGATACAGCTAATGCCTCAGAGTACATATTTCTGGAATTTATACTCTATTGATTATGGGTTTCACCATTCTGACAGTAAAGCAAACACACCATGGACCAAAACTCTTTCAAACTTTCACTGTGAAAAGCTCTGGGTAGCAAGCATTTCATTTACCTGTCATGCCATTAATAATAAGAATATTGAATCCTCTTCCTCTTGAACCACGTGATGGTGAATAGTCTCTTCCATTAACTCTGAATCTAGCCCTTCCACAGCGAGGCACTCTGCGACCTCTTATTTTGTCATCACAACCTACACTTTGGACATACACTCGAAGTCTTCTTACTGCAAATAAAGGATGAAATAATTATATTCATGCAATATTTCCAAAAAAATATTTCTCCTTCCCTCAGATCACAAAAATCGACTACCCCCCAAATCCAATTATTTCAACAAGTGTTGAGTTTTCTTAGAAGAAAGACCCTAGTCATGCAATGCAATGAATGTTCATGATTTTAGAATATAGTGCTTATAAATTTGGTAAAAGTCGATTTACCTGGACGAGGGCGTGGTAACACAGGACGTGAAACTGAAACGGAAATATTTCATATATTAGGTACGTCAACTCTAAAGCTTAAAATAAGCAAAGGCAATTATCATACATCAAAGAATAAAATAAGAAAAATAAACCTGGAAGATATTATAATGTAATTAGCAAATAGAGTGGATGGCTATACTGGAATATTAATTTACCTTTAACTCGGATGTGAACATTGAGTGTGCTAGGGCCTCGATAGCGTCTTCTGACAACCTAATTTTGATGATGCATGGAACAATTAATTCCACTTGGATTGAGATCGAATGTGCTGAGTGCTTCTGTCAATATACAGTTTCAGATACTATTACAGCACACAACATTTTCATTCTCTAATCCACCCATTCTTTCAAAAGGATTGACAACATGATGAGAATGTAAATAAAGTACTAGTATGATCATTACATGACTACAATAAAAGTTTTTAAGGAGACATACGGTTTTAATATGTTTATTGCTCAGACCACCAGTTTGGCCAACCATTGCTATAGAACCACGATAGTCTCGTACAGAGCGCCTGGCTCCAATACGTCGTAAAGCCTGTCTTGCTCGTGATGTCATGCGACGTTTGCCTTCATCTTGGATTGCAATGAGCACATATTTTCTACAGTTTACCACAGGAAAATAGCAAAGTATGAGCACAGTAGACCACCAACTTATCAACAGTATTAAACTTATAAGCAAATGGGTTCATCTAGTGTAAATATATTTGTCTAGAGTAGTAACAGATTGATACAAAATCAGAGATGAACCTTATGGACCACTGTTTAAAGTGATGTAATTAAAATTTCAGGCCCTTATTTTTTCTACCATAATGGAAAAAACAAAGGGCTGACATGCACATTAGAACTGATAAAGCTATCTAATCAAAAAGTTGGGTAATTTTTAACTTTCCTGCTGTAGTAAAGCTGAAGTAAATAAGAAATTACCCTAGCCGGACAAGAAGAAAAGTTAATACCTCAATAAAAAATAACTAATAGAGTAATCCACTATTTTATTATGTAAAATGTTACCCACCTTCGAGGAAGCCTTCTTAAGAAGTTTACCATTCGATTTGCTGCCCCTCTGGATGCATGGGTATCATAAGACCTTCGCTTTTCAACATTTCCTGAAAATTGGAATAAACTAATATCAACAGGGCAACACCATGAGTGGATAAATTACTGTTAAATTCTAGCAATTTTAATCGGATAAGTTATTTCATACCAGTATTAGAATTGATGACGACAATATTATACCCCCTTCTTTTAGGGGCATAATCTCTGCCATTTATCCTGATAAATGCAACTCCACATGAACCATGGCGGCCTTTATCGTTACATCCTTCACTGATTATTTGAACATTTAATCTCATCCCTGAAGAAACAAACATTTTTTCAATACAAGTAAATACACCCTCATTGCTAATGATAACCATTTTACCAGGCCAAGTCAGGACTTCCTAGTCCAAGCAATTGATATTAGAACTAAACTATATTGTCAATGTGTATTATTGATTTCTCTTCTATAAGAAGAACTTTAGCATTTAAATTATGAATTCAAAGATTGTTTGTGAGTTATAGGCATTGTACCTCGTTTGGGGCGCTTTCCTAAAGGTGGAAAAAAAAAGTGTCAGGATAACAAAATTCAAGGCACAATAGTAAATGGAAACAAGAGCACAAATAGATAGAAGTTGAAATGAATTTACCCTTTGCAGCATTTTTTCCAATAGTTGAAATAGCATTAAGATTAATTCCATTACTGGCTGCACCTGAACCACCAACTCCAATAACTGAATTACAAGAAAATGACACATATTAATGTTCATCTAATATTGGGTTTAACAGTCCGGAGCAAATGCGACAAGCTATAGTTTGAAAAAAACAGCAAAAGTTTTCTATTCCATGTTGATTTCCAACAAATTTCTGCTGCCTCTATGTTTGGGCATTAAAGCCCTGCTTGCAACATTGAACAAGCAACGTTAAAGATATCCTAAATGAAAACTCACCATTATTCAGATTAGAAAGGAAAGATAATATCTGTCGTCTACTCAGTCTTCTAAAATTCCATCCAAACATACAAAATTTCTGTGATGAACATATTTGTCGCAGCTGAGTTCCTCTACCACTACCAATTCCAATGGCAAATATTGAGACTCCACTTAGCTTCATAGTTCTGCCAACAGAGGCAACACGATAACTTCTTGATGCAGTTATAGCAATCAAAATTTGGCTGGCATGCTTTCTTTTGCTTCGTGAAAACATGGCTCGAGCTCTATTCAAAGCACTTGGAACATTGCATCTGCTTGCACGACCAACATAGCCAGTCTATTAAAAAATTTAATATACACAAGATGGATAACAAGATATTGATATAATTTTCTAATTGATTAGCATACCATGAGAGACAGTGTGCTAACAGACTATCTGTCTCTTATGTGTTCCTCAATGACGAATATATGAATCAGGTTTTAATTAGAAAACAATATTTCGGATAGAATTTCCAAGAAGACTAGCCTATAACATTATTGCATGAAAAGGTATCTGAATGTGTAATAAGTAAAGTTATTATTTTATTCAGTATTCAGGAGAAAAATGAACAAAATAGGACTGTACCTTTCCCACTCTTCTGGTCATTGTCAAGACACTCTTACATCTTCTAAAGTTGAACACAACTCGGCTTGATCTATCAGCTATGATGAAACCAGCTCGCACACCACGATGAGAAATACCAGTTGCAGTGAAGATAATCTTGACAATTTCCAAGGCTATTCTGAAGTTTACCTTACCCATAGACTTAGATGCATCTAACACAACAATAATGTCAGCAGCAACTAAAAACAACACAATCACAAAACTATTTTATTCGTCTGAAATAACTAAATTTCCTATAAAATACCTAAGGCAATACTAGTCTAGAATAACCCATTAGCTTGCAAAGCACCTAGGTGAGCCCTACTTTAGTATTTTACTCTTCATTCATCAGAAAAGAGTACTGCCCACTGAATTTCAGTGACAGCTAATATCCTGAAATTGAGGGAATCTAGCTATATTTCACAACGTTATTTGAGGCTTGTTGTTTAGGATTGTGCACAACTCTAGTTTGTGTCATAAGTGCTCTATTCAGCAATTTATGTTTGAAAACAACATACCACTCCCAGCACCACTTGAATACCCAACCAGAGCTGAAATAGAAAAAAAAGTTAGACAGGACTTTAATAGCATGCTTTGTGTTGTAAAATTTGAAGTTGAAGTGAAAGATCATGTCAGAATAGCTTAGGGGAAACATATTTAACATATCCAGGGAAATACTAAAGCATGCGTGATTAGACCTTTTTGCATGTGCTCTTTCTTTTTCAGTACAACTGCATATTAACACAAATATACTGTATACCTTGTCCAATTCGAGTAATCACTGGGCGGATCTTCCTATTCAAACCATTCGCTTGAGAAACAAGTGCCGTAAACCTTGGAGTGGTAGCCATACCATTCAGTGACTGCCGGGAGACTTGTCTGCTTGTTCCAATTGCAAACACCAGTATCCCAGAAATCCTAGCACTACCAGAGGCGGAGAGATACCGCCAGCCACCATAAGATGGGCCATTATGAATAACAATCAAAACATTAGGTATGCCTCTACGTGCAGATCTTCCAAATAGCTGTCTTTGGGCAACTTGAAAACCTGAATGAAGCATCAAGTTCCCTGCAGAATTTCGAACCCGACTGAAAGCCTGATCCAGTTGCCTCACAGTATAGTATGTATTCAAGTTGAACACCATAGTTGCTCTACTGGAACAGGTTACCAATCCAACATGGGTGTCTGCCCTGCCAATAGGAAATGCCTGGTAGATCTTCTTGGCAAAGGCGATTGCTCGAATAAAGCTTCTCGAGTCCATCCTGGATGAGATGTCAATCAGGAATCCTAAATCAACCTTGGTTCCTATAAAAAACACCAACTGTTATATAACACCATAGATTAATACATGACAAAAGACAATATAATGCAGTACAAAGATCAATTCTACTCCAAAATTTATATACAAAACTGACCTGGAGGCATAGCAACAATAGGAATACCACCAGTACCAGGCCGGGGTGGTGGATCAGTTTGCGCAGCATTTGGATTGACACCAACAAGTTCGTTCACAGGTTTAGCTAAAATACCATACAAGATACAATTAGCATGATATGCTTCAGTTACGTACATTGTAATGTGATATGATTTCGAGTGGTCAAGCTATGCTGTGCAATGCCAAAAAGATGAAAAAATTATCCAGAGGTACAGAGTGTAAATATTATATAAACCCTGAGCATACCCATAATAATCTTGTTCACAACTATGGTTAGAATTTTCATCAATCCCATGAAATTAATAGTCATCCTATTTCCTCCAGATGGGGGTGAGGACATGATAGTAAGATCTGTTTGATCAACAATAGGTAAGATTCCAACAGTGATTATTGTGATACCAACTCTTTTGGCAGCTGTGGAAGATCGACGAATACGGCCTCTACTTTTGCCTGCTGTTATAACCACGAGAACATTTGGGGTGTCTTTTCGAGAATACCTTGCAAATATATTTCTTCTTGCAACTCGTATTGCCTTAGCTAGATTGAGATTGCCTCGTTTCTGGCGCAGGCGTCGAATATAGCGCTTCATTGTTCCCTTGTTCCTGGTATTAAAGTTGAAGACAATGCGAGATTGGGTCCAAGCTGATATGAATGCGATCTGAACAGACCTCCTTGAGACTGAAAATGCATCAACGATACCACTGGCAAATGCTTTTAACCGATTGAAGTTTGCTTTAAGGTAATTACGTCTGGTTGTTTTACCCCCCATTCTACTGGCAATGTCAAGAATGATAACCAGGTCGACTGAAACAGATGGTCCTTAAAGAGAAGAAAAAAGATGAAGTTGTTATTATACATTTACCGGAAAATAGGATGTTTTAACATGTGAAAAAATTCAACCAGAGACAAACAGCATCATCTCAATTTTAACGGATCAACACATCAATACTAACTAGATTTCTTCTGCTCAATTGCTCCAGCCTCTGCAAAAAAGATAAATACAGCAAACTAGTGAGTTTCACCTTACATGATTAAAAGCAATGGAGTAAAAATTTTAAAACTAACTATACGTCTTATACTAACCTTTGCACACATCTGATTGCATCTTGCTGATAATGGAGCGCAATTGCCGGAAACCAGCTGTAACAACATGCTTCTTCTTTGGAGAGCTTGCCATAATTTGCAGCTGCCTCCTATTATACCTTTTTCCAATTCCCACAGCATATACAACAACGCCTGCTTTGTGTAAACGTCTCGACATTACGTTTACACGGTCTGAAGATCTACCATCAGTCATAACAATAAGCACTTTGGGACGTCCGCGACGTGCTTTACGTAATACGTCTCTGTAGATTTTCTTTAGTCCTTTTGCTGTGTATGTTCCTCGTCTAGGGTACCTAGATGGTGCCAAATAATTCACTTTGATCCGGTACTTTTTTTGTAGTTTTCCTCTCATTAGCATTTTAAGTGCAACTCCTGTGTCAGACGTCCTTGAGCAAAAGATTTAATCTTACCTTATGCGATCGATTGCTCGATTTACTTGATTTAGATTCGAGTAGGTATCCAGATTGAAGATCAAGGTCGTTTTTGTAGAGAAAACAGTTACAGAGATACGCCCTTGTGATCGGGAGATTGTGAATGAACTGGCAACTTCTTTCACAAAATTTAGGCATCGTTTGAAATTTCCTTTGCCATATGATTCAATGCTTCCAGACCCATCCACTAAAAACATCAACTCTACTTTTGCCTTACAACTCTTAGCACCTGAAAGAGAAAGGAACAATGATGTATAATGATGACAAACCCCTAAAAACATGATATTGGTGGCTTTCTATTTTAATTAAACTGTTTAAACATGAAACAAAAACCGATTTACTTGTAGTTGTAATATGACTACCATCATGAACAATCTATTTTCTATCCATCTTTATGGTAATTCTGTTAAACTTTAACGTAATTCTGTTAACTTACCTTTGCATAAAGTTCTGGTCATAGGTTTTAATGCCTTGGTCAAGCCTGTGAAATCTCGCCTAAATATATGTGCTGAATCCGTTGCCATATATGCAAGTTGTCTGTAACTGTATCTTGAACCAAGGCCAACAGCAAATACTTCTGCTCCACTGGCTTTAAGTCTTTGAGCAGGTCCTCTCACTTTGTCTGCAGATATACCATCTGTCATCACAATTACAACCTGAAACACATTATGCAATAATTCAATCCTTCACAACAGAACCCCCTCCCCTCCTCTTCCGCCCTCCCCAGCAAAATTCACATTCCTTTATGTGATTCCACACCTTCAACAGTTCAATTTCCCTGTCCACTCGCACACTCGACCCAAATTAATCTCACCTCAATTTATCTTCCTACCATTGCTTTAAATTATTCCTAACTTTACTCAATTAACACAGTTCAATTTTATCCCTTTTCACCTACACCTTATCCTATCTTTGCTTTTATCCATTTTATCTGCTCTCCCCTTTACCTTAGACACAGCCTTTCTTGCTTTTCGCATAATACTAGTTTGCACCAACCGCATAGCTGCTCCAAGCTTTGTTCCACCACGCGGATATTTTATTCTCTGTATAGCTTTTGTAACAGAATTCCCATCCCTGTAGGTGTCTAACGAGAATACCGTCCTTGCACGAGTCGAGAACAGCACCATGGCTACTCGCGCTTTGCTAGGAGATATCGTAAACGACCGCTCTACTTGGACGATGAAATTTAAGCATCGTTTGAAGTTTCCGCGTCCAAGAGCCTCAATACTACCAGAACCGTCGAGGACAAAGATGAGCTCAACTGGACTGCTACACACGGGACCTAAAAGAATGGAACAATGGAAGCACTCTTGAAGTCATAAGAAGAAAAAGACCGGCCCACTCAGTGATATTATTAATGATCAGTTACAAAACCCTATGCTGGAGCTTAATATCTGGCAGGGAGTCTCATGTGAAAACTCCGTGCAAAGATCATATCTTCTTTTGTCTCAGCATTAGCTACTTGTTTAGCAGGTAAGTTTGGAACTCTAATGACAAGTTGTTCCTTCAAAAAGTACATAGTACTGTCTTTTTAAAGTCTTTTCCCTATAATAGAGCTTTTCCGTGGAACGACTTGCCAGAGTCCCTCTGATTACCGTTTTCTCCTACAGCGTTTGAAAGTAGCAGTCAGGTTTCCCTATATTCTACACGAGCACACGGAGAACAGTACTTTTTATAGCGTATAATATTCTAATCTTTATGTACTGATAGTTTAGATTCCGTGGTTAAATAAAGTCCGTGTATGGATGCGTATGTATGGCCTTACCTCCAAATGGTGCAATAGCTGGCGGAGGTCGTGGACGACGTCGGCGATTTCTACGTCGTCTACGTCTTCTCCGTCTCCGCTTTAAGCGTCTTCCCCGTCTTCTTCGTCTCCGTCTTAAACGTCTTCTACGTTTGCGAACTCGGCGTCTTCTTCGTCTTCGCTTTACACGTCTTCTGCGTTTCCGACTTCGGGGTCTTCTTCGTCTGCGCTTAACACGTCTTCTTCGTGTCCGCCTTACACGCCTTCTGCGTCTCCTTCTTCGACGTCGTCCTCTTAAAGACTTAATGTACTCGTCAGTGAAAGCTTTTCGTTGGAAGACTCCTTTACAAGCGCTCATTTTTGATTCCGTGGTCTGGGTGGAGGACTTAACTCCGTTTCGAAGGAGGAAAGTGTCAATATCATCTTCCGGTTCATCGTCCTCATCGTCGTCTTCGTCATCATCACCTAGGTAACGGGAATATAAATTTCGATATTCAGTGTCACGTATCTTCTCGTGAAGGTCCAAGAGTGCTGCACCACAGGGCATATGCAAGCGTGACCTGTGGTAAAGCTCTTCTGGGCACTCCTATGATCTCGCACACTGTGTTATATTTCAACTCTACGGCAGACAAGTGTCCAACAGTGATTTGAGAAATGTATCAGCAATCAGCAGATTTACGGGGATGTTTACATGATCCCGCTTACCCGAGATTCAAATGAGATGACTTTGAGGTATTGAAATGAGCATATAACATAAACATGGCAGTCGTGTAGTCATTCCGACAATAGCATGTTCTTGTTTTTGGTTTTATAATAGACTTTTTTCATTACCTCATCCTTCGTTGAATCACGGGTAACCGGGCTCATGTAAACCGGCAACCCCTAAGATGCCAATTTTAATGTCTCTATTACCGTAATTAACAGGCATAACGCTGTCGCTTTTGATCTCTGACTCTCCCAGTACAACGCCAGACGACTTCTTAGATGGATTAGCCGAGGCATCTTCTTCACCAGTTCCTATCAGAGAGGTGCATATATGATTGATTTCCTCAGGCTTGGCAAATCTCCCCAGGTCGTCTCCTCGGCCGATCTTGTTACGTGACGTAGCATAATTCTCATCATCGTCATCAAAGCCGCTATCACCGTGCTTGCTTGATTTTTGACGATTGGGACGATGTTTGGCGGATGACATGGCTAGAATGACAATATTTAAGAAATGAACAGATATAATAGAGGTGAGTGGGTAGACTCACTAAATGAGATCAAAACTACTCGTTAATAAATCTTCTTCATACCAACCAACGTGAAAGGCGGTAAACATGAAGTTTCATTGGCTCCGCAAAAAGAACAAGCCAATTAATCTTCGTGTAACATTAGGCTATTCACAACGTCATTATATGAGGAGAGTCTATTGCCTGAATGTCGAGTTAATATTGTACCATACATGAGACGTATGGTGCATACATACCATCGCTTTGTGCAACGACCGAGGTTCCAGGGCTGTCAGACTGGGCAGAAGATCGCACGTTCTGAACCAGTTGACCGGTTGGATCGGCGTAGCTCTGATTCGCATAGCCCGGGTTGTACTCAACGTTCTGATTGGTCAGTCCTGTGTTGTAGCCGTAACTTTGACCCGCAACGTTTTGCCTGTCCACCAACGGCCCGACGCCATCGTCGGGTGCAACACCCTCGGTCAGGTTTCGAGCAGTCACTTGGGATACGGGGTTCGGTTGAGAGGATGCGGTTAGGGCCGCAAAACGATTGTCCAGTTGTCTTTTAATAGCGTCTAGAAAGAGAGATCAGAAAAACGGTCAGTTCAAGAGAGAACGCATATTAATAAATATCGAGGTAAAAACCTCCAATTTTGGCTTTTGACACGAGTTTTTTTAAAGAACATATTAAATGCATAAAATGTAGTTTCAGTCATTCATAAGATCTATGAGAGCATTTTTAAACTTTGGCTTATCCACCGTTAAGCTAAACGTCTTTCGAACAACCGGCCTCTGGCCATTAAATTCGACTAAATATGTCGACATTTTAAAATGAGATCAATGTTTGGTTGAGAACTGTTTCTGTTTGCTATAGAGTTTGATAACTGTAGGCCAAATTATTTGTATTTTATGCAAAAGTTTAACTAATCTAAGCAGTTCAACTAAATGAAACGCCATGCACGAGATGCATCACTTATGGGAATATGAATCAAGGCAACTCAGTTACTTCCAACCAATTAGGAAAACGACAATGCATCTGGTTTTTCAGAAAATCGCCGAAAAAACTCCCAAAAGTGGGAAAAGACCATTCACGTGAATGCTAAAGACTCTGACAGAAGAACAAACGAGTTTTTAAATGGCAAAAATTTGGTAGTCAAATTGGGAACATTCAAGCGTTTGTCATGACGAAGAGACAATGCCAAATTCATATGGGGTTTCACCCCCTATCGTTTATACACAATGACAAATACATATGAAGAAAAAATCGTTTAAAAAAGGGAACAGTTGATGCAAATTCTTTTGAAGACCTACTCTCAACCCAGACTCAATTCGTATAAATGAAGTCAGCAGTGATTAAGTTAAGATACCTGTCATCTTAAATAATCTCCAAAAGAAAGGTTACTTATGGTAATTATTAAAAAAACACACACAAAAAATTGATCTTTATACATATATATAAAGAAGAAACTCACCCGATTGTTCATCTGAATGAACGAGCCGTGTTCCAAATATGGAAAGTAAATAAATCAAAAAGATTTTGAAATCCATCTTTCTCTCATAGAGAGAATAAGGGTAACAGCAAAAGTCTGCTGTTTCTCGAAAGAAAAACGCTCTGAAGTGTCTTTCTTATAGAGCTAACTTTCGCAGAAAGCAAAATTCTATAGTTCACCGTAAAATTTGATGAAAAAAAAGTAAGTCAAAAGCTTGGAATATCGCCGCTACATCAATTGCAAGGCAATCGATAAAATATGCATGCGATATTTTGCTTTCGTTGAAAAGGTCGTTCAACAGACCGGCTCGTTACTAGTAAAAACAAACAGGGTGGCGCAATAGAAAATTGAAAACAACTTTAGAAATAGGAAAATATAACTTGGTAAACAAGCTTTAACGTCTTTTAGCCACAAAGAACAATATATCGAGAAACTAAGTTAAGTTGTCTTTGTGAAAGCTTCACTCGGCCTTCAGCACCTAACCCAGGGAGATAGCTATATGGTGTCTATAGAGTACAGTTAATTACGCCAAGTGTCCTAGTAAAAACTTATAGCATAATATTACACAAATTAGCATAGGTTATGTTATGTTTATCAGATATGTAAAAACAACCAGTTTTCCTCTTCAAAGACTAGTGTTGTTTGGTGAATATAGACACTCGTCCTTAATAATGAATGGGATTGTTTAAACGCAACAACGAATTCCCCAGACTCATATCATATGTAGTCACAGTTAGTGCGAGAATATATGCAACACGATATTCAATTATACATCATTGATTATTGAATTCGACTTGAGCCTCCAGACAGTCTCTTCAAATAACTTGTCACCAAAAGCGCCGGTTTTAAACAATTGCGCGAAATATTATACGTTTCTCGGCATTTCAATCGAAAGGCCATTGTCAGAGCGGTTGGTGTGACTAGCTTTCATACCAACTCTTAATTCCGATGCAAGCCTTAGCGTCAAAACTGAAGTCTTCTTGTATATTTTAGACAGATGCAGAAGCATATATTTAATGATACATTGTGTTGAAAAGACGTCTAACATGCTGTTTTCAAGTTCTCATTGCCCCTAAACTAGCAGTTCTCGAGACTCGGTCTTATAAAAGCTACTATTTCATTGACCACACCACAGGTCCACAGTCACCCGATGGTCTCTTTTAGTGGGAAAAATTTACATTTACATTAACTTTCCCCGACGGGGATTATTATCCCTGCAGATAGGGATCTTGCATTGCTTGGCTGACAACTAAAATTGAGGAAGTTACTACGATTGAGTCCAAAATACACAATCATCTCAATCCTGAATATTAATCCCAAATCCTATTAGCCGAAATTTCAATCGATTTAGATTTAGAATTAGGGATCGGTTTAGGATTAGGTTATGATCGTGTATTGCGGACACAGAATCATTACCGGAACACAGATTTTCGATCAATCATTGACTGTGTACTCCCTCCGGTCTCTAATAATTGTCTGGATACTCATGAAATAATTCCGTTCTTCACCACTTCATTTATTTCCTAGTAACTGTATCTTACGATGATCAACTTTCTCTAAATGCACAATACTGGGTCAAGCATTAAGGAAACCTTTTGCATACTGCCATATCACACGACCCTCTACAAAATACCAAAAACTGAATACTTCTAATCAAACATATTCAAACAGCTGCAGCTAAAGGTCGTGATTTACTTTTGAGAGATATCACTTTGGCAAACACATTTTTTGCAGGCATCATACATATCTCTTGTTGGTTCTGCCTTACCAACCAGACAATAGCAGTTTCATTGGTGATCTAAAGGATACGGTCTTAACTGATCTGTAAACGATTTGAGTTCATCCGCAATGCTATCCTGCAGTAAAAATAAAAGATTAGTTATCATTTTGCTTTCCCTACTTTGAAAGTTCCTATGTTTCATGAATTCCAAATCTTCCCCCACACAGAGAATCTGTGGAAATAAAAGTCACCAAATGAAAATGCAGAAAGAGAAATGAGTGTCTGGTTAGTTCCATATAATTATGTAATTGTAGTTCATCCATATTTACTACCACAATACTGTGCAGTAGTGACAATACTTACTTGTTGAACTGAAGACACAACACTTGCTTCCACAAGATATGAACTTGATATGGCCTCAACATGTGACGTGTTGCCACGGGTCGGCAGCTACATTTTGTAATTCAAAGAGTAATTTGTAAGTGAGGGTGCAGAAAAAAAATAGAGAACTATACAAAACCTTAGGGAAACAAACCCTATGAATTCTTGAAATAGTAACTCTAATATCTCCCTTTTTGAAGTAGTACCCTTTAGCAATGTATTCACTCTCAAATCTGCAAAAGAAATATGAAATGATAGTTATACTATTTCCCTGGTAAAGTTCAATTAAAGTCTGGTATTGTACCAACATTTCACTTGGAAATATTAGTGGGATATTATTACCCAAATCCAAGCTCCTCTAAGAATGTAGTGAGGTTGTCTGTGGTCATAACTTCAAGACATGTACGGGTTAACACATTCTTGCTTTTCTCAGCCACCTGATCCGCTTCGCCAAGGTATCGAAGTTGCCTAAACAATTAGAATGAAACTTCATAAAAAATGGACCTTCACAGATATGCAAGAAAATATTACATACAAGATGTGCTATTTTTGTTCAATCATAAAATTATCAAGAGCAGCCTTAAAGTATTATTATGGTATATCTGACATCTTTGCTAGTTACTACACTGCTTAAAATTGCTGCTTGCATTGCATCCAACGAACATGATTGTTATCAGGTTGCAGCAAAATTCTGAGGCTTATAACAAGTTGCTGCATGCAACTAGACTAGATAACAACCATGTTTGTGGGGTGCAGCACAACACATCATAGTTTCATCAGTACCGTTACATACATGTTGCAAAAGATGGCGAAATTTCACTGCTTGTAATTTATAAATGTATAAATATTTAAGAGTATAGATACCAGGGCATTTCATGGCTGTCAAGGGAACACCTTGCACGAAGGGTTATTGGATTTGAACCTTGATCTAAACAGTGGAAACGTTTTTTATGGTCGTTTATACTCTCACGCCGAGTCACCGATCAATCATCAATGCACGTGGTTAAAAACACGATTTGAAAAACTTACATTGTCGTAATCCGTAGACAATTTCGTGGTCCGCGAACTTATTATGTGTTGTCGAAGGATCGCACAATCCCTTTAATCTGTGTCGAAGAGATGATAGGCCGCTTTCTTCAACAGAACCTTGCAGAAAATACTCAAGTTGTTGTGATCGAGTGGCCGCCATGGAGGGTATTTAAATTTTAATTCCGGGAAACTTCATGTTACACATATCTTTGGCCCTGGCGCAATATATGCGAAATCGCCCACTAGCTAGTAAGCCACTCATGTTCACGCTGAGGGTTTATTACCAGTAAAGCGATATAAAATACGATTCATTTTTTATTGTTTAGTAAATAACATTGAGGTACTTTCCAGAGTATTACTGTAGATTCAATAAATTGCTAACCATGGGTTTATTAGTTATTACATAAATACCAGACATGACCTACAAAAAACTATTTGACCTTTTTATGTCTGGTTTTATATAACTAGCATGTGAAAATCTTCACATTATATAATTATATTTACAACGATTAAGACTTCAGATTCCAGTCTCTGACATGTACAACAGACTGATGGTACGTAAAGTCCAATTTAATTTAAAAATTCCTTTTTTCTAATTTATCTTTCTCTTCGTACTAATACACTCTTAAGAGTTAAGAGCATATCATAGTCAATTTTAAAATGTTTGTCTTTTGCGTTAACTTGTCTTTTACGCTTCTTACGATCGTAGTTTTTGAAGTTGGGCCTGGATTTCTTTCAGTTCGTCGTCTTCCTTCGACGCAGAGGCTTCACGGGGCGCTGAGGGAAGCTGGTCGAAATTAAAAATAAAAAAAATACATTTTGATTTTTTTTGCTAGTAAAAAAGGGTACGTTACCTGAGAGTATAGCCTCTCTGATTTCATACTAGCTTAAGGAGTAAGTAGTGTGATTCATTACCTTGCTGGTCATATCAATTCCAATTTCATCCAGTACTTGGGTGACAATTGCATCTTGTTCCTCTTCATCATCTGATGCATCAAATACTGAATCCAGGGTCTCATTCACTGGAGGAGAAAAACATTCATTTGTTCAAGAAAATGGCCGATGCTTGGGAAAAGGTGAAGTGAATTCCACCAAAGGGTGACTACAATGGATACTGATCATTGGGAATCCATGCAAGCCAATTTGTTCACACAAGCCAATTTTGGCGAATCCAATTCACTTCTGATGAATGTCCGTTGACTTGTGATGCATATACACCAGAAGTTAATGGGATCAGACAGAATTGGATGGGGTAAAGAGATCTTTAGACATTGGAAAGGCATGGACAATAAATCTTACTTAGTTCTTCGGACATATCCATTTTCATGGATTCTTTTTCAAAGTTTTGTAGTGTTCTTTGTACATCTTGTGGATTCATCTGCTTATTGACTGCTCCCATGGTCTATTTATTCATGAAAAAAATAAATTCATAAGTAATAAACCTATTGAACAAAATTAAAGACTTTGGTCTGATTGACTTTTGCTATCACCTTTGTTGCAGTTGCCATTGAGCTGGCCATCTTTGCTGTTGATTGCATAGCCTGCATTTGATGTCCCATACCCATAACTTTAGAACTGGTGTTCATATTTCTCGCCTTTTGTTTCCGCAGTTGAAGCAATTGTTTTGCTAATACTGTACATGCCTTAATTGAACAATAAATAAAAGAATGATAAAACTGGCCACCACCTTCTTCAACAGGCAACATTAAACTATTATCTACTGTACCTGCTTGTTCCCTTGTTTAGCCATTTTCTTGATTTCCAGCTCCTAAGGTTACATGAGAAAGATTACTTACTAAAAGTACCATATATCACATGAAATAATACTATATCAGTAGTTATTAAACTTATTATGGTATAATGAGATCAAAAGATCGATGCTTACCAACTGCTTTTCCTGACGTTCTAGAGCAGTCTTATCTCTACCTAATTCTCGTTGAGTTCTATTTATTGCCCTTTTCTGCTGCCTCATTTGTTCTAAGAAGAAATACAATAATTATATGGTATTTTAATAGCCAACTTTAGAGACTGTTTTGATGGATTTCTTTGACATCAGATAAACAATAAAATGACTTATGACTATAGAATTGACTATATTATATGTGGATATTTGAAACATATATAAGAAACATACCTTTGGGATCTGTTTTCTTAAACATTTTGGCATTCAAGTACACTTCAAAAGTATTGCTAAAACCTTTCAGAGTTGAATTGTGCCACGATGATAAGGCAATGATGTATTTAGCTATTTTTGGCTCCTGTGGGCGGCCATTTTTGTTTACCACTTTACCTTTAAACTGACTCGGAAACGTTCGCGATTAGTTCGCGCTATACTCGGAAATTTAAATCGGCAAAGCCCGGTTAACGGAGGGCGTTGCCAGTAATAGACTTTTCACTCTCTAATCCGGGGGGTTTCTATGACTTTCTAAATCTAAAACGATCTGTATGCCCGCGGGAATCGATCCACGGGAAACTCTAATAATCTGCCATGTTCCTTAAGACTAACTGACTAACCTATCAGATAAGATTAATAAAAAAGTCACAATTGTTTCTGTGAAAATTTCCCAAATCCTTTTGTAGTCAGAAAACATTATTTAGTTAGAATATAGTCTATTCATTAAAAGTTTACAACTGAAAGCGAAACTTATTAGTTCTGGACAGACGTTTTTACAAAGGTGAAAAACAGGAAAAGCCTTTCACTTTTAGACCAAATCCTTTGTTTGGATATTTTGAAAAAGTCCCGTCAAGTATTGCAAATATACTGAGACTCCATTCAACTTTGCTAAGGCTCTTTTCATCTTCACCCCTCATGTTTTACGAGAATTTACACCTCATTCGTCCTCGAAATATATAAACAGAGCTCATCTGAATCTTGTCTGCTCGCATATGTGGTTATATCGACTAAAAAATAGCATGAAACGATTTATGGTACTTTTAGGTAAAAGAAGAAAGGCTCGTTTCTTCAACTCACCTGGCATGATGTGGATTATTTGGGTTGGTTTGTGTTCGGCAGTTCTTTCCCCAATGGCAATGCGGTCGGGACGTCACAGCAGCTGAAAGGAATATAAGTAGCGGTCAATCGTAGCTAGTACCATGATAGCAGGATGTGACTGGTTTTCTGCGAAGATGGTGGTCTTCGTGAAAGAAATAAGAGTGATTAAGCGATAATTCCACCACCTTGTGTGAGGAGTGGACTGTAGGGGGCAGTTATCCCCCCACCTTTTCGGTATCGATGGAGCCTAGAAATGGGTTTAAAAGTACCCTTTCTTGCAAGGGGTAGTTGAGGGAGAGTTAGAGGGGGTTGTGAGGATAGAGGAAGAAACGGTATTGAGGGATAATAAGTACAAAAAGGTCTTCTGCAAGAATGATGGTCTTGTATGTCATTGGCTTCTGTAGACTTGTACATATGGCACGTTCAAACTGCTTTCCGAGTTTGAAATGTCGAAATTATTTTACGATCTGATTTGAAAACATTCTGAATGTGTAACGACATTTTTCAGAGAGAACGAACTGGAATGGATTTTGTATTTTGTGACCAACCTGGGAGCTCCTCGTTTGGAATGTCTCGGCGAAATTGAAACGCCAGTTCTTTAAGATTCTTGAGCGCGCAGCGATAGCACAGTATGAAAATTGAACTTAATTCAGGTTTCATCACAAGATCTGAAATATAATGTCATTTTTTACTCCACTGGGAAGCATTGTATAATTGATAAATTAGCATGAAGGAATATTTGCCGCATAATGGTAAAATATGTTCTACATACCTGTCGTCGTGTAAGTCTTTGTATCCAACTTTTCCAAACATTTTGAAAGAAGATCTTGAATGTTCCTACCTTTGTCGTTGAGGTAATTCTTAAAATGTAACAAAATACCGGTATCCATCAAATATAGTCTTCTCTCCAATACAGATATCTCTCTAATACAGACACCTCTCTAATACGGACACACCTCTCTGATACAGACACCTCTCTAATACAGACACACCTCTCTAATACAGACACCTCTCTAATACAGAAATCTCTCTAATACAGACACGCCTCTAATACAAAATACGAATTTTAAACACCTACCTTCAAGATCTGCGACTCGTATTTATTATTCAGTATTACTCCATCAAGGCAATTGCTGTTGAATTTGATATCTACACGCGAAATTTCAACAATACATAATGGTTCTAACGCCAAACTATTTTTCATGCTAGGATTTAGATATACTGTAAAACGCTTTTGCTCTGACAAATATAAAATCTTCTGCAATTAACCATGAGCCTAATACTTTCTTGTAACAGAACTGTGTATCAAAACGTTACGTACCTTTAAACTCATTCAGACATCCCAGGCAGTCAGGTTTATCACATTTCCATAGCAAGTTACAATAGAAGTTCTGGCAAATGCCACCTGGCGAAAAAAACACAAAAAATGAGACGATAAAAATAACACGGAAAACGACGACAACAGAGTCAGTAGTCCTAGATATCTTCGCATTAAATGTGGTATAACAACAGCCTTGAATAGAAAAAAAACTTTTCGAAGTTTGGACGTAAGGGCCTTCAGAAGAAATGTATACAGTGTGACTAATATTTAGCTAAATATTTGACTAGGAAATTATAAACAAAAATACACAAAAACAACGCAGTTACAGCAAAAAATAAACAAACAACTTACATTTTTGACTTTTAGCATAAGGAATGCTTCCTGGTGGTGGGAGAAGATTCTCTTGTTTTGGCATTGGTTTACCACAGCACAGACACAGCAGATGAAATGATCCGGATGGACACACTGGTTGAGGTACTCCTGGTCTGATTTCTCTAACACTTCCTGAGCCGCTCGCTTTCCAATAAAAAGTAAAAACAGATAAACAATGAAAGATCCATTATGGAGAACCATATCTGTCAGCTACAACAAAACATTGATCAATCCTGCAGGTTCTTCTGCATCTTATCTCATACTATGTGGTGGTACTAACAAATGAACCAGAGACAAGCTACTGTGGTTTCCTACCTGAAGAGCTTGTTTCGTTTTGACGAGAACTCGGGCACCAACGGCAGACAACGGGAGGAGGCCTGCTGGAAAGAGCCACACGCGTATATCAGGCTAAAGTTAGGCATATTTGACCATTTGAAATAGGCTGGTGAAAAAACTGATCCTATAATTTGTGTATACGTACTCTAACCAACATTTAAAAACCAACATTGGGGTTTAAATATAGGTACTTGTACTTGTTAGGCACAGAGTTGCAAAAAAGCTGCGGGTACGCGGGTACCACCCGTGAGGAAGGTTTGCTTTGAATGAGATTTGTGAAGAAGGTTCAAACATGTGCACATCATGCATGTATGAAAAACCAAATATTTCTTTATGCTGGTGGCCACTTGACTAGTGACGTAGCGTCATTTTGAGGAAGCTTTTCAAGACTTGAAATCCTACCGGAGGAAGGTTTAACTCTTTTTGCAACTCTGGTTAGGCAACTTGTTAAGGAACTATACTTGAAAACTTGCACTTGTTAAGGAATATGGGAACTTGTACTTTTAAGGAACTGACATTGATCATCAATCTTAATTCCGCTGTGTGGATATACCTGGGAGTGCTTGATGTGAATCCAAAGAGGGAGCCAACTGATGTGGGCATACCCATGCTGAATCCACTAGTAAAAAAAAGCACAGATAAAATAATGAAAAATGATGAAGAGTTTAAGATTATTGATTTTACCTTTGTACTTATTTGTACCCTTTTTTGTTCCTACCATAGTTACTGATACTGGGATCATCTGTCAAACTGTCGAAATAATTCATTCCGGGCAGCGAAACTTACGGGACTACGCTGGTAAATACCACTCCAGTATCTTCATCATCACTTTCTGCTGTATTGTCAGTGCTGTTGTCTTCACTTAAGTCATCACTTAGATAATCATCATCATCATCATCATCATGATAGATGACAATGGGAGAAAGCTTCCTTTTTTTGCTTGGTCGAATCTAAAGAACAAATAATTATACAAGTTACGTAAGAAAATGTTTGGAGAAACCAATGCAAAATTCAATATGTTACACTGTAATCTAGCTTAAGAAAAAAGTTGATGTTATATACTGTACAATGGACAGCTTAGTTAATTTACTATGAGTTTTATCATGTGAAATACAACATAGCTTGTCCTGATAACATTAAACAAACACTGGCTATAAATATTCTTACCATATCTTCAGTTATTTTATTCCTGGCATCCATTTCAGCTAATTCCTCTGCATCCCTCTTTTTATCTAAATTGGTTTAGGTAATTTTTATCATACTGTATTTAACTGTAAAGAATGAATAATCAATTCAATTGCAAAAAAAATTACTATTTTTTTATTGATTCTTTGTACAGCACCTGGGTGATCTTTTAGATATGCATCTACCAAATTGTTGACAATATGATTTCTGCTCATACGTTCAATTGGCAGACGACACTAGCCATAGAAATTCAAGTTCAAAACTAGCATTTAATCAATTTCACATTGTGGTAGAAAGATGTGGAAAGGACTTACTGTGGGACATGCTTTTGACCTCTTCATCCACTCTGAGTAACAAGCTGAGCAAAATGAGTGCATACAGGGCTGCAAACTGTCATGGAATTATAAATGAATTATACTTGGAAACTAACACAGAATGTCATCCAGCTTCACAACACCAGGTGACTGAGAAGCAGTAAAAGTCCCAAGCATTGAAAAGAAAAACACAGTCTGATGATAAACAACTAAACTAGTATATTAGAATTTACCTTAGACAATCATGAAAAATATCCTGTAAAACAGTATAAGTAATGTTCATTTATGGTTACATAATTACATTAATATCAAGACAATATAATTCTAACACATACCTGGCAAATGCTACAAATCAAGGTTTCTCTCATGTTATCCTGGATTTTGGGTTCATCTTTTATCTGGACTTTATCATCATCATGTTTCTGCTCAGTTTGAGGGCACATTTTCTTTTCTTTAACAGATGAAACTAGTTTTGTTCCTTGTGCTTGTTCTGCATCCTTATTAGTCTCATCAACACTATCAGTCTAGATCAAAGTACAATTGTACAATACTATTGTTTTAATGTCATTGGAAGGCATTGACTCTAGTTCCCCTCCATAAATGTTTCACTGAAAGACTAAACCGTAATTAAAGAAAACCTCATTTTATGGTAAATTCAACTTGAAGGTACCTCATCATTTATTTCTTGCGCACTGGAGTCATCTGTAAATAAAATTACATTTTGATACATGTATCAGGCAATAATTACTAAAATGGTCAGTCTTCAGATATTAACGTGACATGCTAAATGCAATTCTTAATTGGTTGTATTGTAACATACCAATAGTACTTTCCCTATCAAAATATTCCACTTCAACAACTTGTTTACCTGTTCTGCTATACTCTCCGGTACTTTCCAGTAGATTATATTCTTCATCTTGAAGACGTGGCTTTAGATCTTGATATGTGTAAACAACATCTACAAAAAAGACAGATATAATATCTTAGGTATTCAATTGTCCAATTTCATACGTAAGCACCTGGATGGACCATTAACTTCCCTCTTCAGTAAACTTAGGATTGCTGTCACCATTCACATACGAGTATTAAAACAATGCATGATTTTGAAAAAAAATTCATACCCTCAGTTGGTTGGTTTTGTCTTTTAACAAGCTGCAGTTTGTCGTTGTGATTAAGTTCCACTTTCTATAACAAGAAAAATGTGTATTTTACTATACTTTAGACTGAATTCTTCATTCCTAAAAACTAAATGGTGAATCATCAAGATGGTTGCAGAAATAATAAGGCTTTCACTCACTTTGTTTTTTCTCAATTTTCGTCCATTAAGAAATGTCCCATTTGTGCTGAGACCATAAAAAAAATTAGTTAGAAAAATGTTAAATTAACATTAGATTCATGAATTTCTTTACCTGATGTCTGTCAACCACGTTTTGCCATTTTCATCACGAGATAAGGTGCAGTGGCGTCCTGAGATTAACTTATTGCTCAGAAAACTTATATCACAATCTTGAAAATAATAAAATATAGATTTTTATTGTGTGTGATACTGTAGCCTTTGTAGAGTAAGGCAAAGATCTGCATCTTCAGGTGCTATAAAGGTGTTATCGAGGTGCGATGGACATGGATGAACGGAAGGTGATGGTGCACTGTGAGGAACAGGTGGAGGTGTGATGAAGGTCAGGTTAAGGTACAGTGAAGGAGTAATAAAAGTGCAGTGGAGGTGAATGGAAGATGAGGTTCACGAGATGAAGGTGTAGTGACAGTGATGTGAAGGTGACAGTAGATGAAGCAAAGATTTCACACCTCTTCTATCCTTATATAATAGGCCTGGTTCACACTATCTCCAATAAGAATCGGGATCATCCATTGTATTATTCTCAGATAGACAAACATTTTGTGCTCCAGTGACTTCACACAAAGAGAATCCCAGGTCCTCAGGACACGCGTGAACCAGGTTTTAGTTATAATTCTGCTATAAATCTGGGTAATTCGTAATCCTAATTTGCATCACATGTAAACAAGCCATCAAATATTATATAATAAAATGAAACAAAGATCAGGGCTTTGTCTTTGATAGAACAGAATATACGATAGCGATTTTTCATACCCACATAAAGAGTTAAAACAATGTAAATTTCAATTGTCTTGCAGTGTCCGGAAACTAGCTAGGTAACAGACTAGTTAAGGCCTAACTGTATCTACACAGATGATATAAAAACAGTCACTCAGTATTAATATAAACTCACGACTAGTTCTTCCAATGGTTATGTTATCTTTCATTAAACGAATGGGAGGTTTTGTTTCTGTGTTACACAATAATTGTCCCCAAGCAGACGTCTCCATTATTACTTCTCTACTGTTCTCTAAGCAATCTCCCCTCATCCCCCCCTGGAAACCTCGAGACATCGCTTTCCATGAGGACCCGCACAATGTGTGAAAAAATTAAGGCAAAAAGTGTTCGTTCCCATGGCATCTGTTTGGTAGGTGTTTGAGGGTTGACATGTAGAAATTGAATTAACTTGCTCCTTTATTTCGCGCAAGTGTAATTTGATACTCGATCTGGCTAATAATTTATTAATTCTTAATAGCTAAACACGATTGTCAACGCCGCATTTAGGAGTTATAAAGGCAAACGCGCGCCAATTTTTGACTAAAACCGCGAAGTTGTTGAGCCGCTTGAGCGCGACTAGTCAATTCAACTTGCGAAATGTACTATCGAGTATATTTGCATTGCTTAGACTATAGCGATCAGCAAGAATTGGTATGCGTACAATGACTTGCTTTTTGGATATCCGAAATCTGGTGGAAAGCACGAAGGAAGCGCGACATTCTGATTGTTCTCCAGCGAAGTACAAAAGGTTAATATCCCTGATTTCAGAGACCGCGACGGCAAACAGCCATCAAACAACATCAACAGAAAACGACCTAGAGCCACGTCCGTTCGAATGGAAAGACATATCAATCTTCTATGCTCGCGCTCGAGAATGTCTAAATAAACTAGACAAATCCATACCGGTTCAATCTCCCGCCAAAATTACATGCCGCGCGCGCCTTCTAGCGCTATCATTAAATCGAATGAAATCAGGGCGCTTATATATATAAGCGCCCTGAATGAAATAACACCACAAAGCGCCACATTGAGGAAATCAATGATGTTTCTGTACCATCACCGGTAGGATTTACAAATGTCTTCATTGTTTATTTCAGAGAGTATGTAAACAATTATGTATAATCACTAAATGCATTTTTCTACCTTACTAACAATGCATATATAAATAAAATACTAATTGAGAGGTAAACTTTTACTCTAATTTCACAATAAATTATACCATAAAATAATTTTAGTATTCAAGACATAAAAAAATATATTGCTGTTGTACAGTATAAAAATTGTGAGAATTCTTTCAGTGGACACTCTTGTGTCAGAAAGATGCAGTCATCTTTTGCTGACAGATTAAGAAGATGTAGTCATCTTTGCTTATTCAGTTGAAACTAAAAGTTTTCTGATGGTTATTACACAGCAAGTTATATCTAAATGAGAGTAGCTTCAAAACTCCAATATATATATTATAATTTTACCATCAAGTACTGTTCAAGACATAAAAAATATATTGCTGTTGTACAGTATAGAAATTGTGAGAATTCTTTTAGTGGACACTCTTGTGTCAGAAAGATGCAGTCATCTTTTGCTGACAGATTAAGAAGATGTAGTCATCTTTGCTTAATCAGTTGAAGCTGAAAGTTTTCTGATGATTATTACACAGCAAATTATATCTAAATAAAAAGTACCTAGAAAACTCCAATATATATTTATAATTTTACCATCAACTACTGTTCAAGACATAAAAAATATATTGCTGTTGTACAGTATAGAAATTGTGAGAATTCCTTTAGTGGACACTCTTGTGTCAGAAAGATGCAGTCATCTTTTGCTGACAGATTAAGAAGATGTAGTCATCTTTGCTTAATCAGTTGAAGCTGAAAGTTTTCTGATGATTATTACACAGCAAATTATATCTAAATAAAAAGTACCTAGAAAACTCCAATATATATATTATAATTTACCATCAACTACTGTTCAAGACATAAAAAATTATTGCTGTTGTACAGTATAAAAATTGTGAGAATTCTTTTAGTGGACACTCTTGTGTCAGAAAGATGCAGTCATCTTTTGCTGACAGATTAAGAAGATGTAGTCATCTTTGCTTAATCAGTTGAAACTAAGAGTCGTATCACAATTATTGCACAGCATATCTGATCAAAGACAAACATTTATGTATAAAGTCAATGTAACATATAATTTCGCACAGGGTGCATGTACTAATTTATTTACTATAATTATATTTGCCATCATATTCTCTTGTCCTTATAAATTAATGCTCATTGTAAGTCTTATTCTGAACCAATTTGCAAAATCATTACAATCTGACAGATGCAATACAGTGTAAGTGATCTTATTTGTTGTTTTCTCTATCAAAGACCAGTTATTTTAATGTGATATTTTAAGGGTACTGTTATAATGCAATCAATTTATTGTGGATAATGTTTTAATAATGGAATAGTTATGTTTGTGAAACTGACCCTTGTCCTTTCCTTACACTGATCTTAGCCCTAACCATAACCCCAAACCTCAACCTTCCAAATTTCTTTTCCCACCAATACAAATGAGCCTAAAAAATTTTAAATTAAAACAGCAGCTACTGTACTGGTGCTACTGATGTCCACTAAACTACAGTCTCATGTAGACAGACATTTTGCGGTAGCGACTTTATACAAGGCCCGAAAAAATTTTTTGTCCTATACGTGATCAATAGAACTTGTTAAGGAAAAAGTGGCAAGGAAAAAAGTTCCTCCGCATGCAGCTACCGGATTTTATTGTATACAGACATTGGCCTTATTGTATGGCTGTTACAGTGGAATGACTAGGATTTTAGTAATAGCGAAAGCAGTACTGAGAAAATTGCTTTGACAGGGTAAGATATTTGACTCCCTTTCTATATGCGTTGATACTTATTCCGCACTGCCTTATAGCTTCACGCAGCGAGCATTTTTAAATTAATAACTTGTTAATAATAGAATTTCAACCGAGTACCTACTGCGAGTAATGAAACTAATAGTGGATTGATGACAGTTTTTGCAATTATATTTAATGAGATAATGCGCTCTGATTTCCTGACTTTTGCGGATTCAATCCGCAAAAGTTGCTTTTTCCAGGCCGTGCGGGTCGTCATGCTACAAGACCACTGGAACTCCTTGTACCTTCTTTAGTTCTTCTTCGAAGAATTATAAAGGAAATATAATTATTTCAAAGGAAAAATATTCTTTGCTGGGATTAGAACCAGCGGGCTTACCCAGTTGTAATAAGACCACCACCTTACCACTGGGACAACATCAATTTAGCTATTCTTCCTGACGATACATTTGTCCTCTTGTCAAATGCCCACAACCGTATCTTATTCCTTTCAAAACTTAATATCAATCATTTGAGCTTATGCTAAATACGTAAGACAGACATAATGAGAAAACAAAATCACATATCACGATTTCCATTGAATCAATTGCGATTTATGCCTTTCGACGTACATATGCGTTTATGTAATTATTTAAAATTTAGGTGCACCTTGCCTCAGTGCCCTTGAAGTTATGTTTTACAGTCGATAAATTACATTTTTTCATCTTTAGAACCCAATATCTATTAATCATCGACGGTATTGTCATTCCAGTGCATTATTGCCACTGCCCGAACCCTCTGGCTCTGGTGCTGAAAAGATAATAGAAAACAGTTGATGAAGATCATTTGGCGTATCGTTAGGAATGGAGTAAAAGGAATGAAGCTCCGCCCAACGCAAGGGAAGCAATAAGCTCTATACTGATGTATAGAGCCAACCGTATATAAAGCTCAACAAACTATGTGTTAGGATGGTACTACAAGAAAAACTATTGCAGGCTAATATTTGTGGCCTGCCACAGACGTCAGACGTATTTTCATCATATCATCGCATCATGATTTTAATGGTCTATCGTAAAAGACTATCTCTTTAAATGCATCTTTTAATTTTTACTATCTCACATCTATCAATGAACGAAAGTTCGAACAAAACTCGCAAGTTTAAACGAACCTTCCATGATAACTACTCACTCTAACCTGATAGTTTAAATACAAAGTTTGCATTATCCCGTCCAACGCAATGGCCTTTGTCGGATTTCTGACATTTAGAATAATTTCCGTTCCAACATCTCTCAGTCTTTCCGTACTTTGCGAAGGTTAATCCGGCCTTCTCACTTCCCCAGCACTCTCCGTAAAACTGAAGGCCAAAATAAGTGAAACCCTTTTCTTTCGCCTTCTTAGCGCAATCACAAACAAGCCTTAAACAATAAAAACGTGTGTCTATAAGTTGTCTGTGACAATAGATCATCTTCAATAGATACGCCAAAAAACAAGCGACTTTGTGAAACGTACACTTCTGAAATGCTCTACTATACAGACCTCTTTAACACAGACATCTCTCTAATACAGAAATCTCTCTAATACAAACACTCCTCTGATACTGGCATCTCTCTAATACAAACACTTCTCTAATACAGACATCTCTCTAATACAGACATCTCTCTAATACAGACATCTCTCTAATACAGACATCTCTCTAGTACAAACATCTCTCTAATACAAACACTTCTCTAATACAGACATCTCTCTAGTACAAACATCTCTCTAATACAGACACCTCTCTAATACAAACACTTCTCTAATACAGACATCTCTCTAGTACAAACATCTCTCTAATACAGACACCTCTCTAATACAGACACCTTCGTTAAGTCCTTCAAATATGCACTTCTCAAGGCTCCATGATTCACAATGAAAACACCTTTTTATCAGGAGACATGCAGACATTTCTCTAATACAGCTCTCCTCGCTACCATACACTTCTCTAGTCCGTTTATTGATCGCTCGATTTACTACAGATGGCTCAAACATACTCGGAAATAAAAATTCCAAAATTCAACCAATCAATCTGGTCTCTATGGTTGAATATTAAATCACCCAGAGCACGCCGACCCTTTATTCTTCTATCTCTATAACATCCCACTGCTTCGAACTCAGCTTTACAATCGTCGAAATCTAAATGACGATAAAACATGGTAAAAAACCTTCACGAGGCTTTTGGCCTCACATGTAATCAAGTACTGGCTGGCACTTAGTCAACAAATTGTTGAATTGTAAGGCAACACACTGGGATGACCCTGTGTCTTTTCTGAAGCAGGGATGTACGTACCAGAGCCAGCATCTGAAAATCCACTACGCAGCACGAATATGCAAATTGTTGCAAGCAGGAAACAGGATTTCATAGTTGAGATCTGTAAAGTTTAAAAACCCTTGGCAATAAGTCTGATATTATGAGAATTTAGAGCGGCACAACTGTATCAAATCTCTAACTTAGAACTTTAACTTAGAACTTAGTAACAAACCTGAAAATAGAGCTAGCTTTATGAAAAGATTGTAAATTGTAAGATTGACTGTTTCGATCTCGACTGAAGTGAATTAGTTATGTTTACCAAGTTTTATTATTCATTAGCAAGCAGAACTATTAACAAGCGCCGGATACTATGACAGAAAAAGAAAAGTCATAACAAACTTACGCTTCACAAATTTTTCTTTTCAAGTTTCAATCTTTCTTTGACCAAAGTCTTCGCTACACTCTTATCATTTGACGGTGACGAGGAAATATACACGGATTAAGGTATTCGTATATTAAAATTCTGAACAAATAGGCTCGTAAAAATCTGCCGGTGGACAAAAGAGTTGGATAAAAGAGTGCAAATAAACCAGCAAAAGACGTAATTAAACAAGGAAAGAAAACTATTAACTTAAACCTGCATTTTCATAACAATTGAACTGTTTCATGTGAAGCTGGAGGTCTGATATATTGATAGACAATGATAGAGCGAGAAAAACAATTTAAGTGTTCATTAACAGCGACGAAGAACCCATCTCCTTCGCATAAAACATTTGAACTCATTAAGTGCGATTATGTATGTAATTAGAGTATATTTGCGCCTCCAGTTTTGACGTAAAAAGTACAATTTTCAAGGTCGTTATACATCGTCAGGGACGCGTGAAAATGTACGGGGATATTCACCAGAACTGTCGCGGGTGGAAATGGAAAAAAAGCTTTATGGAAAAATAGAGAAAAAAAAACCTTAACGCCCCTTGTCCTTTCCCAGTGGAATTAATCTACCAGTATTGTTCCATCTGGAAACATGGTATAGACATCTCTTGCTTTATATGCTTAGTTTTGCGCTTAGTTTTGGGCGAAAAGGTTTTTATTGAACCGGCGAAATTCACGATAAGTTTATTGTGCTTTATTGAGAAATACGTGGTTCATCTAATGACGTTTTTAAACAATTTGACAGGTAATCCATCAGCAGCCCATATACTATATGCAGCAAGCCTAGACAGAGTTCTTCTTAGATTATTACACTTGTTTGCTGTAGGTAAACAGTGAGTTTGTCTAATAAGACGCCTTGTGACGAATTAGAATAGCTAAGATATTTATTGCTAAAAAATCTTCAACTTTCTCAACTTTCCTGGTACAATAGATGGTGTGTAACTTGTGGGGGAAAAACCCGACCTATTCAAAAGCTATGTTCTAGCGAGTTTGGACTGAAACATGTTTTAACAATGGTGTCTTTTCAAACCTTGCAAAAATTGTTGGGCTTGATATTTGTAAGAAATCTTTTCTTGTTCCGGTGTTTCGATCACCGATTCATGTTTTTAAATGGTTCCAATCTAAGATAATCGATGTGTCTTTTTCTTCCTGTGGCCAGATCGCGCCTGTTGAGTTCTAGACTTTTTGTGACCTTTCTCGTTCTTCCTATGAAAAATATTTAATACGATGTCCTATTCTCATCATTACTTGTGATGGTTCCAAAAAGAGATTACCCGAAAACGATTTATCAACTAGAATGATATATAAGTTAGAGTAACTCAGTCCATCTCTCGTAAGAGGTCCACCCTAGCTGACACAACAAGAGGGAAAAAGTCCAACAATTTCTTTAACTTTCATGCACCCTTTCAACGCAACTGAAGATGTAACGAGTTCCCTCCCGAATAGGCGATTAGAATAAAAAGATAGCAAACAAAAAAGTCACTTACGATTCGCAGAATCCACAAGATTTCTTACACATCGTCTTCACCTGTCCAATATTCGACAGTGGAGCAAACTCATCACATCCTCCTTCGGTCGCATATAAAGCACATTCGTCCGAAAGATCCTTGCACGCCATGACATATGGTCCTGAAAATACGACAAGTTTTCATTGTTATCTACTTATTATTTTAGTGCTGCTGATAATGCCTCTCAAAGTAAAGTTAAGTTAATGCAAGGATCTACGATCTATTAAATCAGTGACCATGTCGATGAAAATTGCAATATGACGAGTTTAATTTGGAAAATAGTGCATCCGGTGTGTTTTGGGATTATTTTATAGGAATTGAGGCAAATGAGATATATTAAATGCATTCAGGGCAATCGAAATTAAAAATAATATCTTCTCAATCACCTTCTTTGTCGTGAAGATCATACTTGTATTCGTTTTCAAAAGGTGATTTCTTATTCGGTTGCCCCGATGTTGGAAAACCAAACCAGTTGGTATTTTGAGTCGGGTTGTCGAACTGAGGAGCCTGAAACTGAGGCGTGTCCACAGAAGACTGGGGCTGTGATGCCATGGAGAGGGCATCGTTAGCGGTCGACGGTGATGCGACAGGAAGCGACGAGGTCAACCCAGCTTCTCCCAGGGAAGAGGCCAGTCGTGAATCTTGAACAGGGAGTGTTGACAGAGCACCAAGTGGAAGCGAGCTTGGTCCTGCCCCATTCTCCAAGTTTGCTCCTTCCATATTTTGTGATTGCATTCCCTGCGGTTGCTGAAATTTGCCCGCACCCAGCAAAGCTTGGCTTAATAAGGAAGGACTGAGAGCCGCTGGTTGTACTGCCAATGGACTGGCCTGGTCTACCGAAGACGGACCCGAAGGCGCACTTTTAAGAAGAGGTGATGTAAATCTCTGATTACTTAATCCGATTGTCAGTGGTGAAGCATCGTTACCGTCTGGTTGTTGAGCTTGCAATGGTTGTTGAATCATAACGTGTTGTCCTGGGGCCTGATTTTGTTGCAATAAATTTTCCTGACCGTTAGCTATCAAAGGACCCTGGCTGTTAGTGTCTGGATTCAAAGCAGTACCAGATTGCAATAGCTCCTTGACCACTTCAGCGCTCGGTAACGGCGTGCCAACCTGATTGACGGCCAGCAATTTCAACGCATTTTTATTTCCTGTATTTTTGTTTTCATCATCGTCGTCATTTTCGTCCGAAATTTTCACCCCGAGTTTGTAATGGTTGTCTTTCAGCAGTTTCAGCACTTCCTCGGAATCGATGTTTTTCAACGATTTATCTTCCTCGTCGTCGATGCTGACGTGTCTCGCCGTTTTACACGGTCGACACGCGTCAGTGTTGCCTAGGGAACAAAGTATTTATTTATCATTTTCTAACCACGACTCGTTTGGATAAACATATTGATTACATGAGACACAACTATTTTGTGACTGTTAGCTTACCTTGGTCGCAAAGTGGACAATACTTTTTAGCAATATCTATAAAAATAAATAAATATTCTTGTCAAGCCGAGTTTATTTTGTTCCACGTCCGCTAATGACTGTAAACCCAGACTGACTTTTTCAAAACTTTGTTGAACTCACCACTAACAACCATAAGCATAATAGCCTCTTGTAATTCACCCAAATGCTCAACTCGTGCGGACAAGCTGTGTCGTTCATACGGCTTCTCTACAATCTTGCTACATCCAGTTTTATCGTAGTTTATTCCAAGACCAATACAAAACGTTTGCACGTCCGTTTCTTGAAGCTTGAATGCTATATGAAAAGATAACTCAATTATAATAGCACGAATGTTGAAGAAGGATAGTAAAGAATACAACCTAGGAGACCTTTTAAGCTTGATATGAAGATGTGATTCCAATTTCCAATACCTTTAATTTCCGTCTGGGCATCCTTCTTGGTAGCACTATCAAACACAAAGAGAAGACGAGGAACACTTTGATCCCGTTCTCCGGTAAAAAGATTTGCCTGTGTTGCATCCAAAGCTTTGTTGAGAGCCCCAGATTTTGTTTTGATTCCTTCAAAGTTCAATTTATCGATTTGAGAGTCTATGCTTTTTCTGTCGTGATACGAATGAAGGTCGAAGAGTTGAAGATTTGCGTCGGTGAATGATATTAGGCCGATTTTTGTCTTCTTGTTGCTGACTTCAAACTCTCTCGCGAGATTCTTTATAAAACTTTTCATCTTGTTGAAGTTATTTCGATTCATGAGTTCCCCTGATTCGTCAAGCAGTATGGCCAGTTCCACAGGACCTAGTCACAACATTGAACAATTGTTTGGTCTTGAAATGCTTCCATAATTAAGAGAATAAGGCGAACAATGTGCTTGACCTGGGTGATATTACCTGGGTAAAATGGTTGATTCTCATTTTTACAGCATCTGTCGCAACACCCTACCAACTTGCAATTACTGCAGTCAATGTTGATTCGTTCATCTCCTTCAACCTTCACATCACATCGTTTAGAACATTTGTTTCTCGTCTTTTGAGCCTTGCGATAGGTCTTTGTACGTGAACTCGGCATTTTGCTACTTAATTTGACTATATAAAAAAAACATCAGTTTTATAAAACAATACAGGCAACTCTCTTATACAGACACCTCTCTATATAATAATAATAATAATATTTCACATTTATATTGCGCATATTCTCGAATGCAGACATCTCTCTAATACCGGCACCACTCTAATGCAGACATCTCTATAATGCAAACACCTCTTTGATACAGACACCTCTCTAATACAGGCACCTCTTTAATACAGACAGCTCTCATACAGCCAGCTCTCTAATATAGACATCCTCTCTAATACTAACATCCTCTCTAATATAGACATCCTCTCTAATATAGACATCCTCTCTAATACTAACATCCTCTCTAATACAGGCACCTCTCTAAGACAGACATCTCTCTAATACATGTACCTCTCTGATACAGACACCTCTCTAATACAAGCACCTCTTTAATACAGACACCTCTCTAATACAGATATCCCTCTAATACAGACTTTACCGTAGCGAATTCTTTTCACAATTAGTCGGGCCAGTTTATCCACCGAATTCTTTTCATCTCTAAACAAATTATAGTGCTTGGGTGGGCTTGCAATGCTCTGAAGATCATCTCTGTTCAAGCCTCTTTTGCCCGACCAAGCAGACAAGATATTCACGCCAGAATTCCTCAAGTCTCTTGCGGCAAGGCTAACATCATCTGTCGACTTAGTTTGTGCAATGACAACCAAAAATTTCAGGGCGTCTGGTCTACCGCTGTTTTTGAAAAGCCCGTAATTGGCAAGGTTCAAGGCTTTACCTAGTAAAGCAGAATTGAAGTATCGGTTCAGCTTTCTCACAGCAATAGCATAGAGTAAGTCATCAGGGCCGCCGAGAGAAATTATGGGGACCGGCGCAATTTTTTCGAATTGCCGGAAAACGGCGTATTCAACCATGGTCGAATCTGCAAGAAAACGGCGTATTCGACCATGGTCGAGTCCGCCGGAAAATGGAAAATACCACCATGGTCGAGTTAGCCGGAAAATGGCAAATACGACCATGGTCAAGTTCGCCGGAAAATGGCAAATACGACCATGTTCATATTCGCCGGAAAATGGCAAATACGACCATGGTCATATTCTCCGGAAAATGGCAAATACGACCATGGTCATCTTCGCCGGAAAATGGCAAATACGACCATGGTCATATTCTCCGGAAAATGGCAAATACGACCATGGTCATATTCGCCGGAAAATGGCAAATACGACCATGGTCATATTCGCCGGAAAATGGCAAATACGACCATGGTCATATTCTCCGGAAAATGGCAAATACGACCATGGTCATATTCGCCGGAAAATGGCAAATACGACCATGGTCATATTCGCCGGAAAATGGCAAATACGACCATGGTCATATTCTCCGGAAAATGGCAAATACGACCATGGTCATATTCGCCGGAAAATGGCAAATACGACCATGGTCATATTCTCCGGAAAATGGCAAATACGACCATGGTCATATTCGCCGGAAAATGGCAAATACGACCATGGTCATATTCGCCGGAAAATGGCAAATACGACCATGGTCATATTCTCCGGAAAATGGCAAATACGACCATGGTCATATTCGCCGGAAAATGGCAAATACGACCATGGTCATATTCGCCGGAAAATGGCAAATACGACCATGGTCATATTCTCCGGAAAATGGCAAATACGACCATGGTCATATTCGCCGGAAAATGGCAAATACGACCATGGTCATATTCGCCGGAAAATGGCAAATACGACCATGGTCATATTCTCCGGAAAATGGCAAATACGACCATGGTCATATTCGCCGGAAAATAGCAAATACGACCATGGTCATATTCGCCGGAAAATGGCAAATACGACCATGGTCATATTCGCCGGAAAATGGCAAATACAACCATGGTCATATTCGCCGGAAAATGGCAAATACGACCATGGTCATATTCGCCGGAGAATGGCAAATACGACCATGGTCATATTCGCCGGAAAATGGCAAATACGACCATGGTCATATTCGCCGGAAAATGGCAAATACGACCATGGTCATATACGCCGGAAAATGGCAAATACGACCATGGTCATATTCGCCGGAAAATGGCAAATACGACCATGGTCATATTCTCCGGAAAATGGCAAATACGACCATGGTCATATTCGCCGGAAAATGGCAAATACGACCATGGTCATATTCGCCGGAAAATGGCAAATACGACCATGGTCATATTCTCCGGAAAATGGCAAATACGACCATGGTCATATTCGCCGGAAAATAGCAAATACGACCATGGTCATATTCGCCGGAAAATGGCAAATACGACCATGGTCATATTCGCCGGAAAATGGCAAATACGACCATGGTCATATTCTCCGGAAAATGGCAAATACGACCATGGTCATATTCGCCGGAAAATAGCAAATACGACCATGGTCATATTCGCCGGAAAATGGCAAATACGACCATGGTCATATTCGCCGGAAAATGGCAAATACAACCACGGTCATATTCGCCGGAAAATGGCAAATACGACCATGGTCATATTCGCCGGAAAATGGCAAATACGACCATGGTCATATTCGCCGGAGAATGGCAAATACGACCATGGTCATATTCGCCGGAAAATGGCAAATACGACCATGGTCATATTCGCCGGAAAATGGCAAATACGACCATGGTCATATACGCCGGAAAATGGCAAATACGACCATGGTCATATTCGCCGGAAAATGGCAAATACGACCATGGTCATATTCTCCGGAAAATGGCAAATACGACCATGGTCATATTCGCCGGAAAATAGCAAATACGATCCATGGTCATATTCGCCGGAAAATGGCAAATACGACCATGGTCATATTCGCCGGAAAATGGCAAATACGACCATGGTCATATTCTCCGGAAAATGGCAAATACGACCATGGTCATATTCGCCGGAAAATAGCAAATACGACCATGGTCATATTCGCCGGAAAATGGCAAATACGACCATGGTCATATTCGCCGGAAAATGGCAAATACAACCATGGTCATATTCGCCGGAAAATGGCAAATACGACCATGGTCATATTCGCCGGAAAATGGCAAATACGACCATGGTCATATTCGCCGGAAAATGGCAAATACAACCATGGTCATATTCGCCGGAAAATGGCAAATACGACCATGGTCATATTCGCCGGAAAATGGCAAATACGACCATGGTCATATACGCCGGAAAATGGCAAATACGACCATGGTCATATTCGCCGGAAAATGGCAAATACGACCATGGTCATGTTCGCCGGAAAATGGCAAATACGACCATGGTCATATTCGCCGGAGAATGGCAAATTTGACCATGGTCATATTCGCCGGAAAATGGCAAATACGACCATGGTCATATTCGCCGGAAAATGGCGTATTCGACCATGGTCGAGTGTACTGGAATATGGAAAACGGGGTATTCGACCGTGGTCGAGTCAAAACCTCAATTCATCAATTGCGATATATTACCTATGTTTGACTCCGCTGATTTTGGAAACGTTATCTTATCCACAGCTTCGTCTAAGTGATTCAGGTCATTGTATGCGTTGAAGTCAAAGACAACGTTTGCAGTCGGACCAGATTTGATCAAGCCAACACGAGTGCTGTCGTCGTCCATCATAAAGCTACCGTATATCGAGCGTATCAGGTCCTTCACAGTGTCTCCTGCCGCGGTGGCGTGAGCACCTCTGCCCCTTACGTTGACAGATGGGATAGTTGACCAATCGTCCACCAGAAAGCCAAGGTCAATTTTTCTACTGGCTGATTAAGGAAATATAAAAAGATTTGTTTACAGTTTCCAGGTGATAGATTGTTCTTCACGGCTGGTTCGTCCTATCAGATCTAATGCGCTTTCCTTCAGGTCTGGTAAGTATCATCTCTTTCTGATCCAGTGTCATTATCACAATAGAAAACCTAAACTAAACTAATTTTATTTATACTGGATAGCTCTATCAGTTCTAAACTGTTCTTCCTAGAGGTCCAGTAAGGATCATCTCTTATTGATCCAGTGTTATTACAGGAGGAAACCTAAACTAAACTAACTTTATTTATACTGGATAGTTCTATCAGTTCTAAACTGTTCTTCTTAGAGGTCCAGTAAGTATCATCTCTTATTGATCCAGTGTTACTACTGACAGGAGGAAACCTAAATTGAATTAAATTTACGAATATTGAATAGCCGTATCAATTCCAAGTTAGTCTGTCAGGAAATTTGATATGATTTGAAATTCCTACCGAAACAAAGTGTAGAGCAGAGGAATAGAATAGAAACTCCCCGTAAAACATGTCCATCCATTGCTAGTCTATCTTATTTCATATCGGGCCCCCAACCATTTTGAATAGGTCACTGTATGATTAAGCCGTAACTTGATGCTTGATATGAACAAGATCAAACCATCTCTTCCTTGATTTTATCCAATATGACAACAAAAAGCACGTTCTGTCACAGTTAATGGAAGTTAATGTCGAACATTAATGTTAATATCCTTCCAATAAGTGTTACTAATTTACCTAATAAATAATTCATTGGGAAAAAAGTAAAAAGAAAACAGGGCGATTAAAAAACTGCCTTTTCAGCTGACATAGATTGGGGAGAAATCACTACTCATTAGAAGTGACAAGCCTCTTAATTTTTATTGACTTCGTTCAACAAATTAATTAGCACCTCAAACAAAAGGTTTTCCCTGGCGGTGATATAATTGATAAGGTCGTGCGCGCGTCTAAATATATGTATTAGAAAGGTCGTGAAGCATGCACGGTACCAGCCAAAACTACATGCGTAAAATATCACATCTTGTAACAAGTTTGCAAACAAGTTGTTTAGCAAGCTGCTTGTCCCAAGAGAGAGTTGTAAAAAGGATACAGATATCGCTCTTGCTTATCTTGTGTTTCCGTCAGCGATAGCGCAGTATCGACTGTGTATTTTTTGCTTATAATCTACCGGTCTGGTTTAAAGTGTGTTGATCGTTATCTTATGAGGAACCACGGGATACAATTTTTGGCAAGAAAAATCAAGCTTTTGAAGCCTTTATTAACGTGATTCAATAGATTTTATATAATATTCCTAACATAGTCTATTGTTATAAACTGCAAAATACCTGTGTTTGAAGTTACAAAAGGCTACAAAATTGTATAAAACTGTAATACGTTTTAGGCCCACAAGCAGTCCCTTTTACCGCAAAAAGCCTGCCATGCGGGCGGTAGTGGTTTGTTTATCATTGTCAAATTGCCACTATCAAAGGCGTAAGGAAACCCAAACGAAAGTAAAGTTAAGGACGCGATAAGTCGCACTCAAATTGTGTTTCAGCGAATGCTAATAAGATCTATATGTAATGCATTGTTATGGCCGTATCGTAGAACCTTATTCGATTGGCAATACTTCCTCTCCTCCATGTACGAGAATCTGTTCTCAACTGTTCAATGTCTTACGTTTGGTTTCCTTTTTTTCAATTTTCTTTTGTGTTTGCACAACAAAGCGTGTCCACAAGCATCACTTGATGGTTTATCATGATGTGGTGAATTGTCATTTTGCCTCAATTTCACCTTTGTGTTGCCGCGAAGCTCTTTTAAATTCCTAAAGCGAAGTATAGGAAACGACTTAGTTTACATTTCGTAGTTACTGTGCTGTTGTAGTGATGTTCCCTGTTTTCCACGCAAGCTAACCCTACATTCAATCAAATTCAGCAACCTTCGCTCCTCTGTAAGTAGGAATGGCAAATTTCCCCCCTCTTCAGATCTACCTGCGATATGGAAAGGGACGGAGGTGGTATTTAAAGGACAGAATACGCACCTTTTGCACATGGTACACGATTTTATACAACTGTTCCGCAGATTCTTTGAGAACTTTTCACTTTCCTTATCTTCACACAGTCCTCTCTTAACGGCATTTCTGCATTTTGCTGGAAATTTTTTTAAACATTTACGAACACGAGCCCCTGGAAAAAGGATAAGAAAATATAACTAGATTGGTCAACAACGAGATCGACTCTTTTTAGGTTTGGAAATCACTAGAAAACACACAGGTAGAATCTGCAGCTTTTTTAAAATCTTGTAAGTAGAAAGCCTGTCTTTAATAGTTTTGGGTCTTTTCATTAATTTGAAATAAGGTAACGTTGTCACTCAAAACGATGATGGATTGCTAAAAATCCCTGCTCTTAAAATGGGCCTACCTTACAGGTCACCAAGAGAAAGAATTTTTACCCACCATTAACCTTTGAACGGAAAGAACCTGATACGGCTGGACCATGTTGAAGTGGAACGTGAAAAAACCCAGATGAGAATGATGATGAGCCATGCAGTGGAACTTTATTAAGAAAGCTTAGGTCTAACACAGGGCTTGAAGCTATCTGTAGAGGTTGATCAGAGACTGGAGCGCTGATTCTTGAAGGCATTCTAAATGGTATAGCTCCGAGCCTAATGAATGAATACAAAAAATTCAAGTTTTTTAAGAAAAACAACCGACAAATCCATGTAGGCCTACGTCAATTGAAATAGAATTTTAAACCTTGGTAGCAAGCCTGGTCTAAGAAATCCCATGTTTGGGTTGGGGAACATGGGGTACATCTGTTGTGGTGTAAGGACTCTATTAGGATAAGTATGGATAGGAAGGGATAACTGAGCAGGTGGTTGTTGGATAAGTTGACCGGTTATTGTTGCGTCGTTATCACCATGGTTCGCGCACGATATGCAGGCGACATGGTTTGGATCTAAGAAATAATAATTTCATAACGAGTTATGTTATTTCATCTTGATATGAGAAGTTTCATCACGAGAAACCCTTACTGTCACTAGGGGTGTGGCTTTCTAACCTTTTATACAAAGATACATAAACTAAATATTTAACGACGAATTTTTTTTCTCAGAGGTGCCGTGGAACTTATGCTGGAACTTATCATTTCACAAGATTTAAAGAATCTTACCATGGAAGCATGCTGGACAAAGCCGGGACTGAACATCTATAACAAAAACGGAATAAGTTTATTTTCAGATGGCCGTATTAGAAACTTAAACATCTCACAAAGATCAGGTTAACAACAGTCAGTTTAGTCTACCTTTTCCATTAAAAAGGAATATCGCTTGTTATACCTGTGGCTGAGAAAATTTGTGTGACGCTGGTCGACCTGTCAAGCAAGAAAAACTTGAAGATGTGGATCTCGTACCTCGTATAACCTTATCTTTAACGCTGGCCGCAAGACACTTCAGTTGGGAAGAGGATTTAGCTTTGAACAAATGACGAAACTTCGGAACACTGGTCATCCACAACATTTGCATCTTGCTAAAGTACTCGCCAACTCCGACTCCAAAAATGTCTACGCCGTCGCGCCTCAAAGCATACGATGGTAAAAGAAAATTGTCCGCAGAGGGAGCGTAATTGACGACGATGAGAACGTGAGGAACATCTGGTCTTACGGTTGGGTCGTGGAAAAGGACCAGAGCCGTTTGAAGTCCTCGACCTAACACGGCAGCTTTCGTGCTGTCGTCTCTCTTAAAAGCGGTAGAAATATGCCTTCTCTTTGACATATCTTGGTCGCTGGGTGATGACTGATTTCTCTTACCTAAAACAGAAGATTTGAAAATGATTATCGGAATGCCAATGAACAATTGTTCTGCCTTACACCTTATACCTTATACCGAAACTTTATTTATACTGGATAACCCTACCAGTTCAAGCTGTTCTTTCTAGAAGTCCAGTAAGGATCATCTCTTATTGATCCAGTGTTACTACAGAAGAAAACCTAAACTAAACTAACTTTATTTATGCTGGATAGCTCTATCAGATCTAAACTGTTATCCCTAGAGGTCCAGCAAGGATCATCTCTTATTGATCCAGTGTTACTACAGGAGGAAACCTAAACTAAACTAACTTTATTTATGCTGGATAGCTCTATCAGTTCTAAACTGCTTTCTCTGGATATCCAGTAAGGATCATCTCTTATTCATCCAGTCTTACTACACAAGGAAACATGAAAGTTAATGTTATTTGTACCGAACGGCATCTTTACTTTCTTCCTAGTGGTCTATTTTCTTCTCAAAAAACGTTCCCAACCTTTATGCTCTTCCTGAAAACTTGTCTTAGATCTTCGCGCGACAAAGGATGGATATTCCAACTCATCCAGAGCATCATCTAACTCTTTTCTGCAACAGTAACGAGTAAAGCCAAATAGTATAGAAGCGTCTGAGCCGTATGTTATCAAGGCAACGCGAGTTGCAGAAGGTTCAACAACAAATTTGTGTGAGAATGATTTAATGAAATCTTTCATGTCCTTAAACAAAGAAGACTTGGAAGCATCGATTAGAAAAACAACGTCCATTGCTGCAGGAAAAGCATTGTCCTCCTTGTCATCGCTTGGACTTCCGAAACATGCATCGCCATTAAAATGAGATCCTCCTCCACCTCCACCACCACCAGCGCCACCACCAGCAGCACCACCACCAGCAGCACCACCACCAGCAGCACCACCACCAGCAGCACCACCACCTGCAGCACCACCACCAGCAGCACCACCACCAGCAGCACCACCACCAGCAGCACCACCACCTGCAGCACCACCACCACCACCAGCACCGCCTCCAGCTGCCCCTCCGCCAGCAGCAGTCTCAATGGCACCACCAGCAAAAGCACCTCCACCAGCCGCACCTCCCATAGCTCCCCCTACCATACCTCCTCCCATGCCGCCACTCATACCTCCACTCATGCCTCCTCCTCCCATACCACCACCCATACCTCCTCCTCCCATGCCTCCTCCCATACCACCACCCATACCTCCTCCTCCCATGCCGCCACTCATACCTCCAACCATTCCACCATTCATAATACCCCCTCCCATACCTCCGCCACCCATACCACCACCCATCCTTCCACCCATCCTTCCACCCATACCTCCACCCATACCTCCAACCATTCCACCATTCATAATACCTCCACCCATACCTCCGCCTCCCATGCCACCACCCATACTTCCATCAAAGCCTCCTCCCATACCACCACCCATTCTTCCACCCATACCACCTCCTCCCATGCCACCACCCATACCACCACCCATACTTCCACCCATACCACCTCCTCCTATACCACCACCCATACTTCCACCCATACCACCTCCTCCAAAACCTCCACCTCTTCCTGCCATACTTCCACCCATACCACCTCCTCCCATACCCCCACCCATACTTCCACCCATACCACCTCCTCCAAAACCTCCACCTCTTCCTGCCATACTTCCACCCATACCACCTCCTCCCATACCACCACCCATACTTCCACCCATACCACCTCCTCCAAAACCTCCACCTCTTCCTCCCATACCTCCACCCATACCTCCACCTCCCATACCCCCACCCATACCACCACCTCCGATGTTACCACCTCCCATATAACCACCACCACCACTCATATTCCCCCCGAATCTACCCCAACGTGATCCCCACATTGATCCATTATTAGTTGAGTTTCCTCCAAACCCAGTATATCCTCCATTGCTACCACCTCCACCAAAATTCCTGCTAAACCAACCCCAATTATTGTTCCCCAAGGGAATATTGCCACCACTATTGGCCACTTTCTCAAACAAGTTTCCGCCATGACCATGCTCCTCTCCGTGATGACCTGTTTTAACACCGCCTGGCATATACCCTCCGTTCAAGAAGCCAAAATGTGAATATTGTCTGTTAGATTTCCTCAAAAAGTGTCTATGTTGTGGAAAAAAGGGATTTGAGATAGGTTTGATAACATGGCCCTTTATCCCGTCAAGTGTAGCATTCATCTCGTCAGGAGAGGATTTATTGCCTGCCTGGAATTTAAATTTAGCAAGATACTCTTCACCAGTGTCAGGCTTCATCACCCTTTCCGTATAAATTGATGGATGCAAACGATTCGCAGAAAACGTTGGACCATTTTTAGGTGGCTGTTTTATATTTTCTGCTTCCTTTTGTTGAAACTTCTCAGGCGTTATTGGATGGGTTTTTGATTGAAATTCTTGCCAAGTAAACGCTGTCGGCCGAGGCAAACTGTTAGAACCACTTGTTTGAATAAATTTATCATTGCGATGAGAATTCTGGCCGTTAGTTTGCAACCTACTTCGGTATTTTTCAAATAACTCAGGAACAAGCTTCAGAGGAAATCTGGCTTTCGGTAGATGGTGAGATTCACTTGCAAATAATAGTTTTTGCTTTCTGGGATATTTCTTGTAATTAGGTGGAGTTGAAGGTCGTTTTCTCTGGCTAGAATCCGGACTGTTTCCTTTTCCATCCCTTATCGAAGAGGATAAGTCCGCATCAGAAAGGTGACTACCATTACCTTCATCAATGTGATCAACTTTATTATCACGAGAAAAAAATTTCCGAATAAACTCTTTAAAATTGCTTTCTTGTTCCTCGTTCGGACTTTTCCCTTCGTATTTCTTCTTTAACCAATCACTGACATCAAAATCACCCAAAGCGTTGATATCTACGCCAAAATCAAGATCTGGATCGCCACTTTGATTGTCATAACCGGAGTGCTGGGTATTATTATATAGATCACCATTGTTTTTTGGGTGAACCATCGGATTAGTACTTTGGATAGGCCTCATTGGATCAACGCTTTCTGCAGGATTTAAACCAATACCATTTGGACGAAAGCCCATGTGTTGTAATTGGTGTGTTAGTTTAGCATTCCCGGACATTTTACTGGTGCTTACTAAACCATCATTACCATAGTGATTTGAGATGGAGTGCGAAATATTCCCACTACTATTGCTATGAACAGAAATGTTTGCGCTTATTCTATCATGGAATCGTGTATCATTGTCATATGACGACAAATTTTTAGTGGTTTCATTATATCCAGAACCAATTCCGTTATCAAGAAAGGTTGTCTGAACGTTGTTCCAAGCAGGTTTTGAAGGTGAATATCCAACTCCATTATTGAGAACGGTTGTCTGACCATTAATCTGGTTGGGTATATTACCATCACCAGCAATCCCAAAGCCCTGTTTATCGTTGAACAACTGATCATTAACGGAACCAGTTTGATAAGGTACATCACCAATACCATAAACGTTATTATTTAGCGGACCTGGCCGACCAAATTCAAAACCCTCTCCTATTCCTTTGTGGCTATCTTTCGTCTTGTTTAACTGAACTTCACTCTCTTCTGATTGACTCTTACTCATCAGTGACCACGGGGTAAGCTTGTAATGAGAGCCATTAGTATTAAGACTATCATTATTCAAACTTTCATCGTTCTGTACCGACAGTGGAAAAGAAGATCCTGTGACATTCGTGGTCGTGCTATTTTGCGGAAAATCAGACGAGTCCTTGTTCTTTACCAAACTCCCGCTGACTATATTCCCGGGGAACTGCTTAATTTTGTAGTTAGTGTTGTATATGGTAAGCGTGTTCTCACCAGGAGTTCCATCAGTATTATAGGTATTAGTTGTTTCCTGGCTTCCCTGCTTGGCCGCTCCGGTACTCCACTGGGGAGCCAGTATGGATGAGGGAGCTGCACCAATGTCTAAGCTATTACTCTCGTTTGCTGAAGAAAACAGAGATTCTTGTTCGCGATGGTTGATATCGTACAGAGTCTCAGAGGTAGAACTGTTTCTTCTAATCGTATTCTCGTTGTCATTTTGAGGTCCTTCATTCGTGGCACTCTTCTGATCAACGGGGTTCCCGCGATTTGTCATCCAGGTGTCGTTAAAACCAGCGAACTCTTCCAGATGTTTTCTTTCTTCGTCTGTGTTTCCAACTAGCTCCACAAGCTGTGAAATTTTGTTATCTTCATCTTTGATCCTTTGGATATCATCATCAGCTGTAGCCGTATCTAGATAAGATTGAAGATCAAAGAATCATGTTTTTTGTTTCAGTAAGATCATGGCACGTATGTTTATATTTAGCATGGCACGTATGTTTATATAAGTTCATGGCACGTATGTTTATATAAGTATCGTAAAAGAATAGCTTTTGTATGAAGATACCACTTATTTTACCTTTTACAAGTTTCTCGTCACTTGCTTGAGCGGTTGAATATTTGTAATAATTCTTGTTTCTGGGTTCCTTTATTTCTGGAGATTCATATTTACTTTCAGATTGGAATAATTCTGACACGCCACTGTCATTCTTCAAAGCCACATTCGTTGCTTCGTTTATACGTTTCTTTTTTCTGTTATACAATATATTTTTTACAGAGCCGTTTACCATTTTCTTGTGCTCTTTCAGTTTAGCTTCTGCTGATAACACAACTCTAAAATGATCGTCTTTACCCCCGGTTTTATTCTTGCCAGAAACAGCGAGAAGTCGTTTCTTCTCCTGATCTTTTTTGCTCCCCTAAACAATGTTAAAACACTCACATTAACTTACAAACAACTTTGAGAGAAAAACTATATCAAACTTACTCCACGATGAACATGTAAAACATTGGTCTTGTTCCTGGTAGCGTGCTTGTCATTTTCACTACTGCCATTCGTATGTTCTGCTTTTTCATCATTACCATCATTCTTATGGTCATTATCATCATCAGCATTCTTATGGTTATTATCATCACCATTATCATCATTCTTATGGTTATTATCAGCAGCATCATTTTTATCGGCATTATCATTATCATCATCATCATTATCATCATTATTATTTCTATTATTGTCTGCATCATTATCATTCTCATTGCTATCCTCGTCCTCATTGTTTTCATCATCATCACCATCGTCATCAGTGGCGTAGCTACCGGTCCTGCTCGTCCTGCCCAGCAGGACTAAAAATTTCCCCAAAATTTTGAAAAAACCACTCCAAAAAAATTTATGAAATATTTTTGAAGCCTAAGCCTTATAAATTCCGCAATTATATTTTTCGATTCGTTTCTAGCAACAGTTACCACTCGGAAGCTCGCGCCCGCAAATATAATCGATCCCACGCATTGATGCTTCAGGCCTAATAACATATATGACATATATATGATATATATATATACAGATCAATGGCTCACTCCTGCTATTTTGCCAAGGCAGGAGCTGCTATAATATTCTATAGAAGAAAATACTCAATTCTGATTGGATAAATGGCCTCTTACTCACTCATAATTGGCTGGTTACAACTCCGCACTCCTGCTATCTCGACAAGGCAGGAGCTGCATATTGTATTGCCTTTTCTTGCGAGGTTTCCGCGTGAGTACACACACTTGAGCGTAGTTTGCATAGTTATTGTCTTTGAGCGAGTGTTTTTGTAATGGCTTCAGCAAGCGTGACGAATCTAGCTTCAACTGAAGCTGATATCATAAATTCTTTGTTAAGAAAATCATTTTCTGTTCGAGCAACCGCGGAACAAAATGTTATTGTTAAGCAAAGGCCAATGCCGAATTTGAGTATTAGTGCGAGAGGGAGATCTTTTCAAATGGCTTGGTATGAAAAGAAAGGATTGGCTTTGTGCAGCACAGAGTTAAAGAGATTATTTTGCTGGCCGTGTCTTTTGTTTTGCCCTGGAAAGTCGCCGACTTGGAGCAAGAATGGTTATAGCGACATGCATGGCTTCCTCTCTGATTGCAAAAAGCATGAAAAGGCGAAGTCACACATGGCTGCTTTCAAGACCTGGAAGACGTACGGTTCCGGTGCTCGAGTGGATTCTCTTATCTCCCAAGCAAGAAGAGACGAGATACAACGCCACAATGAGGAGGTAAGGCAAAACAGAGAAATTTTAAAAACCATAACCGAGGCTGTTTTGTATTTATCCAAACAGGAGTTGGCGTTTAGAGGCCATGATGAATCTGAAGATAGCTTGAACCGCGGTAATTACAGGGAGTTACTCGAGTCCTATGCTAAGTTAGATTCTGTATTTGAACGACGATTGCATGGCAGACTAGCTGAATCTGGTCAGGGTGGAGATTCACGTTTCACTGGGGTCTCTCCTGAAATACAAAATGATTTAATCTGTTGCCTTGATTCCATTATTGAAGATACTATTTTTAAGGAGATTAACGAGTGTACCTTCATCAGTGTGCAGGTTGATGAAACTTCTGATGTCTCAACTAAGGAACAGGTAAGCATGATAGTCCGTATGGATAAAGGTTGTGAGATAGTAGAAAGACAATTGGGATTTGGAGATGTCAGCACAAAGAGAGATGCTGCTGCCATATCCCAGTTTGTGAAGGATAAGCTTAGTCCCCATTCCAACATCAAGGATAAATTAGTGATGCAAACCTATGATGGTGCTGCTGTTATGTCTGGTCATGTTAGTGGTGTCCAGGTTCGAGTGCGTCAAGAATATCCTTTTGCATACTTTGTTCATTGTGCAGCTCACAGATTAAATCTAGTTTTGTGTCAGTCTGCCTCATCTATAGCCCCTGTTAAAGTTTTCTTTGTTGATATAGGAGCATTTTGTACTTTTACTAGTAATGCCCCTCAAAGAAAAGCCTTTCTTAATTCTCATCAAATAGAGTTCCCCAGCCCTGGTGATACTAGGTGGTACTATCGATCTCGTGTGATAAGTGTCTTGCATAGAAATTACCAGAAACTCATGACATTTTTCTTGGAGAAGTGGATGAGCCTGGGAGCTGGGATGGAGAATCATTGGGAAAGATACATGGTTTGCTACATAATATTAGTAGTTTTTTGTTTTGCTTTTTGGTCTGTGTTTTTCAACAGATTTTCCAACAATCATCAATCCTATATGAAATTCTGCAAGGCCAACAAACTGACTTTAACTATGGTATGGTAAGAATTCAGCGTTTTGTAACCTTTGTTTCTTCTCTTCGTAGTGATGATAAATTTTCTGAATTATACCAAGAAGCAGTAGATATATTGGGCCACCAGAAAGCAGACTTGAGAAAAGACACAACCATAAGCAAATTTATTTTGAGATTATCGACTCCATTGTTAGTATGATGAATGAGAGGTTTCAGGATATGAAACAATATGCATTTTTAGATCTTGTCAATCCAAAAAAATTTGCATCTTGGGGTGGGTGGTACCACCTGAGAAAATTAATTTACTAAAAGAGATGTATGGGCCCCTTTATGATATCTCCATGCTTGAGAGCCAACTTTCTTTCATTTACAGGGATCAGGATTTTCATAAAGACACATGTAATGAATTACTAACCTATATTTTTAAGTTTAATCTCCAATCTAGTATTCCTGAAGCTGTCAAATTAATGAAAATGAATGTTGTCTTGTCAGTAACTAGTGCTTCTGTTGAAAGGTCATTTTCCTGCTTGAAAAGGGTAAAGACCTATTTGAGAAATAGAATGAGTCAAGGGCGCCTTAGTTCTCTTTGTAGGATTTCAATCCATAGAGACATTCTAAAAGAAAAAGAAGATGCCAATGTGCTACATAGTGAAGTTGTGGAGAAGTTTGTGGAGAAGCCAAGGAGACTTGCCTTTCTTTACAAATAGTAGACAGGTTAAGTATAAGAGACATTAGCTGTTGAATGTAAGTATAACTATTTCATTACTAGTTCATCCCTGTTAAATGGGTTCAATTTTTATAATTCATTCATCATAAGCAGTCCTTTGTGCACTCTTGCACCTTATTGTAATAGCCTGTTATATAAAATATTAAAACTTAAAAAAATTATTTGTATATACATTTAATTGGTCCAAGGGGAGATATTCACTGCTGGTGTGGTGACCCCATGGGCCATCTGTTCACACTGTATTGAATAGTTACTATTCATTCATTAATTGCTTATGAGTTCGAGCAGTTTTTTGTGCACTCTTGCACCTTTTCACTTCATGTAATATATGTGTTAAAGAAAATATTAAAATCATAAAAATATATTCTTCTAATTATAATAATAATAAAAAATCTTTACAGAGGAAAGCTTCCATCACCAATAGTGCTTTTCAGGAAGGTCCTCTAAATTGGTTCTAGGGGAGATATCCACAAGTGTGGTGACCCCAATATATAAATAATGGGCCATCCCTGTTCATATTGAATTGAATATTTACTTTAAATTCATGTATGAGCAGTCCTTTGTGCACTCTTGCACCTTTTCGTTGTAACCTATGTGTTTAAGAAAGTATTAAAAACATATAAAATCTTATATATTTTTTCTCTTAATGGGGAGATACCCACACTTAAGGTGTGGTGACCCCAATAAATATTCATTCATCATGTATGAGTGGTCTTTTGTGCACCCTTGCATAGTTGCACCTTTTCACTGCAATATACATATGTGTAATGTGTTTAATAGTTCTTAGTGACTTCTTACTTCTTTTGCATTTACCATTCTGTTCATACTGATACTGTATTAGATATTATCTATATTCTTACTTTTCATCATGTCATGAGCAGTCACTAGTGCATTGCGCACTATTGTACGTTTCATTGTTTTCCGTTTCTTCATTCTCGTTAAATGATATATTGAAAACAAAGTGACATCGTCTTTGTCAATCGTGAGCCAATTTGCGCTAAGTGTGTGTACTTGCAATTTGAAAATAAAACGAGGAGTAATGGGCCATGGCATATTTAGTTGCAGCAATACAGAAATGCAATTATGCAACTCTTTTACTTTCTGGCTATGATGAGCGTTGTCTATTTGACTTCTACAGTGCAAAAGCTTTATTCTCTGAGCCATTTATGGTCTATCAGAGTTGCAGGGTTAGGGCAAATTTTTTGTTGATACTGCCCCCAGAACGCCGCAAATGCTGTTTCCAGGCTTCCAGATATCAAAAATTTTCTGGGGGAGCATGCCCCCAGACACCCCTAGGATGCTCGCACCTTCGGTGCTCGATGAGCAGGACCATCACCGAGGTGCTGGCTACGCCACTGATCGTCATCGTACTCATCATCATCGTCATCATCATCATCATCATCATAACCATCATCATCATCGTTATCACTATCGTCATCATCATCATCATCATCCTCGTCATCATCATCGTCATTATCGTCATAATTATTGTCATCATCATCGTCATCATCATCGTCATTATCTTTGTCATCATCATCGTCATCCTCATCGTCATCATCACCATCATCATCCTCGTCATTATCATCATCATCAATGCGGTGTTCATTACCATTGCTATCATCACCGATATCATTAAGACTATCATCATCATTGCCATCATCTTGGATACCACCAGGTCGATTGTGATCAATATCATTAGAATCATCATCATCGTCGTGGTCTCGGATGTCATCGGGCTTATTATGATTATCTGGAACATTGTGATCATCATGATGATTTCCACGGCCGTCTTTATCGGAATCATCGTCATCGTCGGATTTGTCCGTTGGTAATATACGCGTTATTTTGTGATTGGAGTTCCGGACCTTTACGATATTCTTTTGACTTGCATTACCTTTTAGAGTGATATCTTTGGCTACAAATAAAACAGTAAAATAAGACATTAGTTCAAACATTCGTATAACAACGATTCTAGCTAGAATACTTTCGTAGTAACAGCCTTAGCTGTGAAAATATATCAGTCCTGTTTTTCTGTGTTAATTATACTGATAAATCAGGTTAACAGACAGAATTGAAAGCTTCGCAATTTGTAGTAAATATACACCTAATCCAGTAATGAACCTTTAGACAAAATAGCTATTTAGCTTTTAGTTAAAATATAGTGACCGTGTGTTTAATAAACGGTATGAACTGATTGTTAGCTGCTGACTAACAGCATCCAGCAAATATACATAACTTTAAAGGACATTGGCAACGAAAATTTTTATTTGCCAAATCTGTTGAAATCATCTAGGAAATACTTAATTTAATGTTTTTGTGTGTCTATCGTATTTGGTTCTTGAGAAAATTTCCAAAAATGTTCATCGGTGGTCCGCCATTTTGAAAATCGAGCCTTATGCTAATTTATGCTAGCATACATTTGTGACGTCATTTGATGGGTTCGGGAAATATGATTATATAAACTATTGTTGTATTTTCATATGGCAACTTGAAAAACTTGGTAAAATAGAGTATAGAGGGGGAACAGAATCAAATACCTATGCAAAATTAATGCATCAACATTGCGGGGACATGTTTTTCAAAATATTTGGAAGAGAACATTGAATATGAACTATGTACACACATATTTACACGCGTAGTGCACGTCGATACACAACAGGACGTTACGGTGGCAACACAACACAACTAATAACCAATCTCCCAAAGTTTAGAATTCTACTTATATTGAGATTTATACTAAAGCTAAGGCGCGCATATTTTCCCCTGCTAACAATTTTACTATATTTTAGCATAAACAAGACGCCTTTTCTGGCGTTAACTCCGGCGTGCCGCGCACGTGCTAGTCTTCAATATAAAGGCTCTGAACATAAACAATACTATGGAATGCCATTGCTGTCTTACGTGGTATATATTCATCATATGCGGTGCTTTTGTCTCTATATGCTGTCCTTTTGACATTATATGCGGTGCATTTTTCTTTATATGCTGTCCTTTTGACATTATACGCGGTGCGTTTCTCTTTATATGCCGTGCAATTGACATTATACGCGGTGCATTTCTCTTTATATGCCGTGCAATTGACATTATACGCGGTGCATTTTATACAGTTTATATTCATTTAGATGCCTTGCAAACCTAAATGTTGTTCGATCGCGAAATTCAGAAGCTCATTGTACTTTAAAAAGTATAGAAGTTTAATTGTTCAAAAATGTAAATAAACCGCATGATACGTTCACTTTGTCTTACACTTTGGAATTCGTGCTTTATATATTAAATCTTCAATCCTGTGCAAATTAACTGCGACGTGTCAACGCAACCATAAGTGATCATATCTTGTTAAATAGCAGCGATAATATTAAAATAGGACCAGAATCTACATGTATTTAATATATTCTTTCCCCAATTAAATCGAAACTTAATCGAACAGCATCAAACGCACGGTTTATTTGTTCCTTTTAGAGGAATTGCCGTATCATGTGAGAGAAATCAAATGAACATGTCATATGCGACACGACAAAATATTATTTGAGTGACCACACGACGAAGCGCGAGTTTGCGAAATGTTCGTATTCGTCGTACTCTAGTGCTTTTTCATAGCGGCAATAACATTCTACAGCCCTTGTTAATAATGCGCAATGTCCACATTTACACCAAGTAAGTTTTTCAAGGCGCCCGGCATTCGCTATTTCGAACTCGCGATCGAAATCTTCGTCAGAGGAAGATGAATCACTACCGTTTTCGGCATCGCTATCGTTAAATATATATCACAAGATTTTCCCTGCGCCTCTGGCTCATATTGGTAGGGCAACACTTCCTCTAACTGCATGGTTTTCGTTAATATGTTCCATGACAATAATAAAAAAACTACAACTCCCTTTTTAAAGCAAAAAATCTCGATAAACACAGTAAACACGCTAGTAAAATATATTGATGTGTTTAGGGAACCCATCAAATGACGTCACTTCCGCCAAATATAATTTTTTCAAAAATTGATCCAATATGGCGGACGAGGTCCAAATTTTGGCTGAATTGTGGTGAAAATAACTCATAAACGAAACATTTTTGGAACAAATTAACACCATATCCATAATTAGACAGTTGAACACTTTAAAAATAGCGAATAAAAATTTTCGTTGCCAATGTCCTTTAACAAAATTGTTTACGATAAACCGATTAATAATATCTAATTACACTACAATCACAGCCTAAAGCAAACAAATTTGAAGACGTACGTATAACTGATGTTAATGATTTGTCGACTATATATGTATAAGAAGCAACGCCAAGCAAATTGTCAGTCGAGAAAATAAGATTTAAGTTTTGAAGTAGAAAACAAACCGTTATAGCGCGATTCGACAGGTAAAATTTGAGCCACTCCGAACAGTAAAATTCCCAGACAAATTAATCTGATCATGTTTTGTCTTCCAGATAAACTTAGTCATAACAAGCGGCAAACTTCGAACGGTTCAAACAAGTTCCCATGTTTATAGTTCGTCTCAGAAAAAAAGACGATACTTAGCCATCCATTTATAAGTATTTTTTACTGTGCTAAATAATTTAAGTGTAGTGAAATTATGTTGCTCTAATATGATCTTAAGACATATAAAAAATCATGTGTGTTTTTCACCTGTGCTAGGACAAAAAATCCCCGGTCGTGCGTGCAAAACCACCTGTAACAAAATTTGATTGCCGATCAATTCGTTTCAGTTTCTTAGGGCAGGGGACAGAATTTCGGTCTCTCAGCAGTCGACTGTTCAAAGCTTTTTGTTGTCAAATCAGTTGCTATGAGCCGTTAAAGTTCAACTTATATTGTATCTTCATATATTTATCTAAAAAAATTCAAAGTATAGCAAGTTTTTCTATGAATTATGGTTCATTGAATTACAGTAGTAGATTTATGATTTATTTGAGGATTTGGCTCCGTTTTATTTTGATTTGTCTCCCTGTGGCCAATTCGCGCTGTTTGAATTTTGCGACCTTTCGCTCTTATCATAACGGAAAAATATTGGAAAATATTTATCACTGGCTTCTTTCAAATCAAATTAACTTTAAATGTTGCGAAAACGGAATGTATGATCATTGGAACTCGACAAAGATTAAATAACCCTTTCAGTCAAGATATCAATCAATGTTTATGACTTAGTTACTGCGAACTTCGAGTCTTGAAATCAAAGAGTTTATTTTTTTCGAAAACTTACATAATATATAATATCTCAATCTGCTCACGGTTCTACGCATAAAGAAAAAAGTATGTTAAAAAGTATGATAAAAATGTTGTGTATCTTCAATTAATATCAGTCCAGTCAGTATCCATATCTGTGAGATCACCAGCATCGTCATTATCGGGCCACGGTGATTTCCATGCCAATGGCTTCGAAAACTTCCGCGATCCCTTCTTACTCCGTCTTGTCGCCCAACACTTCTTCTTACCCCTGCCTTCGCCATCTTTCTGTTGCCTAGAGACACTGTAGCCACGTAAACGTTCGCGTTCCTCCACGCGTTTCAACGCCTCGAGTTTTCGTTTCCTCGCACGTTCCTCTCCCGTGCTAAACGCTATGTCGTAAGCGGCTGATCCGAGTTCAAAAGGTGTTTGACCATAAATTGAAAACGGTCTGGTATCCTTTGCTGAAGTAAAAGAGATAGAGTCTTAACCAAAGACCCAAAACAAAGGCAATCTTTGAAGGTGTATGTTTTTAGCAACAGAGAGAATCTCGCTAAACCAAGATTAAAGGAAGAGTGAAGTGAATTTGAGGTATTGAAATGAGTATATAACATGAACAGCACTCAGTGGTATTTATGTAGTCATCTAGTTTTGTTTCATGAAGATTTATTAGCAATACAACGAAGTCATTTCACGCTTTGTTGAATCTCAGTTGGCGCTTGTAAACAGCACCTTCGGTTCCTGTGCGGTAACACCCAACCATTATCGTGTTTTGTTTAAGAGTTATCAAAAGTTGTATCAAGGTTGTCACTAGCAAATTGTAAAAAGGAATGGAACAAGAAAAATTTGTTGATAGCGATTCCGTCAACTATTCAACAAACTATTGGTATTTTTGTTACAACTTTTGCGATTTTACTTTGGTGTTTTTGTGAAAGACAGGTGAGCTTCCACATCTTGGAAGTAAGTTTTTGTGTTCTCGTATCTTTTTAAATCAGTTTTAAAGCACTATGAAACCACTGACGAAACTCACCCTGTTTCAATGTAATGGAAGCACAATCTTGTCCCCTTGCCGGCATGTTGATTGGAGGCAGTGGTTGCGTGTCTGTCGCGGGAAACGGTGGATCAGCATGGGTGATGACTTGAGGCGAAATCCCTGGAAAAAACGACGGTTTCTTAACGGTCTCCTGACCACCTTGATACATCTTTCGCTTCTCGGCCGCACTCTCGTGTACGCTCTGCTTGGGACCTGAGCGATGATGATCTGTGGACAGCGGCCTTCCTGAAAGAAGCGAGTGTCTGGTCACATCGGAACGCCGTCGACTTCGCAAAAAGCTCTCTCGTGGACTCGGACTTCTTGGGAAAATATTGTGGCTGGATTTTTCGGATAGCGGAGGCCATTTCTCGCCACCAGCCGTGCGAGACGGACGCGAACGACAAAGTTCCTCGAGACTCTTTTGATGCTTTTTGTCGGACATTCTAGAAAGCTGATGTATTTTTAATACCTTTTGGTTGAAGTGCAATTGTATCCAAATGGTTTTGTATAGCAAAAATGAAATAATTTGCAATTGTCCTGTTCTATGACGTCATTTGATTGGCAGCGTTTTCAAGTGCGCGCGCAGAGCAAGAAAAGATAGGACGGAACCACTGAGCTATATATATATAATTCCTGGAGGACCGGCTCGTCATTTTTCGGTAACTTCGCCGCCATCTTTTTGCACTGAGCTATATAATAATTCCTGGAGGACCGGCTCGCCACCAAAAAGTGTAACGAAAAAGATGGCGGATTTTCAGCTTTGCTGACGCCACATGGTCCCCTTTGCCCATGGTAATTACCACTGACATACCGCGATACAAAGTCAAAAACGTGTCCATCACCCTCCCGATTTTTATGAAAATATTTTTGGTTTTCGGTATTGTTTTCGGCATATATTTTCTCCGCGTTTCATCTAAAAAGACTCTTTTTCCCTGTTCAACAAGTTAAATGGAGAAGTGATTTTTCGCTCTACATATGATGCTGTGAATGGCCTAATTCACCTATCGGGATATCAATTTTTACCTCAGGTAAGCCGGTTTTCACAACATTTTCGTTTTTCGCCTTTGGTATAGACAACTACCAAAGCGTCTGTTGCAGTTTAATTCTTTTGAAATTAATGTTAAAAACGGCAAATATGCTGCAGAGTGCAGCCTTTTTGATCAATGGTACATGACTTAGTTACGCTATGAAAAACTATACTTTATGAAAAAGGATCAATAACTGATCTTTTGAGTTTTGGCTATGTCTTGCCAGTTTTGGCTTTTGAATAGAACTCTTATGGCATTTGCACTGGAGCTTTCACTCATATTTAATGCCAACTCATGAGTATTTTCAGCCAAACAATTAAGATGAATCAATATTCAATCCTCCCAGTGAATCTATTAGTCTCTCTATTGATCCTTTAGATGAATTTAAAACATTAAACATGATGACTGTGTGAGTGCTGATACAAAATATTTTACTGTCAGATTTCAACAGTGGTTGTTAAAAGTCTAGTATGTTATCTTGTTTGCCTTGTCAAATGCAAAGTCAATAATCATGGCTTAATAGACTTCTTGGCATCTTGCACCTTGTTGATCAAGCTACAAGCTTGATTGTTAATCAGTTTGCAATGGTTTTTATTCCCCTCTGGCTCTGTCCTCTGGGTGTACTTTATTGAGTACAGTTAAACTTGGTCTGATCTCTCTTTTTTAGGATGAAGATGCTATTGAATTTGGGGATGGCTTTTTTGCAAATTACTGGAACATTAAACTGTTAATTTTACCATGTTGACTTTGTTAGTCATAGTTAAGATAGTTATTTAAATGGAAAATAAATTTATACAGACATGCATTGACTGAGCAGTTTGTTTTCAATTTGCAGCAACTTCTGGACAGTTTTACCCTCCCCACCATTCAAAGGAATATTATCATGGGGCTAATCAGGAATTGAAGGTTAATAGATTATAGACTAATGGAGGAATGAATAGGCTCAGTTGCATTTTCATGAATTCATGAGACATTTGTTTAATAGCACAACTAGTACCATATTCTTCTTGGTAGTTGGTACTATAATAAAATTTTTGTTATTTACCATAGCCTTTCCTTGCATTATCTGGAATATGATTATGATTGGAAAATGCATTACTTGGGATACAGTAAGATAGGGGTAACTTAGGCTAGCTATAATGACCTGAATGAAAATATCCTATGCAAATGACTTGAAGTACTATTACTATATAATCAGCTGCCCAGCATCTTGCATGAGGTTTGGCCTTTTTTTTCCTTGAGTTATGGGCTGATATGCATAAGCATGATGTTCTAAGGAAAACATCACATAACAACATATTTTCTGCCGGTAACCTTTAGTCGGCGATTGATATCCGAAAGATAATCCAAATTTCTGACAAGACTCGAAAAATATTCAAGTATTTTCAAAAATTTTATACAGAAATGTATGAATAATGAAAATAAATAAATAAATAAAATAACCTGTCAGCTAATCGTATATAAAAATCCTTCGTCCACAATTTTTTTTTACGTTTTAATATTAATATTTTCTCTGGCATTCGCAAAACAGCGTCCACGATTGTATAGAACTGAAATAAACGCCTTATTGCAACGCTTTGTAGCACAAAAATAAATCGAAAAATACAAAACAGCAAGGTTTCCAATTCATGTTTCACGGCAAAAAAAATATTCATAAAAAACCAGGGGGGAAATACTGTTGTTTAGATAAACCAGGGGGGAGCATCTCTCGTAGCGGGCTCAGATTTGAGCCTGGTCAGTGGTAATTACCCTGGGCAAAGGGGACCATATGGCGTCAGCAAAACTTCTGCGCAGTGCGCAGAAGGCAAAATCCGCCATGTTTTTTTGTGCAAAAAGATGGCGGCGAAGTTACCGAAAAATGACGAACCGGTCCTCCAGGAATTATTATATAGCTCAGTGTCTTTTTGTCGCCAAAAACATGGCGGACTTCGCCCTTCTGCGCAACCGCAGAAGCTCTGCTGACGCCACATGGTTCCTTTTGGCCATGGTATTTACCACTGACCGGGCTCAAATATGAGCCCGCTACAAGGAAGTTCTCCCCCCTGGATTTAGTAAACAACAGATTCTCCCCCCTGGCCTTTATAAAAAAATTCCCGTGAAAACTTGTTTTGTTTTTCTGAAATATAAAGTCATGAAAACATCATTAATTGCATTTTTTTGAAATATAAAGCGTTTTTTTTAAATGAATACAAGTCGTAGACGCTGTTATTGCCAACGCAAGAACAAATATATATTAAAACGTCAAAAATTGTGGACAAAATTGAAGATTTTAATCCTGACACGAACTGACAGGTGTTTTTTTTATATTTTCATTATTTATACATTCCTATAAAAAATGCTTGAACTTTTTGGCACTATTGTCGGACATTTTGGGGACAACTGGATATTTATGGACATCAATTAGACTTTTTTAAACCCTGCATGAACTGCAGAATTACTGAAAGTATGCAATTAATAATGTTTTCTTGAATGTCTTCAGGACAATATATCTAGGTATAATCCAAAGAAACAGAGGCCAAAGCTCAGGGGCAAGATGCTTGGCAGCTGACTAAGTGCAAGAGTATAGTTTCAACCATGAGTGATATTTTGCATAATATGCTTCTCATTAAGGTCATCAGCTTAATTGTACCTCAATGCCAATGGGCTATAAAAGTTTTCAATATTATCTAATTGCACCCCTGGACCCCTGGTCTTATTAATAAATAATATTCATCCCTCCATAGACTCACTGAGTACTCCTACTCCTACTCCTGATTACTCCTGATTAGCCCATTGAATTTAGCCCTCTTGAAATTTGATACCATAAACAGAAACTTATAAAAGTGGCTGCAGATTGAAGATACATTGCTCACACAGTGCATTTTATATTTATTTCCTTTATAAATATAACAATGGTTTTAAAAATACCAGCCAAAACAAAATCAGATAACATAGTAATCAAGGATAACAATGCAGATTCATAACAATGTGTATAATATGCTTAATACATCTCAGTTCAATGTTCCCACAAATTGCATGACAATTAATTAATAAGCCATCTCTAGCTTGCTTTATTTCATTAATTAATAAGCCATCTCTAGCTTGCTTTATTTCATAGCATCTTCATCCTGAAAAATATAAATAGAAATATAATCAAGATTTATTCACAAGGTGCAAGAAGTTAAAAAATCAATTAATATAAGCCATGATAATTGATTTGAATTTGACAAGGCAAACAAGATAATATATTAACTAGGTTTTAACAGTCACCATCATCAGAGCTTGAAATTTACACTGTTTGCAGCAATTACTTTGCATTACTTTGTATCAGCACCCACTCAGCACTTTTGTCAGTTAGATCATGTAATTATTGCTTGAATCTAATAGACTCACTGAGGGGAAGGTTTACCTATTTACATTATTGTTTGTTATCATGAAAACAAAATAGACCAAACTTAAAGATTGACATTGCCAGGAATTTAATTCCTTCTCCACACAAGTCAAGAAAAATGATAAAGTTTGACTGTTTCGTCTAGCTGTTTGAGTATATAACATTGCACATGTACCAAAGGTCTAAAATAGTATATTTGCTGTTTGTACCATAAGTTTTGATGGATTTATATGGCTCAGAACCTTTGGTAATCAGTTTATATTCGAGTCCAAAGGCAAAAAACTGAAATTGTTATAAAAACCGGCTTACCTGGATGCCATAAAATAACAGCCGAATGAGAAAAATCATTCCCCCGATAAGTGAATTAAGCCATTCACAACGTCAGACGCAGAGCACGAAGCTACGTGTCCTTTCCATTTGTTGAACAGGGAAAAAGAGAAACACTTTTATCCATTTTATATGAAAAACAAAAAATATGTACAGAAAGCTGAAAATAGTTTCATAAAAACCGGGAGGGTGATGGACACAGTTTTTCACCTTGTATCGCGGTATGTCAGTGGTAACCACCATGAGCAAAAGGAACCATGTGGCGTCAGCAAAGCTCAAAATCCGCCATGTTTTTGCGGACACTTTTTGGTGACGAGCCGGTCCTCCAGGAATTATTATATAGCTCAGTGGCAGCGAGCCGGTCCTCCAGGAATTATTATATAGCTCAGTGGACGGAACAGAGTAAGACCACTGAACTGAGTAAGACAGGATAGAAAGAAATAGGACAAGACAGGATAAAAGGAAACAGAACAAGACAGAATAGGACGGAATAGAACAAGACAGGATAGGACGGAATAGAGTAAGACAGGATAGGACGCAGCAGAACAAGACAGGATAAAAGGGAACAGGGCAAGATAGGATAGAAGGGAACAGAAGGTTGGAATAACATTTTTTAATGTTGTTTTTCCCAGGTTCCAAAGATAACGTCAACTTCAATTTGAAGGCGAATTTGTTAGTTTATTAATACTATATATAATTATTAATGTTTGTTATCCATGTTTTCACAATTCAGTCAGTGCTTTATATGATAAAAAGTCTTTGTAAGTGGCAGTAATATTGTATTTAATGTTGTGTAAGCTGTGTTTTAGTTCAGCAAATAAAAATTCAAAGGATAATTCTTCTAACTTTGTCTATAGTTTTGAAACAAATAATGTAATATATTGTATATATTTATTGTTGTTCCAACTGGCAATTCCAGGAGTGATCCAAGTCATGTGTGTCCACGATATTCAATTATTGATATTCAATTATTTATATCTACACCATACAGACGTACGACATTCAGTGCGTTTCTGCCTATTAACGAAATAAAATTGACTCAGTCTTCATTAGCACTGGGTGAAGTGAAGAAGTTTGATCAAGTCTTAGATTTGGATGAAGTTTGAATGAAGTCTCAGGAATGGGTGAAGTTTTATCAAGTGTTAGAACTGGATGAAGCTTGAATGAAGTCTTAGGACTGGATGGAGTTTGATCACGTCTTAGACTTTTAGGACTGGATGAAGTTTGATCAAGTTTTAGGACTGGATGAAGTTTGATCAAGTCTTAGGACTGGATGAAGTTTGATCAAGTCTTAGGACTGGATGAAGTTTGATCAAGGCTTAGGACTGGATGAAGTTTGATCAAGTCTTAGGACTGGATGAAGTTTGATCTATTAAGTCTTAGGACTGGATGAAGTTTGATCAAGTCTTCGCACTAGATGAAGTTTGATCTATTAAGTCTTAGGACTGGATGAAGTTTGATCAAGTCTTAGGAATGGATGAAGTTTGATCAAGGCTTAGGACTGGATGAAGTTTGATCAAGTCTTAGGACTGGATGAAGTTTGATCTATTAAGTCTTAGGACTGGATGAAGTTTGATCAAGTCTTAGGACTGGATGAAGTTTGATCAAGTCTTAGCACTAGATGAAGTTTGATCTATTAAGTCTTAGGACTGGATGAAGTTTGATCAAGTCTTAGGACTGGATGAAGTTTGATCAAGTCTTAGGACTGGATGAAGTTTGATCTTTATCAGCACTGGGTGCGTCTATCATTTCGCTTACCTCGTAGTCGTACAAATCACATGCATTCAAACTGATCAACTCGCTGTTTTGTGTTTCCCATTCGAATTCGTTTCAATGTTTTATACTTATTTCGTCCAGCCTGAATATTGGCAGCGTAAATATGATCTAACGTAGTGAGTTTCGTCTCTTTTAGCTGAGGATAAATATCCTTACCAAGGACCTAGAACCAATAAATCAAATGTCACACACACTCAAAAATAAGTTTAGAGGAAAAAAATTCACAGATCGCATGTTGGGATGGAACTATCAACAACTAACAATGAAATCCGAATGGAATAGCAAAATATCACAGATGCTTCTTACATCAAGGTAGCTTTGTATGTATGTATCCATAGTGGAGTCACGATCGTATTCAGGCAGCCTAGCATCTTGCATAACCTGCAAATCGTGAGCAACGGATGGCCCTTCAACTTCATCAGGCTCGTCTATACTGTGCTGTTTTCGCATTAGAGTATATGGCTGATCGTCATTATTGTTGTTCGTAATTTTTTCGGCATTCTCCAGATGACGTTCTTCGCTCAAGGCCCTTTGTCGCTTCAGTTCCTCTCCCTAAACACAAACCATGGAAAGTTCGATGAAGCTACGCCTTGCTTTCCCGGGAAACCTGCCAGTGAAGCCAGTGAAGGATGGGAAACACTGGAAAGTCGAAGATCTATCAGAAGTCGTGGATTTCTATCAGGAAATCTTGTTTGTTGTGAATTGACAGAAACTCGTGACTAGGTAGTTTTATATAAGCCAGAAACAGTTTATTTATTTTTGCTGTGTTCAAAGATAAGATTTGTTTCATCCTTGGTGACATTACTGTGGGAAACCGTCTTTTTTAACACTGGGTAGCCATCAACAACGAGGATTCAGCTCAAATATCGACTGAAGAAAGAAATTCAATACCAAAATTTCTTACTTTTTTATAATTCGTTTCTCATACCTGTTCAGCAAGCATCCTTTCTTTCTCCTTTTTCTCGTCAAGCGCTTTCTTCATTTCCATGCTCACAGCAGAGAACTTGTTACGCTGAAGAAAAAACACATTAAAGTAGTCAGGTGAGTGAAAAAGGTGTGGGATACACGTGGACGCTTTTCTTTTACTATCAGACACCCCCTGTAAAATACCTCATTTTTGGAGTTTCTGGTAGCTAGCCGGGGGGGGGCAGGTGTTTGTATACATAGTGAACGAACATACTAAGTATTCATTTTCATTCTCGCGTTGACTCAACTGTCTTGTGATCATGTTTTTTTCTCGTTCAATTTGCCGGCTTCTCTCTCGCTGTCTCGCGTTCTCCTCTTCAGCTGAAAGACGTTGCTTTTCCAATTCTAAATTTTGGCTCCTTTCTCTTTCAAGAGCTGCGCAAAGAAGACAGATCATGAATTTGAAAAGGAAGTTAACGCTGTGTAAAAAGATTGCAAATCAAGCGCTCTCAATTCTCTTTCAATTTACCCTCGGCAGTTTCCTTCGCGGACATTTCCAAAGATTTTGCTTGTTGCTGAAGTTGCTTGTTTATTTCCTGGGCCTTTCGTCTTTCATCTCTCTCTCTAATCAGCGTCATTCTTGAAAAAACCGAATTAAGTTGTTTAGAGTTCTTCTTGGAATGTACATTTGGATCCCACTATTAAGCCGATGAACTGCAAGTCTGTTTTGCGAGGCCTAATAGTACGACTGTGTTTAATGGCAAAGATCAAGTGGAGAAAATTTCAATTATTTTTTCCCGTGATAGCCGTCATTTCTTAAGTTCACCAACATCTCCCACTTTTTGGTATCTAATTAAACCAAGGGCCTGTTATATCAAGCCGGTTTACCTTAAACGGTGGATAAGTCAAATTTAAATAACAGTCTTACATCTCTTTTAAAAATGAGTGAACTTGAGTATTATGCACTGAATAATGTAGTTGTAAACATTATCGTTGTATTATGGTTAAAAACATTTACTTTGCTTCTTGAATAAAACGGCAGACTTGCTTTTTATTTTGAACGTAACCACCGTTTAAGCTAAGCGGGCTTGATACAACCGGCCCCAGATCGGTAAAGGCTGAAATCAAGCCTATCTTGTGCAATGGCGCGAATACGACGGTTTAATTAAAAATGAAAACAAGCAAGCACCTCTCTTCCCTCTTGAGCTTTTGTTCGTGTTTCGCCTCCGCTTTCATCTGCAAGATTTCCACCGGGTCTGGTCTGCGTCGTCTCATATACAACTCGTGATTACCCATGGACAGAGCGAGGATTCTTTTGTTGGTTTCAATTGCTGGAACACCAAAGATAAAGTCCTGGGAATAAGAAACGTTAAAGGATAAATGCTGCATTAGCTAATGGAGTTTTCACCTGCTAAAGAACTACCCAAGAATGATTCTCAGGAAGAGCGATTCTTTCGTACTAACCGGGCTTTTCTTCTCAATTGGTTTGATAATAAATTTCCTATTCGTGAAAGATAAAGTCTTGATCTCACTCCAGGGGAAGCCAACTTGAGGAGTCATCCTAGGGAAATATAGTTTTGAAAGATAAATTCAAAGCATGGAAAGCTATTAATTGTAAAACTAGTAGACTTCGTAATTCGTTTATCCCGTCCAGTATCGTAGTTCATAATAACTTTTTATCATGATAATTTTTAATATAAATTAGTTTTAATATCTACTAAACTTGTAACAAGTCCTGTACAATTCAGCTTGTTAGCAGCCTCTCAGACTTGGTTTTTTAATAAAACTCTAACTCTAACTCTAAAGCAAACTCTCTACTTTCAGTCCATCGACATCCACAGATTCGTTTTTCAAGTTCCAAGGCAATCCTATTCAATACACACCTGTTCGCCTTCTCATAAATATGCAAACCAAACGTGTCAATTCCCAGCCAAAGCGAACTTCCTTTTTTGTTCTGAATCTGAAAATATGTCACTCCGTACATTTCGAGATCCTGGACAATTTTCAGATACGCCATCATCGCGTCTTCGCTATTGATAAAAACGGAAAAGCGCCGTGTTTTTAAGTGAAGCACTGATACAATTCAGTATTCAATGACAATGCATATTAATATTTCTACCCACGAAATCCTGGAGAAATCGCTTATATCTATTGTATACCTCGGCATTTCCCCATGTCTTCTCCACAGCTCTTCAATTCTTTTGTCCCAATCGCCTTTGGACAATCTATACTGATTGATGATCCTAAGAAACACCGTAACTACATTTACTATGGGCGCTTTCCTTTATACGATAAGCTAGTAATGGTCAGACCGGTCCTGTTGTATTTCAATACAGACAGATTACTGGTATTTTAGAGTGTTTCAAGAACTCTGCATTCAAGTACATCGTTATTTACATCTTCCTAGCACGGCAAATGCAGTTTCACTGCTATATATATTCTTAACGAAGTATACTCCATTTCAATTCAAAATTTGACTGGTCTGACCATTTTGGCCGCGTAAAGGAGGCCAAAATGGGCGCCATATGATTAAAAAAGATCCAAAACAACACTGCAAATACATTTATTGATTGAATGAGTTCCTAACGAACACTATAAACAGAATAAATGTATTTTCATTAACATGATCTCCTTGTTTGCAAATTCCGTTAAGCGAAGAACGAAGAAACGAACACACAGGAAAATTTGACGAACCTGTCTGGAAGCAGCTTTTCCTTGTTTAGAAAACGATCTGAGATTGGAAGCTGGTTATATTCACCAATTTCCGCCTGGCACTAAAAAAGAAAATGCACCAGTTTTTTAAACGTAATCCCAATATATCTGAATAAAACTAACAGCTCTTTGAATGGGTTGATTGGGTTTAGAAAGCGTTGCATTGTAGATCGTATCTCATTGCAAAACTTACAGCAAGCGAGGCAAGAAGCACAGCTTTATCTGTGGGACAGTAAACGTCGTCGTGAATGATAGATTCCTTGGCTTGCAGAAAGAATAGTTTCTGTTGGGTAAAGACAGGGATTAGTGAAATCAATGATTGAGAAAGAACGTCGATAGTCTGAATATTCTGAAATCTTACTTGTGTGACAAGTTGAATGAGCTCGTCGTTCAGATCTTCCGGGAAAAACTTGGCTCGGAAACGAAAACGAATAACTGTACCGTTCCACTTGATATCGTGATGAAATACCTAAAGATATACGGTCTTTATCCATTACATACTCGGCGTAGATTGAGCGTATACAGGGGCCAGTTGTATCAAGCCCGTTTAGCTTAAACGGTGGATAAGTCAAAATTAAATAACACTCTTACATCTCTCTTGAATGAGTCAACTTGAATATTATGCACTGAATATGTAGTTGTAAACAGTATCTTTGCATTAGGTTAAAAACATTTAGTTTGTTGAATAAAACGACAGGCTTGCTTTCTATTTTGAACTTATCCACAGTTTAAGCTAAACGGGCTTGATACAACCGACCCTAGATTCTTAGGCAGGCATTACCGTAATACAGGCAACGGTTCATAAGCAGACACCTCTCTCATACAAACACGGTAGGTAACGCATGCATGGAAGACTATCTAAAAAGACGCTTTAGTTAACTGAAAGATCTTGCCTTTCTATTGAGTTTCAACCAGTTTTTGACGTCTTTGTTGTCTGTGTACTCCAGACCAAAATACCAGATTTCCTTCAGGCCAATATGAGCAACAATCTAAGAATATCGTTATTGTGAATATTTGAATTGTTTTCCGTTTATGGGTATGCTTCACTTGCACCTTGCGACCAAAATAAAGACACTCTTTGAGATGGCCATTTTTAGGAAAAATCTGGTTGTAAAATACCTTGTAGAACAGTTCTCGTCCTGTCGTGTTTTGACTAATAGGAACTCTTAGGTCCTTAAGTTTTGTAGATACTATCGTCTCAATCTAAATAAATATGATGTGTGATAATAGCAATCAAGATATACTTCAGGAGGAAACCTAAACTAAATTAACTTTATTTATACTGGATAGCTCTATCAGTTCTAAACTGTTCTTCCTCGAGGTCCAGTAAGGATCATCTCTTATTGATCCAGTGTCACTACAGGAGGAAACCTATAAACCAAACTAACTTTATTTATACTGGGTAGCTCTATTAGTTATAAACTCTTCTTCCTAGAGATCCGTTAAGGATCATCTCTTATTGATCCAGTGTTACTACAGGAATAAACATAAGCTAAACTAACTTTAACTAACCCAATTGGTCAGTTAATGCATGATTACTGAACAAAATCTGAATGAGAAAAGCTGGTTTGCAGAGTAAAATTGGAAGCGTATTCAAATGTAACTTAACGTTGGTAAAACCATTTTCAGATGGAAATGTGTTGGCTTTTGTGAATGTTGGTGAAATTCCGGACATTAGTGAAATGAGAAATGCATCCTGATTCTTGACACGAACAAACGACAGAGGATTTCAAAGAATGCGACAAACAAAGCAATTATGCTTAAGTGTTGTTGAATGATTTCCCTTTAAAATTTACCAGGAATTATGAGGTTTTAAAATAATTTAACAGTCGAATGCGGACAGTGCCACATCGGCAGAAAGTTTCAATCATCGCTCGTTTCTTTATAACTCAAGTAAAACGATGTGAAAATAGATTTGTTTGGAAGGAAATATACGGAATACAGTAGACCACGATTGTGTTTTATCAAAAGGTCTTTGTTGTTTTATCTACCATCTTACATGCACCATCGGTTTTCCACTTTTATTGGGGGTAATTTTGTTAGTAATATTTCAGTTCGCGATTTACTCAACCAATCCCCACAGTACGTCCTCAAAGACTCGTGTGTTTTCTGTACAATCGTCAGCACACAAAGTGATGTCAATATTATGGTCTAGTCCTGTAGACTGATCCAGCATTGAGTCAGAGATTATCAATAAGCGATAATTCTCACTGGGCCTCTAGGATGAACAGTTTAGAACTGATAGAGCTATCCAGTATAAATAAAGTTAGTTTAGTTTAGGTTTCCTCCTGTAGTAATACTGGATCAATACGAGATGATCCTTACTGGATCTCTAGGAAAAACAGTTTAAAACTGATGGAGCTATCCAGTGTAAATAAAGTTAGTTTAGTTTAGTTTTCCTCCTATAGTAACACGGCATCAATAAGAGATGGAGTCAACAGGAATCAATCTCAAACAAAGATATTTTACTTACCAGTTTAGGCATAATTGAAGACTAAGGGTTGCTGAGATCACGGAATTTAAATACCCAGCACGATATTCAGAACCAGACGACACGAAACCAAGAAATCTCACTCGCAGAATGGCTTCAAAGCGAAGCGATTTGAAAGCACGTTTACCTTAAAGCTATGAACATAGTTAAAGAAAGCTATAAGCTTGTTTAACGCTCATTTCGTTTCGTGACTCGAGAGAATGTCGGAACTAGAGCGTAGGGCTTTTTTTAAGGTATTCAAAACATGCCATTAACGAATGGTCAGTAAATATGGCACATTCATAACAGGAAAGTACAAACACCGTTACACGCCACAAAGCTGGTTGGGTTTGTTATTTAAAGAGCGAATCATGTCACCTTTTATTTCACAATAAGAGGGAGAATATACGATTAAACTTTGACACAAAGTTTGCTATAACTTTAATGAGTATGGTTTTCAGGTATGGTGCAATTATTAACAAAATTCTCACTAATACCTTTGAACAGACACCAGCAAGTTGGAAACTTAGCAAGCAGGTCTTCTCGAAGTGGTTTGAATGTTCTCAGCGGCTTTGGAAAGCGTTCAACTTTTAACTGGGTGTAATTGTTCGCTTTATTTTCACTTCGCATCAAACGAAGAGGTCTCGCATTGTTGAATTTGCGAAACAGCCACATTCTTCTGCACAGCATGGTGCTTACAGCTATTTTGCATGAACTAACAAGAAGTGGGCAGAACGTGGTATGCCTTTGTGACAGGTTACATGCGGAATTTCAAAATACGTACGTTCACGATTGCTGTAACAATTATTGATGAATTTGAATCATTCTTATCGTAGTTTTCCGCAACGACTCACGCTGAAGACAGAGCACGAGCGAGGCACAAGAGCACTATGCAATTTTCCTTGCAATATGCAATTATAATTCCGAGGGATGTTAATTAGTAAAGAGTGTTTGAAATGCTAAGAAAACCTTAGCAGATCGCTAACGAAATCGCTAAGAAATGGTCGTATTTGACAACTTCAGATGCCTCAGAAGTAGAATTGCATTGCAAGTTACAAGAAGAGTTGCATAGAGAGGGGGCAAGGGTATTTTCGTGATCTGTGATTAGCATTATTTCTGTATTGTGATGCGTGATTTAAGAAAATGCCATTCCGTGAATCGTGATTAAAATGCGTTCCGTGACTCGTGAAGACCTAAAACGCTGGCAAAGACATCTTATTTCCCCCAATATTTTACCAATATTTATAATTTTTTAGATCAAATACTTGTCCCCAACTAAACTAAAGGTTAAATAATCAAAACAGTAGCTTTCCGCCTAATTTCTCAGTCTTTCCGCTGCAAAGTGGTGAAAATGAAATGATCTTCTTCGTGATTCGTGAAATCTTAAAAACACCTTTGTGATTTCGTGACAAGACCCCCCCCTTGCCCCCCCTCTGCATAGTGTAACACCACCTTAACTTTTGTTACTTCATTTAAAATCCTGTATGGGAAGGCTTGAACTGGCATATTTTTTGTCTGTGTGTGAACGAAAATAACAACAACAACAACAGAAACAAAAATATAATCATTCAACTGCCCAAAGCACCAACATCAATAATGGTAAGGTCACACGTACATAAGTGATCGGTTAAAATCTATTTATTCTTATCAATTTACATTTATTTACAAATGTACAAATGACGATATCTTGAACTGTGTTCTTGCTTCCCGTCAATTTTACTTTTTATATCTTTGCATATGCCCTTTATTAATACTAGGGTGAATGCAGGATACCAGGGCGGATGCATGATACCAGGGTGAATGTGGGATACGCGCAAACGACACGATTATCCATAAAGGTCCCGGAAGGTGCAGGACAATATTTCCGGCCAACTGTATACCAGGGTTTCTGTCACCTGGTGTATGTTACCGACATTAGATCGTCACGAAAAAACTTTTGCTTTTCTATAGGAACGAAAAATTGGATTCAATTTCCCCGTTTTTGAGGCAGCCAGTGGCGTAGCCTGGCGATTTTCTCCCGCTATGTAAATTTCGAGTTATTATAACTATTCATGCCTTTAGAGATCTATTGTTTTCACAGTCAATGAACACTAAAATATTAGCATAGCGGGACAAATCGATAGGCTGGCTACGCTACTGGAGGCAGCGCATTCAGTTTACTTGTAGTTCAGAGGAACGTACCTGAAACAGGACCAGACACAGCGCTTGTAGCATACTCCTTCCACGTTGAAACGTAACTGTCAAAATTTAACCCGTTTGTCCACTCCAATAGTTCATCAACTTCCCACTCATCTACCGCCTCGTATCCCTTCTTATCCGTCACTTGCACTAATCCATTCATCGAGGTCTCGATATCCTTCACCACCGGGCTTTCCGTACCCCGCTTTGTCAACAATATTCCCTCGCTGTACCTGTGGGTAAAGACCGCACAAGGCATTCGTATATTTCGAAATGAAACTTTCCGAACAAAATTTTTAAGTAAGTAAAATAGATATTGAAAGCAATGAATGACTGATTCCCAAACTGCAAGGAACATTGAATACTGCATCATTTATTGTGCTTACATCTTCTTCATCCATTCAATTTTTCTCCTTTTTCTTTTCTGTTCTAAATCTTTCCTTCTTTGCAACTAAACACAAGAAAAAGGAATAAGTGAATGAGGAACCATTTGAGCCCTATCCAGAGTCTTGGTTTTTTCCATTTTACCAGATTTGCTGAGCACGATTGCTTTGCATATATAAGATTTCTCGCACTCGCTGACTGCGTCAGAGAAATCACGGCAAACAGAGCAATGATAAGCCCCCCCCTCCCCCTCAATCAATGGAAATCGGCTAAGCTCGTCCCGAGTCTCGAAGCTCCTAGTCGGCTCGAAATGTTCACAATGACTGGAATGATTCCGAGATCACTGTGTTCTCTCCTTCGTACAAGAAAGGGCAACAAGCATCTGCTTTAGTCCTCTTTTACCTTACAATGCTTGAAATCGATCTTCTTTTGCGCAGAATCGTAGGTGATTGCATCCTGGTCAATTTTACGCAAAATCTGCAAGGAAACATTCCGATTAGAGATCACAATTTTCCGCCTTACGAGCATGGATACCGTAAGCGAAAATACTGGCATTTAAGATATTCATACAACTCTCGAACGTGCTAGTGTATAGGCAGCATATATAGGTACTATATGTTCAAAATTTGACCGAATGAATTGGAAAACTCCAATAAAACAGCCTGCAAAGTAAGATCTTTTCAGGGTAATCATACAACGTGAAATCTCTCAAACCCTTTCAGACACCAGTCTCCATCCATTGTTCTCATATCTTTGATACCAGCCCTCTCTGGTCCCTTCTGAGGTGTTGTGATATCCTTTGTTATGACATTGCCTGGCCATGAGTTGTTTTGTGACCGCTTTTGTGTAGTCCTTAGGGCTGTTCGCACACATATCAACCACCGTCCTGTGCGTGAAGATCTTGTAGTAGATGTTTGGAGGAAACGTATGCTAAAAATAAGACGTCAAGCATCAAAGCTCTGCTAAAAATTATCACCTCTATATCAAGAAGTGGAAAAGAAGGGTTCGTGGTATAGTTGTTCACGGTAGACACTTCCATGGCAAAAACATCAAACTCTGTCACCCATCCCCCCACAGTGCTGTCATTTTATAACGATCTTTAGGTAGTAAATATGACAATAGGGAGCTTTAGCAGTGACTACGAGTACGACTACGAGTACGAGATTCGTCATTCTCGCGCGTTGTTTGCTTACGCCATCAGTCAAAACTCGTTGTCGCCGGGCATTTGAGTACGAGTTTTTTGATAAACTTCGTACTCGAAAGCCCAACGACTACGAGTTTTGGCTGGTGGCGTAAGCAAACAACGCGCGAGAATGACGAATCTCGTACTCGTAGTCGTACTCGTAGTCACTGCTAAAGCTCGCTACTGTAAGGAGGGAGGGGAAGCTCAGGTAAAATGATAAATTATGCGCGTATAGGAACAGTAATTTTTCAATAGATAACTGACCCCTGCTAATCGAAACTTGACGTGTGTTCCTGAACCAGAATCCAGTAATTCTGCCTATAAAATCAATCACTCAAAAATAAGGCACAGGCATACATTTAAAAGGGCAGTGCGTCAGTGCAGACAGATCAATCAGTCTCAGATAGATCAATGAACTGGGGTAATCACATTTATGGCAGATTCAAGATACAAAGTAAGAGTGATCAACTGAGCTGTATACTACACTGCTGATCACTGGACTGACCTCTCTGGGATTGATACATCGTAGTAGTAATGCAGGATCGCCACGGAACTTAAAACTGATCAAATCTTTGTAGTAACAATACACTTGCATATCCTAAAGACATGAAAAAAAACATTGTGGAAAAAATGATAAAGTCCAGCAACCAGGTATCTCTAAAGTGGCAGCTCAATAAGTGGATTCTTACATGTTTTCTTAAAAAGAAGCCCCAGCTTGCGAGGTTGCATGCTTCTATATACTTACAACATGTTTCCTCCAAGTTCTTTGGATGATTCTTGCAGCTCCCTGTCTTGTCAGGGGTTGTCTAGTCATCTTCGTAGCAGGCCTGGAGAGCCGAGTGGTCGTAGAATAACTGTCAGCCATTGTTGGAGGGCGAACAGAGGGCACTCGGATGCTTCGTCGCTCCTTGCAAACCTGACGCCACCATGACTGAATCACCAATGCACAATAGTCTTCAAATCTAACACGGAATATGACATGTTGATCAGGCACGGACCTAGAAGCTTAATTGAGGGGTGCATATTCATATATTCAAGTTTAAAATTAAGCTTCCAGATCCGTCCCTGATATTGATCTTAATTGTACAACCTCATTACTGTTCATTACCATACACTGAAATTACAAAACTTACAAGACTGATGCATGTTCCTCACGAAACTTGCAATAATCTTCCTCTAACTTCACACGAGAACTTGACTTTGGAAGATCTGATAACTGTGTTTAGCAATGAATACAATAAATTTAATCATCATACAATGGTTTCAACATACAACAAAACAATTATATAAGAGTTTTCAACCCACTTACCAGCTGTGCATTTATGTCTGGTGATAAAAATGGTGGTCTACAAACAATCTCATCAGACTGAGGAGGAGAACTCTTGACTGAAACGTCTGACCACATGTATGAGCTTTGCGGTCCTTGGTTTTCATTTGATATCCCACCATGCCGCAAATCATACAAATTGCATCTAAAAAAACACGCAGATCATATTGTATTAGAAAGAGTTGTCCTTCTAAACAAGTGTAATGTATAATAGTTGTGATGATACCGTGTGGTATAGCCTCTGTAAATTCTCTGGATCTCAATTGCAGCTGCTGTGTGTCGGTCGTCATGTTCTGGATTCCTCAAAATAGCCTGGAGAATATTATTTAAAAATACAGCAATTGAAACATACGGAATTTCTGCTGCTTCTGTTATGAAAAAAGCACAATACATAGAGCCACAATTAGGAGGTAGGACCACATAAAGAATAACGTCTGAAGATAGATATTTATCAATACGAAGTATCCAAGTATAGACTCTATTATTATAAAATCATTCCATTTTCGCTCATCAATCTTCAGTCAGTTCAGTTAATATATCGATTTAAAACATTCACTTTTCATCTTGTCATCCTTTTTTATACTTTACACTAAGATATACCTGTCTAGCTTGCTTTGTGTCGAACGCTAAGACGGTTGCACGGTTGGAAGAAACTATAAAACCACAAAGGGGACTCTTTTTTAATCATTTTACAAGTTACAACAACTATTTAATAGAAGACCCAATTTCAGCAGCACTACAAATACAACCACATTTGCGCGATACTTCACCTGGCAGCGACAAGTTGTTTAGTAACTCTTTGGCGTCTTTTTTAGATAATTTCATCTTTATTTTAAATGTGAAACGCTTTGATATTTTTCAAAAAAAAAATTTAGTAAAATCGGCCGCCATCTTTAAACATCACCAGGTTTCTTAGCAACGAGGAATTTTGGGAAAAAGAGGAATTTCGTAGACGTTTGGAAGTTTAGAAGTACCAGAGAAAAAAACGGTGTGAAAATACAGAAAGCCTGAATCGAGTTGCGCAAAATATGCGAATATATTTTTTTTATGTAGAGTTTGTTACGCATGTATCGCACGTAAAGGAAAGACAAGACCTACAATCTGTAACAAATTCTGCTGTAGAATTTGTGTTATATGAATGTTGTTTGCATTGTTATTAACAAGCTGTTGTTGCGGTTGCTGTTGTTGTTCTCCCAACAACTTTTCAAGAAGTTGTAGAAGACAGTTCGTGCTGTAAACTAACATGAAGTGATGACAGCTATGATAATGGGGATCAAACTTAACTATTCCGAATGAATTGAGTCGTCAAAATCCCGTCAGAATATTGCAAAGTAGCTCATAAAAACAGGAGAGTTGAATATTCATCCACGGTATCTACACAGACGGGCAATGGGTCTCAGAGCAATCCTTGCCGACTCAGATCTTCAAATGTTTTTCTATTGACAACATTGCCTGACGAATCTTCAAACTCCTCCTGTTAGACGTAGATAAGACTCAGTTAAAGACATATTTAAAGGAGAAATGAAGTCTGCATGGTTAAACTTTGCCAACTTTTGAACTCACCTCGACGTCTGGAAGCCAGCGTTCTTTCGCTTTGACAACCTTTAATTTTTCCCATACTACAGTCGGTAAGAAATGAGGAGAAAATGTGAAATTGTAGTTACCAAATAGTTACCAAATTATTTCTAGAAAAATCGATTTCGATTCCTCGGAATTGTTAATATAAGCTACAGAAATCGATTTTATACTTTTTTACCACAACTACAGTTATATCTGTACCGATATCCCTGTACAGAAGTCACCTGTTGCCACCATATCCAATTTGATTTTTTCAAAAAATAGCAACAAACCACAATAGAATGCTTACATGCAAGAGCATCTGTGATTTGAGTAACATTTGCGAAATGTGCGGTATTTGGTATCCCAAGACACCTCATGTTATGAGCGTGACGCCATTCCTGTAATCAAAGAGAACCTAATATTACTCTTGTATGTTTGCATGGTGACAGTCGATAAGTAATTTAGCCTGTAGAAAACCCAAGTAAGTATTTAATGCTGCAAAGCTTTCGGTCCGTTAACCCGGGCCTTCATCAATTGCACTGATGAAGGCCTGCGTTAACGGACCAAAAGCTTTGCAGTATGAAACACTTACGTGGTGTACCCACAAGCTACATTACTTAAAGTGAACCTAATAAGTTATAATTACAAATGGTAGGTATATTATCGGTCAGGACCCAACAGTTTAATCGTACAGGACATACCGCAAAGTGTCGTTGAAAAGCCTTAGGCCCTCTGCAAGAAAAACCCAACAAAATTGGATGATATAGTAGGTGTACTGTATTCATAATGGTATTTTCAAAAAAATCTGCGCATTTATCCAAGATATTGTTTACAGTACCTGTACTTCATGTTGCCACAAATTTCACAACTGTATGAAATGTTGAGACCGTGAAGTTTGTAAAGCCAGTATGGAATAGGCTAAATGGAAAATAGACTGTCAGTTTAACACTCTAAATGTATTTGATCTGGGAAGATGAAATGCTCACCTTGCCATCCCATCCTAAGGGAAGATTCTTGGGATTATAAAGAACTGTTTCCTCGTCTTCCGAGTCTGATTCATTGTACTCCTCGTGTCCTTCTTCGTCCTGAAAATATACAAAATTTTAGAGCAATGCTAAAAAAATACTCTAAGGTGGACAGCGCTATCCAGTTTTCGTACAACCGGTCCAAATTATCAACAAGACTTTGAGAGAAATTGTGGAGTTTTGTTGCTGGTGTTTTGCAAGTGTTGTAGTAGAATATTGTACCTCGAGTTCATCCGTTGTTCTTGCTTGTTTTCTCACAACATTATCACGTGTGGATGCCCTTTGTTCCTGCAGAAAAATACTTTATTTATTAACCATTGTTTGTCTCAGTGACCTACACGCTTGGATCAATGGTACAGTAGAACCCTTCCTCTAAATAACACTCTAAACTATGTGGAATAACTTACTCCAACTACTTCGACCAGTCTATAAACCTGACTCTCCAAAGCAGCGATTTCCTTTTGCTTAACAACATTTTCCCTAGAAAAAATACCGTGAAAAATGAATACACACATCGTCTTAGCATTTTCACTAATTCAAACTGTTGTGAAAAAGCCTACAGTACCTTCCCTTGGAGCCTTTTGATTTCGCAAACAATGAAGGTTCAAAATCATCAGAGGATTTTCCTACAAAGTTTAATCAGTTTTAGCTCTAAACTGTTTTTCCTAAAGGTCTAGTAAGGATCATCTCTTATTGATCCAGTGTTACTACAGGAGGAAACCTAAATTAAACTAACTTTATCTATACTGGATAGCTCTATCAGTTCTAAACTGTTCTTCCTAGAGGACCAGTAAGGATCATCTCTTATTGATCCAGTGTTATTACAGGAGGAAACCTAAACTAAACTTCTTTCGGTATACCTTTTGTATAAAATAATCTTTGTGCTCTTTCTTCTAAAGTTCTGTCAAGAATTTAAATATGTTTAGTGACTACAATACATGTAGTTTTTTGTTTAAAAATAGGGCTTCAGCAGCAGACGAAGACTGTTTCTTACCCTCCACATTTTAAATTAAGAGCTTGTAGTGCCTGTTTGAGTCTGTCTAAACCAAGCGAGGCCAGTTCCTATGGGTGAAATATGCAAGATGAACCTAATCTGAAAATGGCAGATTTGACTTATTGAGACATTGCACAGTAGACGTACTGTACCTCAGCAGAAGAGAAGCCAGATAGGTCAAGATGAGCGCCTGATTGTGCAAGAGCACTGCCTGTATCTTTCTGGGCATTTAAAGAAATATGAACAATTATAAGCTGTAGTTGTTTTAGAGGAAAGTATTGGGTTAACCTGATCGTTCATCTGATCAAATTGCTTGGCTTACAAAATGAAACACCAGAGAAATACTCTTGACTTTACTCACAGGCCAGCCAGGGAAAGAACCTTGGGACCAATTGTTTTCAAATTCTTCTTCTGTCTCTTTCATTTCCTATGAACATCAGAATTCATTCATCTTGTGTTGTGTTGCAATAACAGGAATACAAAACACTTAAGTCTGAAAAGGCAAAGACAAGGCTCTTACCTTCTCAATATCGAGCAATGGTTGAACACGTTGACAGTAGTCATAGAGATAATCCAGTAGAAAAATGATATATCTGAATGAAAAGAAAGTTATATGTCAGAATTACATGAGGTTCAATAGACCAATAGGATAGATTGGTAAGGTTATTAGTGCCATACAAGTAATAGAAAATATCACAACAGAAGACCTTTTATACTCGTGAGTTTTCTTCTCCTTAGGAATATCAAAGAGTCTGTCAAAGGTCTCCAGATATGTCAGGTAGTCTTGTTTCTACACAGAATGAGACAAATTAGTCAGATATTTTGACTCAGTGTGGTTCCATTGCAATACTCATTCATACACCTGAGTTATATATATACCATGCACTACGGCTTAATCTTTTTCAAAGTAAACTACGTAACTGGAATAGCAATATCTATGTACCTCAATTCCTTTGATGTTGATGTATTTATCATAAGCTTCATGAAGATCAAGGTATTTACCATAACCTTCTTCATCACTGAAGTCAACAAGATCTGAAAACAAATAAAGGTTGACGAGGAGCTCAAAACTAGGAATGGGAATGCCTATTTACTGTATGTATTATATTTAGTTTGCTAGTCTAAGTTTATGGATAAAGATTTTTTTGATTTGCTTCCAAAACAGACACATTAAAATCATAGTTTTTCCAATCTTTTCATGGAGAAATTGTAGCCTACTTTGCATGTCTTCTGATGGATTCTCCCGATTTTCTTTCATCTTTACAAATTCCATCTGCATTGGTTCTGCAACCTATATAAAGCAAGTTGATGTATGAGAATGAATTGCACAGAGAGTGTCTTTACTTTCAGGAAGATCTTACCTCATTAGGATATTTTCTGTGATAATCTTTTATTAACCGCAGTCTGCTGTAAAATTCAGCAAATTCGTTTGGGCCAGAGAGTGCGGAAACCTCCTCTTTTCTCATTCTAAATCATAGTTGGAATGTAGCTGTCAGCTTACTAGAATGTGGGTCCAGCTCGAAATGCATTCCTGGCAAACTTATCAATGATCCAGACTAAAGAGTTTTATAGTTGCCCAATTGACAGTTTTTCCTTGACGCCTTGGTGAGCGTCACCTGGTAACATAATCAGATGACGTCACAAACATTGCTTTCAAACTACAAAACTTAAGGAAGTGGAACAAACTTTTGCATCACAGTATCAAGCGCAAATAAATTAATGACCAAGCACAGATTCTCTTTATAATTTGTAGCTATATTAGGGAACTTACCCATCTTTATCCTCATACAAGGTCAATAATGAATCACTGCACGACAAATATCTCTAAATAAATGACAAAGAAGCTTTGTAATATCCATAACAATAGAGCTAATGCTTGCTTGAAGTGTTTCAACTGTAAAAAAGGGTGATTATAGGAGCACTTTACTCATTTCAGTCATTTGATCTTTCCAATTAAATGAATTAATTTATTTTTCCAAATATAAGGCACAATAGGATAGTGTAAATAGTGATAAAACTAAATACCTCCAGCAACTCTCTTCCCCTGTGGTCTGAATTAATTTGCTCTTTTTGCTAAGAAGCAAAAGTATCAAAGTTTATCAACAAATCTGAAGAAAGATTACAGTGCTCTTACTGTCCTATACAATACCGTTTGTTTCTTCCACAAAATTTCCTCAGTCATTGCATTCTCCAGCCTCTCGCATTCCTCGTGTTGCCTCCTCTGTCTTTCAATAATAGTCTCCATAACTGGAACCGATTAATTTGTGCAAATGTTTCTTAAAAAATACAACCTTTTATCTTTCTTGCTTGTTTCAAGAAAAATATTCAAGATGGCGGATGACACCGGCAAAGGCTAATGGGAAAACTATCTGCTGGATTTTAATACGCAGGCGCACGTCTTCCGTTGAAAAGGCGTTGACGGATCTTTTCACGGAGCACTGGAGAACATCTGTCTCCTGTAGTAACGCACTAACACTGGATCAATAAGAGATGATCCTTACTGGACCTCTAGGAAGAATAGTTTAGAACTGATAGAGCTATCCAGTATAAATAAAGTTAGTTTAGTTTAGGTTTCCTCTTGTAGTAACACTGGATCAATAAGAGATGATCCTTACTGGACCTTTAGGAAGAACAGTTTAGAACTGATAGAGTTATCCAGTGTAAATAAAGTTAGTTTAGTTTAGGTTTCCTCCTGTAGTAACACTGGATGAATAAGGTGCGACCCCCTAATCCTCGGCATTTCTTAACGCCCCTGATAATCAGACATGGGTACAGTTTTATAGAGCCCTATAAAACATAGATGTTCGTTTGTTTAGTGTAAGTCCTAATTTTGTCTGCATGATTGCATCGACCACACTAAGACAAAGAAGAATGATGTCTTTTAATGATGGGTCTTTGATGGCTGATGTGCCTCATTACCCATCTCATTATTTTCCGCCTTAAGAAATATGAATCACTGAGCTGATTAAACCTGATTAAAACTCGACTGCAACTCGACACTTGACCACGATTTAAGAATTAAGAACTAAGAATGATTTTTCTGTTACTTCAGCTCGCTTTTACCAGAGCAAATCATCTTTGACGTGGGACTGAAATTAGAAATCTACAACACTCATCTTTTTCAAAATGCATTTTTAAAAATTGAAAAACGTGACCTTGTCTTTCTTGCTTTCAAAAGATGCATAGTGTTGTTCAAAAGATTGGCAGTGGCCTAACTACCAAGAACTACAAAGCCAGTGCTTCTAAAAACAAGTGGGTCAAGTTTTAAATTGACTCAGCAACCTTAGCCTTTATCGCTCCCGGGCACGTCCATTTGACGTTTAAGGTGGTCTTACAGGAAAAAATATAATGAAATCGTGAATTTTGCCATTTTCTAAAAATTGACTAATTGCAATCTTTGTTATTTGTTTTATGATGTACAATTAGCTTTTTTCTCAAAAGTTCACGCAGACCTCGAAAAAATCCCTTTTCTTTTGGGAAGGTATAATATTTTCCCCCTAGTAACGGGCTTAGCAACCAATGTTTACTGTTAGAAAACTTGTTTATTTGTTGGTGTATGAAAATTTCTTTTTGTTTCACCCCTCCCCCATACAGGAGAATAGTTCTAGTAGCTGCTGACCACTTTAACGTCGTCCATCCCCTTGTTTTGCATATTTTCCTTCGCTTACTATACAAAGTTGAATCAACATATTTCGCGGTGAATTTGTTGCTAAGATCATTCTTAACTTTTGCGCTTTGGGATTGGTCTTTGTTGCTTCATTTTATTATATTTTTGTTGTGAAATGCCAAGGGAATACAGGAGAAGTAAGAAACGAAAGTTTTGCGGCAATCGCTATGATAATTCAGCGAAGAAAAAACGCGTTGATACTGTTGATGGGGATACAATATCGGCCGATCCTTCAACTTCCGCAGCAAATGAAGCTGTTCTAAATACATCTGCTTCAGCCAAAAAAATTGGGTTTTCTGACATTCCAGATGACAGTAGCTATAGCGAACAAAGCCAAAGCACAGATGTAAGTGGCTATCGGTTTGTTGACCTTCAAATAATGTCAGAATTTGTGTGTGAGGTGTGTTGTAAGGAATGTGGCAGTTCCTGCCTCGTACTTGAAGACAACCCTCGAGAGAGAAAAGGTTCTGCCTCCCATCTAAGAGCCCGTTGTGAAGCTTGCGGGTGGGTATATACATTTTACACTTCCAAGAAGGTAGGACACTCGTTTGACGTGAATAAAAGATTCGTTTACGCTATGCGAAGCCTTGGTGAAGGACATACATCAGCCAAACGATTCTGTGCCTTGATGGACATGCCACCCCCTCTTCAACCAACTGCATACAGGGATTGTAACATTGCTTTGGCCAAGGCAGCAAAGGCAGTGGCTACAACCACCATGCTAAATGCTGCTAATGAAGTGAAGAAGGACCCAACTAATCAAATCAACCAGTGTTCTGTATCATGTGATGGTACTTGGCAAAGGCGTGGGCATTCCTCACTGAATGGTTGTGTAACAACACTATCAATGGATACAGGAAAGTGTTTAGATGTTGAAATCTTAACAAAAGTTTGTCATGGTTGCCAAAAAGTAGAGAGAGAGAAAGATTTGGAAGAAAAAGCAGCTAAGAAGGAAGTCCATATTAGCAAATGTAAAATAAATCACAAGGGTTCATCAGCTGCCATGGAGACTGAAGGCGTAAAACGTATATTCCGAAGAAGTGAAGAGGATAGGAAACTTCAGTACACTGAGTATTTTGGGGATGGTGATAGCAAGGCACATGCTGAGGTAGAAAATATCTATCATGGAATAAAGATTGCAAAAAAAGAATGTGTTGGACATGTTCAGAAGCGTGTTGGAACTGCTTTGCGGAAACTAAAAAAAGAAAACAAAGGTATTGGCGGGAAGGGAAAGCTTACCAACACACTAATAGACAAACTTCAGAATTACTATGGGATTGCAATCCGTAGCAACTCTGGGGATCTCAAAGCAATGAAAGCAGCCATTTTTGCAAGTCTTTTTCACTGTGTTTCTTCAAAGAAGAGAAATCTGCATACCCACTGTCCTGATGGACCTAACAGTTGGTGTAGATTCAAACAGGATAAAGCAAATAATACTACAAAATATGTGCCTGGACCTGGGCTTCCAGACAATATTATTAAGTTGATCAGGCCCATATATGAAAGACTCAGCAGTGATGAGCTACTGAGCAAATGTTTAGATGGCAAGACGCAAAATCAAAATGAATCCTTGAATGGGATGATCTGGAATAGGATTCCGAAGAACGTTTTTGTTGGTGCCAATGTTCTGGAACTTGGTGTATATGATGCTGTGGCACACTTTAACATTGGTGCAGAGGCTGCAGTTAATCTTCTTAAGGAAGTGAAGTTGAAGCCAGGAAAGTTTTGTGTAGAAGGGCTGAACAAGATTAATAAAGAGCGAGTGAAGAGGGCAAATGTCAAGGCTAAAGAATGTTCGAGAAAGAAGAGAAAGATATTACGAGGCCAAAAGAAAAGGAAAGATGACAAACTAAAGGAGGAAGAGGGTACTACATACAAATCAGGAGGATTTTAAGGAATTTTTGGTAATATTGGCTTGTTTTTATGTCAATTCGAACAAGTTAATGCAGTAAATTTCTTGTAACTTAAACTTTGATGCTGTTTTTCCCAGTTTACGATTTTGATACATTTTGCGATATTCAAAACATGATAACTAAGAAAGTATTTGAGCAAATGCTGTGAAATTTTCAGTATTTACAGTTTCTTGAAATTCTCTAGGAGATGAACTAGAATGGAATTGTTTGGTTGAATTAAAACCAAGATATTATCATTAATGTAACACAATATCCTGTTTTAGCCACCTTAAGTAAGATTTCACAATGACCTTTTACAACAGAAGGATAATTCTAGTTCATCTCCAAGACAGTCACTTTAGCAATAAAATATAGCTTTTCCCATGTTTATATCATTAATATATCTTTAGTTATCATGTTTTAAAATGTGCCCTATTTTATTGGGAAAAAGCCTGTTATCTCTGTAACCATGGTAACCCAACTTTACTAAGTTGTGTTTTTAGTGTCTCACTTTACCCTCTAACAACTTCCCAAAGCAAAAAGTTCAATTTGTTTGAAAATAAGGAAAAAATTTTTTTCCCTGTAAGACCACCTAAAAAGTGATTTGGATGATTGATGATGGACAGTCTTCTCAAAAATAGGAAACGTTTCTGTATGCTTGTCACGAAAACCTAAAAGGCTTCAAATAGTAGTCTCGAAGATTTGAAAAACACGAATGAATTTCTTCCTTTGATCTTCCTTGCCTTTAAACAGGTGAAAATGAAACGGCACACAGATGAACAGTTTTGCTCGATTGTGCAACCTTCAACAGTTTTAACTCCAGGTGCAAAGACATCCCATCCGTCTCTTCATTTAACGCGTGATTTTGCACCTTATTCTCAATGTCTTCCCATGCCGAGGGCCAAAATTAAAAGCCAATTTTTCCGGTGATCATCAATGGGCGGAAATTCCACTGTACTGCTTTTCAATATTTGCTCGTTTATCACTCTTAAATTAGCCACGAAGCCACTCCTTCTGCTGTACATAAGAAGGCATCAAAGCATTTTGGTGATCAGTTCGCTTCTACGTTGCATTCAAAACGGAGACCAGGTGAACTTGCTTCGAAGGTTTATATTGAGGTAAGTGAAGAACAACCAAGGATTTCAACCATTGCTTGTTCGCTAGATGCACACAATGCAAAATTTGATGGGAAACTAACTAGGATACTTGCGACCCGGTTGGTTTATTCGACTCTATTCTTTAGGGCTTAGCGCTTCGGAAAACCATGACAGGAGATATGAGCCGGGTCGAGGCGAGCTAAAGGCAGTCTCTTTGCATATGCTTACATGCGAAAGTGTGCTCATTTCATTCAAGCAGACTCGGTATTGCAAAACTGAAAATTACGTACCTAATATTCCGCGTTCATTTGTAGAAGAGTGAGAAATACCCTTTAGTCGTAATGCAATCGTCTGGTGGTGATAACCTCCTTTACTATCGATTGTTCGTTCCAGAAGAGATCAAGGAGCCCCTCGCTGAGTTCTCCACAGGTACGATGAAAATGTTATTTCTTGAGCATACGATAACTACTGGTATTGGTTAGGTACATTGGTTAGGCGATCGATAGGGCAGGTACAAACACTGGTAGTGGCTGTTTCCAAAATGTCAAAAATGTAAATAGGAGGGGCTGAAAAAGCATTGGGGATCGCTTGGAAGATGGACACGGGGGCCCATTTACACTATGCGATTTGTCGTATCCGCCGATTCTTACCCTGGCGTATGTGAACGTATTCTGAACACAGTACAAACGTGATAATATAAATTCCACCCTGAACAAAATTGAATGAAGTTTGTGGCATAGGCCCTCTTTTGCATTCGTCAGAATCATAATTGCATACAACTCATCGTGTAGTCTAAGGCCTTTACAAAGAATGTCTGTTTTCTATCTCTCGTGTTTGTTTTGTATCTCTCGTTTATTTTGCACGCCATTGCTATAGATCAGGGGCCGATTGTATAAGACTCTTTAACTACATTTTCCATAAAATCTAGAGGTTCAACGGGTCTCAATTTCGAGTGGAATTATACACACTTTAAATTCAAGCCAGGAAAAGTTGATGGAAAAATGAGTCAACTATCGGTGCCAAAAATCATAATACATTTTGCATAGTTAAATCCTAGTTAGTAGTTAACTCAGAAATCCACAACTCAGATTGGTCAATTCTGCCCTTAACTACAGTTCAAAGTTGACTAGTCTTTTATACAACTGGCCTCAGCTGCAAATCCAAACGTGTTGAGCTTTAAAATGACGGTAAACATAACGTTACAGGACAAGTTACAAGGTCGACAACTCAGCTTCGTATTGGCCCGGACAATGACGGCGAGAGGGAGAAGGTCTTCAAGATAAAGTTATTAGATAGTTCGGTTGCGGCGACGCTTCTGCCCTCGGACGAAGACATCGCGATAGTTGTGCGATTGGGCAGCGCTATTATTCCTAATAAACGCGACCCACTTTATGTGATGATTTCTGATGATTATCATGCGATCGGTTTCAAGATTAGTGAAAGTGGGCCAATCAAAGGTGCTGAAGGAACGCCTGGCAAATACTTGGATCCTGTTACTCTAAGAGGTTGGTGATGGACAGGTTACAATTGATAGAGCTATCCAGTATGAATAAAAACAATTTAGTTTAGGTTTCCTCCTGTGTTACCACTGGATCAAAAAGAGATGATTCTTACTGGACCTCTAGGAAGAACAGTTTAGAACTGATAGAGCTATCCAGTATAAATAAAGTTAGTTTAGTTTAGGTTTCCTCCTGTGTTACCACTGGATCAAAAAGAGATGATTCTTACTGGACCTCTAGGAAGAACAGTTTAGAACTGATAGAGCTATCCAGTATAGATAAAGTTAGTTTAGTTTAGGTTTCCTCCTGTAGTAACACTGGATCAATGAAAGATGATCATTACTGGACCTCTAGGAAGAACAGTTTAGAACTGATAAAGCTATCCATTATAAATAAAGTTAGTGACTACAGTTGAGTCTCCTCTTGTACGTGATCAATAGCCGGAGATATGGAGATATTGGCCTTGACAGAACAGTTTAGAACTGAGCTATCTAGTATAAACTATCATGATTCAGCCAATTACTTTCATAATCGTTTACTATTCAGGTGATGACAATGAAACGAAGCCGTTGAATACAGCGGATTGGCCTGACGAGTTTGTTATCACGTTGAGACCAAAGAAGTACTGGGGCTCAATCTTCTGCTCGCAGGGTAATGGAAACAAACAGTGCGTCGGATATGGCCATAATCTGCACTTCAGAAATAATGGCATGTTTCTTGACGTGTACCGTCATGCTCCAATTGAAGAATACATCATTAATTACATTGAAGTCAAAGTGTTTGCAAACAGGTCTTAGACATTGGTCGTCATTTTAATCCCAAGCGTTTCAATGCGAGACCATTTATATTTGTATTCCGGTGTACTTTCCTCGTTATTACAGAATAAAAATACATTTTCGTTTCACACGCGAGTGTCCGAAACATGACCGAGACTCATATTACCAGTTTTCAAGAAGTAAATGTAGGTGTGAAAAGCGTATACGTACCAGGTAGTTGGAAATCGACACGTTCCCATTTCCATGGTGACGTAATGCATGCGGTATTAAGATTTGGGATCTTTAGTTTAGGGGTTTCAGGTGTCAGTATATTGTTAGATCGAACAGAGCGAGGACGCTAAACAAACTTCAGTAAATTCTATTCAAGTTGGTGTGCGCTAACCAAAGTAAGTCGTATTTATCCATTCCTGTTGTGTTGATCACTATTACTATTTGCGCGCATGCCATAATCTGTGTAATGAGTAGAGCTGGAAAAAAGCTGCGGGTACGCGGGTACCACCCGGAGGAAGGTTGGCTTTGAATGAGGTTTGCGAGAAAGGTTCAAAGTTGAACACTCTAATTGACCACGTGCGTCAGTGCATGTACCAAATATTTGTTTATGCTGGTTGCCACTTGACTTGACAGAAAGGTTTTCAAAACATGAAATCCTACCGGAGGAAGGTTTGACTCTTTTTGTAACTTTCTAAATTGTGTCAGTGCGAACCCATAAACCATAAACTAATTACTAATTGATATCGCAAAACCACAATCCTTCCTTTATTGATATAACTGAAGGTGAAGCCGGAAATTAAAGTGCGCAAGTTTGGTAAATATTTGCTACTAGTGAAATCCTATCCGATTGTGAAATCATATCTTATTGTGAAAATTTGCCCTAAGCACATTTATTTATATAGCTCTAATTTACCTTTTCGCCACATTTTCGTTGCAATCGAATGAAAGCAAAGCTGCATAGCCGAGGTGATCTAGAGAAAAAGTCTATAAAAAGGTTAACTACCAAGCCAAAAGCTGCTCACAATGACATGGCAACAGAAACAAGCAATGCGTCGGATCGAGTTCGATGAGCTGGGGCGCATAAATTCTTCAAACAATGCATTAAGACTGTTGGTGACGTACGAGAGACATGCTTACGTTGATGTGTATAAAGAATCTTCGCTAATGTAAACAATCTACTAATATTGTACGTGATGTTTTGACATAATCTTTCCAAAACGTGCACGAATATTCTTCATCTAGCTATAGCGGTGAGGTCATTAGCAGTCGGGACGTGCGCACGCATGTGAATCTTCAGGCTGAGTCAATAAATTCGTGCACGTAGCTCATTCTATGTAAAACAAGCGAAAACACGCCTATTACGTTCAGCATTGTTAGTTTCTTTTCAAATCGCTTTTTTTATGGTTTGCCAACAGGAAATTAATAATTAGCTCCTCCCACTAAGAGTCTTCAGCGATCAGCGGCAACTTATTTAATGAGCTCCACTTTACAAGTTAGCCACTGCTTCGTCGCGCATTTGGATGAGAGCAAACCTGTCGTGATCTAGAAAGAAAGTTTTCCATAAAGGTAATTAAAGTATCATTTAACTATAACCTATACCATCTAACTACTAAGAATTTCTAACATACCATGCATTTCCGTACACTTGGTTGCCATTGTGCATTTCGACACGAAAAGGTTGGGGGATTCTCTAATTCAGTACCTGTCGGCAGGTTTTGCGACAACCTCTTTCCCAGCGGACTGTTGAAATGAGACATCTTTGCTAAATGTTGTAGCCGTCACATAGTTTCATAGAATTTCTGAATTACTTACTTGCACTTAGCAAAAGGCGTTCCATCGATCTTTTGTACAAGGATTGCCACAGAAACTGAGAATTAGACATGCTTCAAGAAATCGAATCGTATACTAAGCGATTTCTTTATACTGCGATAGCTATAGAAGGCATTCAAATAATAAAAATCGAATCTGGATTAGTCTCACGGAAATACTATCAAGTTACAACAGCCCTGAATGTATCATCTACTCATAACTCATTTGAATAAATGTGATGAAAAGTTTTACTTTCTAGTCAAAATGAATCCCCTGTAAACTGTTCTTCCTGGAGGTCCAGTAAGGATCATCTCTTATTGATCCAGTGATACTACAGGAGGAAACCTAAACTGGATAGCTTTATAAATTCTAAGACAACTCTCTAATATAGACAACTACCAAATGCAGACACGTCTCTAATTCAGACACCTTTAAAAACAGGAGCGTTAATAAAGGAAATTCTAACTGGGCAAACGAAGTCGAAAATCTACTGCATGGATTCAAATTATTTTATTCTGCTACATTTTTATATTTTCTACGAAAAAATAGGTCAAATAATTCAAATATTGTAAAGCTACGATGGATGGCTATGATACAATTTTCAATAATATATAATCTAACTTGTGTCAGAATTATTTCGACTAAATTTTACACCTTAGTACTAAGCTACGTTTGTAAAAACTGGCTTCGAACTTAAAACAAATATGCACTGGAACCAGAATAAGACTTAAATATATAAAAGTGTTGTTAAATACAGTAGAAACGATTATGCAGAACTGAAAGGCGGGCATATAATTCAGTAGTTAGCATAACCATTTTGGACCATTTCAGATATTAAGGCCATTTTCACAGGTTGATGTATCTCACACTCCCTCCCGGAAACCTCACATCGATCTGAATGCATGTAGTGGGAATATCTTGCAAACATGTTGCACCACAATGTTACGTTACCCTTGTCTAACCCAACGCTGAAAATCTTGTGGCAAGTTGTTTAATTTGAGGACAATTCAGCCGAAAATTGGATAAACGATATTTCCTATGGATGACAAGTGTTGAGTCCGCGATGGTACAAGTCTATGCTCGTCACGTGCGTTTTCATGCGTGTGGTTCGTGCTAACTACATGTTATAAACCTGACCATTTAGCCATTATTAGTGATATTAGACTAATTATAAATAAACGCACTATCAGAGGCACTATAAATAACGAGAAGCTAAGGTCATTCAACTACTAAGCCGTTATGTGTCGCTTAAAATACCATTGAAGTCCTGGTAACTATTATTGCGTCATCATAACAGTTACACTAGATTCTCGACCTATCATCATCTTACATTTTAATGTCATGCTTTACAAAACGTCATCATAACAAAAGTGACGCCACATGGCGTCATTGACCTGCAATTACGTCATCTTAACGTCCAGTTCTTCGGTTATGAAGGCAGGCATTAGCAATACGAAACAGACTGCAAGCTCTCTCCCTTGTGCATGCTGCATTCCGTGGCGCTGCTGACAGTACCATCGCTTTCCTGATGGCTCATGAGACTGTCTAAATCACACAGCGGATTAATGTAGTCCTCTTCGACATCGTCATCGATTGCCATGGCAGCGAGCACGTCATAATACGGATTATCAAACGCCAGTCTGTAGCCATTATGGCGGAAGCCTCTGGTTTTTAATTCCATCTCGCTCTCAGCTTCGCGCTGTCGTTTCTTTTCGGATTTTAATTTCTTTAAACGCCGACGACGTTTTCGGTACATTAAGACTGTGCATGTGAGAAGGAATAACAACACTAGACCTGAAACGAAAGATTTTGTAAGCAAGAGTCAGAAAAAAGGGGAGATGCCTTGTTGAAGTTTAGTAGATAATATCTTTCTATGTACTATATAGTAGGAAACCTAAACTAAACTAGCTTTATTTATACTGGATAGCTCTATCAGTTCTAAATTGTTCTTCCTAGAGGTCCAGTAAGGATCATCTCTTATTGATCCAGTTTTACTACAGGAGGAAACCTAAACTAAACTAACTTTATTTATACTGGATAGCTCTATCAGTTCTAAACTGCTCTTCCCAGAGGTCCAGTGAGGATCATCTCTTATTGATCCAGTGTTACTATACAAGAGGAAACCTAAAGCTTTTTTCACTCACCTCCTGCAAGGCCAGTGATGAGTTGTACATAAACCGACTCCGTGGCGGATGCTTCAGAATACAATTCGCCTGAGTAATAAACACTCCCAATCATTTCGCTGATGTCATCTTCATCAATAGACGAAATCACTTCCTTCACAATGCTGCCATTGAGCAGAACGTGATTATCAAACATTACTAAATTCACAATAACTAAATCGTCTGAGCCATCTTTGGAGCGACCAGGAGAGAGATCTAAGAAAACACGATACAAGATAATTATTACTGAAATGGCACAGCTCAGACCTTTTAAGGGTAGTTTAGGCATATTATAACCTAAATTGGCGTGAAAAACCCCCACCTAATTCAAGATTGCTGAGCCTAGTGTTTTCACTATTTGGATATGCTAGATACATCAATCTACTGAGCTTGAATTATGCTTGTTTGATTTTCCTAATTAGTTTTAAATGAAAGGGTAGTAATTCAATTCAAAACCGGTCATTCAAAAAGTTCGAATGCAGCTTCAGAGCCATTGTGTTGTTTTTAAATAAGGAAGCAAGATTGCTTACCTAAAATTCGGCTGACAAAATCGTGTCCGCTTTTGGGCTGAGTGGTACGCTTCACTTGCGGCAAAGTTGTGAAGGTGGTATTGAGGTATTCGCGCGTGGATTGGGACGGAGTTTGACGTCTCTTGAAATGACGTAATTCTTCGTAGGTGTGATAGTACATTGATATTAAGGTGGCTAGGTGTATTTTCAGCTGCTTCCGGCGTTGCAATTCATCGAAATTCGTGAAGTTTTCTTTGATCATGATTTGAAATTTCCCAACGTGCACCGGATGACATGCGCCGTTCACGTGGTGGCACACGTGATCGGTCTCGCATTCGCAACGATTTTCGCAATTTTTACCGTAGTTTTTCAACAAGCAGTCGTTGTCGCATAGATGGCCACGGAATCCGTGGGAGCATGGACAACGACCATCTATCTTGTAACACGGGCCTGTCACGTGGCGAGCGCATGCTGGGCATGGGTGTTTGCAGCCTTGTCCGTATGTTCCATCATCACAGAACTAAATCAAAGAAGGAAAAGTGAGCTAACGTTTTCGTGAGCTAACGATGGTCAGCGGGGTACTCTATTCATATACCTGTCGACAGGTCTTTCCCCTGTACCCAGAGTGGCACAGACATTGTCCGGTATCACCACGGCACCTCATCGTCTGGTTCCATTCGCATGAGCATTTGTTTCGGCATTCTAGACCCCACCGGCGATCTGGACACTGGTCCATACATCGGGTACCCGTGTACCCCGGCAGACACTTACAATTCCCATTGACTTTGTTGCACTCGGCTCCATTTTCACAAAGACAGACACCTAAAGATTGGAGAACACAGTCCGTCTTTTGATAGATGGAAACAAGGCACAGAAAATGGCAAAAAAGTGCAAGTTTAAACAGGCCTTAACCTGGGCTTTAAAAACAATGGTTATTCGCATTGAGATATACGGTATACACACCTACACACTTGGGTCCAAACCTCCCTTCAGGACACGGTTGTTCGCATTTGGTCCCAGTAAATCCTTCGGTACACTCGCACTCGCCGCTCACGTGATGGCAACTGGCGCCATTCGCGCAATCACACTTCTCATCGCAGTCCTTACCATACTCCCCCTCGGGGCACTCGTTCTCGCAATGGTAACCATAGAAACCGGGTAAGCAAAGGCATTTCCCGGTCACGTGATCGCAGGACGAAACCTGACCTTTGACGCACGAGTCGCAGCTCATGGTGCAGTTGATCCCATACGTCATTGGACGACACTGCTGTCCACAAAAGTCCCCAAAGAACCCTGCTAAGCACAAGCATTGGCCGTCGTTCGGGCGACACTCGGCTCCGTTCAAGCAACGACATTGCTCCGAGCAGTCTTGGCCATACTGACCGGGCTCACAAGTTCGACTGCACCTGGAAAGAGTAACAGTAGAACTACTTAATTGAGAAAAACCTGTGCCGGGGGTTTTCATATGGCTCTGTGAGTCGAACATCCGTCGAACTATTAAGTATTGGTCGTTAAGTTTACCTTGGTCCAAGATAGCCTGGACTACAATGACACTTTCCTGTCACCGCATCACATGATTTTCCGTTGCCATGGTCGCATTGACATCGCGAGTTGCATCCGGGACCGAAGAATCCATCCTGGCAACTTTGCGAGCAGTTCTCGCCAGTCCAGCCGGCGGGACAGTAGCATGTGCCCGTCACATGATCACAAGAGCCTCCATTGCGACAAGCGCACTTCTCGGCACAATTGTCGCCATAGTAGCCGCGTGGGCAAGCCTGCGCGCATGTGCGACCATACCATCCTGTTGGGCAGACGCACTTGCCTGAGAATGGGTCACACTCCGTACCATGCAGACAAACACACCTGGGAAACCAGAAGAGCATGTTACGCCTTCTGCTGTGATTTTAATTTGCTTAAAATATTAGTATCTAGAACATCATCCGACCAGACAATCCAGGACACATTAAAGAGGCCAGTAGCTTACTTGTATTGACATTTACGACCATAAAAACCACTGGGACAAGACACGTTACACGCCAACCCAGTCCATCCTGCGTTACACTCGCATTTGCCACTTTGGGTATTGCACGAACCATGGCCACTGCAGTTACATGCCTTGCTACATGACGTACCCCACCCACCATCGGAGCATTGACTGTTACAATAAGGACCATGCCAACCAGACTGACAGAGACATACTCCTGTAACGCTGTAAAAAAATTCCAAACTGCTCAGCAATTCATGTGAAAAAAATCTACTAATCTCACCCAACATGACCCTAACAATCCCCTGATGACTCAAAGGTTACGATTTTACGTTTATAAATCTGATACCTGTTGCATGTTTCATTGTTTCTGCATTGACACGAGTACTGACAGTCAGGGCCCCATCGATCAGCCAAACACGGCACAGTACAGCCTGCTCCTGTGAATCCATTCCCACATTTGCATTCCCCTACAAAGAGAAAACAAATTACTTCTGTAGCTCAAGTGTTAGGGCATCAAAACCATTCCACCAAGCACAATTTGTAGGTTAAAACAAACCAGAAATAAAATGTTTTTAGATACAGTAAATTTAACATTGGACAGGACAGATTTATGCCTGCGAACCTGTGCCTGCGAACATCTCCACCTACCTGTTGATGAAGTGCATTCAGCATTATCAGCGCATGCGCAACGGTTCTCACATCCCAAGCCATAATAACCTTGAGGACACGGTTGGTTACACAACAATCCCGTCCATCCCGGAGCAAGGCATGTGCACCCCCCGTCCGTCGGTTCACAGCGATCAGACGAACTGCATGGACATGTTCCTGAACAGCTCGAGCCATATTTACCACTTGGGCATTCCTCAGAGCATGATCTAGAGACGGGGAGGGGGAATAATTTAGACTCAACAATTACGGAAAGTTGTAAAGGCATTGGCCAGGAAAAACATGATACGTTTCTGTGGTCGCATTTGGAGTTTTCAAGCAGCATGTTTTAAAAGATTTAATGAAAATATTTTAGGGAAGTTATAAAACCAATCAACACCGAGTTATTTCATTCAAATAGTTGGTTCTAATTTTTCAAACCTTTGGATTTACCGATGCAAAATTGTAAAAAATAACGATGTGAGAATAGCGGTGGTTTGCGAGTGTTGTTTGTGACATGATGGTGCATCGTAAGACAAGCGAAATTTCAGTTGAAGAAACATACTTTCCTGCCGCCCCAGGCTTGCAGATGCATTCTCCTGTGACCGGGTTGCATGACAGCGTCTTCTCTGAACACGAACACTTCATTTCACAATGGACACCCCAAGTATTGTTCGAACACGGTTGATCACAGAATGGTCCTGTCCAACCTTGAAGGGAAAAAAGAATAAGTTTTTTCTACACATTCCACACAAAATGGTTCAAAGTATGAACTAGAGAAAACCTTGAATGGCCTGAAATGGTTTTATATCCGTGATAATTGTATCCAGATAGATTTTCAGAGGGTTTTTAGCGATGTTTTCAATCCCAATGATACTAAGAAAGCGTGTGATAAGGAAGATGAACCTGGGATCCAGGATCAAATACAAATCAACATACCAGAAGTACAATTGCACGCTCCAGTCACGTGATGACAATCGCCATTGTTCCTGCATTGACACGTCTGCTTGCAATCGCCTCCGAAATACCCACGAGGACACTGTAGTTCGCAGCGCATCCCATAGTATCCCGGCCCGCAGGAGCAATGGCCCGTGGCTATGTTACAACTACCATGACGACTACACAAGCACGTGTGCGCACATTCCTTGCCGTATTTTCCTACTGGGCAAGGCCACTGACACAAAGGACCGTAGTACCTTTCAAAAAGCAACGAGAGATAATTTAGAACGTTTCTGTGAAAGTCTGGCATCAGATGAACTAAAATAACGAATGACATGCACATACATACCCCGTGTCACAAATGCAAGTAAAGTTGTTTTCCCCCGTTTGGCACCTTCCTTCGTGTCGGCATGGGTTAGGATCACACCCCATATATTCACAACTATCCCCATGGTAACCTTTGTGGCAATGACAAGCTTCGCGGCTTTTCAGACTATCATGTAGACCTAAGAAAGGAGAAGTATCTGTATTAGAGAGAGGTGTCTGTATTAGAGAGATATCTGTATTAGAGAGATGTTTGTATTAGAGAGATGTCTGTATTAGAGAGATGTTTGTATTAGAGAGATATCCGTATTAGAGAGATGTCTGTATTAGAGAGGTGTCTGTATTAGAGTGGTGTCTGTATTAGAAGGAGTTGTTTATATTCGAGAAATGTCTGTATTAAAGAAATAATGATGCAAATATTACAAAATTAAACTCACCAGTTTTTATAATACTTTCACTAGTGATTGGCTCACAATCCGCATTCAGACTGCAATTCCTATTTCCTGTACATTTCTTAGTCGTCGGCGTTTCCTGACCAGCGGCCGCACACATGTTGTCCGTCATGTAAACGCCATAAAGCTCCACCCTCATGCAGATCCAGTTCCTCCAGTCGAGCGGGAAAATAAGAACTTTCTTTGCCAGCACAGCAAAAGGAAGCTCGTTTTCCACAATGCCAGTTGAATCTAGGATGATAAAAATTGACTGTCAGGACCAAACCTAACCTACAAGTTAATATTTTTCTTTATGATAAGAAGCGAAATACTCCGCAGTACCTGTGTTCCCATCAAAGAGTTTCTTTCCAGTTGAAACTCTGTACCAAGATGAATGCTCTCCATCCACAGATGTCTGTATTCCGAAGCTAAACGAAAGTACACAGCTTTTGTTGGTGACAATCTCAATACAACCGAACAGCTTTGTTTTGCAAACTCCACTGTAAAAACGTCTCGGGATAAAAGGCAACGAACATTCAACTAATCGTTGAGCACCACAATCTCACAAATAGGATAGCGTAAAATGTTTGATTTTTTAACTACTTACGTGGTGACCCAGTAGCTGTTGGTTTTACGTTTAATCTGATGTCCACCTTGCACGGCGATACGCGATATCAATGCCAGCTTAGGTAGAGTTATCTCCATTCGTACATAGCTTGGGTTATGATCTGATGAACACCACGCATCTTGAAGAACAATACAAATGGTTTAGAAGACATGGTTTACACTGTCAACGTTTCTGTGATTACGGTTAGAAATTTACATTGGTAAATCGATTCTAGGTTTTAAACAATTTTCAGCAAAGATCATTGTGATCATAGCTCAGCGTTCCAGTTCTTTCAATACTCAGTGTGATTCACTGTTCCAGTTTCCTCAAGTACTTTCATGGCAAAACTCTTGGACGTTTGACAAAGTCAACTAAGCTTTAGACTTATAAATATGTATATTATTACAGCCTTGAACTGTTGACCGCATCATATTACATTTGGCTAGGCCTCGTAATTTATCCTACGAAGTTGTTTAGAACATATTCATCTTCGATGATTACCCACAGTCGATCGTAGAGCATCGTAAATACGACGAATCACGACAATAAAAAGCAGGCTGGAAGCCCATGCACCTACCATTTCCATTAAGGCGACCAAATTTAGGGTCAGGAAGACTGGAAGGTGGGTAGGCGTTCAAAGCCGAATCTGAGATATAACGACTTTGCATTCCAAGAGGAACCCAGGTGAGCAGCTCCTTTGGAGTGAGCGCTAGATGACTGAATCTGAAGTTGTGCTCGTACTGCATCAGATGTACCGTGTGTACGCCAGGTTTGAGAGTGAAAGTCTGAAAATAAAAACAAAATAGAATTGAAATGTACAAAATTTGTGTTTAGCTAGGTTCACACTAGCCTTCTGTTGTTGCTTCTTCTGTTTTCATAAACTGGGAATAACTTAGTTTGCAATTGGTCATGTAAGAAGCTGTAGTTTGTCTTTCAAGAGATTCTTCCATTGAAAATCAATACATTTGGGATTACAGATTACATGGCTTCATGATATAGATTACTACAAATAACCATTGGGCAATCGTACCTCAAACATATATTGTGTCCACATTGGCCTTCCTTTCTCAATGTAAGTTGTATGCCAGGGATAATTATCAAGGTCATCTATTTTAAACTTCACACCGTTATTTTGCCTGGAAGTGGCATATGCCAAAAGCCATATTGAGTATTCGCCACCAACGCGTATGTCGAAGTCATAGCTTGCGATCAGATCGTCCTCCTGGCTCTTGGCTATCACGTATTCTTGTCTGTTCATCGCCGTGATGAGATCGTAAGCTGGACCTGAGAGGGAGGTGGAAGAAGAGAATGGTACAGCTGAACTTGAGAGAGAGGTGGGGAAAAGAGAATGGTACAAGTAGACCTGAGAGGGAGGTGGGGAAGAGAATGGTACAGCTGAACTTGAGAGGGAGGGGGGAGGAGGGAGGAAAGAAAATGGTACAAGTAGACCTAAGAGGGAGGTGGTAAAGAGAATGTTACAGCTGAACTCCAGAAGGAAGTGGAGAAAAGAGGTTGTTCCCCAGGCATCGAGATGGAGGCGGGGGGTGTAATATGACGAATAACAGCAAAGACTACAATTCAGCTAATGGCTTGTATTCTTGTCAGAGTCCCGTGCGTATGAAGAAATAAACTTTTAACAAACCTTTAACAGTAGGCTGTGTAGCGGGATGAAGGCACCCAGCAGAGGGGACCTTGCGTTGTTTGCACACTTTTGTATCAACAGTTGTCCTCTCTATCCTCTCGCATACTAAACTTACTTCATCGATTCTCACATTCCCAACGGTCTTAGGGAAATCGGGCTCAGGTTTACTAGCGAGGGTGAATTCGAATATAATCTGAGTGAGTTTAGGAAAGTTTGCCAGCTGTACAAAGCCTTGACGCCAATACGATTCCCCCTGATCATCACGCATCGTCCAGCCTTATTGAAGAGTATGAAAGTAAGTTTATGTTACGTCAAACTTACTAAGTAAGTTAGTTTAGGTTAGGTTTTCTTCTGTAGTAATACTGGATCAATAAGAGATGATCCTTACTGGACCTCTAGGAAGAACAGTTTAGAACTGATAGAGTTATCCAGTATAAATAAAGTTAGTTTAGTTTAGGTTTCCTCCTGTAGTAACACTGGATCAATAAGAGATGAAGTAAGGAAGATAGTGCTTCTAGGAAAAAGATAGTGTTTTATTCTTTCACCTACCACTAGGTTTGGTTTCGCCGTCATCCTGAGACACAAGTACTGACAAGATAGCAGACGGAACCCCAGCCATTTTGTACAGAAATGTCAATGAACACGAATGCCTTGGAGAGAACTTAGGACTGGCTAACCGCACTAAAATACAAACCAAAAACTGCATGATTGGATAACGTAGATGTGATAATACTGTAATTTCTTGCTATTTCAAAGCGAGTGTTGCACTTGCTGCAGGGTTATTATAGTTGGATCATAGATGATCAAAGTTTGCTTATTTACAGAATGTTGGGTTAAGCATGGTTAGGTCATGCATGTATAGAGGTAGACTGCGCATGTTCTCAGAATTTGCCCTGCATTGAATTGATCTAGTATTAGAAAGAATACGCGGATATGTTGAGTGTGGTTAGTTCATACTGAGGATTCAGTCGAAGTCGCAAAAAAAGCCATTGCAGAGTTTAACGAGATTGTAGGCCATACTTGAGTGGGGATTATACTTATCTGGGGTTGTAAAGGTCAGCAGAATACGCATTGCATGCGCTGAACGTAAAAAAACACCCCAAATTAAGATAATAGGAGGGTTGTTGACACCGGATGTGGTTAAACCACTCCGTATGACGTCATTACGACCGTTTAAAAAGCTATTCTTGGTCAATTCGTTCAGCTACCAATGGCCTTGTTTCAGTTCAATAACTTTCCCAGAGTAAACCACTTGAATAACAAACTTATTAAAATACCACGAAGTCTATTTATATACAGTGTGCAATATTTCAATGGGTTAACCTGTGGTTTTTATGCGGTTCTTCAAAAGAGCCTGGCAAGCTCGACGAAGTTAAAAACACTATTAGTATTATGTTGACTGAAATCGTCTGATATGAATATCAAAGCATTTATCGAATGTGTAGAAGTTGATGCTTCGAAGAAAAAGCAACCTCGAAACTGGCTTCCCTCGGGGAAAAAGTTTTCTAGAATGAGGCAAAACAATCACGCCTTTATCAGATAAACTTGAATTACAAACTTCTTTATGTTCACCACTTAAATTTAAACGTTGTGTGGTTTCGATCAGAGATTTTTGGTTCCACTCCGTGCACCTGAATTGCGTCAATCATTAGTATGTACGTACATTATTACACATGCCTTTAAGGTATAAGTTCAACCATGTGGCGTGGTACCGCACGTGCCGTTTGCATGTTCACTGCATGTCCGTAACAAGAACAACTTAAGGCTTAAGAACAACTTGGCACAATCTAACCATGCTGAGCCCGACAATCTGTTTTGCAGAAAATCATGTGATGATCACATGCATGTACATAGCCTGTCATACCTGGATGTTGCGAGCCATTACATGTTGCGAAAACATGATAAAAATTGTCAGGTAGATTCCAGCCAAAGTTGGGGTAGGTGTTGGAAATCGTGTCTATGACCCGAGACCAACTTGATGAAGGGTTGGGTTCCCAATTGCACATGTTTTTACCAAATCCACATTGGAGCACCTTCTCTTTACTGGACACACTACAAGCTGGAACGGATAAAACAGAGATTCAAACTACTAATTTCAATTTACATCTTTCAAAAGAAGAAAAATCACACCACAGCCAAATACCTAACGTTTGCATGCTATATATACGTCCAGAACGGAAGCCAAAAAGTTGTTTACATGCTTAGAGACCCAACATTGTTTTCCCCCGCTGAGAAAGCACAGTATTGTCAACGATATTGCGAAGACATGATAACAGTATTGTGAAAAACAATTTTACTTATCACTATCGTAACATGCAGTTTGTTGACATAACTCAATAACACCATAGTTAATGGAACTATAAACCACGATACGACGTTGTTGCTATAAGATTGGTTCCTAATGACAACATTATTCTTTATGAAAAATTTCCCTCTTTCAGTTCAAACTATTGTTATTCCATGCATCGATATTGCACAATGGCTAACTGCCAATAACAATGTTGTTTAATGATAAGATTAGTGTAGACTGTAGAGGCAGTTTGTATTAAAAAGCAGTTAACTATAGTTGGTGGCAAAAATGGGTATTTAGAATCATGTATTTTCAAGTGAACTACCATTTAACTACTCAAGATTTACTGATAAAGTTTTATACAACCGGCCCCAGGTATGTTTCGGGCAGTTACATCGTAGTTAATCCTAAAATTTAAGAACTTGTTCTGTCCTTAACTATAGTTAAAACTTAAAAGTTCATTACTGTAAAATACAAGGAGTACATGTTTTTCTAATGTTTTTCAGCCAACAAATATCACAGCAACGAGTTCTATTTTTAGACGGGTGAAACGCAAAGTTTAGTTAATGCGTTCACAAAACTCTTTGTCATTTGTCTGTCGTTTTGTCCCCACTTGGAACGAACCCAGATTGCATTAAAATGGTTCGGGCCCAGGCTGCATATGCTGCACTTGTAATTGGCGGAACGCTTTAGGGCAAAAATGTGAAAGTTTACAGAATATTATACAGGATACATAAAAGCAACAGTTAATACAGAAAGCAGACAACTTTTTGATTATATTTTGGCAATATTGTATAGTATATTTGTCGCAGGAATTGATCCACTAGGAAAACTGATTTGAAATAAACGAGGGATTATGTATCATAATATATGTGGCGAGGCAGGAAAAGTGTATATTTTATCGTAGAATGCCGAAATCAGGATGTGTCTTAAGTGTTTAAAGCTTCCTTTTCACCAGACTAGGCAATATTGTGAATACAAAAACGTGTGATTTTCGAAGCACACTTTTGGAATAAGACCGCAAAATTGTTGAGAGGCTATATCGTACACTATACCACAGTATAGAAACAGACAATATCTTCTTATAAATCAAAACGATTTCACATAATGTCATTGACACTGGGCATCAGGTGGTACATCAGTCACCATAGTTACCAACCTTCTTAATGAGTACTAATGTCAAAAATATTACAATTGCACCATATACCGCGATGCCAATGGGAATAATCTTGCATGTGTCAAGGTCAGGCTTCAAAAGATATATTTGCCATCAACAATGACACAATAACAAACGTCCTAAAGTTATTTAAGTTATGTTTAGCGTTGCAAAAACTTCAATAAGTGTGCCTGGAATTCCTGCTGTGTTTTACAGTTATGATTGAAAATGAAAATAGAAAGTTGCTTTTGAGTCAAACGGTGTTTGACAATGCATGTCAGGGTATGGGTCCAAGACAAATGTGGAACTCTTAAGCAATGTTTTGAATTCCCTGACTTGTTATGATACCTGCAGACTGTTTTGTTGATGAAAGCTTGTTTTTAGAAGCATCACAAACACAGCACGTGCATTAGCCATTTACTGTAAAACGGCAAATGGCGCACTTTACTTCAAAATGAAATCACAATTGAAATGAAGTCTCTCCTGTGTTCATATACTTAGTTAGATCTAAAGCCTATTCTATATTCTCTCTAATTCCACAGACCAGTTTCGATGGAGACGAAAATCCATATCGAATTGATGCATTGTAAAACTTATTTTTAGAGTAAAGTGCTTCCTGCATGTGTTCTCTCAGGCCAAGCCATGCAATACTCGAAACGAGTACAATGCATGCAGTTTGAATGAAAATCGAACAATGACTTGAAATACTTCAAAATTAAGTAAAGTGAAGTCCATTCCGTGATATGCACGTTCTCTCTAGATTGATTGATATGGTAGAGCATACCAGCTTTTATACCCTTGGGCTAAAAAACACGAAATAAAACGCGGTACTTGAAGAAGGGGTACATTTTGCATCAGTAGTGATGTTTTTTTTACCGTGTAGCGTTTTGTTTGTTTGAAGAGTTTGGGCGGGTGTTTGTGAGAGTGGAGCGTTCAGGAATTACATTTCACTGATCACATACGGAGCCGACCGTGTTCCTTCAACTTTAACTTTTGAGCCATGCCTAATCATTCACGTGTACGTATTTTATCAGTTCTGTCTTTACTAAATGAACGATAAGTGCCTTCTGAATAGGAACACACACAACAAATATTTGCTTTTAAACCAATATTCATATAATCGGCTATTTTACAAATCGAATAAAGATGCAAGCTAACCAAATCAACTTGTAATTAAGTTTCGCGCGCTGAAACCTTAGAATTCATAAAATTTCGTTGCGATATAAGCACAAGTGTCTGAGATATTTCATATTTTACATTACCACGCTAAACTTCAAAAACCAAAAAAACTTAACGGAACTTTAACGATGCCGTAAACAGGTTAAACGTTTTGAACCTTTGTCCACAGTGCACGCTATCGCACTCTTGTATAATGGAACGGAATTCAAATTTGTCGATTGCTCACGTACTGATATAATGACTAGTGTGAAATGTTATTATTATATGGACGAAATAGCGTGGATAACGTTTGAAGCTGTATACCACTCATGACACGGAGACGCAGGTAGGCTTGTGTTGCATGATGGGCGGGCACCCAACGGACAAACAGGTCTCCCTTAATAGCAGCAAGCCTGAAAATATTCGCCCTGCAACAAAGCTAGGCTAAGACCGCCATATAATTATGACAATATTGGCTGCAATTATTTTGTTACGCTCACGACAATTACCGGATCTATCGTAGACTTAACCACTCAGCATTTTACGAGCACATTCTCGCCACGACACATGTTCTTCAATCGCGCGAAAAATTGGCCGAATTATTGCTACACGTATATTGATTGGCAAACGAGGACAGATAGATATCTATAGCAGATATCTATTAGAAAAGAATATCTATTGCGAACTGCATGTTTGCAGTTTTTCTTCCCAAACGTAAGGCCGTAGGATTCCTTAGACACATTCTTGAACAATATTGCAGTTAGTTTAGTTTAGGTTTCCTCCTGTAGTAACACTGGATCAATAAGAGATGATCCTTACTTACTGGATCTCTAGGAAGAACAGTTTAGAACTGGTAGAGCTATCCAGTATAAATAAAGTTAGTTTAGTTTAGGTTTCCTCCTGTAGTAACACCGGATCAATAAGAGATGATCCTTACTGGACCTCTAGGAAGAACAGTTTAGAACTGATAGAGCTATCCAGTATAAATAAAGTTAGTTTAGTTTAGGTTTCCTCCTGTAGTAACACTGGATCAATAAGAAATGACATCTAAACACATCAAAACTCTTGGGAGAACCTTTCCCACTCAATACAAAGATAAATATTTTAGTCACGTTTTTCCAGATGGTTCGGCAAGGCATGGATAAATGCAGGAGAGGTTGATTATGACAAGTGGTTTAAGCATGGTGATTGCAAGAAAAGATAAAGGAACAAAGCATGGATTTTCCAGAGTATTTCAAAACACAAATAACTAAGACTTACAACTTAATTTTTCTGTGACTCAAAGCTAGTACCAAGAGAGAGCAAATGAGTAAGCTTAACTAAAACTAATCTACACAGGTTTTGAAGTATCTTAAGTCATTTATTGTTGTTCAACTCAGGGAGCAGCCAAAACATCAGATAAATGAGAATTAAATGAGAGGGAACACAGGAGAGCTTATCAATACAGTCTATTTCAAGTAATTTCCTGGCAATGTGCCAGTTACAGACATGCTTTAATATATTATTAATTTATTATGTCCAACCTCAGACAATATCATCTGTTGTTGGTAGAGCACGCTTTATTGCTGTTATGAAAAAAGCACAGCAATCGCTGGCAAGGTCATAGAATATTTCACATGTTTTCAGGTAATTTAGACACAAACAATCTTAGGTATTTTTAAATCATGGCTCTGAACAACACCATTCAGGTGCAGTCAAAACTCTATTATTGTGTAAACATCAGAACACTGGCTGCAGAAATAGATTAGATCAAAATCTACTACATTAGCATTCATAAACAATTCAAACCACAGCCACATGAGGGAAAATAAATGAGTCTCAATATGCTCGAAATGCAGGGGGTCATTGTGGGCGGATTCTGCAATCAGCTGCGCTGGTTTGGACTCCTTTTAATAATCTCAAACATTCAAATGAACTGCAACAGTTTTGCTTCTAAAAAATTCCCTAAACATCCTGATGTTTTCAGGAAAAGGACTCTTGTAGAGAGTGTTATAAAGTGGCTCGATTAAAACACTCATGTTTGCTCCAAATCATTAACCCCAACTGATTAATTGCTGCATGATTTTTTTTTTCAATATTACAGTCGCAAACAACCCAAAGTGGTATGCTTTTGATTTATATCTCCCGCGCAGATTTTGAATACATAAAATCATTACTTAGCATTCATACACAAACCATAGAGGCTAATTATCAATTTAATAACAAAAGAGACTCAAATTTGAGACTTACCTAAAATCTCTCGTTTATTCACTCCCTCATTGCAAATGCTTGAACATTTGCCCCATGGGCCAGCCGTCCACTGATAGGAGTTGTACTGAATAGACTTGCATATACCTTTCTCCATTATAGTTTCTTTTGTGGGGTCGCAATTCGAGGTGTATATGATAACCCTGATTCTGACATTATGAATCTCTTGAAGCATTTGATTGTTTCCCCAACCACTCTTGACTAGAATGCTATGGCCACTTTCAGAGCCCCTGTGCCTCTTCGGCAACCATATGCGGATTCGGTTCTCATCGTAGGCAAATAGAATCCCACCATATCCCTTGTAGTTATTTTCCATAGACATAGCTACACCTGTGCCTTCAAAGATAAGCCCCTTGTTGCCAATTCTCCCTTGCACAATCACAAGTGACGGCAAGGTGTTGGTTGAATGATAAACTTCCAGAAAGGAATGTGAGCCTTGTGACATCATGTATTTCCATTCTGTCTTAAAGGTTGGCACAGGGAACTTTGCAATCCACAAAAAAATGTGTACAAGGCATTTCTGGGTGTTTTCTGCATGGCGTTCGCCACCCCAGCCATTTTCAACGAAAACACATCCAGTTTTCTTTGTGCTAGAACTGGGAGCCCACAGCAGAATTTCTTTCTCATTATAGGCAAAGATAACCCCACCATAGCCTTTTTTCTCTATATTTTGACTGGCAGTGATAGCATTGAACCAAAATCCCTCATTGGGGCTTGGTTTGTGGGGGTCGTCCGACAGTGGGGTCACCCTTACCAAAACTCGTTCGGGGATCTGGCCAAGCTTGTGATCTACCTTCACAAAGACCCGATCTGGGTTTTGAGTGTTCAAAAGCGTACTGGTTTGAAAGCTAGGAACAGGGCCAATATACCAAACATCAACAACTACAAGGGCTGTATCGCATGTTTGGCTATACCTCCGGCCACCCCAACCTTCACCCACCGACACTACCCTACCGTTTTCCCCGGTTCCCTTGAACGCAGAAGGCGCCCAGATCCGTACACGACTTCTGTCGTAAGCGAAAACAATTCCTCCGTGTGGATAGCTGTTTTTTCGCGCCGAAACCTGAGCAGATCCAACTCCTTCGAAGCAAAATCCAGCATTAACACCACTCAGGACTTTCGCGTAAACACGAACGTGAAACGGCATTTGCGTATGTCCCGTCTGTACTTCCCGAAAGGAATCGCTTCCATTATTTGAACGTAGTATAAACGAAGTACTAAAATCAGGAACAGAGAGCGCAGCGAGTCGTAAGTCGTTGTACAACAACGTGCAATATCCTATCGTCGCATGATATAAGACGAAGATCCAAACAACGAACGGTCTAAAATGGGGCCACATTTAGACGATATAAGCGGTCCTTCTGTTCACTTGAAATTGCTTAAACAGACAGTCAAGGTCTATAGTTTCCTGAGAATTTAAAACAATTCCGAAAGGTTAAAATCCGCGCTTTCATTGTGTTAAAACAGTGAAGTACTTTCACTGTGGCAGACACCGCGGTACTTGTGTTTTTATATTGCCCGCAGGTGAACATTTGTAACCTCGCCTTGTTTTTCACTCGTGTCCCTGATCTCTGCATTCATCTGGAGTAAGCAGCAGAAGGTCGGACGATGTGTTCATTTCTTAAAAACTCCTGGAGGAAAACGTTAGTTTCAGTAAAACATTAGCATCTTTTAAAAGCCTAGGGATCATGACCGGTCGAAAAACAGTGTATTCGCGTTTTAAAAAGTGCAATCTTTCTTCTTACAACAGCGCACTTTTGAATTATGAGTCACTCCTCCCCGTAATGTACGGATAGGTCCCCCCCCCTGATTATAAGAAGAAAAATCAAATATGGCCGTCAAGAGAATATTAATTTTGATAAGCAAACGATCTTTTTATGTTATTTAAAAAATGTTATCAACTTAATTAGGGTGTATGAAAGACGGCCAGTCTGTCTCTTTTATTATTATGGCCTGATTTCGTGCAGAAATTTTTAACAAAGGTTTTTAATTTAAGTTGTGAGTGGAAGATGAGTGGTGGGCTGGCACCGAGCAAGTCAACAATTTACGTTGGAAATTTACCTTATTCTTTGACAAACAATGATCTGCATAAGGTCAGATAAACCGCATTTTGCTTCAGTGTTTACTGTGTTACTATTGATGTATTTTATATTAGGGATGTTTTTCAATTTGCAGGTCTTTACATATATCCTTTGATATCGTTTGTCTATTGTGTCTAAAAATAATTTGGGAATGGTCGAAGAATCTTCGTCCAAAGAAAGCGCGAAAATAAGGTCCTTTGTAAATTACCCTTCCTTGCCAACATGAAAAAAGTCAAACCTGTTAGCACAAAGTTTGCAAATCCAGAGTCGTTTATATTATTAAAATGCTTTGCAGCTCTTGACAAATTAAAGTCCCCTAAACACTTTAAACTCTATAGACTATATTAACAACTAGACAATGCAATATCATGTTTGGGAATTACTACACATCTCATCCCTGCAAACAATGTTTGTTGTATATTAGTTTCCAGTGAATGTGCCTCAGATAATGACTCTGCTGTCTCCCGTGGACATTTCAAACATTTTCAATCATGTTGATAGTATTAAGGCTGGAATTGAATTATTATTAGTATTAACCAAATTTTTTTGTTATTTAATTTATTCAATATGAGCAATTGGCAACTGGACTTGGTGAAAAAATTTTGTTGAGACCTGTTGCTTGATACCACTGCTTGATACATGACTTGTTATTGGCAGTATACAAATAATGTAGATGTAATGAGCACTACCTGTGGGTGAAATCAAAGATGGATTTACTAAAGGGGTGAAAATTTAGGGCAACTGTGAGTTCTAATGATGTGAATTTTTAGGCCTTTATCATCTCATTTTAATATTTTTTACCAAATCCAGCCAGACAGTGGCAAAATGGTAATTACCCTTATCTGAAAATAAGGAATTTTTTTCCAATTTGAATATATATAGTTGTAGTGGTTAGTTAAAAAAAAACAGCACCGGATACCAAATCCGGCCGGATAGGGGGAGAATGGTAAAATTCTAAAAATGGTAAAATCTAAAAATAAGGATTTTTCCAAATTTGAATATATATAGTTGACATATTTGATGGCAATCTAAAATTATAACAGTTTGTCTTAATTTCGTTACTGACCTGTAAATGGCAATATTTGAACATCATCTTTCAACCTGTATTGGCAGTACTGCACCCCACCATCCCTGGTACCCCTCCCCCCCTCCTGGTACCCCCTCCCTGATAAAGCATTCACAAGGGGTTGTGTTTAATTTGTATCACGTATATTTAAAACGCCCTGAAATTACTCTCCTGAAATGTGGCGATTATGCTGTTTGTTATTGCAAACACGACCCTGGATTTCTTAGAAGCTCTTGCGTGCACCAACGGCAAATAAACACTCTCGAACATAAGTGTTATCGTGGTGGACACACTAAGAAACGGTATGGATACTTCAAGCTTGTATTGGAAATCAGCGAGTGCTTTAAATTCTAACGTTGTTATTTACATAAACATCTTTTTCTCTGTAAAATGCCAAAAATACATCATGAAAGGTGTCCATGTATTTCGTAGATCGTATTCATCGTAAAGAGGCTTGTAGGTTTCGTCTAATGACCGTAAAAAACAGAGCTCTCTTCTAGCGATTAATTCAAAGAAATGATAAGATATTTCCTGCTGATATTGTTCACAGAGTTCAAGTGTTGCCAGTTATCTCATTGCGTAACTTGCGTAACCAACGGCTGATGCAGTTCAGTGCATTTTAGGCAGAACAGATTGATACAGTCCGTATCCCGACATAAACCGTACTATTAATCCTACCTTCAACCTGGATCTCCGTAGTGTCTTTTTTTGGTTTTGTACCATCCTGACCTGCTTCAGAATAACCTCGACCCAGCACAATAGTTGTTCTACACTATAGACCCATAGTCTTGCCTCATGCATAGCGGCAATATTCAACACTCAGGTTATTAGTTCTTGGCTAAACTCAGGCGTGAAAAAAGATTGTTTTCATTTATGTCATATATCCGCAATATAGGTTAAAAATTTTGAACGAAAAACCAAATATTTATCACCTGATAAACGGAGGAACTTTTCGGTGTCCACCAACTTGGCTGCTCTGATCTCACATGCGATAAAAGCAAGCAATGCGTGAGTCCATTAAGAATCATTGCAAATGCAATAAACACAGACGTAATCTCGGGAGTGAAACTTGGGTCTGATGTGAGGATTGCAGTTTGTTTCGGCCGGAAAAGAAGCTGTGATAAAAAAAAGGAAGAAATGTTAAAAAAACCCAGACTTCAATCTTGCAGGAATTAGCATTTCCTGTGTCTTCTCCCCTCTATTCCGGCTGACTTATGAATCAATCAATTTCGTCGGATCCAATTCACTTCTGATGGATGTTTTATTGCCTGTTGACTGGCAAAGTATATGCATGGGCAGCAAATCAACTAAAACCAATCCAGCACAGCGAGCTCTATAGCTCACTGATCCAGTACTGCTTTATCAATAAAAAACTACCTAACTACATATAAAAACCACTGATAAAAAGTGAATTTGATCGTGTGAACGGGTCTATAAAGCTCATAAAATATAATCGCGTGCATTTTTCAAGAGTTTTGTGATGTATAGATCTCGTTTTCTTAATTTACACTCAGTCATTCTGGCCAGACTTGGAGTTGATCGATCCTTATCTGCATTCCAGACAAAATTGCTACTTGGGAGAGCCTGCATGTGTCTCGTCTCCTCCCCCACTCATGTAGACTTCTAGTAGTTTTCCGGCCTTCGAGAATCGTCTACATCTCTATAATAAACAATTTAACATTATTCTCCATGCATGCAACATGTAAATTGTCCATTATTGCATTCATTTTCATAAGCTCTCCCAGTCCCTCAGAATAAGAAGTATTTGAGTAATGTCCACTTCTTCTTTCATTTTCAGATTTTTGAAAAGTACGGCAAAGTAGTCAAGTATGTGAGCCTTGTTTGAGGGAAGACAAATTAATAGTTGATAAGATTTGGTAAGCGAGAGTTTGCATGAGACTTCTATCCCGTTAAATGCTCTCCATCTTTATGTAATTTTAGAGTGACGATTGTCAGAGACAAAGTATCGAGAGAAAGTAAAGGCGTCGCTTTTATTTTGTTCTTGGACAGAGACTCAGCTCAAAAAGCTGTCAGTGCTATCAATAGGAAACAAGTATGCATGATTTTATTTTCCTAAAATAGTTGTGTCCTTCTGTAGTAACACTGGATCAATAAGAGATGATCCTTACTGGACCTCTAGGAAGAACAGTTTAGAACTGATAGAGCTATCCAGTATATAAATAAAGTTAGTTTAGTTTAGGTTTCCTCCTGTAGTAACACTGGATCAATAAGAAATGACATCTACACACATCAAAACTCTTGGTGGAACTGATAAAGCTATCCAGTATAAATAAAGCTAGTTTACCTAATAGGTTTCCTGTTGTAACACTGGATCAATAAAAGATGATCCTTATTGGACCTCTATATTCACTGACCTATATTAGAGGTATATTATCAAGTGTAAGTCAGTGGCTATATTACATTCGTATTTTTCAGATGTTTGGTCGTACAATTAAATGTTGTATCGCGAAGGACAATGGCCGTGCTACTGAGTTCATTCGCAAGAAATATTACCCAGATAAATCACGTTGCTATGAATGTGGGGTATGACCGTGTTCTTCATTCTTCTCAGCTAAATCTATATGGCGAGTTCTCATAGGATTTCCACGCTCCCGGATAATACTCACTATTATATTCCCTGACATACTTGTAATGGATATAAAAATGCCCAAATGGTCCAGCCTCCAGGTACTCTTGTTGACCCATCACCAAAAATGCATCTGTGAGGTTCTGTCTAAAGCCAGTAAAGGCGGATTTCCATTCAATGCAAAATGTCGCGAGATCGATTCTTTGCGATCGCCTTCTTTTGGAATGTGTTCGTTCAAGCTCATCTAATGGGATTAATTCCGCTTGACTGTTTCTATTTCAAAAGAAGGCGATCGCAAAAAGTCGATCGTGCGACATTTTAGTCGAGAAATACTTGCCCAATCAATTTCCCATCTAAGCCTGGCTTTGTCATCCATTTTGCTGTCTTACTCGATCGGCTAACCCTCAACTTTTTCATTCACTTGTCATATGAAAAGTTGAATACTTTCTTTGCTATCTTAGCTGTAATTTTTTTGCTCAAATGAGTCTTTCCCACAAGGATGACGGCCATCTCAGCTACAACTGTCCGAAAAATATGTTAGGAGATCGCGAGCCCCCTCCGAAGAAAGAAAAACGCAAAAGAAAATACGAAGACGAAGATACGTGAGTAGCGAAACCTGAAACTTTACCTTGTTTTCTAGCTTTCACAATCTGGTTTCTAAAATTTTAGAGCAGCGAATTTTGAAGATGAAGACGACGACGAGGATTACATCGAGGATCCTTATAACGACAGCTTGAGCGCGGCTATTGCAGAGTCGGCAGCTTTAGCTGAACGCGATCGAAAGGCGAATCAAGGGGAGAGTTCATCACGTCATGCAAAACACAAGAAAATCATCAAGAAAGACTCGTATTTCAGCGATGAAGAGGATGTAGACTAACTCAGCTTGTGAATAAGGTGTAGGCAATGGTGTGTTGGAGTTGGACTCTGACCTGATTTTTTCAGGGGGGTACCACCCCAGGGGATTTTTGTGGGGGTGAGTGCCATGTGTTTGGCAAGACACTGTTTGGCAACACAATGTTATAAATCTGCATTCTGTTATGAAAACTGGATTAATTTAATCTCTTCAAACCCCTAAGTTTGTAATCTTGGTTAATTCAATCCACCACTTCATGTTTCTCAGGCAGTCAATCCAACTAAATATTATGCATTAGATTTAATAATTTCAACTGCTCAGCCAGTGTCTAAAATTTTGACTACACAATATCAAACACTGTGTTTAACAAATGTAAAATACTTAACTTACTGTATATTTCTTAAATTGCATATCTGCTCAAATTCTGAAACTAATTTTATGTACAATTAAAATAGTTGATTAGAGTAACCTTTCAGGTATAGTGTCAGTTTTTGGAACAACAGTCCCACGTACATCCTGGTTGGCATAGCAACCACTCTGGTTGTGCCATGTGTTGTTACCATGGCGACGATAATCATCCACGTCTGTGAACTGCGAGTGACATTTTTTCCACAGGGGTGACGAGTTGTATTCATAAGGATTGTCAACGTCTGGTGTCTTTTAAAAAGATAAGGAAGAAATGAATAAGATGTATTTTTTATTTGCCTCTTAATTAGTTCTCAAAATGATCTCCAATCATGCATTATTGATTTAATTAGAACTACCTTAGGTGCGTAAGGATGCGGAGGCTGATAATCGACTCTTTGAGTTGTATCAAAGTACCTAATAAAAGGGTGTGTATTAGTAATAATCATATGGTACCATTGCATGAAGAATGAGTTATGGATACAATGATGAAGTGACTGTTTCAATGATTGCTTGACCTATCATCACCTGATAATTTGCTGAACTGCCTATGGTTACTGACCTTTTGTTGTGATCCTTTGAATGTCTTGGTAGGACACTACCGTATCCTCGATCAGGGCATCCTGTATCACTGTGTGAATATATAGAGAATGGAAAAAGATTAAGACACTAAAAAATACAATTTACCAGTACATCATCATGAAGCAATGCATGATACCCACCGACTTAAATTAGCATGTTCAAAATTATCCTGATTTATCATTGATACTCTTGTTACTTTAGGCTGAAAATCATCTTTCAATCTGACTGCTTCTTGCATTTGGTCATGGCTGGTTGATACAAATGATGACTGAAAATGAAATTATGGTTAATTTTGTTTTGGCATTGTGCTAGCAGAATCTTATCTTTTGGTGTGTCTTTGTAACTCATTACAGCTGAGGCAATTAACCTAAGGTGTACCTGCATGTCTAAGTAAAAGTACAAGGAGCAATGTCTTGTGATCTGTAAAGAAAACAAGTGCACTTCTGCTTACTGTATTACTGTCTCCATTTCCAATTCTTTTGTAGGATGAAAGATGCAACTTTCTCTTGGTTGACAGTTCATTGGTATCACGGTCTTTTGGCTCAGACTCTCGAGCTTGGTGCCTTGGAGAATAGAGGAAAATTGACAATGAAAAATGTTGAGTAATTAATCGTCTATCTAGATACAAGGATATATTTTTATATACCAATTTGACACCAGTGTTGCTCTGCCGTAGTCCATGTGATCAGAGCGGAGGAATAACGATCCTTTTCGTTCCATAAAGTCAGGAATTGACGGTGATGCCATTTTTGGTTGAAAATGTTGCCCAAAAGCCGTAAAACGTCACAAAAACTAGTGGAAAACAAGCAAAATTACAGTAAATGTACTATATTATAAAAATGGAACAGAAATATTGATGATATTGGTTGCCATGGTGAACTGTCGCTGGCGACTGAACTATAGTCGTCTCGTCACACTGGAGTGAAAACCAATATGGCTGCTAATTTGGAAAGCCAAGGTTTAGCTGCTGGTCCCCCTTCACCGGCAAATTTGGGAGGAACAAAGTCAAAATCTACATGTAATTCAAATTCAAGTGATAGAAAAGGTATTCCTGGTCAGGCTGAAGAAATTTTAGACACAGCAAATGAGCTTTTACTAAGAAAAGACTATGGCAAAGCATTGTCCTACTTTGCCTATATTGTCCACACCATACCGTTGTTTAGAGATCAAGTTCACGACGATTTTCTATTCGCCTTGAAGAGCTGGAGCGGTATTTTAGCAGAACATAATAAAGCAGAAGATTTGGTAAAGTGTCTAAGGGAAGCTAGCAGACTGTTCCCAGACTCTGCAGAAATTGCAAACATTGTTGGTTCCACCCTGTTCCAATTGAATATGTTTGATGAGGCTGCTTTAAATTTTCGCCGAGCACTCAAGCTTGACCCACAGCACAACAATGCAGCAGAGAATCTTGACTCAATTGCAAATCTACTAGTTGAGAGGTGGCATTTTCGAATGCTTAATGATAAGGGCCGAAACGAGGCCTATAGAAATGCGATAAACCGATCTATGAATAATGGTTGCAATCAGGTTTTGGATATTGGTAGCGGAACATGTATCCTAAGCATGTTTGCTATCCAGTCAGGGGCGAAGGAAGTATATGCTTGTGAAATGTCAAAAACAATGTATGATCTTTCGTTGGATATCCTGATGGCCAATCAAATGAGAGATTCAATCCACATAATCAACAAAAAGTCACAGGATTTGACAATTCCTGAGGACATGCCTGAAAAGGTCTCACTAATAGTAACTGAGACCTTGGATTGCGGGTTACTTGGGGAAGGTATTATAGACACTTTAACCCATGCAAAACAAGAGCTTTTAACAAGCAACCAGAAGACTCAGATTATCCCTGAGAGTGCTATGGTATATGGGCAACTTATCCAATGTGAAAAAATAAAAAATTACTCCCGAGTGAAGAAAGATATTTTTAGCCATGATGTCGGTATCATTCAGATTCATGGTGCCGAGATGTCAGAAAAGGGAACAGAGCCTTATACAACTGAGGAAATGAGTTGTGTAGAACATACAACACTTTCTGAACCTTTTCACATCACTTCCTATGATTTTCAAACACCTGAGAAGTATATTTGCGAAGCTACATTGGAACTTACGCTCCCTGTTGTAAGGTCTGGTTGTTTGGATGCGATAATGGTGTGGTTTGAACTAAGGTTGGATCCACACGAAACTCTGTCCAGTGCTCCCGGTTGCAGTGTTTGCTGGGAGCAGGCTGTGTATCCTTGCCAACTTCTGGAAAGTGAGAGATCAGTGAAGACTGGAGAAAAAGTCAGTTTAAATGTAAGACTGGTGAATAATGCAATTTATTTGGAAGTTCAAGGCATAGCAAGGAATCCTAATTTTACATTAGCTGCTGATGATACTGCAAAGAGTATGCCATGCCAAAGAGTATGCAAGTCAAGTGATCTTCAAGTGACTGAACATGATTTGAACTCTATTGTAGGAGATCACATATCCATGGTTTTGCCATATCAAGACATTAGCAAGTTAAATGATACTAAATTCACTGAGATTTGCAATGAAGCACTTTCCGATGCATTTGAAAAGCTGAAAATATTGCCCACACAAGACTTGGCTGAAGAATCAACCCTTGGTTGTATTGTTCTATGTAGCTCACCCAGTTTCAACCCACTTTTTGCCATATGGTCTAGGTTTTCACCAGTAGTTTGTTTATCAAACAACAAGGATTTCATGCAGTGTTTGAACACAATAGCTGGTCAGACAGGGAAATCAGAAGATCTTTGCTTCTTTGATAAACCTCTTGAAGAACTAGCTGGAACCAAAGGATGGGGCATTTTGATTGTAGATCCTGTTGAGCCAGGTGGCCAACTAAGGCAAGGAGTGATAGAAGATATAGTGTTGGCCAAGGGATGTGTGCTGTGTGAAGATACTGGGATAGTCTTGCCAAGACGAATTGAAGTCTGGGGCATGTTGATCAGCTCAAGTTCTTTATGTCAGAAAAGCCTTGTGACAAGCAAAGATGTCACTTTAGGCCTAAATATTGCAGGTTATTCTTTTATACTTCCTTGCAGTGCGTCCCAATTTGAGAATTTGCGACACAAATGTAACTTCAGACAAATACATGATAGCAATATGAAATTTGAAGAATATTTTTAAGTCACCTTGACCTCAGGTTAAAATGATTACAAAAGTGATTAACTTCATTATGAATAGCGTTTACAAACAAATGCTACCCAATTTGTCTAAATCTGTATTAAAAAGTCTATTGATAAAATGAAACTAAATAACTTTTATTCATTCTTGCAGGTTTTATGAACACTTTTCAAGTTGTGAACCAAATTGATGTTGATGTTAAAAGTAACCCTTTTGACACTCTAACTGTTCCAGAGATGCTTCTTGCAATGGACTTTTCGAAACCACATGATGATGAGTCACTTCTCTCACTGCTAAATATAACTTGTGAAAAGCATGTGACAGCATGCAAAGAGGGAATTGCTGATGGACTTATGTACTGGTTTGAACTTGGGTATATCAAAGACAGTAAGATTAGCACTGGGCCAGATTCTGGCTGTCAATTCAATCAAGTTGTTATCATGTTTAAGGAGAAGGTTTCTGTCATCTTCGGACAGAAGTTTCTGGTGAAGACATCTTGTAAAAACAGCTGCATTATGGCTAGTGTTCGAGCACTTTAAGAACTAAAAACAATTGCAGTTTGCAAAGTTCATTGAATATACATATGACCTATGGTATATTTGATCCAGAATATGGTATATTTGATCATGATAAGGTTAAATAAAAAAATAGTCTGGGTCGATGTTACCAGAATATGGTGTTATTGCACTGACAATAAGTAATAAATAATCCATCAACTCTTGCATTTTAGAGTTCAAGGTGTATATTACCTGAAAAGACAAGCTTTAATTATTAAATAAGCTGTATGTATAAAGATTAATTAATTAATGTTTTACTTAATTATCTTCGTCACTGCTCCAAGTGTCCTGGTATACGCTGGGGCCGTGTTTTGTCCTTAAATCATCATCGTATTCAACACAGGTCTCATCATCCTTAACTTGCTTCCCTTTTGGCAGCCAAGCCAAAATGAATGTATCATTTGACCCACTGTATAACTCCTGAAAGTTCTCCTCATAGACACAGCAATTTACAAAACGATAAGCTCCTTTTAATTTCATAATATGTTTTCCAGTGTGTATATCAACTGCTGTAATCCAAGAAGAAGTTGGAAGGAATGCTAACTCTTTGTTTGTGTCACTGATGGCTATTTGAATCCCTTTGTTACAAGAATTATGTATACGACCATAATTAACCAGGCAGTTTCGACCACTCGAAACGTCCCACAATCTGGCGCGATCGTCTGTTCCATAGGTTACTAAATACAATCCATTTGATGTAAAGGACATTGCATTGACATTGCCATTATGTGCAGTTTTGTATTTGGCAAATTCAGATGTCTGTTTGCCATTGTGTTGGTCTAACTAAAGCATCGCATCGAGGCCAGGATATCCCAAAGTAGAACCCTGTTATCACAGCCGCCGCTCGCAAGAATGAACGGATCCCTGGTTGACCATGCCAGCGAGAGAACAGCTTCTCGGTGTCCCTTGAGAATATGTGAAGCTGAACCGGAATTCAAGTCTGCAAGGTAGATCCTGGAGTCTTTGCAAGCTGCAGCAACAAGAGAATGTGATGTAGCAATTGGAGACATCTGATGACGATAGACCATGTCTTGCACTATGAAGTCTTCAACAGATTCCAAGGTATTTGTGTCCCACACTTTAATGACTCCATCCACAGAGCTGCAATGAAATAAAGCAAGATTACATGCAGGCCTGCTGAATACCATGTTATAAATAAATTAGCAATGGTTCTTTCCTGTTGTAACACATACGGTAATGTCAAACCAACTCAAAGTTTATATTACAGCTTCTCTCTCTAAGAATTACTTTTATACTTTGGGCTTTTTCTAAAGAATGACCATCACCTTGAGAGAAATATTCCAGAGTCGTGTGGGTACCAACTAACTGTTTCGACATTCAATTTATGCATGTATGGTGAGCTTTGGTCAACTTTTGCAATAACATTACAAGTCTTCCCAACGCTAGCATTCAAAGCATGAATTGCAATAGTTCCTCTTGATGCAGTAGACAGCAAATATCTCTTTCCATTTATGTCAGGAGAAAGTGACAGTGAATTAACTCCACCAGTATGAATATCCTCAAACGTTTTGTCTGAATATAGATGCAAGGAACAGACTCGTTCAGTCTTTTTAAGTTCAGCAAGCTTCCTTGGATTCTGCAGACCTACTTCACGCATCACTATTTGGTTGAAAATGTTCAGATTCTTCATTTTCATATTTTTTTCTGATTTTCATCCATTTTGTTCTACTATTATTCAACTTTCACATTTGATTACTTTGTAAATCCAGATTCTATTTAGATCAGTTTGTACTGAACTCTATAGTAACTAGTAACCTGGATTGAGATATCTAACTGATCTCTCTTGAATCACTGAACAGTCCTACAGTCAGTACACCCATACAAGATAAAGTATGCAGCTTAAGTGTTTTTAAACTTCGCACGTGTGAATTTTTCCTGAAAACACATGTTTTAAAAGCGCATACTTACTGAGGTTTTTTACCACTATAACTCTTTAAAATTGTTAAAAACCGTCGTAAAACCTTTTTGGTAATGTCTGACAATGTGCTGGTCATCGGTAGCGGAGGCAGAGAGCATTGTTTGGCTTGGAAATTGGCTCAGTCTGAGCACGTTCAAAAAGTTTACGTCGCTCCAGGGAATGGGGGATGTTCTCAAGAGGGTAATCGCTTTACGGACAAAATCGAGAATGTAGTCAAAGTAAATGTTGCTGATCATTCTACTGTGAAGTCGTTTTGTTCAGAAGCAAGTGTGGATTTAGTTGTTGTGGGCCCCGAAGCGCCATTGGCGGATGGGTTAGTTGATTACTTGTCAAAATTTGGCATTTCATGTTTTGGACCGACAAAAAATGCCGCTAGAATTGAAACCAGTAAAGCATTTGCCAAAGATTTTATGATAAGACACGGTATTCCTACAGCACGTTTTAAGACTTTTACAGACTGTGAACTGGCTTGTAGTCACGTCCGTTCAGCAGGGTATCCAGCATTGGTGGTGAAGGCAAGTGGGCTAGCCGCAGGAAAGGGTGTGGTGGTAGCCCAGGATTCAGATGAGGCAGAAAAAGCTGTTGTTAATATGCTCAAGGTAGTAGTTTAAATCCTTCATCCATTTCAAAACACTTGTCTAGCATTAGTCAAAATAGTAAAATTAATTAAGTGCACCTGGACAAACACTCTTTAGTCATCAATTGCATTAACTGGCCCTACCAATTGATGAGAAAGAACTGTAAAATATATATCTAAGGATGTAAGTAGATGATTTGTAGATGATTACGGCTAAGTGTGGTTTTCTTTTGCTACAGAATAATGCTCACGGTGAGGCTGGAAGTACCATTGTAATTGAGGAGAAACTTGAGGGAAGTGAAATATCTGTAAGTACATGTAATTATTCAATTTCATTTCTATTTATTTTTATTATATATTGAAGTCCTAACACAATAAAATGTCTATTCAACCAGGTCTTGGCATTTTCTGACGGGAAAAATATTGCAGTCATGCCTGCAGCCCAAGATCATAAACGAGCATACAATGGAGACCTGGGACCTAACACTGGTGGCATGGGCGCTTATGCACCATGCAATGAGGTATGAATAGTAAAACTTGGAAAAGTGTGTGTTCTTGCATGATAAAAGTACATTTGGCTTCAATTGCCATTTCTAATTCATTTCATGTGAAATTGAATGTATTTGAATGAATTGGGACTTTAAACCGTTCAAAATGAATGTCTTGGTACTTTTATCATAAGCTTTCAGAGGCAGAATTAGAGTACATTACGAAAAATGTCCTTCGAAAAGCTGTGGATGGTATGAGCCAAGATGGCTGCCCCTTTGTCGGTGTTCTCTTTGCTGGGATAATGTTAACATCTCAAGGACCAAAAGTACTTGAATTCAATTGTCGTTTTGGTGACCCAGGTAATTGAGCCTTGGTAAAGCGGTTGAAAGTGTTCATAAAGAATTCAAGTGCATTAAGTAATCTGTTATTAATACTAGAAACACAAGTAATTCTGCCCCTGATGAAATCTGATCTTTATGCTACCATTATGGAGGCAGTGAGTGGTGATCTTTCTGCAGCCATACCAACATGGTATCAAGACCGGGCGGCCGTTGGGGTAGTCATGACCAGTGGTGGTTACCCCGGCTCATATGACAAAGGATTTCCAATCCTTGGCACAGATGCTTTCAAGGTAACAGTTGTGATGATTACACTTTCTTGGAATTCTGTAGACATAATGGATTTCCTGTAAATTTTGTTGTGTTTTAAACACTTGGTTCTTGACTGGCCAGGCAAGGAACAGTGTAGCAGATTTCATCATCAGTCTAGCTTAGACGTAGTTGCTATAAATGTGTTAAAACGTGCTGTAACTATTGTCAATCTTGTCAATCTGAACAAGACTTCACTAACGTCTCAGTAATTTCAACTAGGAAAGCAAAGAGATTGTCATATTTCAAGCTGGTACAAAAGTTGATTCCGAAAGCAAGCAACTTGTGACAGCCGGAGGAAGAGTTCTCTGCGCTGTGGCCGTATCAGACACTCTCAAAGATGCTCAGAGGAAAGCCTACGAAGCCGTGAAACAAATCAGTTTTGAGAAAGCTTATTATAGAAACGACATCGCTGACAAAGCTTTTAGGTCTGTAAAACACGCTTAATACTGACCAATGACAATTTTACGTATTTTTCTATTCCTGTTCAAGTCTGCAAGATATTTTGGGGTTTTTTTGCCTAAAATTAAGTCAATTTTTCCTCTAGAAAGGTGAAAATGACGTACGCTGACGCTGGCGTGAGTATTGACAGTGGTAATGAATTCATCCGAGAGATCAGACCATTAGCAAGAGCTACACTTCGCTCAGGGTGCATGGGGGATCTCGGAGGATTTGGTGGGTTGTTTGACCTGAAAACGATCGGATATCAGGATCCTGTCTTTGTCAGCGGAACCGATGGAGTTGGTACGAAATTGAAGGTACTGTGATCATGCGAGGCTTATTCAAGGAAAGCGCCCTAAGTGTATTGCAACTAGTTCTGACCTGTCTCTTCAGATTGCTCAAAGCTGTGGCTTGCATTCAACTATCGGCGTTGATCTTGTGGCGATGTGTGTCAACGATATATTGGCTCACGGCGCAGAACCGCTCTTCTTTCTCGATTATTTTGCTACTGGTAAACTCGAGATATCTGTCGCCAAGCAAGTTATCGAAGGCGTTTCCGATGGGTGTAAATTGGCTGGTTGTGCTCTTTTAGGAGGTGAGATAACTTTATTTTAGAAACTGTTCTTCCTAGAGGTCCAGTAAGGATCATCTCTTTTTGATCCAGTGTTACTACAGGAGGAAACCTAAACTAAACTAACTTTATTTATACTGGATAGCTCTATCAGTTCTGAACTGTTCTTCCTAGAGGTCCAGTAGGAATCATCTCTTATTGATCCAGTGTTACGACAAGTATAACAGTTCAGTTGTAAATAGATCGTCTTTTTGTAGGTGAGACAGCAGAAATGCCAGGAATGTACAAATCGGGTGAATATGACTTGGCCGGATTTGCTGTCGGTGCGGTCGAACGATCTTCGATGCTTCCACAAAAGAATCTCATTACACCTGGTGACGTCATCATAGGCCTAGCCTCGTCAGGTCTTCACAGCAACGGCTATAGTTTGGTGCGAAAAATTATGGACGTACAAGGCCTGACTCTTGATTCACCGTGTCCTTTCGACGCAGCCAGGAGCCTGGGCGAAGTACTGCTCTCGCCAACCAGAATTTATGTGAAAAGCGTGCTGCCCCTCATGCAGTCTGGAAATGTGAAAGCTTTTGTACACGTCACTGGTACGTAGCATTGGGAGCAGCATACGACACGAAAACTTTTTCACCTGACAAGAAAATAAACTGCTGCGCGCTTCTTGAATTCGTTTTATCTGTCTTTCTGTTTAGGCGGAGGTTTGACAGAGAACATCCCTCGAGTGCTACCTGAGCATTTGGGCGTGAGTCTGGATGCGGGTTTGTGGAACATCCCGCCCGTTTTCGGGTGGATAAGTCAGGCGGGCAATGTTGAGCCGACTGAGATGCTGCGTACATTCAACTGTGGGTTGGGCGGTGTGCTGGTGTGCGCGAATGAAGACTCCCTCATCGCTCTGAAACACTTGCAGCAACACTCAGAACAGACCAGCATCATTGGCGTGGTACAAGAGAGCTCTGAGTCAGTGCTCATTGACGCTTTTCCCGAAAAGTTGCAAGCGAGTTGCCCGCAAGGCATGCTGCTTAACGGTGTTGGTCGAACGAAGAGAAGCCGCATCGGAGTGTTGATCTCGGGCTCAGGCACTAATCTCCAGGCCCTCATCGATCACGCGGCAAAGCCAGAAAGCTCAGCTGAAATCGTCTTAGTTATATCCAACGTCGAAGGGGTTCAAGGCTTGACGCGCGCTAAGAAAGCTGGAATACCAACTGTGGTAAGGTTTCATCCTATCATTGCGTTTTATCTGTTATTCCAAAAGGATTTGATTTGAATTGAAGTTGTGCTGAGAGTTTATGTGTTTCAGGTGATAAATCACAAGAGTTTCTCCTCAAGGACCGACTTCGACATGGCGTTGGACGTAGCTTTGGAAGAGGCCGGCGTAGAGTTTGTGCTTTTGGCTGGATTTATGAGAATTTTGACTGGGATGTTCGTGAACAAGTGGCGAGGCAAAATGTTGAACACCCACCCGTCCTTGTTGCCGTCGTTCAAAGGCATGCACGCTCACAGAGATGTCCTCAAGGCTGGAGTGAAAATTAGCGGTTGTACAGTACACTTTGTTGCGGTGAGCCATTAATCTAGACTATGCGTTTTAAGCTGTTCTTCCCCGATATCTAGTAAGCTCAATCTCTCTTTGAGGTTTGGGATTAAACTTATAACAGTTTCAAGTTGTCCTTCTTGAAGTCTAGAAATGCAGTTTTGTTTTATTGGAACTCCAAGCGAAGTTCGTTTGGCGGACATGGCAGTGAAAAGGCACTAATTAGCGCTAATCCATTCTACTTTTTTGTCAAACAGGAGGAGGTAGACGCCGGCGCCATAGTCGCTCAAGAAGCAGTCCCTGTGCTTCCAAAGGACACGGTGGTAATCCTGCAGGAACGGGTGAAAAAAGCTGAACATGTCTGTTATCCCAAGGCGATGGAGTTACTGGCAAGTGGTCAGATCGTACTTGGTGATGATGGTCGAGTACATTATCAATGGTAAAATGGTGGAGTCGTTCCAGGTTTGATAGTGTCTATTAGGTTCGTTTATCGCTTCGACCAAGCCGTGTTGTGTTTCTGACGTGCAACGATTGCCCGTTTTCATCGTTAGTTTCGGGATGTAGAACTACTTGAGATTAGCAGTTAAGGATACACAACCTCTAATATGCTACGGAAGTCGTATGGATAGCGTAGAGGTTTTATGGATTTCCATATTAATGTCTCGAACGAGATTGTAAAAGTTAGTTGGGAATGAACGGAAGAATGCAGTTAAATTTTGCTCTTCCTGCAGCCCTGCACATAAGAAAAATTGTCTATTTGAAAGTTCAAACTATTTAGATATTTAAACGTTCATTATGCATTTATGAAACGACTAAAGGGAGATATTCCTGGGAAATATATTACTATCGATATTTATCATGTTTACCACTTTATTTCGTTCCTAAATATATGATAATTTGCTACATAATTTGCGTTAATAATTCGAAGGCAATTAGAATAATTAGCGTGGTAATTAACATTTAATTGTCATAGCAACAGAAGCGAATTTCGCGTTGTCAACAATGCCGGACGCATGCGAGAACAGTGTTGTCCTTTCCTACTTGTATTTGTATAAAAATTAAAGTAAACAGACGGAATTTCAAAAAGCAACCATGAGCGAAGTCGAGTCTTCGCTGTTTAGCGAAGTAAAAAAGAATAAATTCTCAAGCATTGCGAAATTTAGCGAGGAAGGTATGTAAGCTTGATCAGCGTGTGTGTTGTGACTTTTGTTGCCATAGAACAGTAGCTAATTTGTGTGTCAAATTTCAACAATATTATAAACTATTGATGCAATATAAATAACCATTTATAATATATATTATTATTGAATTATTATATCCCGTTGTTTTTAAGATGTTGCCGCAGTTTGGGAGATCGTTTCCCGTTTTGTTGAAAAGCAAATGGCCAGCCAAAAGGTTCGAAAAGTTATCAAATTTTAGTTCGTTATTTTCCCTTCAATATGTGTTTAAAAAAATGCTTTCTCCAGCTGCATTTTGGTGGAATTTGAGGTACGCTTATCTTCAGTTAAACAGCTACTCATCTGAAGCTCTGATGTGCTGTCGCGTAGGTTAAGACTGAAGAGCAAACACTTGACTCGCGGTAATGTGTGCTTATCTTTATTTTTAAAAGGGTGTGAACATCCCGGGCCTTGGCAGTTTCACATTTTCCCAGCGAAATCTAGACACTGGCAATGGACGTACAAGCGTCATGCAAAGACCTGTGTTTCAACTGGCTGAAAAGTTTGCTCAGACTCATGGTTTGAATTACACCAAACATTATGTGACAGGTAAAGTCATGAGCTCTGTCTGGCTTCCTAAGAGGATGCAGGTAGTTTCAACACCTGTTCTGTTACATCATTGAATGTTATGATTGCATAGAAATATATTGATACTTAATGATGACCAGGCTATATAATTGATGCATCCAGCTGCTTCATGCCTGCATAAGGCCTGTTCTATACTAGTATTACCAGATGCTTTTAAAGACCCAGGAAAGCAATGGTGCTTAATGCTTTCTGGATGCATTTATCCAGTAATTCCTTAACTGATGATCAACAAACATATGTAAAGTTGTGTCGGATAAGATTTGAAGAGAAGCATTAAGAAAGCCTGCATCGGTGTGCTTTATCAATACCAGTCACTTAGGCTAATTAATGTATTCCTTGGTTTTCATTCTAGGTCAAATACCAATTATTCCACTAAACTTCACTGCGATTGCATCCGAATTACCTTACCCTCGAGAGATTGTAGAAAGCTGCATCAAAGAAGTATTGCAAGCTGTGTCCAGGTCATTGCATGTCAGGCGAAATGTTGAGTTCATATTCACCGGAATTGGTTGTTTATCAATTAGAGATGCAAGGGCAAAGATGAAGTTCTACAAAGAATTTATAAGGAGCATGGATCATACTGGAGAACTTGTCAATGCATTAAGAAATGTGAGCATTTCAATACTAATAATTGTTAGAATCATACTTTTGAACACATGATTACATTCTCAGCAGCGTCATCAGATTAACACATTTATTTTTTCAAATGAAATATTTGATTATGCCTGAGAAAGAAATGAGATAACCTACTACAAGCTAAAAAGGGACTATCTTGATGAGATCTTGTGGATACTGGATCGTTTAGCCAGTTCTCTAAAACGCCTACGTATCAGGCATTTATCTAATGCAGGATAATGTTTTCGGTTTTCTTATGAGAACGTTTCATCGTTTTCTTCCAGAGACCTGATACAACTGATTCTGTTTTTACTGAGGTCTCATTTAGACCAGACACAGGCAACACAGTCATACTGCCAAGGTAAGTGACGAGGAACAACAAAGTCTAGAACACGTCTTCTTCGACCATTTTTTTTCAATTGTCAGTCTTCCATATCTTGTGTTTCTTCCCGTTGCCCAGGTGGTCCCGTTGGACCAGTAAGATGAGGTCTATGAGTCTATCGCTAATCGCTGTGTAATTCGTATATGCTGTAGAGTGCCTATACCCAGCGAGTAAATCGCTGTTGAAACTATTTTCAGAATAAATATCAACGCGGAGGACAAACGAGAAGAGGAGAACACCGGTAACACTCCGCCTGAGTCCAGAAACAGTCGAAAATTTATCGCTAATAATGGCGACGATAATCCAGTCCTGGCTCCAATTGAAGAACTCAAATATGACGAAAGTACGTTCACGAAATACTCTTGATCTTTTTTATACCCAGGCCGTAGCTAGCCCGCTTAATTTGGAGGGTGAATATTCATACATTCATGTTTTCGTATCATAGGAACAATAGCGTACAAAAGAAATCAGACGGGTATTAGACGAATATATGAATATAAACACACCCTCAAATTAAGCTTCCAATTATGTCCCCCCTGATACCGCATCGGTATAGATGTGGTATCAGGGGGGACATAATTATAGATGCTGTCACCCCTCCTCCTTCCTGTCCCAATGAGGCTGGTTCATTGGTATAGTTTGAATAAGCCCTCCTCCCTGATTTGGCCCAAACTGACACTCGAATCCTGATCTGAGATGATGAGAATCCCAATTCATTCTTCTAGGACTTGCAACTCCAGTATCTGCTGTGCTTACGCCACCGAAGACTCCAACTCGTGCCAAGTTGCTAGCCTCGGAATCCAAACAATCGCCTGTTATTCCTGATAATCCAAACGAGGTACCACATCGTCCTCAGTCATCCCCGCATAGTATCCGGCTACGTCAACTATCGCGGCTTTCGCGCAGTCGCAATGGATCACCAGCACAAGGCCAAGGTCAAACCTCGCCGCCGAAGTCCAGCGGCGAAAAAATCAAAAAAGTTGTCGTAAAAAGCCCTGAATCCAAGTAAGTTGTTCTACATAAAGCAAACGTCAAGTGCTTATACTTTTTTTCTGGATCAATATTTTGTCAAAAATTAATAGCAGACGATGAAAACGAGTAAGCAGGATTAGTTGTGAAAAAGATTTGATCCTTTGGCATACAAATCGTTATTGCCTAGCAAACACAAGGATTAATGCACTGGAGAGTATTTGTTCTTTCATGAAAGGATTAAAGAAATTTTGAAGTTTCAAGCAGTACATCTTACTGGTGGCACGTTTAAGGGATATGCATGAAACTTCTAAATGAATACATTTGCTCGAAGCTATTGAAATGAATCTTTGATAGATTTCTTCTGTTAGTTCAGACAAACAACAGTAACTAGCTAGCTTGCCGCAGAAAAACGTTGCATGGACCAAACTATTATTCTCAGCTAGTTCAGAGACAAAGAAACTGCTGATGTTGATTACCATCTACAATTGAAAGTGCAAACCACTACAGCTGGTCTTTTTAAGAAACCTATACCTACACTTGGCTATATCATGCTTACACTTTTGCGGCAGCGAGATCTTTTCCTGAGAAGTTTAGACACAGCGCACAGCTTGCTCATTCTTGAGAACTCTGGACCCGACGTTAAAAAGAATGTAGATTTTTGAGGATGTAAAAAACAAATAGATTTATAGTCTGAAGCGTTGTGTAAATATCTCGGTGGGTGTCCCAGACAGCGCAAGGCATAGCTACAACAGTTTGTCTGAAGTGCAGCAATTAAACTATAGTTTGGTCGATTTGTTGTTGGAAGTTATCATGCCTCTTCGTATGTGTTACACCGCTCCAGTTAGGTATAGTTCAGCCTGTTCAGGAAACCTATATTACTGGTCTTTACAGACGCTGTTTCTATGAACGAAGTAGGAATTTTGCAAGAGGATTTTGCAAAGGATTTTTGAGATTGCGAAGTGAAGTTTTTCTGTGTTCAGCAATGCATTTGGTCGCTTAGACTTCACTGCAAATCTTTGCGTTCACGCGTGCAAAATTTTTACTTTGATAAAAGAAACATTGTAGATCGTCCTTAACAATGGGGAAAAGAAATTTTGTTGTTAAATTCATAATGCATTCTTTATACTGTATAAAAGCACCGTATAGGAGTTCTTATTCTTGTGTTTCTGTAATATTTCTCTAGGTACAGGAAATTTAAGATACAACATATTGACTAGAAGGAATTCCTTTCAATGGGAAAAGCGTTAACGTTTTTCTTTTCTCTCTTCGTCAGATGTTGTCATAGCAACAAGGCTGGTCAGGAGTTATGTTACTTGTGTCATCAGCGCAGTCGCAAGAATATTCCAATATATTTGGCTGAAGAGAATAAGAGATGCGAACAGGATGATGATAGATGTTTACAACAATATCAACATACTAAAGATCTTAATGCTGTGTTGAGAGAGCAGGTCTGTTGAAGTCCACTGATCTATACTAGACCACTGTACGCAGGGCTGTACCCTGGCTTTACCGGTCTCTTGTGGTCACTGACTTATATATGTCAGTTATAGTATTAGGTACTGTTGTTTCGTATTCAAACTGGTTTATAGCTTTTGTTAAAAAACGGTCAAGACTGAGGTGCAATAGACCTTTGGCATTATCTGTTAAATGATTAAGAAAGAATTGGTTGATCTATGTTAATTAGGTCAATTAGTTGATTGATTAGGTGATTGATTGATTCATTAGTTCGTTGATATAATGATGAAAGAAAGTGGTAAAGGTTAATGATTATATAAATTACGTTGATTTTTAGTGTTTATTGAGTGAAGGACGCATATTATAGCGCACGTCAGTGCTGTGTCGATATCTGACCTGGAATGCCTGTTTTTGTGTTTTTTTCAGGCTAATCAGTTGACAAATAGAAAAATAAATCAGGAAACAGCTGCATTTAATTTAGGAGTCGCCGAGGCGATTAAGGTAAAAAGCTAACTTTAAAGCGATAACGGTTCAAGTTTGCATTAGATGAGTTAAAGAATCGTGCGATTTCCTAAATGATATAAAGACAAGATAGACTATGATGCAAAAACGTTATCTTTTCAGGAGAAGAAGAACACGAGACCGCTTGAATTCCATGTAAGTTTTGCTCGATGTTTTGAAGCATTGCGAGAATGCGGTGGTGAAATAATTTTTTGTGTTTCCCTAGAGATCATTTTTGTTTCGAAACCGAGCATTAACACCTCCATATTCCTTTAAACAAGCGGAATATTCCAGTCAGCTTCAAAAGCAGGTGAGCTGCCTTTGGATATATCTATAAGTTCTAAACTGGTGCAGGTGGATAGCTCTATCAGTTCAAAACTGTTCTTCCTAGAGGTCAAGTAAGAATCATCTCTTATTGATCCAGTGTTACTACAGGAGAAAACCTAAACTAAACTAACTTTATTTATACTGGATATCTCTATGAGTTCTAAACTGTTCTTCCTAGAGATCGAGTAAGGATCATCTCTTATTGATCCAGTGCTACTTCAGGAGGATATCTGCATTCGTAGAGAAATAATTTTTATTACTGTTTCAATGTAGGTTGAAGAAAAGAACCAGTTTGCTTTAAAAGAAAAATCTGATCAAGAATTTCAGGATAGATTAGAACAAGTGAAGTTGGCAGAGGAGTAAGTATCACGTGCACGCCGTGTGTTTTCAGATGATAAGATGCAAACTGGCAGTTCATCTTTTACTAAACTACTAACACTGAACCACCTGCACTACGTTTAATCTGTAAGCATCATCTGTGATACTCAACTGTACTTTTCTTATCTAAGGTTGGCCCAACAGAGAGAGCAATATCTTCGTGATAAGAAATTTGATGAAGATCATTATCGTGATGCACTGAATGCACAGGTGGGATTTTGTCTCTTTTGTAGGCCACGTTTCTATAACTATATTGCTTGAAAAAAAGGTTAAACACTGATCCTCTATAAAGAAAAGTTTAGAACTGATAGAGTTATCCAGTATAAATAAAGTTAGTTTAGTTTAGGTTCCCTCCTATAGTAACACTGGATCAATAAGAGATGATCCTTACTGGACCTCTAGGAAGAAGAGTTTAGAACTGATAGAGCTATCCAGTATAAATAAAGTTAGTTTAGTTTAGGTTTCCTCCTGTAGTAACACTGGATCAATAAGAGATGATCCTTACTGGAGCTCTAGGAAGAAGAGTTTAGAACTGATAGAGCTATTCAGTATAAATAAAGTTAGTTTAGTTTAGGTTTTCTCCTGTAGTAACACTGGACAAAAATAGTTTTTGAACAGATGGAGCTAAAAAGCAAATAAACAACCTTGATACTCTTGTGTAGGTTCACATTGAAAAACATATCATTCGCCGGACTTTTCTCACTCGTTCGTTTCTTGATCGTATGAGGTTGCCCAAACCAAACATTATCAAGCCGTTCGAGGAGACTTTTGGTCCAAAATTACCAGTGCCAGCGACCAGGAAATTAGAAAGGATTAGAACAGTAAGAGTTATTGTGTAGATCAGATTGATATGTAGCGTAGAATATACAGGGTAGTGTGTGCTATTAGAGCAGTGTGGTAGTAAAATTTGGGTCGCAGAGGTATGGTATATGGTATGATATATGGTATGGTATGGCGTATGGTATGTCGTATGGTATGTCGTATGGTATGTCGTATGGTATTTCGTATGGTATGTCGTATGGTATGTCGTATTGGTATAGAGTATGGTATGGCGTACTAGTATAGTGTATGGTATTGCATATTGGTATAGAGTATGGTATGGCGTATTGGTATAGAGTATGGTATATGCTATGGTATATGGTTTATGTACCAATATCAATCTGCCTTCTAATGTCCATCCTTTTTCTTCAGCTTCAATTCAAATCCCTGCCTCTTCCCGTCGCTGAACCGGACTCTGCCGAACCAATATTCGGTAAAAATGACGGAACACCGGAAAAATTCCGAGAGAAACGCGAGCGAGCACGCAAGCTCTATCACGATCAGCTGGCGATGGTCGCCGACAGAAAACGAGCGGCCATATTACACGATATCACGGCACAAAGCGAGGAATCGGAGATGTTGGATAAGATTAAAAAAGAGTACGTTTATGCTCGCTCCGTGATTCGCACCCGTTGTAAATTTGCTGGGCAAATACAACGCGAACAATGCATTTAAACAACTAAAGCCGGTTGTATCAAGCCCGTTTAGCTTAAACGGTGGTTCAGTTCAAAATAGAAAGCAAGTCTATCGTTTTACTCAACAAGCAAACTAAATGTTAGATACTGTTTACAACTACACGATAGATCTAAGAGTGTGATTTAATTTTCACTTATCCACCGTTTAAGCTAAACCAGCCTGACCTTTTCCACGCATCAACTGATTTATCGAATTCAACTTGCAAACGAATCACAAAGTTTATTTTCGATTTGTTTCGTTTTAAGGCTTCAACTCGACCGCGCTGAGCACTTTTACGAATCCCTGAAGACGCGTCGTGATCTCGAAAAGTCCTGGGCCGAGAACTTGCGTCGCAAGCAAGAACGAGAACACGAGGAGATTCTGCGTCTTCGTTCCCCAGGTGTTCTGATACAGGAACAGTGCGATAAATATCACCGATGCGAGCAATGTGGTCGGCGACCGTGGAATTGTGGGGAGTCTAATATATGGCGCGAGAGTCGCTACATCTCTGGATCAAGGTTGATAGTGTAAGATAAGTGGTGATATACATGGACACTGCATAGGGATAACAAATGATTGAGATGGATACATATTGCTGCGATGATACGAACAGACGCCTGCTTGGAAGGTTTGAATTAACTATAACTTTGAGGCTCTTTAACCACACTACTTCTTCAGTTTTTTGTGTGAATGTGACTGTACGAATCTAGTTTTCTGAATTTATGATGTTTCTTACGTGGAAACTTTGTTAATCACGAGCATACTGTTTTGACAAAAAAAAATTCGTCGCAGGAACCTGAATGTTTTGGACTATGTTGACTTTTTATTGGCCGCACGGTCAGTTCTAACTGCGCAATAATGAAAAACCCGCTTAGTCGGGTATTTTAGAAGTAATTTTCATCAGTTTCAAGTGTCGAACGTGGGTTGGAATGTCCTGTTTAATATCACGCCCATCCAAATTTGTCTTCCGCGTTCCTAATTTATAACAATTCGTTTCACTTTTTCAACTTTCCTTTTCCCAAGAATTGCCGCGAATAACAGATGAGAAAAGATTTGGTCTATGTTGCGTAATATTTCCTCTTTTTTTTACAAAATGTCTACAAATATACACTAATAGCTTTTTACACATTATAAGCCATACCGAACTAAAAAATAAATACTATTTATATTTTTATAAACATTATTTTCATGAACATTATAAATCTATATTTTCCCCATTTTTATATAATTTTTCCTTCGAGTTGTCGAAGTTATTTTTGAACATTGCGAGCTTTTCACTCTCAAACTAATATTAAAGTATCACGAAAATATGTCAGTGACTTCCTGCCTTACCAATATAGCGTATGGCCGCTTTGAATTCGCGCCAAAATCAGTCTCGTGATGAAACGATATCGTGACACTAATCATGTTATTTCATGCAAAGCTATATAATTTAACACTTAGTCAGCAAAATTTATTCAGGGAATAATCTAGAACTTTTTAGGCGAATTTTTTTTTCATTTTTCATGCAGGTGGTCGACCACCTTTCGGTCCGAATTTTTGCCAAGCGACGGTCGATATTTAATTTTCAAGTGCCTGCAATTCTAAAATTTTTTTACTCTTCCTTATATGACAAAAATTACTCGCTTCCATGTAAATGTTTATCAACAATCAGCAAAGAAAAATAAAATTACAGACTGGCACCCACGCCAAGTTTAATTTTCAAATAGTTGGAATTCACTTCAAATTTTCATATTTACTTAGAGTTTGAATTCCATGCAAGCTGTGAAATCTTTGAGCTTCGTTTTCTAAGATTCCATTTCGCATTCCCTGGCTAAATTTTGCTTTTTTGTTCCTGTTTTCAACAGATACCGATTTTAAGTAGAAACATTAACAGATGTATCGTTTGTTTAGTTTCAAAACCTATCTCCGTTCATTTATATTTGTTCGCTGAAGCGTACTTCAAACTAATTTGCATTCCAGATTATCATCATCTCTAACAACGATATAAAAGTCTAATGGTTTGGAATACTTGTATTGGAGTGTTCTCCGTTATTTGAACCCAGTTATTCTTTTTTTGGTTTCAGTTTTAATTCATTCTTCTTCTTCATGGAGTCTAGTTCAGCTCCTGCTCTCGTCCGGACAAAATCTCTCAAATGTCCTCCTTTCCAAAGCAATCCATCCACGCGTGTTGTCTGCCTTTAGGATTCTTTACTATTCTCCAAATTCCCTCTGCTCGATAACCTTCTTGATCGCGATCTTTTGGATCTTCCTTTAGAGTTCCTAATTCGTTCTTTATGCAACGAATGCAGAGACATAGGACTGGAATTCCGCACAACAAATACCCCGTTCTCAGCTGAGGTTTCGTCTGTCTCTTCTATATCATCCAAGCTCGGAATGTATCTGCTGTTTCTGAATATCTTCGTTATAGGTCTTCGCCTGCGGTATGAGGAGACAGTTTCCATCAACTCTGCTCGGTCGTGTCTACCTTGTAGACCTTCAGAATGAAGTGTCCTTTCGTAAAGATCTCTCATGGAAACCGGCTGATCTTCTACTACAACTGTATCAACTTTTCTCCTATCGGTGTAAGACATTCTCCGACTTTGCCTACTTCTTCTTTGTAAAGGCATCTAGAAACGTATTGTCACACACGTTGCAACTTGCTCGGTAATAACTGACCACTCAGCAAAAAAGGACTAAAATTATCACAACCTTACAATTTTGTTGCTTTTATATGATACAATGTTTTCAATGACGTCGTTTCACTAGAACAACCGTGGCATATTCAACCAATCAAATGCATTCCTCGAGGACAATCATCCAATCAACGGGTGGCATTTTTAGGCCATTGACCCTTATTAAAAAGTCACTATCTTTCCTAATATGACCGTGATCTGATGTAATTTTCCATGTAGATGACGTCATGCAATTGTATGTCTCCAGAATGGGCGAAATATAATTGAAAATGATTGTGGAAATTGTTTAAAAAGTAATATTGTATAGCCACTTTGTTACCATATCAATAACGCGAAACTAAGCGGTACACATGCCCAAATTTGAGTTCTGTTTACGATGTTTATTTACTGTAACTTAATAGCGTAAAGTTTGTTTCGTGCCATTGATACAATATGCAGAACAACAGACAAAATTGGTTCAGAGCTTCAATCTCATAGGGAGTAGGGAGTACTTTTTGGTCAGTGTGCGTGCCGTGAACTTCGCGTAGTTCACATATATTTGTATGCGTGCAACTTTGATTCTATGTGTCTGTATTGATTGATAATGTTCCGCTGAACCAAATCATCTGATATTCCACTTATTAATTAACGTGAGTTACCGTGCATCCCGGAATATGCCGTTCAACACGAAGTCATCAAATAGACACGATAATACTTCTTGTTGCCATTACAAAAATAGCAAACTCGTATTTGAAGGCAATTCGATTTGGGGGGTGACGTTGGATAGGTCGCGAATTCGATTTAAATTCTCCCCAAATAACCAATCAGGAAGCATACAGGCTCGTGATAAGTAAGTATGTGATAAAATAGGACTTATTGAACTTCCTAGCCTAAAACCAGCGTCGTCGAGTTGTCTACAAATATAAGTCGTCGATACTTTCTGTCTTTAAAATGCCTTCTTTGGACAGTATTTTTTACCGTCGTTATCTTAATGATGCTAACTACAAAGTGATAAAGTGTATAGAAGTTAATTGAGAAAGTTCTTTCATTTGTAACTAAGATAATCTATGCAAAGCTGTCTCTAATCGTATTTTTGGCTCCGCAAAGGCGCTAATATGCTTCCTAAGTTGACGAGTGACAACATATAAACAGGTGAATTAGAAACGTTTTTTCATTAGTGGCTAATAATATCTATGATAAACTCTCTTCAGATCGTATTTTTGTATTGCAAAGTCACTTGATTGCTTTCGAGTTTGGACATATCCTTATTTGGATATGAAGATATTTAACTTGTCGGAAACAAAGACATTCCCCCGGTAATTAATAGACTACCGCGGTATAACGTAAACGTTAATTTCTTTCGATATTGCAAATTTCCTTTTTTTTTTCTAAGAATGTTGAGTAATTCATAGCGGTTACAGTAGTGTTAAAAAAAATATAACCTGTAAGCTCAGGTTCCTGTTATTCTCTCGTGTCTGCCAAAACTTCCAAAACTGAGAAACCAATTGATGAAGAAAGATGAGGAGTTTTAATCACGAATTTTATCATGTGCGTATTTTATGCTAAAACATAAAAGCAAGGCCGCTATCCAGTGTCCCTGGTCATGTATCGAGTTCAGTGGATCACTGATCTCTGTATAATTAACTGGGGGAGCATTTCATTTGTTTTAGATAAAGTATTGCAAGGAGGATTTTAAATTTCAAAATGGCCGCCTAAAAACTACAAAATTTTGATATAATTTTGGACACAAAATGTCAGCCTTTCGTGCTTTGGGGCTTGATTTTTTTCTGAATTTTGGCAAGACGAGTTTCTTAACAAGAAGTGTGGTGCATTTCCATCACCATAGTAAGTGAATGCTTTCTAATTTTTCAACAAATTTACGATGATAAGAATTTAATAAGGAGCGATCATTTCATTTATTTGTAAATGATTATAGGGACTCGGAAGATAGCAGCATTTAGTTCATATTTTAGAACAAGGACACAATCAAGTTATGCTGGTAAGAATTGATATGAAATTGTAATGTAATTGTAATGTCCTTGTGTATTTCGGAAAGAAGCGTAATTTCCAAACTTAATTGTGTCTTCTTTCAATGCTGTCTTTATTTTGCAGGTTTAGCTAATAATAAAAAGTTTTTGAGCGGCTTTGAAGAGCTGCCCGAACTTGAGGGGTAAATTGTGATGTTTTCCTTGAATAGTTTTGCAATTGGATGGGCCTTGTCTAATCTGCTTCCGTTTTCCTTTTTTAGTGCAGATGAGAATGTGCGTCGAATATTTAGTCTAGATAATGCATCGCAACAACAGAAAAGAAAAGTGTTAAACAAGGAGTTGATGAAAGTTTGCAAAACTCCAAAAGAACGAGAGAGTATGTACATAGAACTTTGCTACCTTTAGGATGAAATTTTGTCCACTTGTATGGTTCAAAGCAGCTAGTCTTTTAAGATATGTTTTAACGCAATATCCTATTCCTTTAGTTGCAGAACAAACTATATCAATAGCAAATTTAGAGGAGCATCTACAACGAACAAGAAATAAGGTACGAAGTGTTTTCACAAAATGGTTTGAAACCAACTCATTTTATCAACTATCAAGTTGGAATTCCAACTTGTTCCAACTTCCAAAGTTTTCATCACTAGAATCTTGTTGGTAATTCCTTTGGTATATTTTTTAGGATAAGCACAACAAGGTGTTTCTCCAGTGGCTCAAAGATCAGAGAATGAAGAAGCTGAAAAGCATCAAAACATCGGATTTTGAACGTTACATAGTGCTCGTAAAACAACTTGACATTGAACCATTAGAAAGCACACATACAAAGTATGCCAAGTACAAATTTCGGAAGTTTAAAATTGGCGTAGAAATTAAGGAAAAGAGAAGCCTAGCTGTTCGGAAAACACCATCATTGACAAAGAAGATTAATTCTTAAGGATTTTAATTAAGAATATATGTATACAACTGCATTACTTTTATTACTGAAATTAACTGACAAGTAAAATCATCTGATATTAACACATTATATCTTAATTCAAAATTTCTCAATTTCCCTTGGGAGAACGCTTTCTCTCATCTGAATCATTTGCGATGCAATTCTTCTGTATCAGAAATAAATAATGGAAAGAAGTCAAAATTCAAAAGACTCATTCAGTCTCTTTGCACCTCATCTAATACGTGCTTTTAAGGTCTGTTCATACGATTCAATTTCGTCAAAACGAAAATCCCTTTTGATACATTTTTGTGGTCTGTCAACTTGCAATGGATATGGGAAGCAAATCAAGTAAGCAAAAATAGAAAACCGAAAATTATAGCTCATTCGATTGGAGTTATTTCTGTAGTGAATGATCGAATGGCTCGACGAATGCTTTTGATGCTTTCATTAGGAAAACAAGAGCTGCAGGGTTTGGATAATCGCCGACATCTCGCGTGCTAGATATACCACTGAAATTGGGCTCTGTGTAAAGGTCTAATCTGGTGTGTATCGAGATTACTACCTACTGTAGTTTAAGTCTGAACCATCTTTAGCAGGTATTGAAAGTTTTAAAAGTTTAATCATATTCAGGGTATGCCTTGCAACGTATTTACGTCCACCTGCAGTTCTATAATATTTTTGTAAAATACTGTATTACTGTATTTCATACAAATCATGACGGGGACTGTTTTTAAGAAGAATTTTGTTACAAAACGTAATTACAAAAGTAACAAAACTACAGAAATTGTTACAAATCACTACTTTCTCGTCCCAGGCTTCCGACCGTTACGATTCAGCATTGAAAATCCAACATGGCTGGAGCTCAGTTTGAATATGATGAAAAAGGAACAACCTTTTATTACTTTATCCTTTGTTTTTGCGCTTTAATTTTACTGCCGTTATCTTACCTCGCATTCGTACTAAACTCTGAAAAAGGTGAGTGAAATTTGATGGGGTTTAACGTTTTTTTTTAGTCATGTTTATGTGACGTATGAAATTGATGTTTCATAAAAGACTTTTTATTTTTTAATATCGTTTGAGCCTTGCTTTTGCGTATATTTTTGTTACGGAGAATCTATGTTGCCTTGTATTCATGCATACTTTATGTGATAGTTTATATGTTGTTTTAGAGGGTATTAAATAATTGAATCGTCGTATAGCAATAGCCTAAAGCTAATATTGTTAATGATTTTAAAACGTTTTATATCTTCAAGGCTTTAAAGTGTTTTAAATTTGTTGTTCAAATCTGCAATAACGACTGAAAATAGAAGCATGCTGGAATATAATGAAATTATAAATGATGACTTACTAGTTACTAAAGTATACTGGATTGACAAAGCTTTAAAGGGTTGTTGAGTGCATTTTCTCAAAATATTGTTTAATATAATTCTATGATGTAGAAAAAGAGAAGGATCAGTCTAGAGTGTGTCATTGTGAAAAATGTAATGAAAAGAGAGTGAAGAAGTCAAAACAAAAACCTAAAACAACATTTCTACGTATTGCAAGGTACTGTACTTAAAACAACACTGACTGTTGACTGTGCTACTGATGTCTCTGAAGGAAATACCATGGTCAGAGTTGTTCTATGCATGAATTAAGTCTGTTTTAATTTTAATTATAGACTAATCAGAACAGTTTGAGATGCATAACTACATATATCACATTATGAAATTTGCCTTATTCGGGAAATAAACGTTTTAATATTTTAAGCCCTTTTTTTGAAGGTAAATTAATTTTTTTAGTCGTATTGTTGTCGTCATCCTGTGGATAGCCTTGCTTTATGGTGTATATCGTGTGTCACAATTTGAGCGAGATTTCATTGAATATGATCCTTTTTCTGTGTTAGAGATAGACAAGGTAATGTACATGGACAACTAATGTCCAAGAATATAGATTTTTATCCCTACTATGTCCTTACCAAATCCTCACCATTTCCTCTTCACATCCTCACCATGTCCTCACCACATCCTATCCATGCCCTCACTACATCCCCTTCATGTCCTCGCCATGTCCTCAGCATGCCTTCATCATGTCCTCATCATGTCCTCACCACATCCTATTCATGTCCTCACTACATCCCCCTCTTTTCCTCTCCATGTCCTCACCATGCCCTCATCATGTCCTCTTCATCTCCTCATCTTGCCCTCACCACATCCTATCCATGTGACCATGTCCTCACCACACCCTATCCATCTCTTCACCATCTCACGTTGAGGCAAAGTACCTCACACAACTTCCTCGCACGTAGAGACATGACTCGACCGAGTTCACAGTTGAAGCATGTTCCAATTACATTACGTAACAGGGTGCAAGCGCTGCAGAAATCAAACGTCAATACCGCAGGCTCAGTATGATCTACCATCCCGATAAAGAAAGTGGGGACGAGAGAAAATTTATGAGAATTGCCAAAGCTTACGAGGCGTAAGAATTTACACTTGTTCGTACTCCTTGTTGAATGATGTGCTGTTTTGGAGTAAAATAGTTTGATTATATTGTACATATGTGCTATGTTCATAATATCATTGTCAATTTAGACTAACAAACGAAGAATCTAGGAAAAACTGGGAGGAACATGGCAATCCTGATGGACCGCAAGGTATGTTGCTGCTTCGTGTGTATTGCCACTTTTGGCACAAGACAGGGGTCATCCTAAGCTGGAGTTGCTACCACTTTTTGAAATTGTACGAAAATATCTGAAGAAATAATTGTATATTTACAGCTACCCATATATAATAATTTCCATCCCCAATTACGAAAAGTGGTAGCAACTCCAGCTTAGAATAACCTCTGGCACAGACCATCATCATTTTTCACCCTTGCGGTCCGAAATCGTATAGTTTTTACGCTTCTCTGCAATCTGACGAATTCGTTTTTCAGCAACAACATTTGGTATTGCGTTGCCATCGTGGATTGTCAGTGAAGAGAACTCGCTATTGGTAAAATTGAATGTTCTATGCTGGTTAATGTAAACACGCCCATCAGGGGGGGTGGTGTGCGAAACCTGGATAGCGCTATTCACCCGAGATTGCTTTTCACGTCGCACAAGAATTGTCCGTGGTTTTGCTAAACTGCTAGAAATGTATATTAAAATTACTATTTGTAATTGTTTAGGTTCTTGGTGCTTATATTTTTGCCTTCATGATCGTCCTTCCCGTTGTTGTGGTACGTTTTATTGTATAGTTATGTTTCACGAGCATTACACTTGAAACTAAAAACAGTTATACTGATCTATTAATCCACTGGAATAGCAGCTATTACTGACCAGAGATAAAGACTTCCGGGGACCCAGAACCATAGAAAAATACTATTTTACTGGCGTCACTATCGACGCTCGATTTTAAGATGGAAAGCGAACCCTTTACCGTCAGTCCATTAGCCAAAGTCTCTTCACAGGGGCCAGTTGTATAAAAGGCTAGTTAACTTTTAACTGTAGTTAAGGACAGAATTGGCCATTCAGAGTTGTGTATTTCTGAGTTAACTAGGATTTAACTATGCAAATGTAGTTAAAGAGTTTTATACAACCGGGCCCTGGTATCTTGTCAGATCAATGACAATATATCATTGTATCGTCTTAGGGTACCTGGTGGTATCGTTCCATCAAATACGGCAATGATCAGGTTCTAATGGACACCACAAAAGTCTATTTTCATTTCTTCTCAAAGACACCTTGTATGCCTCTGAAAAGTAAGTCAAATTCACGCCAGAGATCGTTTCTTTTTTCATACTCCGGAAGGAATCTAACCGCGCACATTATAAAGTTTAAAACCAGAAAATTGAGTTCCATGTGCAATAATCTTGCAGGAGTGATCATGGTCTTTTCTGGCTCGATGGAATTTGAGAAACGATACAATCAAGAAGTCCAGGAACGACCCAGTGACAATGTCGAACTTCCGAAAGTAATTATATCGATTTATACTGTAGCAATCAATGTGTAGCTATATATATATATATATATTGCTTCTAACATGAAGTATTGTGACGCTATATTTGTTATACTTCATGTTAGCAGGAATATAATGTTATGTAATGTTATATTATTTTTAGTTACTTCACGAGCTCAAGACAGTGAACGAGAATACTAAAGAAAGTCCATTTAATTATGCATTCAGCGTGAAAAGCCGAACCCTCATACTATCTCACATTGAGAGATTACCACTTCCCGAAGATACGTTACAAAAAGGTGGGAGCACGCCCGAAATCGTTTACAAAACTATGATCGGTTCAGCACCCACCTTCCTCTCAACTCCTTTCATTCTTGTCCCCTTAGATTTGGAGTTGATCTTAAAGAAATCGCCATTACTTATTCAAGAGATGGTCAACTGTATATCTCAGTTGTATTATTATCACAAAGCAGATGCTGGTGGTAAGTGGTTGGTGTAACATAGTAGCATCGCACTGCATGGTACGCCAGCTCCTCTCGTCTCAAAGTTTTATGTAGTAATTCCCAGTGAAATCTCGTGTCACCTGAGAACCACTATCTATTGGTGTATAGGACTTGATAAAACTCTCTTTGAAACATGCTTGTCATTTACGTGACTCGTGTTCCTGTTGAACTAGTCTGAAATGAAATGAAACTCACATGGCAATTACCAGGCAAACTATGAAATTCTAGGCAAACTTTGAATTACCAGGCAAACTAGAAATCGAGAGCGCTGTTCGTAGGTCATATCAGACTAAATGGCGGCGTTTTTCTTTCCAGTTGCAAAGGCCCCGCATTTGGACACCCTGGAGAATGTGATAAAGTTCAGCCAAATACTAACGCAAGCGACCAGTTACACGAAATCACCGCTTCTTCAATTACCACACATTTTACCCGAGCATCTGCGCTATTTCGCATCAAAAAAGGTGGGTGTATGTATACTTCCTGACTCGCGGATTTATTCTCATATTTTCGCTAGCTGTTCTATTAGTATTGCGATGAATTGCTTGTAATTTCATACGTTAAGACATTTGTTAACATTTGTTTAGAGAAATGTAAGAAACGTCTCAGAACTTTTGAAAATGAAGAAAAGTGACAGAAAGTAAGTTGGGAAAAAAGTCTACTCATTCAATGATTCACTGTGTGTGTGTTTGTGTCAATGCAACAGCGCTGTCAATTTCCTTTGCCCATCCATTACCCCGTCACATGTTGTTTCAGGGACATGTTGAGATTTCTCAGTGATGAACAGTATAGGGATGTTATGGTTGTTGCAGAAATGTTTCCACATATTGAAATGAATGTCAAACCTCATGGCAAGTTTGTTTATTTTGTTGTTTGTTTGTTTATTTGTACGATTCTCTGTTGGTTGGTTGGTTGGTTTGTGTATTTAGTTGTTTGTTTGTTTGTTTTTTTCTTTGTTCGATTCTCTGTTTGTTTGTTTATTTGTTTGATTCTCTGTTGGTTGGTTGGTTGGTTTGTGTATTTTGTTGTTTGTTTGTTTATTTGTACGATTCTCTGTTGGTTGGTTTGTGTATTTAGTTGTTTGTTTGTTTGTTTCTTTGTTCGATTCTCTGTTTGTTTGTTTATTTGTTTGATTCTCTGTTATATGGTTGGTTGGTTTGTGTATTTAGTTGTTTGTTTGTTTGTTTCTTTGTTCGATTCTCTGTTTGTTTGTTTATTTGTTTGATTCTCTGTTGGCTGGTTGGTTGGTTGGTTGGTTGGTTGGTTGGTTGGTTGGTTGGTTGGTTGGTTGGTTGGTTGGTTGGTTGGTTGGTTGGTTTTTCCAGCTCACTTACTTGTTTCGTTATTTGTTTGTTTGTTGTTTATTTGTCCGTCCGTTTGTTTGCTGGCTTGTCTATAACTTGATATCTTTACGTAGTAATGGATGATGAAGACGAGGGTGTCATCACGGCTGGAGCAGTCGTTACTGTCGATGTTCAATTAACAAGAAGCTCACTCAAGGTAGAAAAAGGACGTGAACAATCCACATTGTACACTATTGAAAATATGTTTTGAAATATCATCGTGAAAATATGTTTCCTAGAACGAGGAGAGTTGCCAGATGTTTTAAAATTTCTCAGAAATTTCTCAGATTTCTTAGAATTTGGAAATATGTAGAATCAGTAGGTTCTCATGAAGAAAATGGGAAATAGTTCTTGATTGTTTCTGTTTATTTCGGTGTCAGGAAGTGTGTTGTGATGGCGAGGACGAGGAAGATGAAAACCCAATCGACGAGCTTCCGCCAGAAGAAGACCATGTCGAGGAAGTAAAGGTTGGTTCCGAGAAATTCACGATGATGAAATCTGATTTTCCTCGCCCTCGGACAGGTTTTTTGTGACCACCAGTTGATGAGGTCGTTTGATTTTTATCCATCCAGAATGTAACTAAGAACAAGGTTTGGCAAAAAACAAAGAGGAAACCCAAGAAAACGAAGCCGGTGAAACAACAGCCGAAGAAGAAGCCCGTTAAACAAGCTGCAAAACAAAAGGACGAATCTCAGGTGAAGTGGTAATCAAGTGAAACCAAATCTAAATCTTATGGATTTATAAATAAGCCACTCTGTCAGCTCTGAACTCGTTTTCATTCTTGTATAGAGCAAAGATGAAGAGAGCAAGACTGACGGAGGAAGAGACGAGGCAAAGAGAGAAAGAAACGAACTACGGCAGAGAAGCCCTGGGAAAAGGGCGAATAGAAAGAAATCCGAAGATCTTGAAGACAATGATAATATAGAGGATACTGATGATATCGATCGCGATAATGATGAAGATCATTCCGATATTGATGATAACAGTGATGATAATGCAAGTGTTTCTGGGGGAAGTATCAGCGACAGGTAGCGTCACCTCCTGTATATCATTGTTTAACGGATTAGCATCGTCGATACAATACGATGTTATATTGATATGATTTCTCTAACAGTGAAGCTGATTACGATGATGATATTGAGTGGCAGAGAATGCAGGAAGGTGTGGAAAAAATGGAGAAAGTTCTGGACAACAAGCCCAAGACAAGCCATGACGTGCATGCTCCGTATTTCCCTGATGTGAGAATATACAATGTTATATCTTGATGCTCGAGACACAGAATACCCATCAGAGAGGCCATCACCCCCCGGCCAATATTTAAATAGTGCGCCATTTTAAACATTGGCGGGAGGATGATTGCTTCTATTTACGGTACTTGCTGAGTGACAACTCATGACGAATCACACTTATGCAAAAAACAACAGAGTTGTCTTTCTGATGGGTTTTCTGTGCTCGAGCTCTAACGGTTTTGAAATCCGAACTGCCTTTGTTATAAATTTATCAATGGCGTTTTGGCGATTAATCCCTAATCTTCGTGTTAGGATAAGCAAGAATGGTGGTGGGTCTACATCACTGACAAGAGAAGGCAGGAGATAGTGGCTGTACCCACGCAAGTCAACAACTTACAAGACACTGAAACAGTAATAATTAATCTTCTTTATTTCGCCATTGCCATTGAATGAGACACTGAATATGACGCTCGTCAATTCTAAACTGTTCTTCCTAAAGGTGCAGTAAGGATCATCTCTTATTGATCCAGTGTTACTACAGGAGGAAACCTAAACTAAACTAACTTTATTTATACTGGATAGCTCTATCAGTTCTAAACTGTTCTTCCTAGAGGTCCAGTTAGGATCATCTCTTATTGATCCAGTGTTACTACAGGAGGAAACCTACACTAAACTAACTTTATTTATACTGGATAGCTCTATCATTTCTAAACTGTTCTTCCTAGAGGTCCAGTAAGAATCATCTCTTATTGATCCAGTGTTACAAAAGAAGGACCTAAACTAAACTAACTTTATTTACACTGGATATCTGTGATCAGTTCGGCAAAGGTCACCTCTTAAAGAGTTTTTTCACTTTTTTTCCCAGGTAAAATTACAGTTTCAAGCTCCGGTAAAATGCGGCCATTATTCCTATATAGCAATAGTAAGATCTGACTCGTATATGGAAGTTGACGTTTCTAAGGTCTTCAAGGTAAGATTTTCGTAGAAAAGATAGTGTGTTTTATTCTTATTTTCTGGTCAGGTCAAGGTTAGATAAAGCAGAGCAGGGACCCATTTTGAACTTCATGCTTTTTCCAGATTGATGTGCAAGAAGCGAAGGAAATTGAGACTAAACAATGGGACTTTGATACGGATGAAGACGAAGATAAGGATAATGAGAGTGGTGAGAGTGAGTGGGACGAGGAGGAGAGTGATTGACACTGGGGAGGGGGGTGACAAGGGGGTGGGGGGAGATTTTATATGCAGGGTGGTTCGGGGGAGGCCATCCTCGATACATTCAGGAACGAAGTCATTGAATCAGTGAGAATGAAGACGTGAGTGAGATAAGGACACTCAGTGGGGTGGGGTGGGGTGTTAAATTCCACGTGACTGGCACGAGGTGCTTGATATATACAGCAATCCAGTGATTTATAGTCCCACGGATATTTCTTTCCAAATTGGTTTAATTGAGATTAGGTTCAATTTTGCGAACACATTTCCACTAATTCCGCCCAAACTAGGTAAGCCATTTCGAAAATCAGTTTATTAGAAAATGTAGTCGTTGTCTTAGTAACCGTATGTATGTTATGTTTGCCAGAGCCATTTGCGAAAAAATACAGAAAATCCAAACATTTTACTCAGTCGTTTGCAAGTTTATAAACTTTCGTCAATCAATCTGTCTCGCGTGTGGTATGCGAGGGAATCGTGATCTAAAAAGCGTTTAAATTTGCGTTGTCTCAACAATTTCGAAATGGAAATTTTTGGGGTTTTTTAAGCACGTCGAACTACAACAACTAGAATTGACTTATTTACATCGCAGAACGCTCTCGCTTTACTAAAATTAATTAAGAAACCATCCATGACCCAGAACTGAGTTGCGGTTCACTGGTTGAGCCCTTTTCATTAATTGGATTTGTTTTTGAAAATGGATTTTTAATGATAAATACATCATCTCAAGTATTTTTTGAAAAGGCAACTTAATTAAATTAGGGAGCCCGGTATGCTCGTCGCCATGGTTTGAAAATGCTTCCTTATATATTCCATTATTTCGAAAAGATCCATCCTCGGCCAATTATTATCTCAGGTAACCCAATCTCGAGGGGTTTCTCTGCAAAACAAACAAGCAAGTGAAAAAACAAATAACCACATCGAAAGCCAAGAAATCGCACACACGCACCTTGTGGGGTTCAGATATTACATTCTTCAACGCCAGTTTGGAAGCCAGTACATGAAGGAATTAGCGAAAAGTGCGTCTTTAGTTCCCATGCAGTTCAAAACGTGTTGAAAAATGTGCGCCCCCCATCTCTGTCATCGACATGCGACCATTTTGCAAGTCCATCAACAGCAAATTCATTTCAAAAACCACAATAATGTAGGCCTCATCTGACGTATCGATTTCACTGGAAGTTGATGAAACAAGCATGTCAATTTTAATGGCCTGTTTTCGTTTTATCTTGAGCTTTCCGGATTTTCGAGGTCGCAGGTCACTCGCGCACACACACACACGCGGTAAAATTGGCAATTGCCTGCGTTTGTCGAGTGTGCTGACGCTAATAGCGAGGGGTTGAATGAAACGAGAAGGATTTGTGGTGAGCACTTTATACAGTTCTGCTTCACGACGTGTCTGGTCATTTTCGCAGAGAGACATAAAAGCAAGCACAGGTAGCGCGCTGCACAGTATTTTATCAACACCGTATTTTGGTAAGTTTTTGATCAATTTTTTTTTTATCGTATAATTGCTCCTATGGTCAGAAATGGGCGAGAGATTGCCTTCCGCTGTGCGTGCTTCGCCATTAGACGACTGTTTTGAAACGTTTTTGTACTGTAAAGGATATATTCGTATAGACTTCACTTCAAACTTGCTATCGTATTGACTTTCTACAATGTGGTGTGGTGTTTCGTGTTTGAAATAACCTGTTTCAAACGCCAGGGTAAAATCCTGGCAATAAACTCAGGGTCAGTCCACGAAGAGGAGTTTTACTTCTTCTTTCGATAGACGTGACAGATACAGTGGACAAGTAACGGATGTTTAAATAAGAGCACTTGGCGCACATGCAGCATTCGTATATATTCACTCGTTCGAATCTGTCAAAAGAAGAAAATCGGCTCAAAAATCGCAAGTTCGAATATCTGCTTTTATATCCAGCTGGGTTAGTTTGGCTGATCCAGTGGAATTGACTAAAAGCTGTCGGCATCTTCAACCTTGGATCTTTGTGATCCAAGTGTACAAATGTCTTGTTGATTTTGAAATTGAAATTTTATCTGTGATTGGTACAATATACGCTAAATATCGTGGTGGATATTTGCGCATTTAGAAACGATTGGATTTCTTCGTTATTAAAGGCGTTTTTCGCCTGCCCCTAAGGCAGACGTCTTTTCTAACAAGAAACTATCCATAGGATCAAGCCCTCCATAAAGAATAAAATTGTTATTGAGATTGCAAAGAAAATTTAAAATCATCGTGATTGATAATTGTAAAGACCCGTTTACACTTGCGATTTTCTTCTTTCGATAGATGTGAACGAGTAATTATTAACGAATGCTCTGATGTATAAGAACTTTTATTTGAACTTCAGTAACTAATTCACTCGTTCACATCTATCAAAAGAGGAAAATCGCAGCAAAAATTGCAAGTGTATTAAACGGGCAGAAACGTCTCAAGTACTTCTGTTGGAGAATTTTTGTTTTACAACAGGAGATGATTATTTCATTCTTGTTTTATATGAAATATGAGTGGGTGTAGTCTCTGCGCAGGGAATGGTGCAAATTAAAACGGTTTTAAATTAATAGCATTGATAATAATAATAATTTAATAATTTGTCGTCAACTGTGGTTTCGTCCAAGTTTCTTCCGTCATAATAGTGGGATGAAAAATGATAGATTAACAGAGTTATCTTGTTATTGGGTAAAATAGGCTTAACGGTCGATTTAAATCACCATTTTTTTGGTCGATTTCAGCTTTTGCTTGATGTTAATGACGAATGTTGGTGGTTTAGGATGTCGTCATGCTGACGTTTGCCACTTATCTCTCAAATATCACGAAATTGCGACTAAATTGGCCTGACAAATCGCTGTGTGTGAACGCACCTTCATTTGAAGGCTCGTCTTTTACACCCTGCAATTTGTCAGGCCGTTTTTAGAAGCAACTGAAGCACGCGATGTATGAAAGATTTGCAAGAAACGTCAGCATGATAATTTCAATCATCTCTTCGTCTGCGAATGCTCAAATTCAGTTTCATATAAATCAAATTCGACTCAACGACAAATTGCAGCTTTTACTATTAAATGCCCGTCTGCACTTGGAATTTTTATTCAATTTTTCTTCTTTTGGTAGAGTATAAACGAGCGAATAATTGCGAATGCCTTAGTTTATATTTGTCTATATTATGTTTCTACATTGTTCTACATAACATATCCACAAGTTCACATCCATCAAGAGAACCGCAGCAAAACCTGGTGGTCAAAACTGCATTGAGTATAATAGATCGAATTCAGTTCAGATTTCCATTGCATCAGTGTTAGAAATAACTCCAAAAACTTCCCTTTCCCCACAGCAGACCCCTTCCGTGTTCTGCCATCAGACCCCCTCTCCACATTTCCTTCACCATATTCCATTAAAATCCGGGATAGCATTTTGACCTGTGGCACAAATGTTAATGCCATTATTTCTCTTAATCATATTAAGCTAACAACCGAGCATTAAAATACCCGTGGTTGTGTAAACAGCCATTATGACCAAATTGGGCGAACCCGACAAAAACAATATATTTAAACTCCAGGCAGATCTAAACGATTTGTTGTCTGTTCTGCGACGTTCTTGAAAGAGATGCCTGTTGGCTACTTGTCTTGGCTAGTACTATTGAGGAACGAATAACTTTAATCTAGTCTTATCTTGCACCCTAATTCTGCTTCGTATTTCTGGCACGACTGCCAAAAAGTAGATTAAAATGGAGGTGGATAAACAGATAGTGAAGTGTAATAAGATTGTTGGCCTGCGATTCAGCATTTCACTGATCAGATTATAACTAGGCTTTCACTAGGCGGAGAGTATTTCCTGTTGAGACGGTACCAGACTACGCAACCACCTATGGCTTTAAGCGCGATTGTGTCAACAAACAGATCTTGATCGTACCCTAGTATGGTATAGAAACCTTCTGGTTGTCACGCGAAGCACATCCTTACTGAATAAATCGCAGCGTCGCGTAGAATTAACATATATCGCGTGATCGGTTCGGCATCATCAAAGCTCTGCTCATAGACTCGTGAAATTCGGTAATCGGCCAGAACTCTCAGCGCTTTGTAATTCTTATCAAGCGCGTACATATATGTACTGTCAAGTTGTCATGTTTTCCAATCATCTAATAAAGGACAAGGTGAATGTTTCTTTCTCGATGGAAAGACTAAAGAGACAACTATTACCCACATAACGCTGTTTTGAAGAGACAATAATGGCAACCCTACATTAAAATGAAATATTGTCTAGACAAGAATTGATGTTTAACAGCTTTTCTTTTGTTCTGAACTCGTTCGCGAATAACCAATTTAATAGGGTCACAAAGTTAGAAGAGGTCATTACAATATAAAGTTGTTATAAACCCCCGCTAGCTACAGTGTTCAAGACGTGCTAAAACGCATCTGCCTCATCTGACAGAGGGAATAGTTTAAATTCGATTCAAACCAGGCATCGAGGTTCTTTCTCAACAGGATACCCGATCAAATTAAATCCTTAATTTTTTCCATCCACAACAGTTTTTGCGCATGCTGGGACGTCAAATCGTCTGGAGTTTGAGAGAATAAAATGTCGACGACTTAAACGAAAAAGTAAACTATTCGTGGATTAAAATTTTTTGGTCAAAGAAAGTTTTCACCATCAATTTTTTTTCATTAAGACACTGAAGTAGGCACCCTTGACGTGTTCATTTTTTACGTTCTATTTTATGCGCATATACATCGTCAAATCGAGGCATATTCCAGTCAACGGGAGCCAGAAAACAAACAATATATTTAAAACCCGAAGTCTTGAAATTCTGCTGACCGCTTTGTAATTGGATTGTGGTGTAATTTGATTTCGGAGCGGGTTTGTCACGGAAATTTATTTTGAATGTTTTTTCCGGACTTTACCATATACGAAAACATCGTATTAAAGACGATGAGAAAAATACGAAAACTAATCTGAAATCAGTCGACGAGTTGGCAGCAACTGCATTAATGCGTTCCCATAACAATGATAAGAAAATAATCGGTCGAGATAAAAACCGAGGATTTGAGTGACAGCAACGTTTAATAAACTGTTGTCGTCCAGAGTCCGAAATGAAAGAAATGGCTAGTTTGATCCAATGTTATTACTAAAAAATGCAAGGTATTAAACGAATTTCGTTCAAATATAAGTGGGTCTATATCAATTCTAAACTGTTCCACTTGGAGGTAGGCCAGTTTAGAATAATCCAATCTTTAATGGCCTGTGATCCAGTTATGCACACAACCATTTCAATGCTATAGGAAGACGCAAAACTGCCAAACTCAATACGCCAGCATTATGAACATGCTTAAAGCACAGTTTCAGTGCAGAGGCTGAAAACGAAGTGAAGAAATCCAGGCATCTATAAGCTGTGCAGACTGATTCGAATACGAAACGCATTGCGCAAGAGAGCTATAGATTCGTCTTGTCCAGTTACATCACAGAATAATCAAATCGATATTAATTAGCAACTCTTGTTAATTAGAGTTCAACTATGTGTCACTTAAAATATTTGCCCTACGAAATACGTCAGCGTCCAAGCGATTCATTTTTTCATCGTCTGGGTGTAACAGCCTTTCGTATACGATTTCTGGAACTTCGGAGTCAGGATCATTCCATTGTAGGCAAAAAAATACGTCAACTTTAACGACGTTGAATGAAAGTATGCTTTGAGCGTCACGTTGTCGTGCTAATATAAGTATAGCAATCCTGTACTTGTAGGCTTAAATATCTCAAGTGCAATAGGAAATAAACCAATTGAAACATGTAAATTGATCTTACGCCTTTTTATATTTTCAGACGAACGGACGAAAGTACAACTGACGATTTGGCAACAGCAGAAACTTTCTTTATTTGGAAAAGTAGCAGTTTACAAATTATTGTCGCAAGTTTAAGGTAGGATGCATGTATTTGAAGGAATTAAAGATCTATATTAAAAAGGAACTAGTATATAGCCTAAATATATATATAATTAATTTGTGTGTGTTTTTGTATACTTCTTCAACATTTTTTTCTATTTTTTTTCTCTGTTTATCTAAAGTTATACCTCTATACCGTTATTATTCTCACTATAGTAAGCAAGTAAGATTCTCGAATCATCTGAGCCAGTTTGTAGTTGGTAATTCTCATTACTCGTCCGTGTTTTGTGTTTAAACTGCCTGAAAAATACCACAAAATATCGTATTACTCTACAATGAGCTGGTATGCTTCGTGTCTGAACTACCTGAGAAATCTCGATTCTATATTTTACATTTTATATTTCTGATGCGTTGTGTCATATTTTACTGAAAAGATTAATGAAGATATCGCTGTTGAAGTTCCTTCCTGCATGTGATACGTTTAAGATTCGATCTTTCTTTTTTTTTGCACGTTACGTCAGTATTCTTAATAATCACATGCAGTAAGTCATTCGCGGATAACTTTTATTATTCCTGTGATACTACCGAAGGAAACGAAAACTTAAAAACTAGTTTTACATTATTAATACCGGATAGCTCTATCAGTTCTAAATTGTTCTTCCTCTACTGGCCTCTAGGCCGTCCAGTATCCATCATCTCTTATTGATCCAGTGCTGACCTAAACTAAACTAACTTTATTTATACTGGATAGCTCTATTAGTTCTAAACTGTTCTTTCTAGAGATCCAGTAAGGATCATCTCTTATTGATCCCGAGCGTTACTACATGCAGCAGGAAACCTAAACTAAACTAACTTTATTTATGCTGGAAGCTCTATCAGTTCGAAACTGTTCTTCCTCAGTCTTACTACAGGAGGAAACCTAAACTAAACTAACTTTATTTATACTGCATGGATAGCTCTATCAGTTCGAAACTGTTCTTCCTAGAGGTCCAGTAAGGATCATTTCTTATTGATACAGTGTTGCTACAGGAGGAAATCTAAACTAAACTAACTTTATTTATACTGCATGGATAGCTCTATCAGTTCTAAACTGTTCTTCCTAGAGGTCCAGTAAGGATCATCTCTTATTGATCCAGTGTTACTACAGGAGGAAACCTAAACTAAATTAACTTTATACTAGATATCTCTACCATTTCTAAACTGTTCTTCCTGCCAAATCATGGTATTCGTCTGGTTTCAACTAAAGCACTCCTCAGCTCTTAATAGATATCAGACAACTACGTATTGCAGGAATCTAAACAACGTCACAGAGACGGAAAAAGACTTATCACCACAACAACAGTCTTAAAATAATCATATTAGCATTTAGCAAGCACCCTATATAGGGAAGATAATCAGACAGGGCTTCTCGTATGAAGCTTGCCAATTCCTCAGATTTCGAGGATTAAACCTTTTGAAGTTCATCCCGACCGCACGAAGAGTTGTTTTGACTGTTATTAGGCAATGTGTTTTAACAAATAATCATGCCACGACTGTCTTGAGATAGAAAATGCTTCATTTAAACCATGCATTTGTCTTCATTGTGCGAGGACTTCTTCGCGCTAACTATATTTCAAGTTCTATACTTACACCATGGAAATATTGACCTGCCAAGTATCCTAGGTCAATCGTACTATATCATGTGGTCCAGTGGCGTAAAAATGCACAAGTCTTGTTGTAAGCTTGTGAACAGACTTGCTACAAGATATGATATTTTTCACGTATAGCCAGCCTATCGATCTTGTCATGTAATGCAGATTTTAGGTGATCATTACTCATTTCTGTCGGTTTTCACCGTCAGTGAACACCAAAATATTACCAAACCAGGGCTAAACAGTGAACTCTATATAGAGTTCACTGGGGCTAAATCGATAGGCTGGCTACGCCACTGATGTGGTTTGTTTAAAAATGGAAATTGTGACTTTTTTAAGCTCAATATCGACTTGTCTTTCTCTTGTCTTTCTCTGAGGTGTCAATCATGCTGCGTCGTTTGGTCGGAGTTTTTGTTGCTCTATTTATTGCTGAATGTTACTGCGTATTGCCTCCACGTAAGAATTTGATATAAAAATATACCCACGATATCTTAAATCGGTTTTCCACTGGGCGGAATTTTTCGACCGAACGAAATTTTTCGCTCGATTTTCTTTTCAATTGTGAGAATTCGACCGTAGCGGATTCCCTTCACCTGTCACAATTGAAAAGAAAATCGAGCGAAAAGTTTCGTTTAATCGAAAAATGTGAGTTGTTATTTTTTGCATGCGAAAGAGCAGGGTTGTTTGTTTAAAACTCACATTGCAAATACTCAATTGTCAATTTTAAGATGTATTTTTCAACCGTGTCATTGTTGTTTTCTACCAGGCGGTTATTTCACGAGGGTTGGACGCGAGAGATACGGCAGTGGCAGCGGTCCTGGAAACAGAACTGGTGAGAAAATGCTGAGAAGAAACAGACATATTCCGTTTTTCCCTTGATCAAAATATGTATGAAATATTTTTCTCTTATATAGATTTCAGAACTTGGCTTGAAAGCCAGAGAAGGGACGAAGATGATGGCAGTGCTGGAAGTATATTTTTGTTTTGTTTTATTTTGTACCCATCAAACTATCATTTAAATAAAAATTGACCAGCTCAAATTATTTAACTAAAGTCATGGTTTGTTAACTTTAATCGTATAATCATTACTTTATTGTATATTTTAAGGTGGTGATGGTGATGATGATGGCGAGGCCACTCCAGTTCCTTTAGGTAAAAATCGTTTTCCAAACATGCATTCAATAAGAGACTAGAAATACATTGCATGCAAAGTCCCCTCGCCTGAAGCAATAAACATATATTTCCATCACTGAAATTCTATAATACTCGTTTCTGCTGAATGATCGAATTCGTAAAGTAAAATGCTATATCTGGGTACAATTATACAGTCGACTCTTGAGCTATCAAATTCGACTATATAATCATAATTGTGCTACGAATAGTTTGAAATACTGCAATATTCAGCGAAATTTCAATTACTTTTTGAACAGACTCGCCTTTAAAAATAAATGCCTTCCAAATCAAAATCATTTCAACAAAATTGACGAATAAATTCAAAGAGGTGTCATACATTTGTTGATAAAACCACATATTAAACTTACAAAATACTTGCATGCTTTAAAATACAAAATCTACCCATTTACCTGTTCAAAAATACTTTAAATATGCTTCAAAATCGTAGTTTTTTTACCATCCATTTGAATGAAAGTTTTTCTATCCGAAGGCATCTTTCACATTATATTTTATTCAATTTTACGTATATTTTTAAGACCATCCAAATGAAAAATATTATTTAAAAAAAGTTTTATAATTCAAAATATCAGTTATGCTGACGTGTCCCAAATTTTAATTTAACCAATCGCACGTTTGTAAACGTTTGCTAGTTACCAGTTTTAACTCGTCTTAAACCCACGCATGCGCATAACTTACAAAAACGCCCAACGTCCATGACATAATGGCGGACAACTTTCATTTCGCATTTGCATTCCCGGGCGGAATTAGTACCCTCGCCCGGTGCTTCGCACCGGCTCGGGGATGATCCTTACTGGACCTCTAGGAAGAACAGTTTAGAACTGATAGAGTTATCCAGTATAAATAAAGTTAGTTTAGTTTAGGTTTCCTCCTGTAGTAACACTGGATCAATAAGAGATGATCCTTACTGGACCTCTAGGAAGAACAGTTTAGAACTGATAGAGTTATCTAGTATAAATAAAGTTAGTTTAGTTTAGGTTTCCTCCTGTAATAACACTGGATCAATAATAGATGATCCTTACCGCATCTCTATAGAAAGAATTATCTGAAATATCTAGTTCAAATCGACAATTTATTTTTCAGACAACGATTGTGATAAAATGATTGATATATCATTCATTCTGGATGCCTCAGAGAGCATTGGTCCTATCGGCTTCCGATTGATCAAATCTTATACAAAGAAAATCGTGAACGAACTTGATCTGTCAGATTGTGACAATGTCGGTGTTATCAAATTCTCGGATTACGTGAGCTCGGAAACGTTTCTTGGAACGCGTGACACGAAATCAAAAATGTTTGCGCGGATTGATGGCTTGAAAGACCCAGAGAAGCTCGTCCGCGATGAAGTAAACAAATCGAGAATTCCTTTAGCTTTGTTTTTCGCTGACGAATTTGTGTTCACGCGTCAGCTTGGGTCAAGACCAACGTCTAAAAAGGTATGGGAAGACCTCTAGGAAGAACGGTTTAGAACTGATAGAGCTATCCAGTATAAATAAAGTTAGTTTAGTTTAGGTTTCTTCCTGTAGTAACACTGGATCAATAAGAGATGATCCTTACTGGACCTCTAAGAAGAACGGTTTAGAACTGATAAAGCTATCCAGTGTAAATAAAGTTAGTTTAGTTTAGGTTTCCTCCTGTATACATAGTAACACTGGATCAATAAGGATCCTTACTGGACCTCTTGTGAAGAGGTAAAATCTTGACTCAATCTCAGTATATAGTGCTGATGACAGACGGTAAACAACCAGAACACGGAATTTCTAACCGAAGTCTGACCCTCGAAATTTTGGTGAAACGATTGACCAAGAAGGACATCAATATCATGGTGGTTGCGATAGGAGAAAATCCCTCCTATGACGAGCTTGCCAAATTCACAAAGCAACGGAATATATTTCCACAGCGACGGTTTAATGATCTATTGAACCATTTGGTGCCCAAAGAAAGTAAGTTTTTATGACATTTAATTGCGCGCACTGCCCAAAAACTCTGTGGCAAAAAGGACTGATTGATAAGACTCGTTTATAGTTTTTCTAACAGTTACCAAGAATTCTAAACAGTTAACCTCGTTCAATTCAACACCTTGTTAACAAGTTAATGTTAATCCTAAGGCAGATCCGATCTGTAATGCCCTTTTTTTCAAACTTAGATCATTTCCTATTTTCCAGCTCACCCAAATGGATTAAACAATATGGCCACGGATTTCTTTGTGGAGGAGGAAACCCAAGCAGATGAAATAAATAGCGACAACTTTGGGAACTAGGAATTTCAAGTTCTTCTCAAAGTTATTTCATACATAGACAACCTGAAGTGTATCTCAGTCAGTAATGAGTCACAATGCGATAATGTGTATCTTGGTGTAATTAGAGACAAACAGACAATTCGTCTTTAAATTTTTGTATTTCAGAATATATATAAAAGGAAATATATATAAATTATAGCTGAAAAAGTTTAAAATATCTGAAAACAAAACGATTAATTTAATATCTACAGTAAACACGCGAACACGAAGCGTACCTATTTTTCGTACATTTTCTAATTTTGAGCGATGGAAAAAGGCGAAGTCCTGGGTCAGCGCGGTCAGAAGTCAAAACAACAACAAACATTTTGAAAGTATTTTGAGAAGAAATCGCGCCAGATTCATCATTCGAAAGAAATTCAAGCGTTTTTGTCATAAAAATGAATATTTCTGCAGAGGAGGACCCTGATTTGCGTGATCTAGTCGCACATACGCTGGAAAACAATGGAGTGCTTGGAAGAATTAAGGTAGATTGTTCATTGTCTCCAGTAAAAGTTCACATGTCTTCATTGTCTTGTAGCCTTGTCCTTGTACCAATCATTTATATTCATATGGTAGCTACAATGCCTTTAGGTAGACCATTTCATGCTAGTAAACTCGTGAAACTTGCAGCATATTTTTCGTCTTTCTAGGCTGAATTGCGAGCAAATGTGTTTATGGTGTTAGATGCTCATGACAAAAATGAGATGGTATGTGATTTGATTATAACCTGGCTGTGCAACAACTAAGGCTTAGCTGCCGATTTTAAACTTGTAACATGCATTTGCAACTATCCCTCTCTGCTAGAACCAACTGCCATTTGTCAATGAGAAGCTCAAGAATTTTATAAACACCAAAGAAGGTACCAAGTTGATCATTCCCAGCTTTGCAGCATTTGTGAAGCATTTTAATGTAATCATAATATTATTAATGCCAGGTAATTGGTGATGGTATGTAGATCCAATAGACCTTTTTCATAATGACGTCAAACGCGGAAAGTCGGATGTTACACAAAGTTTGATTGGCTCGATAGTTTCGTGGAGCCAATCAAACTTCGTGTAACATCATACTTTCCACATTTGACGTCATTATAAAAAAGGTCTATTGCGTTTGCATGTCTTGCGTTGAGATTGTATGGAAAATATGTTTGCTTTTTAGGTCGTCTTGTGACTGGTTTAGTGAAAGAGTTTTTAGAATTTTTTGGTTTGGAGTATTCACTGGCTGTGTTTGACCCTGAGACTGGCTTTGTGAGTATATTATTGTATGATATACAACTGTAAGTTGATTAAAAAAGAGTTCATTCATAACCATGTCTCTACTGTCTACTTAGGGTGATCGCTACCAGGGCAGAGAAGGTTTAGCAGAAGATCTTAATCTTAGTAATGTGGTCAATAGTTCTAAGCCAGTCATATCCTCGCTCCTTGAAAACAATTTACAACCTGCTATGCCAAAACTTGATTTGGGATCTATCACTGAGGTGTGATATACAATTAATTTTACCATATGCAGAACCAGTAATATTTGTAGTTATTATAGTCAACCTATGTTAGTAGTTCACCCAGCTGTCTAATGACCAGGAGTTTTAACATGTGAGCTAGGCTGAAGTACAGTACCTCCTATGTTTCATGTCTATCAATAGGATATACTGAAGAAAGGTCGTGTTAGTCCAGAAATATCACCAAGATCAGTGTCCTCTGGGAGTAGGGTGAGTGAATTTTATCACTGTATCAGGTAATAACTTATTGATTAAAAGATTTCCCCATCCAGCTGTGATTTTTGTGGCAGTTGATGGGCTTTTAGCTGCAAGAAAAGATGGAAGGATTTTACCCTACACTGTATTGTTCCTTTAAAATGTGTTTATTTATGCTTTACTGTGGTGTATGAATTTCAGAACAGTAGTCCAAGAATGAGCAGGATTCCTCAGCGAGTGAAAGAAAAGAAAAAGACAGAGAAATTGGATAAGAGTGAAACGAAAACTCCTAAAGATTCTGATAAATCTCTTGATGAGGAATTGAAATCTGGGGGCCTCAAAACAGGGTCAGTAAGAGCTGATTTTACGTCTCTCACGGCAGGGTTAAATAAGCTACTGTACCAGGTTTAATAAGCTGAAGTGATAAACAAAATTTGCTCAATGCATTTGAACAAATTCTGCTTTTTCTCAAGGAACTCCAGGAATTCTGATTTGAGTGTTAGTTTAAACGATGATGATATCTTGGCGGAGTTTACAAAACCACGTTTAACTTCATCTAAAGACAAAGCTAGCACCGAGTACGTACGAAATACGATGTTAACAGTATTTATGAAGGCAACTAGTAATAACTAAAACTCTCTATTTTTTACGTTTCAGCGGAAAGAAAGGATTCTTACTAGGTACTGTGCTTTAGTGGGCTTCTAGGAAGAACAGTTTAGAACTGATAGAGCTATTCAGTATAAATAAGAACTGATAGAGCTATTCAGTATAAATAAAGTTAGTTTAGTTTAGGTTTCCTCCTGTAGTAACACTGGGTCAATAAAAGATTATCCTTACTGGACCTCTAGGAAGAACAGTTTAGAACTGATAGAGCTATCCAGTATAAATAAAGTTAGTTTAGTTTAGGTTTCCTCCTGTAGTAACACTGGATCAATAAGAGATGATCTTTAGTTGAGCAGAGCTGGGCCGGGTTGGTAACTCAGCAGTAGCACCATCACATTATATATTTTCGAGTATTCTCTGTGTCATAGATGAGAGCACAACACGGCCATCCTTTGAAGAATCTTGGCTTCATACTGGCAAAAGTAGTTTACCTTCTCTGAAAGATAGATCATTATTATCAGGTGATTTACTGGACGAAGCTGTTGAGAATCTCCCTTACCTTCAAGATTGCATTCCGTGCTGCATTCACCGACCATCTTCTCGTGTTTTACATGCTATATTGCGTCTTAGGTTCGAAAGATCTTGCAGTGTCGTCAGGTTCTGCGGACTTCAAGGAACTAGAAGAAATTGATCGTCGAATAAACGAACTGGGTTTCGGCAAGTGTTTAATCAACTTCTTTGTTTTTAAGGTGGTTTATAGACTCGTTTTTCCACGTAGTTTTTGATATATTGCTTGATAATCGCTTCAGGTGTTCCAGCGGAGGACAAAGCTTCAAGTCAAGGTGACGATTATAACGACAGCTATGCCGATGATTTTCATCCAAGGTGAAATATATGAAATAATTCATATTGGTTTATTGCTTTATGTTCAAAGAATCGCTTGTATATGATTGTTCCTACATTAATAATATAATCCACTGTCTGATTTTCACAGCACACATAGTAATAATTCAAGTATTCCTGAAGAGATTGATCTTGGAAGCTTCAAAAGCGATCATAGCAAGGTAAGTAACTCTTTCTCAACCTCGCAAGCCAGGCTTTTCTACCTACACTTTGCGGCAGAAAAGCCTTGCTTGTGAGGTTGACTCTTTCCTCGACCTCTTGCAACTAAGTTGCTACGATTATTTAATTCAAGGTCCGCTACGATCATGTTTCCATTGTAGACAGATGACTTGGTAACGTCGGATAGGACCATATCTCCTGAGCCAGTGGATTTTAAAGATCTAGATTATAGTGAAAATGTTAATTTTTAACTGATATTTATTCTGTATATATGGCTGTGAGCCTCTGTATATTATTTTATGAATAAATATTTTTATTTCATATACTTGTGCAGTGTTTAAATTATTTGTTTAAATTTGTTATGTTAAAATATTCCCATTCGGTTTGGCTACTCTAGCTGTCACATCTTCGTTAAGACTTTGCTACAACCTTGTTGCAATTTTGTTACAACTCTGTTACAACTTGTTACAAATTTGTTACATCTTTGTCGCAACCTTGTTACAAATTGTTGCAATTTTGTAACATTTTAATCCAGTCAACGAGTACAGATCAGTGGGAGGTACTACGATGCACGTGTGTGTAAGATCCTATGTTTTGGACAGCTTCAGACCACATTTCTATCGATATTTTTGCAAAATTAACTGCCTGAAAATGCCTCGAAAACGTAAGGTATGTCGCAGATCCTTTCTTTATCTTGCACGTTATCTTCTACACCCGCATTACAGTGGAAATGTCTTTATAAGAAACATTCAGTATTCTGTGCATGGTGTTTTTTAAAAACATACAACTTTACACGACAGTACAGCTATTGTTCTGGGTAGTATTTTACGGTGCATTATGTGAATTTTCAGGTAGAAGAAGATACGAGCAAGAAAGATACAAAAAAACAGAAAGTTATTGAATTCAGAAAGGAAGAAAATCGAGAAATAAATTCTGAGGTGATGCATCATGCATAAGGGTAACAATTAATCCTGCTGCATGCTTCCAATCTTGGATTGGAATAAAGACAATTTAGACACACAATACACTATTTACTATTATTGATTGGAAATTTTTATTGTCAATAATGTAGGAGGAACCTTCAACCTCGAAGAATCCATATAAATTACCCAAAGTCGATAAGTATGCATAGTGTGCTCTTGTACAGTATATCCACTAACCTTATATTTAACTTGTGTATATTTACTCTCTTTGACAATAAAATAACATATTTGAATGCAGATCTTGGAATATGAAAATTTCATCTTGGAATGTCAATGGTTTGAAGGCATGGATACAGGTATGCACTAATGCACAACTCACAAGGCAGCATTTCAAATAATTGTTTCTCTTTTTACACACTACAATCAGACATCTCTAACACTTTCTTTCTTCATTTGTTAAAAAGAAAAGTGACTCTTTGAAATATGTTAGAAAGGAAGACCCAGATATTTTTTGCATTCAAGAAACGAAATGTGATGAATCAAGTTTGCCTAAGGTCATGCAGGCTTCAACATTCTTTGAAGTATTACTTTTGCAAAGTAGCAAAACATATACTGTATGCACATGTAGCTTTTGAAAACTTATTTATATGCATAGTATTTGTAGTAATGAATGTACATTTCTTTTTCAAATAGGAGGCAAGTTTTCCAGGTTATTTTTGTTACTGGGCTAACAGTGAAACAAAGGGTTACAGCGGTGTTGGGTAAGTGTGTACATGTGTGTGCATGAAAGGTCTTATTTACCATCAATCAATGATCAATCTTGTACAATGTTATTAATATCTTGTAGACTTTTTTCAAAGAAGAAACCAAGCAAAATTACTTATGGAATAGGTACAGTATGAGGTGATTTATATCTGGATGGTTGTCATCGCATAGGTTTGTGATAAAGTTTCCTATCTATTGCAGGCGTATCGGAGCATGACAAGGAAGGGCGTGTTATCACAGCAGAGTATGAACAGTTCTTTTTGGTTACATCATGTAAGATTAATAAAACATTTTTTCTGATAATGACACGTGCCTCTTTTACAGACCCCTCCCTAACACAGACTGACTTCTCTCTAATATAGACCCCTCTCTAACATCGACACTCTCTTATACAGACCCCTCCCTAATGCAGACCCCTCTCTAATATAGACCCCTCTCTAATGTAGACCCCTCTCTAACATAGACACTCTCTAATACAGACCTCTCTCTAACATAGACACTCTCTAATACAGACCCATCCTTAATGCAGACCTCTCTCTAATATAAACCCCTCTTTAATTAGACACCGCTCTCCTATATAGACCCCTTTCTAATGCTGACACCACTCTAACAGCATCCCTATAATACTACACCTCTCTAATACAAATACTTATATAATACAGGTCAATAAAAAATGTCCTTCATTATTGTATTTCTTACAGACATTCCCAATTCAGGTCAGGGATTAAAAAGGTGATATATTTTACTCAACAGTTTATGTCACTGCTGTAGTTGCAGAATAACTTCTTTCTTTTTGAAAATTATCTTTCTTTTTCCAGACTAGACTACCGTCAAACATGGGACAAGGCTTTTCGTGACTATCTAAAGAAGCTGGACAACACGAAACCAGTCATACTTTGTGGAGATCTCAATGTTGCTCACAAGGAAATAGGTTGGTCTTCTTTGGTCTTCTTAGTTTGAAATCATCAATCTGATTGTTTAATGTTTTGAATGAAAAGTTGTGCAATATCCCAGATGTGATTTTACATCAACTCTGCTTCACTATGATTTTAGATTTGACCAATCCAAAAACTAATAAAAAAACAGCAGGTTTTACGAAAGAAGAACGCGAGAACTTCACAGTGCTTCTTGAACAAGGTTACGTTGACACCTATCGCCATTTTTATCCTGACAGAAAGAACCAGTACAGTTTCTGGTCATACAGAGGAAATGCTAGAGAAAAGAATGTAGGATGGTAGGGAATTACTTCATTCAAAGCTGAACGTTATTTTGATATTGGATAGTTTTTCAGTTCTAAACTGTTTTTCCAAGAAGTCCAGTAAGGTTCAGCTTTAATGCTCTAAATGTCTTCCATACAGGCGCTTGGATTATTTTGTCGTTTCTGAAAGGTTCTTGCCTAAAGTTGTGCATAGTTTTATACGAGATGACATTATGGGCAGCGACCACGCTCCGGTTGTTATACTGTTGTCCATTTAAAAGAACAAGACATTGTTTCAACTAAAACCTCAGGACGTTTAGGGAACGTGGAAAACTGTTCAAATTAATGGTAAGCTTGTTTTAACGAGACACTAAATTGATATTTTATGTTATACATAAGAAAGAGACTTATATGTTAATAGGGTTTATCATTGCTATGGTATGGCTTAGTGGCTTATAATAATAGAATGTAGATTTTGTATCTTGTGTTAGTTTTCTTACTGTGTCTTCTCTCTCTGACGCAATTTCTACCAGGATTTAAACACTCATTAACATTGATGTACAAGAAAACGCGTGTTCTCCTGTGTTCTCAACTCTCATATATTTGTGTGCAACTTTTTGTCTAAGCGGCTTTTTCTCCTGTTATGAACTTATGATAAGTTCAAGAAATTATGGATCTATATTGAATCTATGGATCGAGCACGTGTCTGTCAACTACTACGATCCCATCGGATCGGCAGAAATACTTTGACAAATAGTTTGACTAGAAGTAGGTAATCAGTGCGTTTGACTTAATTTTGTTCGTGCTATTTGTGGCTCTAATCATAATGGACATAAGCTTTTGTGTTTGTTAAAACCTTTATTCTTCTTCACCTAATATGAAGATTTGAAGACGTGTAATCGCAGGTAGAATTAAAGAATGATTGTAATGTAATGTGGGTGGAATGTCCTCTTAGAGGCTCAGTTTACTGATATAGCTAGTCGTTCAGAAGGTGAGAGGGAATAATCTTTCTGACTCTCTAGCTTTCGTGTGATTCTCGCTAGACTTGCCTAAGTCCGGCTCGCAGTGTTTTAGGCTTAGGAGTGGTGTAGTGAAAGTCTAGATTCTCTCCTGCGCGTTTTTAATGGTAGAACTAATGGTCCAAAAAGGATCATCTCTCTTGCTAAGGAATAATCCTAAGGAATAAATTCGTGTAATTGGGAATTACTGGACATGAAATTATCGCCGATGATGGTATCTGTGGTACCACCTTCGATTGAACATTCCTGGTAAAGATCGTTCACATGTATGATCACACACTAAACGATTCGATGTACTCCGAAAATTCAGTCTGCGATAAAAATCAATTCAATTGTCATTGTGGATGAACTACAGTGGGCCGTAGTATCAGAAATCATGATTATTAGATTATACCACATTATACCATTAAAATACCGGAAGTACTTAAACCATTGTGCTAGACCCAGTGTTCCAATCATAGAATCGCGCGGGTGGAGAACTTTACACAACATCTCAAAATATCCTTGTTATGGTCTGGTTGGAACAAAACATGACTTAAAATCGAAAGTTTTAATAATATTTGCGCCATGGCTTCTTTGAATATCGAAAATTGGACTCCTAGTAATGTCGCCGAGTGGATAAAAGGTATGAAAGTGGGCAAATTCATGGCGAAATAGTACATTTACTAGGTTCAAAATAGCGCCTACAATCGTATTGAGCTAAAGCAGAGTTGTAACAATGTATTCACGATTTTTGACTACAAAGAAACTTGCATTTTATATCCTGGTTTCCAAATCAGTGCACTGTTTAAATAGATCTCAATTCACGACAAATAAATGGCCTTGTTCTTTTTAATTAAATTCGCATGTAGTGGAATTCAGGCGATTTTAATAATGAAGAATGATAAATTCTGAACTTTGAAGTCTTCACAAAGTCTTGTTGGAATGCCGCTACACTTACAAATCGACATATTCGTCTGGATTACGGCCTGAATTTGTAAACAAATCGTTTGCCAGCTACAAAGAACCCTTATTTATTATTTGTACATCCATATGGCGAAAATAATTAACGATAAACTGTAAAATAGCTTTCAAATCGCAAGATGGTTGGCAGGTTGAATCGATCATGTAAAATTCGAAATTTTCACATTGTTACAATTCATTCTAGAACGCGACCACTGCTTCTATTTTTGGGGGGTAAAATTGCGTCGATAAGATGCAAAACGATCCTATTTTCTGTTTAAGTTCGGAATTCAAATTAATATTTCAACTCTGCGCTTAATTGAGGTGTTACACAAGTCCTTTAATATATGGACCGCAAGCGTTTAGGCTACGTCTAAGCCTGTTTTAGTAATGGGAAGAAAAATTGCGTTTGTTGTAAATTAATTCTTCTTGTGTTAAACTCAACATGTACAATACAAAAGTAACCGTATTACGCGTGTCGTCATTCTATCGCACAGCGTTCTCCCACTTTTCGTCTCTGCTATTGAAATGTAAAAGACAAGTCGACAACAGCAACAAATATGATTGTCTTTATGATGGAATTATATTGGCCCTGTGAACCGCCCTTTCATGCTCTTATTATAGAATATTGAATGAGCAAATTAAAATTCATTTTGCAATACACAAATATATTGCTTCACAGCGCAGATGTAAACACTGAAATTTATGATGATGGACTTCAATGAAATATATTGATGAAAACGTATTGACCTCAGCTACATCCATTTATATAGAAACTTATTCCTGTGTTTCTGGTTTCAACATTAGCAATATTTCAAGAATTCCAGAGAAAAATTACAATCATATGCTTTCATAAAGTCTTTTATCTCTCAAAAAGCATTTGATGTGTTTTATCGAAAAATTTTTTGGCAGAATGATTTCTTTTGTTTCTCTCTTTCATTTCTTTTTCTACTTGGTTATTTCATGGAGGTCTTCTAGTCCTTATTTATCAATCAACTTGATATCTGGCAGTTTCTTAATGGTTTTAGTGTATTGTTTGGTCTTGTGCAAATTTCAATATGTGCTCAAAAGATCTGTTTGTGTGAATTGTCACATAGCTGACATTCCTAATAAGGTCTGTTTGCCTTATCTTGAATATGTTATGAGCTTGAAATGGGTTTGATTTTCCTTGTACCACTTCCTTGAAGTCAAAATATGGATTATATTTCTTTAAATGCATATTCATTCAACTCATTGATATTACAACATGTTTAGTTGATAAAAGAACACGTTTCAAGCCTCATAAAACATTTATAGATGTCATGATTGGGCAGGTTTGGAATAAGACGGTTGACTTAAGACTTGTCACAATGTTGTGTAGTTAGCCATGAGCTGGCAATGTGCCTAGAGTACTTGAATGACTTCCTCTAGTGCATATTATTCCAAGAATACTTATTTTGCCTGGCAGACAATTTGGTGGGAAGTGCAGTGCTCTGCACCTTCCATCCAGGTGGGGCCAAATCTCCCAGGGCTATCCCTGAGTAAAAATATGAACAAATAGTGATTTAACAGCCAGATTCAAGAAACCTGAGAAGGAATTTTCTCTACCTCTAAGCACATTAGAAAAGTGTGTTCAGTTTCCAGGGATTTTCCTTGAGAATTTTACTATTAATAAACCATACACAGCTTGACCTGTTGACCTAGTCTGCTGTATTGTAATGATAAATCACAAAGACTTTCAAGAATTTAGGTCAAAATTAAGCAGGATTGAATGTTCTTGATAACATACATTTTGCATTGTAGGACTTGGACCTCAATTTGAATCTTGTGCTGAGAGCTTTGTTGATGAAGAAATAAATGGCAAAGCATTGTTGACTATCAATACAGAATATTTGGGAGAATTAGATGTGAGTCAACAGCTTTTAAAATATCGTTGCTCTGTATTAATCAGTCGATTAACAATATTTAATGTAAATCATCTCTCTAGATAAAAGATTCTAATGATCAAAATGCGGTATTGGATGCAGTTCGTTGTCTAATTGAAGTGGTAGGTATTTCTGTAGCTTCTAGATTTCTTTCTCACTAGAGAAATTGATCATATACCAGGAATGTTCAGTGGCTGGAATCAATTTCAGTCAGCACTAGTTAGATTGGTATTCCAGAGTTGAACAATTGATTGAGGATCGATGTGGATATTTGGTAACCACATTTCACATTGTTTAGGAATCCTGTCTTCAAGAAGAGACCGTCCATGGTCAGGTTGTTGTTGTTAATAGTCAGACAAAAAAATTGATTGATAAACTAGAAAAAGAAGGACTTGAAGCCAGTGAAGGAGACGTCAATACAAGCCAAAGTTCTATGAAAAATGCAGAACAAGTTTATCAACTAGCAAAGAAACTTTTGTCATGGCTTTTGAGGTACAATGCAGCTTTTAATTCCTGCTGTTCCAAGGTCAGTCCAATACAGCAGGAATTAGTTTTTTGAATGGAAAATACTTTTTTTAAGGACACCCTTTTCAGAGATGAATGCATGTTGGCCTCTGAAGGATTCTGTTTGTCGTGTTGTGAGAGATATGACTGATGAGGTACTGCATATGTTGCAAATATATAACCAATGATTGTCGATATTAAAAGAAGCTTGCTGCCAGAATGTTGATAAAAATAAAGTTAACCACATGAATTCTTTGTTCTCTAGAGTTTATTGAAGAATCGTGAGCATTTACAAGAAAATGTAAGTACAAATCATACAGACATGAAGCCCTTCATTTATGCTGTCAATTCTGCAGTATTTTGTGGATGTTAATTATTTTTACTCCATTTTCTAGTTGAAAAAAATTCAACTGTCTTTTGAAAACTTCCTGAATGAGGAGCCCCTACATGAGGCATTTAAGCAACCTTCTATATTGGTCAATGAGGAGTTCACTTTGGAAGGAGAAGGATTGGTAAGGACTATATAAAAGAACTAGTAGAAGTTTAGTATAATGATCAGAGAGATGGTCCTCATCCCGAAATTTACCAATCAAATGACGGTAAATGTTATGAGTATCGAGATCCCAAAAGTGGGGATAAATATCCCGAATATGGAGATAAATATTCTGAATATGGAGATAGATCTTGTGAATTGGAGATAAATATAGCGATCTCTAGAATAAATAATGTTGGAATAACAACTACATTTCAACTGCATTTCTAATTAATTTTGGTCTTCTATTTCTAGGGAATTGGCATCACGACAATTCATCACATTCATACCGTAAATTCTGTTGCTGTAGAGGTATTGGACTAACATTTTTACGTAACTTACTGTCCATACTTAACCCAACCAATTAACATAATTTTCCTGAAATTGCTAGTCGCCAGCAGGAAAGAATGGAAACATTAAAAATGGCGATGAAATCGTGAATGTCAACGGGCAATGTGTTGTAAGTGTTAATTTTTATGTCGGAAAACGTGCTTGAATGTAAAGTGTATCAACAAATGTGCTTATAAGAACCTATACTACTTTTACCTGTATAAAAACTTTTACCTATAAAAAACCGTGCACATTTGGTAAAGATTGGTGCACAAGATAAAAGTTTGCATTTTGTTATCACAGATTGCTTGGCCACAGAAGAACGTGATAAATCTTATGAAATTAAAAGATGACTCGGTCTCGTTGACATTAAAGAAGCTCCCCCTTGTCAAGGGACCTCTGAACAAGCCTTCAGACAAGACTGGCACCCCCCTGAGTGAGATGAACGTTGTCATGGATCGTACGAAGGTTGTGCCAGAGAGACAAGCTCGTGCTGAAATGAAGGAAGCTGGAATCAAGGAAGAGACGAGCTTGGAAATGCAGGCGATCGAAAACGAGAATGCCGCCGAAGAAAACTCCAAAGTGGAGGCAAGGATCGAAGGAATAAAAGAAGAAGAGGAAGGAAAACAAGATGTAGTGGAAAATGGAACGAGTAAAGTGGAAAACGTGGAGCCAGTTCCAGAGAAGGTAATAAGGTCTTAATGAGCATTTGTCACAAGCTCAATTTCGCGATGAATGCTCCCCCAAGTCCTTGTACTTATCAAATCAGGTTGCCGGAATACAATCATGCTGTTCAGCCGAGTAAACCATCTTGTTATTGGTTTTTTCAGGATGAAGAGAAAAAGGTCGAAGAACAAGAAGCTCCTGCAAAAGACAAGGACAAAACAGGCGAGAATGAAATAAAAGTTGAAGCTGAGAAAGACGGCGAGGTTGAAAAGCCCGAAGATGGGGAAAAAGAGGCCGAAAGTGAAGAGCTGAAAAACGGTGAAAAAGTTGACGAAACTAAACCTGACGATGTTGAGAAAAACGGCGGCGAGACGAAGGAAGAGGCTGCGGATAAAACCGAAGAAGAAGAAGCTCCAGTTGTTGCTCCGGAAGACAAGTCAGAGGAGGTGGAAGCACCGAGCGAAGATCAAGGAAAGATCGTCGATACTGCGTCTGGCGAAGGAAATGATGGTGCGGCAAAAATTGAAGAAAATGGCGATGTCAATGCCGACGCTAAAGAAGCGGAGAGTCTTGAGAAGAAAGCCGAGGTGAAAAATGAGAAGATTGTCAATGGTAAGTTGATGTTTTTTCACTATTGACTTCACACTTCAGAACTTACTTCAATGCCAGTATTAATCACGACAATATTACATATATATTAGAGCCACACAGAGAAGTTCTACAGATCTAAACGGGGCCCTTTCCTCGTCTGTAGTCTGGCTTATCACACTGGCCGCCCACCTTACCCAAAAGTGCATTTTTTGGCATCGTGCAAAAAGTAGAAGATGCTCAATTTCTGTGTCATTTTTTAGGTGAAGCGACTGTGGAAACGCCACAGAAATTGGAGATCATTCAGACAGAGAAAACAGATCAGACTTCGTCTACAGAACCCAAGAAGGTTCGTGTGGTTTCATCTCGACAGATGTAATGCGATGTGAAATACTTCAATTGACAAACTCTTTCAAATTCCATTAAATTTAGACAGAAGAAAGCGATCCTATTGTTGAGATAAATGTTCAAGCTGCATCTCCGAAGAAAGAAGCCTCAGAACTAACTGTGACACAAAACGGCGAAAATGGTACGTGATGAATTATTGCCCTCTTGCACAGGATTGATATACGCTTGATATATTGCTTAGCACAGACGTGCCTTCTGCGTCACATCTTGACAATATTTACCCACCAATTCATCTAGATGTGCCTACAAGTCCAAAGCCAGAGCCGGTCAGCCCGAGCAAGAAGCCAAGTCGCCCTGACCTGCCAAGGATGAAAATGGGCTCAGTAAAGAATGTCACCGTTGGAGGAACAAGTATGAACGTTCAGTTGTTTGTTGTTTTTCGTTGCGCTTAAAAAGCAGAATTTGTAGCTTGGTTTACATACTGGAGGTTAGTCATGGGTTGAGCCACACTAATCTGGTATGTTTATCCCGGCTTAGAGAGAAAAGAAGTCGAAGTTTATGGAGTTGTCAGACGACAAAAAAACCAAAACCAGATTGCAGGAACGGCAACCAAACGCATCTCATGCATCGAGCTTGGTGAAGCAGATTGCGAAGGATGGCTTACGAAACGAAGTTAGTTCAGGCCTATGCAACGACTTACTTGTACTTTCTGTACTCCCTCTTTCCCTCCCCCGGCTGAACGTTAATCAATGACTGCTTCCTCTCTTTGCCAGGTGGGGGTCATGGTCTAACACCGACAAGATGGCGGCGGCAATGGTGTGTGCTGAAAGAAGAGCATTTGTACTATTATAAAACATCGTTTGATCGAGAGGCTGGCGGTGTTATCGAGATGACGGGATATAATATGTCAGCTTCTCCAGAAATCAAGAAGCCTTTGTGAGTATCACTGGGGGGTGACTGATGGATATTTTTTCTATCCCAAAGTATCCTGGTATTACCCGGTATATCCCATACGATTTCTCGTTTCCAGTGCATTCAAGTGTGAAAAAGACGGGGCGAAGAAGTATTTCTTTCATGCGGATAACGAGGTGGACAGGGAAATGTGGATTAAAGCTCTGAATGCGACAGCGCGTGGCGAGAAGAAGCCGAAGGAGACTGGTGTACCTCAGATGCACGAAAACGCTGAGCGCAAGGGTAGTGTTTCGGGGCTCAAGGTGTCGCAAGCCAATAGACCGAGGACTGGGTCTGTCTTAGCGGGTGAGTTAACACTTGCAATTTTAGCTGCGATTTTACTGCAGTCCATTGTACTTTTCAACTGGAAATGGGTAACAAGGATTTAAACGGAGTTATTTTGCATTCGGTCGATGTGCTTATTTTGTTAACTTATTCCACGCGTGTTCTTTTTAGGAATCCGATTCAATTACTATGATGACGAAGATATTGAGAGAGATCGTAAAGTCGCTCACGAACCAGCGCAACGCGAGAACGAGGGCCTTGTAAACGGACAAAAGGCTGACCCTGAACAAAGTACCGGGGATGAAAATGCCGCTTGCCAGAATGTCCTCAAAATTGCGGCCGGCGTTTCAGATGACGAAAAGAAGACCGATTCAAATGAGAAGAATACAACAGACGTATGTGATTGAATACTTGGGGAAGACTGCTTTCATCAATCTGTTTTTTATTCCGGGAAAAATGTATGATGTACTGTTGATAGTTTATGATCTTTTTCGGTCCTTTTAGGAAGCTAATAACGAATCGCAAGAGAAAGGGGGCGAGGAACAAGCGAAGGACACACCAACTACAAATGTGGATAATATTGAACATAATAAGGATAGTCAAGATACATCGGAGAGCAAGGATAAAACGGTTAATGAGGACTCCAGTGTTGTAGTAGGTACACAAGAGGGAACGATAGGTAAGGATTCGGCAGAAATGAACGAAGATGTTGCGACGAAATCCGAGGAAGAAACGGTAAAGCTCGACGATAGTACGACCAAGTCTGAAGTTAAATCGGAAACCTCTGAAGATGCACCGCAGAAGTTAGAAGATGATACCACAAAATGCGAGGATGTTTCGTCGGGGTCCGTAGAAGAAACGGTTAAGCCCGAAGATACTACGACAAAGTCTGAACAAAAGGTAGAAACCTGTAAAGATGATGTTCCTAAGTCCGAAGAAGAGACGACAAAACCCGAGGATGTTACATTGATATCCGAAGTAGAAACAAAACAGCCTGAGAACAGCACGACGACAGCCGACGATACAGTGGAAAACGCCGAAGTCGTCACCCCAAGTTCAGAAGAAGATACGACAAAGCCTGAGGATAGGGAGCCAAAGTCCGAAGATAGTACGACAAAGTCTGAAGATAGTACGACAAAGTCGGACGATAGCACGACGAAATCCGAAGATAACGTGGAAACGCCGAAGTCGGACGAAACTACGGTGGAGTCCAACGATTGTACCGCCAACTCTGAAGATAAATCGGAAACGTGCGAAGAGAAAGCGGAAACCTCCGAAGAAAAGCCGAAGGATGAATTTGAGGAAGTAGCAGAGTCAATCAAGGAAGCGGAAATAGGCATTGATGGCTCGGAAAAGTCCGCTGGTGCGATATTAAGGAAGCTCTCCATGAATTCGGAAAGCGAAATTATGGATAAAGTTGTAAAGTTGCGAATCTTACGACAAAGTTTGAAGGTAAGTTTTCCTGTGATTGTTTCTGCAATGTACGTTAGTTTGTGGAGATGTTGATACTTGCAGAAACGAGAAAAATAAACTACGACTTTCAAAACTACCATAGATTATGGAATGGATGATTTAATGAACGATATTTGCCACATCTTGATGGCTGAAAAGGGCCCAGTATTTGATATTGCAACAATCACATTATTAGGGATCAATTCAAAGTATCTTTAATATTTTTGTAGGACAAGGAACAGAGTATGGATGCAATTGACGAACTTCTGACATCAGAAGTCACTCCAGAATCAATTGCTCAGTGGAGAGCGAAGTATGAGACTATTACCAATTCAAGTGAAAATGGGAACGACTTGAATGAGAATAGCCAATTATAGCCGTGCTCAGCGAATTTCAAAATTATCATGCGCTGTTTGTTACTAAGCAAACCTCTTTCGTGTTGTGAAATGAGCAGTTTTATTGAAGCTACTGAGGTATAGCTTGTTGTATGCGACCTTCCACGACCGAATCGGTCGATGATGAGTTTACCTAACACCGCTTGGAGTGTCTGCAATTCATATACTAAGGTTGACGAGTAATCTTGACTTCTTACAAGATATTATGCCACCTATCCTAGGGGCAGTTTGTTCAAAGTTTAAAACCTGGTTAGCTTACTTCTACGAATCAAATTTTGCAAGAACGTATTCACTAAATTTGACATGCTCTTCCATAAATCCCTCCTGGCTCAGTGGAGGTTTCGTTTTCAGGAACCGGTTGTAAAAAAACCCATCAAACTATATTCTCGGTAGTTAAATCGTTGTTAACCGCAAAATATACGATTCTTATTGGCCATACTATCACTAACTCTTCTCTAGGATTAGTCCCTGAAGTTTTACATTAAACGGTCATGCAGAACTTGTGCGGCTTTGAACAGGCAGTTCTTGGATAATTGAATTTCGACAACTTGTTAATAAGTGTACTGGGTACTACATTTGAGTTCCTTTTAGTTTACTAAAAAATATATAATTTTATAATCAACAACACACACCTAGCTTCATGTTAGTATTATTTACGTATTGGAAAGTGTATAATTATTTTTGTAGTGATTTTTATGAATATGAATGAATACAAGATGTCTGCATTAACAGCATCAAATGTAATTTTGATTTTCAATGAAAAATGAATGGAATTAGATGAAATTAAATATTATCGATGAATGTCGTGGTTTGTAATTTGTACTGGGGTTATCAGGGAACCGGGTTAAATTGACTGTTTTAGGGGCCACAAAGGAGAGAGGACTGAGGAGTTGGTTCCTCTGAAAATTGTACCAAAAATTATAACATGGTGGTTTAGGGTCACCTGTGGTTTAAAGTGCTATGAATAAAGTGCGCGGGAAAGTCTCTAACACAAAATGGCGGGTCAAACATCACAAGAAGTTCTAGGTACTGTCATATTCTAGAGTTTGGTTTTTTATTTCCTAATTCACGTATGTTGTTTTATTATTCTAGATGTGCCTTACGAGCAAACATTCTTGACCTATTTGGGTTCGTTGCCCGAGGTACGATATTCCATATTTTACCTTGCTCGACGATCTAAATCATCTATAAACCCACGTGGCTTTAATATTTCTTATAATATGTTTGTATTGTATTTGTACTTCAATGTTAAATTAGTGTCTTAGAGAGCTGTTCATAGAGAACGAGATCTGTTTTAGAGAGAGACTTAAGTCAGAGGTTTCTCAGCATTAGAGAGGTTTCTGTATTAGAGAGATGTTTGTATTTATAATAGAGAGGTGCCTGTGCAATAGAGGTGTCTGTATTAGAGAGGTGTCTGTATTAGAGAGATGTCCGTATTAGAGAGATGTCTGTATTAGAGAGTCAAGAGGTGTTTGTATTAGAGAGATTTCTGTATTAGAGATATGTCTATATTTAGAGAGGTGTCTGTATTAGAGAGATGTTGGTATTAGAGAGATGTCTGTATTAGAGAGATGTCTGTATTAGAGAGATGTCTGTTTATGTCTTAATTAAAGAGATGTCTGTATTAGAGAGATGTCTGTGGAGAGGTGTTTGTATTAGAGAGGTGTCTATATTAGAGAGATGTCTGAAGTGCCCTATTAGGGAGAGGTCTGAGGTCCTTAACAGTGAGGTAACTGTATTAGAGAGGTGTTTATAGTGGAGGGGTTAATCTATATTAAAACAGCTCCAATAATAACAAGAATTTACGAATATCTTTCAGAAATCAGAAACAACAATTCGTGTTTTTGACAGGACTGTGAGTTTTCTTATGGAAATTTTCTTGACTTTTCAAAGAGGATTCACTTTTTACCCTCCCTTCAGAATAACCTTGCAACATTTTAAATTTCCCCCCCAGGAATACTATACTGTCCATGGATCTGATGCGACATTCATCGCCAAGGAAATTTTTAAAACTATGAACGTTGTCAGACAAATTGGATCAGGTGGGTTGTAACAAATTTGATATTCCAAGCTTCATTTCTTTTTGTTCACCACTTGGTACATGTTTTCTGTGCTTTTAGGAGGCAAAAAAGTTCCATCAGTTGCACTGAGTAAAGTGAGGTTTGAATCAACAATCAGAGAACTGTTGTTGGTACGACAGTACAGAGTTGAACTTTATAGAAACAAAGGAGGGAAAGGAACATTGCAGAGCTGGTTTCTGGCTGGCAAGGTGGGATTGAATAATCAATGTTCTTGATCCATGCAGTTAATTGGAATCTAAATTGAAAGTCACCTTGGGATTACTGGTCAAAAGTTCCTATATGGAACTCCCCTGAGGGTCTCTGATGATTGTCTAGACTCTAGAAAGAACAGGTCTTTGAGATGGACAAAGAGTTGGATCGTAAAGCAGTTTTTAAACATAGTATCTGTTCCAATTATTCACAGGCTTCTCCTGGAAATTTACAACAATTTGAAGAAATCTTGTTTGGTAATAATGAAATGTCTGCTTCGGTCGGTGTGATGGCATTCAAACTTGCTGCTGATGCTGGCCAAAAGGTATGTACATAGACAGATTTTTTACGATAACAAAAACGTTTTCAAGGGATCCCGTCAAGAAAGAATGAGAATTCTTTTTTGGGTTAGTTGATTGCGTTTTTTACATGGCGTACATTTGTTTTGTTCTAGACTGTTGGTGTAGCCTATGTTGATATTGCTGAACGAAAGATTGCTGTCTGTGAGATAGTCGACAATGATCACTTCTCAAATGTTGAGGTTAGGAAATACCAAAGTAGTGTGACTGAAGCTAAGATTCAGAACCCACTTGCTACACATGCAGATTCCATGTAGTTTGACCGCTGTGGTCTGCTATCCCTATTTTTATGTTTGAACTAACGGAAAGAAAGTACCGTAGTTTCACACTCAGGATGATTGATTTGAAGCGTACATTTACTTTTTCCACGCTACAAGACCATCAACCTCGTGTTTTCCTATAAAACATGATCACGTTTTTTAAATATTTACTTTTCTGAAGGCAATGTTAGTCCAGTTGGGACCAAAAGAGTGCATCGTTCAGGCAAACGACCAAAGCCCAGACGCTGGGAACTTGAGGGAGGTTATACAACGAAGTGGGATAATGGTTACTGAAAAGAAGAAAGGTTAGCATCTGGTTATCACTAGGGTGGTTCTTAGGTGATCCAGGTTACAGTGCTATTTCTTCAGGCTTTAATTTTGCGTGTGACTAAAAAGAATACTAGTGTCACTTGTCTCACCCACTTGCAACTTATAGAGAATGTTTGGGATCGCGAATTTTTGAGAAACAGAGACTAGCTTTACCAACTAACTCATTACAGGCGACTTTTCAACGGTCGATGTTGTTCAAGATCTTAACAGACTTCTGAAAATCAATTCAGGAAATAGCTCAACGCTTCGTAAGTACTTTTTTCAATACTTCAAAATGATATCTCCTGCTCAAGGAAGTGAAAATTTCAGACGATGTTTTGTAAACTATATAATTTTTGTTACATCAACCACTACAGCTGAAGTTGATTTGAATCACGCAATGTCTTGTGTTGCCGTCATTATTAAATATTTGGAGGTAGGATATGGGTTTAATCCGGTTCAATATCCGATACGCTATCTTAACATTATTAATATCCCTATAATCCCATGATCCGGTTTAATCTTGCTGATTATCCGTGTTTTGATACGTGTTGAATTGTGTGTTTAGATTTTATCAGATGACTCGAACTTTGGTCGTTTTCATATCTCAACCATTGATCTGAATCAATACATGAAGCTTGACGCTGCTGCCGTCCGTGCTTTGAGTCTTCTGCCATCTTCCGCTGATGGTAAGCTTGATGTGAATTCAGGTCAAGACAGTTCAGTGTACTATAGCTTAATTCAGACACATATTAGATTCAGGTCAGTCCACTTCACTTCATCTCCATTCAGTGACTATAGCTCAATTCCGATCAGTTCAGTTCAACCACGTCATCTCCAGTTCGTTCACTTCAGCTCAACTCAGATGAGTTGAGAGCTCTGCACTTTAGCTCAACATAGATTCATTTCACTTCATCACCACTCACCTCTTTTCACTTCAGCTCAGCTCAACTCAGGTCAGTTCAATTCAATTCGCTTCATCTCCATTCAGTTCACTTCAGCTCAACTCAGATCAGTTTAATTCACTTCACTTCATCCCAATCCATTTTACTTCAGTTCAACTCAATTCAGGTCTGTTTACATATCAACAATCTTACTCCGTTTCACTGCGATTCAATTCAAGGTGCCAATAAATCTGTGAGTTTACTTGGTTTGTTGAACAAATGCAGAACACCCCAGGGGAAGCGATTATTAGGACAATGGATCAAACAACCTCTTCTAGACGAGAAAAAAATTGGTTGGTACTGGTTTCATGTAGATAACTACATATTATATTGGATTCCTATCACGTTTTGATGCGTTTTCTTCTTCCCAGAGGAAAGACTAAATGTTGTTGAAACGTTCTTTAATAACGTTGTGCTTCGTCAAACAGTTCAGGTAAAGATGATTTATTAGATATTGAATGGAATTTTGTGTTGAAAAGTTTGTGGTGTTTCGCCTGACCATGCAGAGATGGTTGCTGCTTTTCTACACAACTGTATTCAACCTTCTTCTGAGTAATTTTCGAATCAGCGCTATTTTGAATGCAAACCTCGTTTCTAGGAAGAGTTGAAGAAATTTCCTGACTTTTCAAGGATGGCTAAAAAGTTTCAAAAAAATCGAGCAACACTCCAGGTAAACGATTTAGATCGAAATATATCCATACTGAGGAAATAATATTTTACTTAAACTTTACTTAGATTTCAATCTCAGCCTGTTTACTTTACATTTTACATATTTAACTTCCTAGGATTGCGTAAGAGTTTACCAGGCCGTGGGAAGGTTACAAGAGCTGGTGATTAGTCTAGATGAATGTCAAGACAACCACCGACCGCTGATCAACGAACTGTTCGTTGCACCATTACAGGTGAGTGTTCATTCTCATACCCAGTGTTCGCTCCTAACGATTCTGAACACGTTCCTCTATGAATTAGGTTAGTTTAGAACAATCTTTTTTTAGGAATTAAAAGATGATTTCTCAAAGTACGTTGAATTAGTTGAGACAACGATTGATCTCGATCAGATCGAAAATCACGAATTCCTGATCAGACCATCTTTTGATGAAGGTCTACAAGGTTAGTGCAGCTATTTCGAGAGCTTTCTCTGAAGTGTCATCATCACCAGCTTCTATTCCATCCTTTACCATATACTCACTTCTCAAATACTTAAAATTTTCTTCTCAGAATGCCGAGAAAACATGGACCAAGTTCAAAGAAAAATTCCTCGCCAGCTGGACAAAGTATGTATATTCTCATGAAGTTTTCCTCCGTGTTGGAACTTGATGCAATCCAAATAGTAACTCGCTATTGGCATGGAATTAAGGCAGGACTATTATCATCAGCCTGGGTACAGTATTGCAGGGAACACACACATTATCATTGTCATCATTAACCATCATCAACCATAATCAACCCTTATCAACCCTCATCAGCTATCATCCACCTTCATCAACTATCATCAACCTCTGTATTCTCTTGCCAGGCCGCAAATGAACTTGGTCTCGAAGCTGGAAAAACTATCAAACTGGAAACCAACAGCCAGTTTGGATATTATTTTCGGGTGACTAGAAAGGTGTGTGATTTGACGTGATGTTCAGACCGTGTTCACATAATGCCAACTGAGCAACGTTAGCGTGACAGTTTCAAATCGTTTATCGCAATTCTATTGGCCTCAGCTCTGTGTGAGCACATAGAAGAGGTTTATGAGCCGTAATTATGTTCAACTTCAAATGTGAAAAACGAGAAAAACTCCAAACGAAAGGGGAAGGAAACTCTGCCAGTATTGTGTGAACATTTGCATTGTTTTCTTATCCAGGAAGAGAAAAAACTACGGGGAAATAAGAAATTCACAACTCTGGACACAAGGAAAGATGGCGTCAGGTTTACGAGCTCGGTGTTAAGACAACTAAATGATGAGTTTCAAGCGTTGAAAGCCACGTACGATGACGTTCAAAGTAAACTTGCGAACGAAGTGATCAAAATAGCAAGTAAGAACGAAGAACTGCGTGATTTGTGGACAAAGCAAGCTCCTGATTGGTGGATGCATTGGCCAATCTGAAGCATGCTTAGTCGGCTACGTGACGGCTGAGACTTTTTGTTATAAATATCTGTAGAATAGATTCTTAGATTACGACATCCGTTAACAATTTACGATCTCAATTAAGGTGGCTACTGTGAACCAATGCAAATTCTTAGTGATTCTTTGGCAAAACTTGATGTGTTAATAAGGTATTACTCTTCTTACAAAGCCGTAGGAGAAAGGTTCTAGTTCAGCAGTGTGCAACTTGTTTTTCCTCAGCTAAAACACTGATTTAATTTCTTATATAGTTTCTCTCACGTGGCTGCCTCTGCTCCAATACCATACTGTAGGCCGAAGATCTTTCCCGCAGGTTTGTATGTGCTTTACATAACGTTCACAGTAAACCACTGCACGCTTCGATATTCTTTGTCATGCGTTGGCAAAATTGGATCCATAATTTTCTAGTTAGAATGGGTATCAACACACTGATCAAAGATAAATGATAATATCTTATTTTATGATACAGAACATGGCTCGGTCATACTATCCGCCGTCAGACACCCTTGTCTTGAGGTGCAGGATGAAATTGCATTCATTCCTAATGATGTAACCCTGAACAGAGGTACGAAACTGAAATCTGTCACCTCCTCTATCAATTTGACCGCGATAAATTCTCTCTCATTACCCACTCACTCACTCACTTTGTTAAGCGACTTGATACACAGTGTCTTTTCTAGCAATCAATCTACTTCTTGTGAAGATATAAATAAGGAATATACAGTTGAATGACAAGACTGATTGTTGTTGATATTTCTAATTCAGACGAGCAATCATTCCTTATAATCACTGGTCCGAACATGGGCGGGAAATCAACATATATACGTTCTGTAAGTAGCCTTCCACTTTGTTTTGTAAGGACTGTGTTGCTCCATAGGATGCAGCATAGTTTCTCACAATGGTTGGTCCTGGGAGAGCCACAAGTGACTCAATGATTTAACCAGAGGAATTGTATTTCTTCTTAGATAAGTGTGGCCGTGTTGATGGCTCAAATTGGATGTTTTGTTCCCTGTGAGGCGGCTGAGATCTCCATCAAGGATGCCATATTGGCTCGTGTGGGTTCTGCTGACAGTCAGTTGAAGGGAGTTTCAACGTTCATGTCAGAGATGTTAGAAACAGCGTCAATTCTTCGGGTATGTGGTACCTTAATAGTGACTCGAAACATACAATAAGTCATATACCATACCATATCATATCATTACCTAACCATACCATATACCACACCTCACCATACCATACCATACCATACCATACCATACCATACCATACCATACCATACCATACCATTACTTTTCTATACCATACCACATTTACCATGCTGCAAGCAATCATTTTTTGTAATTTTCCTCAGAGTGCCACCGAAAATTCTTTAATCATCATCGATGAACTGGGACGGGGCACCTCAACTTACGATGGATTTGGTTTAGCTTGGGCTATTTCAGAGTTAGTACATAAACCATCCTATCATTTCAACTATGCGTGTTTAGTTCTACTGCATGAGCAGGAAACACAAGAAGCCTTCAAAAGACTTTTCGTAAATCAAGTTTTGTATAATTTTAGGTTCATATCAACGCGTATTAAGGCGCTCTGTTTGTTTGCGACACATTTCCACGAGCTTACGGCTTTAGCAGATGCCGTTCCTAGTGTCAAGAATTACCATGTTACAGCAATGACAACTGGAGACACTCTTACATTATTGTACAGAATCAAAAAAGGTAAGAAAAGTGTTTGTTTTAAATCTCCTGTCCATCTTCTGGTAATGATTGAATGACTGTAGCATGCAATATCTGATTGGTTAAAGTAATTTATTCTAAGATGACCAATTCTAATTGGTGCGAGGCAGTCCAGACTTGTGTATGTCGCGCTCACTTTGTTTACTACAGACCATTGATAATAAAAAACAGTGCTATAGACGAAGTAATGCTATAGACGAAGTAAGTCAAAGTCTGGGCTGCCTATGGTGTGACGCGAGAAACATCGAGGTCTAGCTTTCCTGGGCCAGCGATCCCTGAGGTATTGCCACAGCGGCTCCGTACATACGTGGTGTATTCATTGTGGGCAGTTCGTTCCATTCTTGCGTTTCAAGACTGAAACACTCAACTGAATCAAGATGATTCTTCTTGTCATCTCTGCCACCCATCACCACGACCATGTTCTCCACCAAAACAGCCGCACAAGCAGCTCTCTTAGTTTTCATGCTCGGTAGTCGCTTGTTCCTGCCCGTTTCGATGTTGTAAGCGACAACGGAATCCAAAACATTGCCATCTTTGTCCTGGCCGCCAAAGACGAGCAGATTTCCTCCGTGACAAATAACTCCCATTTGACTGACCTCGTAAGGTAACGGCGTCAACTCTTTGGACTTTCTTGACGCGATATCAAAAACAAGGACGCTCTTGGTCGCATCTTTGAATCGGTTGGTCGTTCGTCCGCCCACAATGACAACCTGGTAATAGTAGATAGAAATGGATATCAGTAGATCATTTGGGGTAAATTCACATTCTGATTGATATGGCCTAGCATGTGTTTATATGAACCAGATTTATCCAATGTTGTACCTTGTTATCATGCAATATCGCCCCATGACCAACTCTTGGCTCTGGCATATGACACACAATCTTCGGCGATTGTGAAGATGTGATGCAAATCTCGTAGATGGCGTCCGAGATCTTGTTTTCCTCGCTGTTCTCGCCCCCCGTAACGAAGAGACTTTGATGAAACTATCTTGTGGCGGTTACATTTCAGGGGGAGTAAGGCAGGAAAGTCACGCCAGGTCTTAGCGCTTCGAGTGGTGTTCAAGCCTAAAAAATATTCGTAAGTAAAATTTTAGCGTCGGTAACTCAACGACAGCACAATTTGGACCAACCTCAGCAGTGAGTTCTGGTCAACATCAGATCACTCAAAGATAGACCAAATTCAAGAACATATACCACCTTTGCATGATCTAACCATGCTCAACTCAACAGTAAGTTCAACATCAGACTACTTAAGGTGGCATTCATTTAAGAAGTTAAACATCATCTAGTACCTTCCATTCTATCTGTGCTGGTATCGCCATTAAATCCTCCGGCAACGATGACATTGTTTTGATAAACGAATGCAGATGGTGCCAAACGACTATTCTTCATCTCTCCTAACGTCGTCCATGTTCTCGTGGCGAAGTTGAACATCTCTGTAGAGTTGAGATAACCCGTGCCATCGTGACCGCCAGCTATGAGAATGTTGCATTCTGGTACGTTCCTGGGTTTGTTGTCAGGGCGTGGAGCAGCCGTTGGTAGGGCATTGATGGTATCTTTCAAGTCTGAGATCATTGCTGCCATGTTCTTCATGGTTTTGTCTTGAGCTTTTTGCCTATGAGAACAACATTTACAAATATTATTAAGTCATTAGATTGTTGAATCCAATCATATTGCAAAATTAACTTTCGGGTTTAGCGTTGCCACAGTCCAGTTTACCATTGCCGATCAGTGTACGCTGTCCGATCCATTGGTCCGATCTATGTTCTTAGATTCGTGGACTCACCTTTCATCCAGTTTTTTCATCGCCTCCATCAACTGTCCCATTTGATTCTTCATCTCTCCGCATTGGTCCTTCAAGTCCTCCACGATCCCCTTGAGTACACACCCGTGTGTGTCGTACTTCCTCCATTGAACCCTTTTAGCACAGCTGCTGCACTTTATTTTCCTGTACTTACAAACCTCGTTCTCGTGATGCTTTCGATCCTTCTTATTTATCGTCTTCGAGCAGCCTTCGTTCGAACAAACGATTGGCATGAAATCACACTCCTGAACGTGCTGTGTTAATGCTTTTAATTCCACTTGTGTTTTGCAACCTCTCGCCTCGTATTCGCAGCTAATGCTCAGCCGGGCCAAATAGTCTGCAACAATCCTCGACGGCTCTTTGATCGTCTTCAAGGTCAGCCCATCATTACAAACGGGGCAGGTTTGAGCCATTTCTAGATGCCTCGTGAGGCAGTGCAAACAGAAATAGTGTTCATTTCGTCTGCACTGCACCGGTTCTCTTAAAACTTGGTAGCATATCAAACAGTGGAAATTCTCGTTCACAACAACCGCGAAACGCTTGTCCGGGTAACCGTGACTATGGTTGCTCATCATTGAAGCAACAATGTTTGAATCATTCTAGGTTTTTCATCATTTTAACCCCGCCATCTCTACGCGTTGTTAACCTGTTTCAATAAAAGAAAGTCGAAGATCTCCTGTCTGTCAGTCCTACTGTAAACACTTCAGATACAATACACGATAAATTTAGATTGTTAACTTACACCACAGCCAACCACGTTTAAGATATCTTTATCTAAGATGGTTTTTTACGATGGTGCGATCAGGATAGTCTATCTATTTCACGATAGTCCGTTCTAGACGTTGTTCTAGCCTCACGTGTTTAATATAGAGCATATCCTCACTAAGTTATATAATACCTGTGTAATTTAATGGAGAACGTGATGCTTTTTGTATAGTCAGGGTCTGAACCGTCTAATATAAGAAAGACGCCATATGGTGATATTTGAGACTCGTCTCTATGACGTGTTTTGCATAACGAAAGCGGTGTTGTTCACTTTTTCTGCTGTAATCTTCGCTGTGCTGTGCAGGCTTCGACAGGATGAATATTTAAGTTCGTGGAATCCGACAGGAACTTGTTTCGTTTCGAGGTCGTGACCTCCTTCCCTTTTAAGGAAAGTTTAGGTGGGCGTCTTTGTCTTTCAACTATTTCATCTGTTGCACAATACGAGTTTTTTATTAAAAAGGTAACTTGAAAAACGGTTTCAATTTTCCCCAGCCGGAAATGTGAAGTTTAGACTGAAATCTTTCAATTTCATTTGATTTGACAGTCTAAGTCTTACTGTCTGTCAAATTTTGACGGTGAAAAAAGCGTCTAGTTGGCTATGAATGAGCTGCCCTGAAGCAATTTAATTTTGCACACAATTCGATGTTGAAGTCACTAAGCATGGTTAAGATCATACAGAGGAGGTCAGGAGGTGCGTGGTCTAAAGCTAGACTGTAGTGATCTCATGTTGTACAGAACTTGAAAGTGAGCTACCTTAAAGACTGAAGTCGACTCCATCTTGCGCTTTCTCTTACTTCAAAGATCGCGGTTCACCCTTGGGTTAGACATGCGCACTCGCACAATGAGAAGTGTTACCACAATCATCTCGCGTCATTTATTCATTTGAATACGAGAAGCCTGTCAACCCCAATTTGATTTGTTGGCAGTGATGATATCGCAGGGGTCCTGAAAACAGTTGATATGTGAACTGTCTGGTGGGCCTAGATTCGGTAGTCTCAAGAACTTCACATAGTTCCCGAGATTGACCTGGAGTCTTTGAACACCGGGATTGCGAATAGCTGAGCCAACAAGTATAGAAACTGGCCCGTGCTCAGTTCTTCTTCATGTTAGACATGATAGATTGCGCTCTTTCTATCCGAGCTGTGTGTATTTCCACTTTCTTTCATATATAAGAAATTTGTCTAACATGCAAATCGTCCATTACCTTCCAGGCTATTTTTCATTCGAGTCTATATTTTTCATCCATATTTTTTAGGTGTTTGCGATCAAAGTTTTGGTATTCACGTTGCAGAGTTGACGAATTTTCCACGTAAAGTTATCGAGGTTTGTGGCGATGCAACATTTCTTCTTGTACTTTCTTATGAAGTCGTGCACGCGTGGCTGTTTAAGACCGTATGTGTAAAATTAAACGGTGTTTCGGTGAAACAAATGTCTGTTTAGTTTGCAAAGAGAAAGGCTGAGGAACTAGAGGATTTTCAGGGTCAAACCGCAGAGGATAATAATGACAGTAACGAAAGTAAGTATCAGTGTGTTTTAGTATCAGGCTTTGAAAACTTCTGAAATCTTTCACTCGGCAACGCTCGCCAAAGGTGCTATCATGAATACTTGCGTCACGAAACCATGTATCTTCCTCCCTGTCACCCGTAGCAAGAACATACCCCGTGACAAGACATTCATCTCAGCATTCGTATTTCTGCTCTATCTGGTTTTTTGGAAGTCCTCTAATCATTATTTTCTTGACATACCCCTAGAGCCTTTTTTAAACTTTATTTTAGATCAAGCAATTCTTTCATCTAAGAAACGTCGCATGGACAAAAAGGTAGATTTTTATATTGTTGTTTCTGTTTTTGTAATGTCGATACTTATACTGTTTGTTTCTCGTGTTCATCTTGTTTGTTTGTTTGTTTGTTTGTGCAGGAAGGAGACAATCTAATCCAAGAATTTCTTCAAAATGTTGCAAGCATTCCCATTGATAATCTCTCAGACGACCAGGTTTCTACAAAGGTTTTAGATCTGAAGAACGCTCTTCTTGAAAAAAATAACAGCTATATCAACGACATGCTTACAAGAAACACTTAAAGTATATGAACTTTAGAACTTACAGTACTCGCATATCTGAAGTAACACTGGTATGTCAAAACATATGGCTTTGAATGTAGAAAAGTGACAGTACAGTTATATTGTGAGGTCCGTGGCGGTTAAACTCGTCACCATGGCAACGAATGTGGCGTTGATACTTCAAATAAGACTTTGCGAAGTTATCGAAAGTTGCAATTTGGTATTTAAATTTTTCGATATTGAGTTTGTTTTGAAATAAAAATCAAAATAAATGTGTTTTGATTGTAGGAAAGTTTCAAGCAATGTTTCAGAAAATAGTATACGAGTTGTATTACAAAACTCGTTACTTAAATTAATAGATTTTTTCAAGTTCACCAGACAAACAAGTTTCTTTCATTGAGTGGGTGAGTCTCGTTCTGACAGGTTTGAAAGCTTTCGGAAGAAAGAGTCGCATATTAAATCGGTATATTGACACAATATTTCTATGGAATATACAAACAGATGGCTGAAAATGCTGCCAGTCGAACCGATATTGCCAAGGTTAGTATTTAACCTGGGTTTAATATTGTACTCCTTTCAAAATTTAATTAAATTTGTGGCTAGTTTTTGACCACATCTTATATTACGGGCGTAGACTTTGCAAGTGTATGAGTTGTGTTTGAATAGTCCTAAAAACACGGCTATACTCTAGAAATGCTTTGATTTGAACCAACTTCGGGCAGAAAGCGTAGAAATATTTTGAAAGCAAGCTACGTATGTCGTGTTTCGAAGGTCTCTGCTATTTCTTTTTAACCGAAATATAGTTTTATTTCCACACATAGTTTACACTGTTTTTGTTGCAAACTTTGACTGTCTGGTCTACAATACTGGTAAATACGTAAATTTACAATTTCTAAATATTTTACGGTCCAGTTACGAAGATGGGAGTAAATATATTCAAATTTTTTCGGCATTTCTTTAAAACAACGAAGGAGGTCACTTGAGTGTTATTAGTAAAGTTTGACACCCGTGGTTCATGCGAGATTTCATGTCTAAACGCTACTCTTCTGCTGTGTACGTTTCTAGCTGTTTGCAAGCATGGACGACAAGGAAAGAGATCCGATTAACTTGTACAAAAACGATGCGTTTTCTCCATCGTTAGAAATGAATACAGTTGCTCCAGCCTTTCCAAGACTTCAACCAAGTTCTGGCCCTACGTGTGTCGCGTATGCTGTGGGAAAGTTTGAGAATTCTCATATAACGATTTTTCAGGTATCATGTATCTTCGTATCTTTTACAAAACTACAGTGCTTCTGTAGTAGTGTAATATTAGTTGCGAGTTACCTTACGAGGTGTATCGTTTTTTTATTGAAATATAACCTCGAATGAGTTCCTGTCATGAAAATTGGACGAATGCATGTGTATTGTAACATACAATGGCATAAAAGTTCCTCAGAATTTATTATATTTTCTACCTCTAAACATATTTTAAATATAGGCATATGTCGAATATCATTTTAATATATATTATCTTGTGTTTATCCCTTGTTGCTAAGCCAATGCTTGCTGACTCATTTACTATATTTTCGCATTATTATATGCCTGATTTATTTTGACATTTCGTACAAGAACTTTATTTTGTACTTTAGGTTCGTATATGTCTAAGACATTACTACAGCTAAGATTTTAGGCTTTTAAATTGATTTGATACGTTAAATCCAAGACTGTTTGATACACATATAAACGAAATGACATTCCTTGAATATTTTTACATTTTTATATGATTGTTTCCTGAGGAGCCCATGCATCATTGCATGAACAAAAAACTTATTTCTATAGAACTTCCTGTTTTATATATTTCATGGCAATGGCCTGAATGAATTGATAGAGTTATGCACCAAGCTATATAATTGCCTGAGTATTTTAAGCTCTCTTAATATATACCTGGTCAGTGGGGATGTACTTGCTCAACTTTTTTTTCCTCTCATCATAACAAAGTTCATCAATATAGTAGTTCTGTTTTACTTTCATTATACCAATATAACATGACAATTAATCAATTATATGTTTATATTCATTTTGAATAATTCACTAGGCTTCCAGAGATGGCCGGCTTGATATTGTCAAGAATAAACTAGCAAAAGGAAAACGAGATATAAACAAGAAGGATGAGGAGAATGCAACAGCCTTGCATTATGCTGTCAGATTCAACCATACTGAAATTGTCAAGTTTTTAATCAGCAAAGGAGCAAGTAAGTGAACTTAAGAATTGCTTCCCTTATCATAATTATGACAAACTTTATCATGAACTCAATCAGATAACTCCATTGCTTTTAATTCCAAATGAAATCAAACAAGTATCACCTTATCGAGTCAACAAGTACCACTGGATATGCTTTATAGTGTTTATATATGTGGCATAACCAAGTGTTGTGTAGATTTAATTATAAATGAAATGCTTTTTGGTAGATCCCAATCTTCCCGGAGAAGATGGTGCTACGCCAATGCATTATGCAGCACGGTATAGACCCCTGAATGTCCTGAAACAGTTGAAATCCACACAATCAAATAATGAAGTGAATGCAGAACCACCAAGTGAAGAGTAAGTGATTGACCAATTCACCTTTTTTCCACAAGGAATGTTGAGATGTGATATTGCACTGTAATATAGCTATATCATGCAAGTTTTTCATCCATGTATTACCCTAATTTCTTCTCCCACAGAAATGCTTCTGCTGTGGGTAATCTATTAACTGTGGACACACCAGATATCACAGATGCCGATCAGGACAGCTCAGATTCCGTCTTAAGTTGCTTACTCAAAAAATCAAGTTCAAATGTGAACTGTCAGGATAACTATGGATCGACCCCACTCCATTATGCGGCCGCAAAAGGAAACCCGAGATCAGTTGAAGAATTGATTAGATATGGTAGAGCTGATGTGAATGTAAGTGCAATATTACAGAGTATGTGACTGGTCTTGAAGCAATGCAGAGAAGCAGTCTTATTGAGATCTCCTCAAGGAAACCACCCATGCTTCTAATGCCCTACGATTCGGAATTCTTCATAGAAAAATGCATCTTCTTTCCTAGGCCAAAGACAAACAGAAAGCAACCCCCCTGCACGAGGCCTGCACACAAGGCAATCCCAACGTTGCTAAGCTCCTCGTCCAGGCGGGGGCGGACCTCCAAGCGAGAGACAATGAGAAGATGACACCTCTACACTATGCGGCGATGAGCGAGAGAGTTGATTGCGTCAAGATCGTGGTCGACGCCGCAGAAGCTGCTGGCGGTTCAAGTTTAGTTGAACAGATTGTTGCAGAGGTGTGACAGATACTTGATACTGAAGTGAAGTTACATATTGGACCTTTCACTTAACAGAAAAGGTGTTTCATTTTTGTAGGTCGACCGAGAGGGACAAACAGCTCTTCATATTGCTGTTGATGCAAGTGCCAAAAAGACCGCTCAGTATCTGTTGTTTAAAGGAGCTGAAGTGAACGCTGTGCGCATGAACATGGCCACGCCCCTACATCTTGCTGCCACCGCTGGGGATCTGGACACGGTTGAGATGTTGCTGAATTTCAAAGCGAATGTCGAGGCTAAGAATATGAGCCATGAGACGCCATTGCATAAAGCGGCCTTGTTTAATAATGTTCCTGTTATTGATTTGTTACTGGATAGGTAAGATGGTGGAGGTTGTGAGTGCAAGGAACATGATTGTGTTGGTGTGTTTATAATGGGGATAGCGGTGGATGATGGTGGTGTTTTTCATGATGGTGGTGTTTTTCATGATGGTGGTGGTTGTGGTAATGACGGTAATAATGGTAACGGTGAATGCAGTGATGGTTGTATGTGGTGATAGTTGTGGTAATGATAGTAACAGTGGTCATAGTGATGGTAGTGATGGTTGTATGTGGTGATCATGTTTGGGGTAATGATGGTAATAGTGGTCACGGTTCTGGTAGTGATGGTTGTATGTGGTGATGGTTATAGTAATGACGGTAATAGCATGGTGATAGCATAGTGATAGTTGTAGTGATGATTGTGGTAATTGTGGTCATGCATGGTTACGGTAGTTATTCCGATGATCTTATGTTAACGATCGCTGTATTTCAGAGGAGCAAACATTGAAAGCAGAGACAAGGACAACTACACTGCTCTGTTAGTTGCCGTGGCTCAAGGAAACAAGGAGGCAACCGATGCGTTGCTGAGACGTGATGCAAACATCAGAGTTGTGGACAGTTCAGACAAGACCGCCATCTACATCGCCGCAGAGGAGAATTGCCTCGAGATTTTAGAGGTAACACACGACTCGAACTCTGCTCAGCTCCGTTCTGCGGAGAAAACGCCAAGTCTGGCTTCACTAGCAAGTCTTCATTGTATATTTTAGTTGCTCATGCATCACCATAAGGCAAAGAGATTGTTGGAGGAAAGTGATAAATATGGGAACACACCACTTCATATCGCTGCTAAGAAAGGATTTATAAATGCTGTCAGGGTATGTTATTTAATGGGAAAAGGCTTTTAGTATGATTACAGTCGATTTACAGATTACGGTGTGAGAAAAGCTCCTTAGTATGTCGATTTACAGTGTGGATATCTTGTTTGTTTGAAATGAACTTTAATGTAGCTATGTTTTGAGTCACTTTAAGACTACAGTGTAAATATATCTTGTCTCTTGACGACGATTCTACACCATTTTCTTTTCAGCAACTGTTGAACGAAGGAGCGGACATAGACGCTGTAAACTTGGACGAGCAGACGCCGTTGCATATGGCTGCAAAGAGTGGGAAAGAAAAGTATGTTTTAATGAAGTAGATTATTTTAATATCACTCCATTCACTCAGTGAGGATGCAAGCATGACCAGAACTCAATTGTTATTCTACAGCATCGTAAAGGAATTGATCAGTAACGATGGCACGATTATCAACGATGAAGATGCTGACTCGAACACAGCACTTCATTTGGCTGCAACAAACGGGCATCATCGAGTTATCGAAGCATTGTTAGACAAGGGTGCGATCATCGATGCAAGGTTAGTGGCCTGCGATCAGGTGTTGCTTGCGATGGTACATGGTCAACGCATGCGTCCTTTTATCATCACCCTTACTCTCAAGTTCCATTGTATACCCTTACTCTCAAGGTTGTTTTGATATTCCAAAGAATACTGACATCTGTGCAAGCTATAGGATTGCTCTGTAGTTTTCATCTACTGCTCTTATGAGTGAGTTGTGACGCTGAAGCGTGACTTGGAAGAACTGCTTTGAGCCCACTATGTTGTACCTTGATACAGAGAAGTCTAATTCAAATTTCCCCCAGTATTATCACCGGTGCAGTGGACAACAGGGCATGCTACTAGCCAGCTATAGCCGGCCAATTGAGAGCTCGGAGCTGTACAGTGAAATTATTTTTATCATCTTTCGCTAGAAATCTCTACGCTTGGACTCCGCTGGATTGCGCGGCATCTCAGGGTTGGACGAAAAGTGCAAGAGTTTTGATAGAATATGAAGCTCCTATCGATCCGATCGACAAAGCCAGGGTAACTTTCTTATGCGCTTATAGCTAGTATTAATCTCCAACCTTTGAAACACTCTTCATAGAGGTCGAGTTATTCCTTATTTCCCATACATGAAGTACCGCAAGTCACCACTAATAGAATACCTTCACTCTACTTATATTAAGGTGACTCCACTTCACTTGGCCTCTCAAGCGGGTCATCTCGATATGATTAAACTACTCTTGGATAATCACGCGGACATCGCTCTCAGGGACGTCAGCGGAAGGAATGCATTAGATATGGCGGTTGATGAAGGTCACAAGTAAGTTGTTACCTTGACTACAGTTTTTTAGATTGTTTTTTGGGATGTTTCAGAGTTTTAATTTTGCGGGGGTTTTGGGGTTTTTTAGGTCATGCGCGATTGCGATTTTGAATCGTGAAAACTGGCGTAAGGCTATGCGCAGTAGATCAGTGGAGAGAGGAATAACAACAACACCTTTGCGGAAGATGATTATTAAAGAACCAGGTCGGTGATGAATAAAATAATCTTACAGTGGGGGGGGGGGTGTTGATGTGACTTTAGGGGTGTTGATGTGACTGTAGGGGTGGTCAGTGGTGATGTAACAATAGGGGTGTTGATGTGATAGTAGAGCTGTTGATGTAGCAGTAAGGTGTTGATGTGACAGTAATGGTGTTGATGTGACAGTAAGATTGTTGAAGAGACTGTTAGGTTTTGATGTGATAGTAGGGGTGATAGTGTGATAGTTGTAGATTGATGTGGCAGCGTTTGTGTCACACTTCGTAATTCAGTTGCCTCATTCAGACTTCTTCATTTTTCAGATGTTGCCGAAGTCGTCTTCAACAAATGCACGACGCTTAGTGACGACGCTCCAGACAGCCACGAGTTCACCGTAAACCTGGACTATGAATTCCTCGAGGACATCTACGCTGAATGGGTCGACACCGTAGGTGACGACGTCAGCATTTCCAGTGACGTCAGACCTTTGCAAGACTCGGACAGTGCGTCGCTGTTTGGTAACGAGAATGCTGAGTATAAGAGCATCGATACGAAGACTGAGGACGAGAAATTACGAGAATTGGAAAGAAAAAGAAATCATCCACTTATGTTGATGGTGAGATGTTTGTTTTAGAGTGCTTTGGTGAACTGTTAGCACCTGGAGCTGGTTGTTTGAAAGGCGTTTATCTTAAATGGCGGATAAGTTCAAAATGGAAAACAAAATTATATAGTTATTAAACAACTGAGCTGAATTATTTCGATGTAAGTAGTTTAATTTTCGATGAAAGTACCTTTTTAATACCTTTTTAAAGATGTAGGTTCAGTCATTCACAAGATGTACAAGAGTATTTGTAACGGTTTAACGTGGCTCATCCACGGTGTAAGCTAAATGCCTTTCGAACAACCGGCCCCTAATACGTGTTACGACTCACCGAATTTAATTCAAGGAACTGATATTGAGACATTCTTGTCCATTGTTTTTTTTTCAGGTAAAACATAGCCGCGAGAGTCTCATTACTCACCCTCTGGTTGTGTTTCTTCTTGATCGCAAATGGAGCATGTACGGCCGAAAGTTGTTCTATGTTAAACTGGTCATATTTCTCATTTTTCTCATGTTTTTGACGGGTTACGTTATCATGGCCACTCCGTCTCAGGCGGGCGTCAACGTCAATGGGAAAATGATAAATTGTACCATTGTGGAGGATAGTGGAAGCATGGCGTTTGAAGTTTTCGTCGATACTGGAAGATATATTTTGCTTATCTTGGCTTGCCTGCATATCCTCTTTGAGGTAAAGCACGTGTGTCACATGAGGAAGAGGTCCAACCTAAACTAAACTAACTTTATTTATACTGGATAGCTCTATCAGTTCTAAACTGTTCTTCCTAGAGATCCAGTAAGGATCATCTCTTATTGATCCAGTGTTACTACAGAAGGAAAACTAAACTAAACTAACTGTATTTATACTGGATAGCTCTATTAGTTCTAAACTGTTTCTCGTGGATGTCCAAATTAGCAAATATTTTAATTACATTTCGTTGCAATGTAGCTATTTCAGTTTCTCTATCAACGATGGCATTACGTCACAGACTACACAAACTATTTTGAAGTCACAATGTATGTTGCAACGGTTGCGTACATCTCAGCAGACTTTGACCTGTCCTTTGTCACCGAATCCGATATCCTCTCTGGTGAAAGGTAGGATGAGACTACGTTTAAACACCGTATAAACACTGTATGAACACTGTATGAACATTGTATGGAATGTATGAACACTGTATGAACACTGTATGAACATTGTATAAACACTGTATGAACACTGTATGAATACTAGCTGTATGAACACTGTATAAACACTGTAAGAACACTGTATAACACACTATTGACACACGTTTCTATCAATCTTCTCTCCCAGTTGCAGTCTATGGCGTGTAAATGTTGGTGCAGTCGCCATATTCCTTGCTTGGATTGTCTTAGTTCTGTTCGTTCGCAAGTTTCCAATGTTTGGAATCTACATCGTGATGTTTGAAGATATTATTTTCACGTTTCTACGATTCTCGATCATCCTCGGTCTTTTCACGATCGCCTTTGGTTTGGCATTCTATACTATGCTTCATCGTCACTGGGTAGGCGATATTTCTGCATTGTGCTGCTAGAAAACGACTACGATAAAAAGCATGCTATATACATCTAACCCTAACTCTAATCCTAACCGAATCCCAAGGATTAAATTAGTTTAATAAGCTACCAATTTTTTGGTAACCAGGCAACAGCGTTTACCAGCATCACCTTGGTGTTCACCAGAGCCTTGTTCTACTCGGGGGCACTGGATACAAGGTTGAAGGACGACTTCTGTCTTGATTTAAAACCGTTTTTATCCAGCGATCTGTGTTTGTATTACCTGATAATCTTTGCTCTCATTTCTCAGGTGCATTCATTCAGAACACCAGGGCTTGGTCTTCTTAAGACGTTTGTGATGGTCATTGGAGAGTTCGAGTATGACTCTGGTTTCAGTAACAATGAAGACGCCATAGGCGATCCACCTGTATTCGCATATATACTGTTTGTTCTGTTCATCATTATCATGACAATCTTGCTCATGAACTTACTGGTAAGGAAAATAGATTTCTTTATATTGTGTCTATACTATGTATGTTGTTGCTTTTCCCAGAGGTGATGTGATCCAGTGTTACTAAAGGAGGAAACTTAAACTAAACTAACTTTATTTATACTGGATAGCTCTATCAGTTCTAAACTGTTCTTCAAGATCGAGGTCCAGTAAGGATCATCTCTTATTGATCCAGTGTTACTACAGGAGGAAATCTAAACTAAACTAACTTTATTTATACTGGATAGCTCTATCAGTTCTAAACTGTTCTTCTAAGAGGTCCAGTAAGGATCATCTCTTATTGATCCAGTGTTACTACAGGAGGAAATCTAAACTAAACTAACTTTATTTATACTGGATAGCTCTATCAGTTCTAAACTGTTCTTCCAAGAGGTCCAGTAAGGATCATCTCTTATTGATTCTGTTTCATTGACCATTAATGCAATTGCTTTTCCTGCCAGGTTGGTTTAGCTGTTGATGATATCAAGGCTGTACAAGCTCAAGCAAATTTGAAACGACAAGCGATGTTGGTAAGAACTAAACTACATTCCATATCCCTAGCTAGCTATAGCGATCTATTTCAGACGACCACTGTTGCCATAGAAATTTAGAGCACGTGGACAAGGCTTTGTGGTGTAATATTCATGTCAACCCAACAAAAGTTTGCGGTAAATGACAAATCCGATATTTCCTAAAATTTACAATGTCCTACACTGTTGTCTTTCAGGTCGATCTGGCATTGAATGTCGAAAAAGCTTTCCCTCGTTTCATTCGTCGCAAATTAATCCCTGAGTTGGACGTGGTTCACCCAAATTGGATGAGAGAAAAACTTTTTATTTCATTGGATGGTGAGGCTATTCGAGATAGGTTGCGTTTTGAGAAGGTGGGTAGTGGTTCTACCTTGTTCTTCCTAGAGTTTCAGTAAAGATCATCTCTTATTGATCCAGTGTTACTACAGGAGGAAACTTAAACTAAACTAACTTTATTTCTACTGGATAGCTCTATCAGTTCTAAACTGTTCCTTCTAGAGGTCCAGTAAGGATCATCTCTTATTGATCCAGTGTTACCACTGGAGGAAGCAGTGCTAATGGAATTTGATTTGTACTTCTAGTCGCCTTTCGAGAAGATTGAATCTCGTCAGGATGAGACGAAGGAAACAGTCAAGAAACTTAAATGGCACGTGTCTCAGCTAAACAACAGAACTGAGAAAATTGAGATGATGTTGAAAGCGATCGTAAGTCACATGAAAGTCGAAGTGAACGAAGACGAGTATGATGATGACAATGACTAAAAAGTCCGGCCCAATATCTGAGGCTTTTGACTTAGTATAAATGCAAATTTCACTGTGTGTGTTTTTATTGATGCACATAATAGTCAACCTCTAATGTTTACAGTGGCGTAGCAAGAATCCTTAAGTGGCCAGGGGGGGCATATTTATATATTTATGTTAATGTGGTACAAAGTTGCTCCCCCCTCGCTTGTCCAGCTGACTACAACCGCTGCACATGTATTGCTATCTCTATAAAAATAATAAAAGCAAACCATTCACAAACCATTCTCATAATGGCGTCAAACACGAAAAGCCTGTTATTTTAACAGAAAGTTTGATTGGCTTTTCCTCCCTTCGTTTGACGTCATTACGAAAAAGGTGTATTAAATGTATTCGCCAAGTGTCATTGACCTTGATCAAATCAAAATTGGTGTATCAATTTAGGTTTTTTGACGATTGCCATTCATTGATATCTGCTATCATGTAAAGCTTATTTAAAAACCCAACAATATATTTTGTAATTTACAAGTGTTCAAACGACAAGCTTTCTACTAATTATGACGAGTCTATGGGCGATGTCCGTTGACTTTCAAGCCATTGCCCGCGTTATAACAGCTGAAGCATATATCATGTGTAGTTGTGTACCTTGCTCTATAACTCAGGTGTTGCAACTGGGCGTTGCCAACACAGTCTGCGGCTCTGCCCCTTCCCCACACCCGTCACTGGTGAGGGGACTTTTCTTTTGTTATATTCAGTTCACTAGCTACCGTATATAGCTCAGTGTTCTGCTCGAAGAAATCCAATATGAAAGCTTTGCAGTATTTAATACTTACGTGGTGTACCTACAAGTTATTATAATTACTAAAGTCGCCATGCAATCATACAAGAAAATTAAATCCAATATGGCCGACGATGTGAATGAATGTGCGATTTTCAACATTTCATTTCACTGTAAACAAGTAATAAAGAATGCCTGCAGTTTGCAAGAAATGTGGAGAAAGAGGTATCCTAAAAAGACCTAAAACAGTAAGAAGTACTTTAGCTTGTTTTATGCGATGCTGAATGCTTTTTTATGCGTTACATACACTTATATATGATACACACATGTTTAATACTCAATTAAAGTAAACGATATTAAAACCATCCAAACCTAGGGCGAAGCGTTTTGCAAGGAGTGCTTCTTTGCTGTGTTTGAAAGTGAAATTCACGAGACCATTACTAAAAGTAAACTGTTCAAAAGAGGCGAACTAGTGGCCATTGGAGCTTCGGGAGGAAAAGGTATAAAAAACAATAAATATTTCAGAACATCTCAACTAGTTGCTAGTCAGTCAAACTCACAGTACAATATCGATGGTGTGAGAAATTGGACCGTTCTGTGCGGTGTAATTATACCTGGAAGTCCACACTCTTATCTAGATTCAACAGTGTTGGCCTATGTTTTGAAAACATTAAATGCCAGATATGATTATGGACTGGAATTGATTCTGTTGTCTGTTGATGAAGGGATAACAGGCTACAGAGATGATTCTTTGGAGGTATGGGGGTTCTTTATTTTTATGCGTATGTGATAATTTACAAGCTGTTCCTGGAACATTATTTCAATATCTTTCATCGGATGAAAGTTCTTAGAAAGTTGTTTCGGCTTGAATGGTGGATGATTCAAAAATACCAAACACGTTTACACATTTGTTATAGACAGTAAAACGAAACAAAGAACAATACCAGTTGCCTCTTAAAGTTGTTTCATATAAGGCAAGTTTAACATTGAACACCCTTTTCAATTTTTCAGCATACAAACCTAGTGACCTAGTAATGAGTTTGTAAATGGCCCAGATGCATCGGTAATTCTTATCATATTTAGATAATTTTTTTCTCTAGGAACTTTATGGCTGGACAATGGATGAAATTGTTAAACAAATTGGACTGAAGAATAATTGCACATTTTGTGGCGTATTCCGAAGGCAGGCGTTGGATCGAGGAGCAATGTTGTTGAAAGTTGACAAAATTGTTACTGGTAAGATTGCATTTTTTAATTGTGAAGAGATGACAAAAAGTAATGCTAATTAAAGTATTAACAATTCAATGCTCATCACAGAATTAATTTTGCAAATGCTTTTAAGGAGCATTTCCCTTCTCTCAGGCCCACAACAAAGTTCTTCATCTGTCGGGGCATGGTTTTAGGTGACTTGCAATGTGTAAGAACTAAATCTTTTATTGTATCTTAGGTCATAATGCAGATGATATTGCTGAAACAGTGATTATGAACAGTAAGCTTTTTCATTCTCCTCAATATTTCTTATGTGCTCAAGTCTGAAAAGGCTTTCCTTCATTCCATAGTTTTACGAGGCGATATTGCAAGATTACAAAGATGCACAGCTATTACAACGGTATGGAGACTAATTAGCATTCAAGCCTGATGTTACACAAAATTTGATTGGCTCTACAGAATTACTAACAAGCCAATCAAACTTTGTGTAACATCAGGCTTTCTGCAATGTCATTATGTCTTTTAGGGTACAGAAGGTGCAATACCGAGATGCAAGCCTTTGAAATATGCATATGAAAAGGAAATTGTAATGTAAGCATGGAATATGTATTTTACCAGTAGTTACATGAATGGAGAAATTGTTAGATATTGCTTGTCTTCATAGGTATGCATATTTTAAGAAACTGGATTACTTTTCAACTGAATGCATATATTCTCCTAATGCATACAGGTAAACTTTATTGCAGCTGCAACTTAGCGGTTGCTTTCATATATCTCTCTCTTTCTCTGAAAAAAGTTTATTGATCATGTTATTTGTAATTTGTTACAGAGGCTATGCTCGAACATATTTAAAAGACTTGGAGAAAATTAGACCAAGTTCCATTATAGGTGGGTCATTAGATGATATGAAATTGACTCATGATCCAAATTTCACCACAACCTTATTACTTTGCGGCTTGCAACAAGCTGATATGTAAAATATCTGACCATGAACATCTTGATCACACTAGACATCATACATTCTGGAGAGAGTTTGTCCGTGAAGAGTGAAGTGAAGATGCCAGTTCAAGGTGGGATCAATAGAATGAGAGCTTAAAGTTAGTTTAGTTTAGCTTTCCTCCTGTAGTAACACTGGATCAATAATGAGCAATCCCTATTGAGATACCTATCATATAGATTTAGGTAACTACAATTATTTGACTTATTGCTTGCTTGAAACATTAAAATTTGTGACCCTCTGTTAGGAAATTGTACAAAGTGTGGCTACATCTCAAGCCAGCCTCTGTGTAAAGCCTGTGTCTTACTAGAAGGATTGAACAGAGGTTTGCCAAGGTACAGTAGAATGTTAAATGTAACTGTTTGTGATGGAGAGTAATGCCATCATGTTAATGGTACTCTTTCTGCTCTCTTTTCAGGTTGGGAATTGGAAAAAGTAACAAAGCAAAGGTGGGTAAATGCCATTTACAGTAAGGGTGGGGATGGTTATACTGAGAAGGGTGTCTGGGTGTGCACCCCTGGCCTAGTTTAAAGCAGGTGCATGGGTGTACAGTACATCACTGGCCTAATCATGAGAAGGGGAAGAGTGCATCCCTATCTCAATAGGAGGGGATGTAGGGAGGAGTCTACAGCTGGCCTGAAATCTAAAACCTCTCTCCCTTCAAAACCTCACTGGGTCAACCCTGTAGCACAAGCAAAGAAGTTATATGCTGGTATTGGAACTTTGAATGCATTACATTGATGTGATACAGATAAATTGATAAATTGGCTCTATTAAGCCTTGAACATTGATGTGAGCCATTTTTTTTCTATCATAGTTGGATGATTTGATGAAATCGATGTCAACGGAAGTGAAGACAACAGATAAAGACACTGCAGATAAGACTGACAAACCAACAGTTGGACAGAAATTAACTACGTGAAAGATTTTTAACAACTTCATGCATAAAAGGAGCTGGACAGTATGAAATGAAATGTAAAGAGTTCGTGGAGTCACAAAGTTGACAAGAATTTTAAAGGTAAAAATATTGAAAAAATGTCTGTGCATGTACACTGTGCGTGCATGAGCATTTAATATACCTCTTGTAAAATTTGGATTTTACCATCCTTTGTACAAAACGTGATAATTAAATCCCCTTTAAGACAACCAAATATTTACTATACATTTCATGTATAAATAAATTATTCAACAAAAATCTCTTGGTCCTTATTAAATAACGAAGAATTTTGGTAAACACTGGTAAATATCCTCTCTCGAAGCGATGCAAAGGAGTCGGAAAAGTCTATTGTTTACAAAGCGCTGTTGAGTGACGGTTGGATTAACACCAACATATTTTTTGCCGGATTAACAATAATTGTGTAACAACCATTCAATTCGGGTGTTCAAGATCCCTTAAGTGCCTTGTAAATATTATTATTCAATTTCTTTGTAAATCAGTTTCATGCTAATTCCATGTCGATACATCATGTTTGCAAACATCAGAAAATTGACGAGAGTTCTTATGTAAATTAAGGTTTTATTGAGCATTGTACGATGTCTGCAAATGTTGTCGTTAAAAAAAATCGATAAAAAAGTCAATAGTGGTAGCTCAGGGTATCGGTCTCAAATCTTTAGGTAGACGCGTAAAAATCTTGAAAGCAAAAAATTCTGGCACACGTCTTATGCTCTGGCATACGCTCGCAAAAAGTGTCGTTTTTGTACCAGGTCGTAGCGGAAAACTCGCTAAATTCCACAATGATTACTGGATGTTAATTGGTAAAACACGAACAAGTCTCTCCAAATCAACACCTTTAAGTTTGGAACGAGTCTCTAACAAGCTGTCGATGACTTGTGAAGAAGATGAGATAAGTTGTGATCGCACAGATCTTGTAAATTAATACTGAGTATCGGGCATCTCTACCGCCCACGATTCCTGTATATGAGCCGATTTTAAAAAACAAAAACATCGCGGGCAATTATAAATCTATTTCAAAGCGTCTTTGCTGAATTCTTTGCACTTTGTAACATTTGAATAATTTGTAAAAACACTCCTACAAATTGAGACGTTGACCTCATTACATGGATGGATAATGTCTGATATAATTGTAACCAGCATTCGCCTCAATAATATGTACTTGAACGTCTATAATTTCTAATCTTAGATATGTAATATAAATTCACCACACGCCAGAGATAATCGACCATCAATATCTATCGAAAATTCTTCGCTTCACCGGATGATGGTCAACCGATCGAAAATTTTTGACACTTACATTAGGGCTAAAGAAGTGGCACTAAATAGGCTCAAAAATAACATTGTTTAACTTTAATTAAATAAATTATTAGGAAATTTTAAATGCATATGCTACCGGGCTTTTACGTTGTCTCCCATTTTAAGAAATGAAAAATTGAAAAATTTGTAATATCTTCTACCATTTAATGATCACTCATTCTTCGCGTTTGAATCATCCAACGACAACAACCGTCCGCGAGCTATATATATATATAGTAGCCTTCACAAGGCACACATAAATATTTTTTTTTCAAACAACACTGTTAGACATTGCGACTAGCGTTCGTAATTATCGTGCTGTTCTTTTCAGCGCTAACAATATGAGGTCCGCATATTGCTCATGACGCATCTTTCGCCATACTTCGCAAGAAACATTCGCGTGTTCTTGTCCTTTATAAAGTCCAACGGCTTCTGACCGTCATTCGTTAGTTCCTTCGTATCAGCGCCTACAGACATAAGGAACTTCGCAACGTCGTAGTTCTTTGTTGCCATTGCAAAATGCAGCGCTGTCCAACCATCTGAGTCCTTCAACTGAACGTCGGCTCCTAATTCTACCAATAACTTAACGTACTTTATGCTACCAGCATATGCAGCAGTGCTCAGAGGCGTATGTCCGAATTCGTTCAATGAATTTACATCGTAAAGATGTCTCTTTGATAAAATATTTCGTATTTCTTGTTCAATATTATGACCTGGTAGGGTTTCGTTAATAATACATTCTTGAGGGAACGGTAACTTATTTATATTATCCTCTTCGCCATTCATTGTCATGTACAGCCAGGAATTGTCTCTCATCGTTGAAGTTCGCCTTGAACTCTTGCCCTGTGTCGGCGAATGCCCACGTTCTGTATCAAAGATTGAGTTTTACATGATTGATTCTCGTCTCGTTGGACAATACGGACGAGTATATTTGCAAAGTCGCAATGTTGTCACTGTGTAAACAAAAATTCATTAAAATTAAATTAGAAATTTAAATGAAAGGCCACTTGTAACAACCTCTATTTTCGTTTCAAATTTCATTTGAATAACAATAGCTCGTAAGGGTATTCACGTCAGGTATTGTTTCAGTGTCAGAAACACCTGTCTTCTATCCGCACGTTTTGCCCTCTCAGCTCTTTTTATGCTAAGAAAGATACTGATAACCCAAGTACCTCTAGGATATCGAGATATCGCTCATCACGAGATAAAAGAAACTGGGTAAATTTACGATGGCTATCGCAGCCCAAAAATGGTCAAACTTTTAAGAGAGTATTTGAATTATGCTCACGACCCTATGTAACTTTAACCCACTCAAAGTGCTCTATCCACTTTTATTTTGATGGGGATTGCAAAGTTCAAAGTATATTCTCCAGCGTTAACGGTACGAAACGGGTTCATTTGGAAAAGTGCAGATGAAGTGAAGATGTAGTTTTCACAGATATTGGTCATATTACAATTGGTAAAAGTAATGGTGACGTGTAAAGTATTCTAATTCTTCCAGATAATGTTATTTCTTTTCAAAAATAATCATTATCAGTTAGAGTAACCATCGTATCAATGTGACCATCGCTTTATTGAAGCACCCATTCCAGGCCAAAGCAACTAAAAGCGGTACCAATCGTTTGCTATCCCTACTTATCATTTCTTATACTCTTCTACCACTCACTGTACTCCTTAGTATCCTTTAGTATCCCAGACTATCAAATCCTACCCTGTGTTCACTGCGATTTATCCTAAATATCCCTAGTACACCCTCCAACCTTCCCAGGATACACTCGTGGCGCAAGCCTAGCAACAAACAAATGTTTTCAAAGTTTCTTTCAGAAAATGGCTCATGAAATGGATGAATTTCAGTCTTCAGAAGAGGTGAAAATACTTTAAAACTACAGTACCGTATTCTAACCTACCGCTAGTGGTATTCACCTTTATTTCTCTTGCTTTTTAGACCACGTTTGTGGTCGACGAAGTCAGTAATATCATCAAAGAGGCAAGTTGACGTTGATTGTTATATATTTTTGAGCATTTTATATAATTTGTAATTGTGTTCAATTCATTTTCCAAATAGTCTGTTGAAGGGGCAATCGGTGGCAATGCATACCAACATAATAAAGTTAACCAATGGACTTCAAATGTGGTTGAACAGTGCCTGAACCAACTGACAAAATTGGGAAAACCTTTCAAGTATATTGGTAAGTAAATGCAGTTATTACATTATGTAAATGTGAGGAAATGGTACTTGTACAAATCTGTGTTGTGTGGTTTGCATAGGAATGACTTTGTTGCTGCTTGTACATTTTGTAGTTACATGTGTCATCATGCAGAAGAATGGTGCTGGTTTGCACACTGCAAGTTCCTGCTATTGGGATAACGCAACTGATGGTAAGATAAGAGAAAAGGCAGATTTACATGGAGAATGGTAATGTCAAAGGCGGTATGGAGGTGGTAAATAAACGATGTGGCATATACTCACAATTTTCACACCGTCTTTGACATTCTAACCTCAATCTGAATCTACCTAAAGGTACTATTGCCAAAGATATTGATGTCGATACTTTGTCAGGGCTTCTACACCCTGTTTGTAATATTCACCTTTTCCAAACTCTTATAGTTCTACTTTCCTTATTATTCCAGGCAGTTGCACTGTGAGATGGGAGAACAAGACTATGTACTGTATCGTGAGTGTGTTTGGTCTCTCCATTTAATCAAATCTATATGAACACTGTGGAGTTATTTAATTTTTATCTGTATGGTATTTTATTTTTATTATAAGTTACCAAAGGGAGACCTGATGATACCTAGGTGTATTGGAATGTATATATGGTAGTATGTTATATCATTAAATTTATTTCTACATATGCTGGCATTACCTGAATGATTTATTACACATTATCTCAAGTAATAAGCATTACTCTTTCCTAACAATTGACAGCTCTTTCCCAACAATTGACACTAATAGCCTCTGGATAACTGAACTACCTTATATTTTGGAACTAGTAACTTGGCCAACAAGGCTTGCATCAAATTCGTAATTTTGAACACAATGTGATTTTATTGTCTTTGTGAGTATGGCATTGCAGTGTCTTGTGGTGTGAATCCCATTTTTAAAATATTTTGGTGCAAGTGAAGATTCTAACTGCAGGCATACTGTATGCTATTAAATATGGTAGTTATGTCCATACTTCGTGCAAATTCTCAGCAAGTATGGCATAACAACTGCCTGAGAGGATGTGAAAATTAGTTTGCAAAACTACAAATATTGAAAACCACGCTTATATTATCATTTTCTATATATCCCTTCACCCAGGTATCAAATATAGATCAGTGGGTACGTAACATTTGAAATTAATTATAATGACGTCATATTCGCGGGGGGAAAATCTCGGCCTAGTCCCTGGATATAGAGCGCTCGGTTACGTTAATTGCAAAATTTTTTCCAAGCTGAACGACGCCGTCAAAAAGCTTCGAAATTTGTTGAAAATTCTCCTGGAATTAATGCGTAAAATTTGATGAAATTACGGCTGCGGTATAGCCAGGTGTCGTTTCGTCAAGGGAGCTTCTTGGATTTCACGTAGCGGAAAATTTTGATGCTAAAAAGTAATGGAAAAAAGCGAAGGTCTCTTTGCATGTTCCAAGTGTCATGGGAGATTCGCTTTCGAGGAATTAAGCCGAAGTGAGCATTTATGCAAGGTAGGTTCATTCATGTGTTTATGAGAGCCTGAGATCAGTGTTTTTTTTGTCGTTTGTCCTTTTATTCAAATTACAGTATATTTTACATAGATCTGTGATTTGACAATTATAATTGTATGAGAGTATACATGCATATTGTTTGAGTTTGTAATTTATGATTAGTTCAAGTGGAACTTGGGGATGTAAGTAATACTATTAAGGGCATGTTCACTCAATTTACTTAATTTGTCCAACCTGCCATTTTTGATATGAGATTGAGTTATAGAGTGTATTCCATGCTTTGAATCCCAAAGATCTTTGACAATAATTAATTACATTTTCTCTCACTTTGAGACTGTAGAGAATTAATTTAGGCATCAATGTTGCCATATTTTTGGTGCAGAGTTACATAGAATGCACCCAAGTGATAGAACCTCTTCACTCCAGTCACATGCACAATGGAGTGCGGCAATATCCACAAAAATATTCAACATGATTGTCTTTTGTCCCTTAGGATTGTCGGCATGCCCATCCGACAGCTTGCTGTATCTACTGTCGCCTGGAATTTCACATGACCAGGTATTACCTCTTGAAATATATGTTGAAGCATGCATCCGTACATTGCCTACAGATTGATTGTATGTACATTATAGTAGGAAACATACCGAATTGTAAATCATAAATTTCTGTTTGAGTATTCCATCTACACCCAATATCTTTCACATAACGCCTCACATATATCATGTGTATATTTTTCTTCTAGAAAACATGAGAAAAGCCCAGTATGCCCAAAATGTGATAGCTCTTTAGCAATTCATGGACAGGTAAAAAGAGATGGCTTCTTTCTGGCTATAGTTAAATTTTTGGTATATCTAGGTAGTAACAATTTCATGTTACAAGTGCATATTTATGATCTGGGGAGGTTTAATACTATGCCGTAGTAAGTATATATTTTGCTTCATTCAGCCTAAATGTTGCCAGTATTGCAATTTGAGAGCTGCATTTGGAGGACCACAGTGTAACAGGTTTGCTTACCATTTCACACAATTTTATAAGGATCGAGAGAAATATTATTTAAACCTGAAGGTTGAAGTAATGTACTACCATGGCACAAGTTTTATTCCCGTTCATATTCCAGATGTAAAAGTTCTGTGAAGAAATATGGCCCTCCTGTTCCTTGTGAGCAATGTAAACTAACCTGTGCATTCAACAAACCTGAAGATGTTTTAAAAAGGGTGAGAGATATACCTTCTAAACTTCATCCTCTTTTGCTGATAAATAATGAATCTACAGCTTATTACAAAACTTGAAATTATTTTGACAGGTAAATGGCAAACTGTTATGCCTCCTTTGTACAATATCATTCAAAAGATTACAACATCGACAGAAGAAAGCAACCAAGCGTAAACATGCAAATACAGACTCATCCGACAAGGCAAAAAATGGTGCAAAAGAGGCAAAGGTGTCGAAGAAAGTATCAAGCTCTGATGAACGCACCACTCCTGTTAGTGATAATCCACTGAAGCAATTTTACACTTCACAACCAAGGTACATAATGCTACAATAACCATCCATATGAGATGAGAAATTTGGTGCATGGAATAGTTTAATTATTCATTGAGAGGTGGAACTATAATTTGGTTTGGTTAAACCAGTGTGTCTTGGCTAGTTTGTACTCTTGTTTCATGCAATTTCATATGCATTTTTTTAAAGTGAATCTGCAAAAGTTACAGATCAAGTTGCAAGTGACCATGTTACAGAATTAACAAAACTTCGTGAAGAGGTAGACATCTTATGACATACAAATTCCATTGACATATGACGTATTGAAGGTTTTGTCGCTCTCTGACAACGTGTCCTAGAATATGCCATTTTATTTTTAGTTAGCTGGAATGAAACGAAAGCTGCAGCAGAAGGAACAAATGTTAATTGAAAAGGAGAAACAACTAACTGAGTTAAAGGCAGAGCGTTGGGAGAAGGATAAAGATCAAAGACAAAAAATCAGTGCTATTCAAAAGGAAAGCATGGAAAGATTGAAACTCATACAGGTAAAATACAGTCAAACAACAGCTTAAACTGATACAACTATTGATAAGGTGGTGCAGCTTTCAGAAAACATAAAATACAGCTCCACATTTACAACTCTGCATGTTTTTGCAGGAAGAAAATCGCAACCTTAAGAAACAGATTTCACAGTTGTCCAAAGGCTCAGCTAAGACAGGCAGCTCTTAAAGGATCATTATTCATATCACTTTTCTAAATCTAACTACTGCACATAATTTTCTACCTACTGTACACTGTATGTCCAAGAAGCTGCCATCTTTTCTGTGATTATTACGGTTCAAGTTAACATTAAAAAACAGGCAGCAGTGACGTAAGTAGAAACAATGCGTAGTTGTAAATTATACAACTAAACCTTGGCCACAAGCCCCTTAAAAGTATATTTTGTGAAGGAACAATATTGTCCGGAATCAATAAAATAATGCTCATGATGATTCAATGACCCTTTGTTGACCTCAGGAATGTTTCCATAAGAAAGCTATATAAAAACTATACATACATATATTTAATGTTACATGACTATAGTTTTAACACTTGTACAATAAGATGCCGTGACTATATAGTGAAAGGCCAATTTGTAGTTAGTATACCAGTTTTCCCTAAAGTATTTGAGAATAACTGAAGACAATTTGCTGTAAATATCATTTATTATTTTTTTATGTTTGATGGACATATATACAACGATAAGAGTTGTTTGACATTTTTTAAGGACTATTTCTGTCAATAAAGATAGATTTGCAAAGTGTATATACAGGTGTTCATCTTTGATTACTCTTTGATCAGATTCAAAATACGTACTTTACATCACTGCTGTGAGTTGTGTTTTGAACATTTTATAATGAAAAGCTTAATGAATATGGGATAGTCAATAGTCAATAGTCAAATGACCATTGTCTAAATGACAGTGTTTCATAAGTCATAGCAATATTATTTCACTTGCCCTGGTTATCTTTAGCAATATGTCTATATTTTCTGCTTTTCACTTCAATCTCTTGCAATCTCTTAATTTCTGCATCTTTACGTGTGACCTCATTCCGAGCAGTTAAGTATAACGATGAAATATTAGTTTTTAATATTTCATTCTGTTCTCTGAGCTGTAGGTTCTATACAACAGTTCAATCAAAGACATAGAATTAGAAAAATATGAGAGTATTTTGTTGCAGCGTTTTCAGTTTCTAGTTGGTTAGTTCAATGTTACTTAATGCACCTCTTTTTCAAGATCGATAATTGTTGATGCTTGTACTTCACACTTTGCTTTCATCTAAACAGAACATTGAAAAAAAATAAATACGTAGGTACTTTGCATGCACACACAAATATTTAGTGAATAATTTGCAAATAGATTTGAAAAGAATCAATATTCTAAACCAGATTTACCTCGTCAAAAGAAACCTGTTTAGTCACGTCAAACTCAAGATCACCATACAAATCCACATCAGTAATTTCATCTTTTGGTTCCAATGGTTCCTCTTAAAAGTTAAAACATATATTAAGGTAGTGTTGATAATTACCAGTCCATTCAATGTTACTGGGACTCAATTCTTACATTGAACAGTCAGTTGTCTGGCATTAAACTATTTATATAATTTAAAATACTTACCCATACAGGTTTAATGGTTTTACAATGATCAAAGTTCACTAGGGAAACACTAGGGATTCTTTTTATTCTGGATACGTGATGTGTCAAGTGACAAGAATTTTTCTCGTAACAAGGAATCTTGCACCATTCTCAAATCTTTTATTTCAAGACTAAGTAAAATTTTACGGATTTTTAGGGAAAACTTAGGAATACAGGAAGGAATAGGAAGGATTTCTTAAGTTCACTTTAGTCAATAGTTCAAGTCCATCAACTTTTAATCTATGGTTCTTTTAGAACGTCACCTAATTTCTGTCAAAAACAATGTTTTTTGATAATTTTTTTTCTAGGACATGAAGAAAATGCACGGAGCTTACGAGTATGTGAGTTCCGTTTCGCAAGCTACGACGTATCTGCGAGATTCGTTCAAAAGTGAATTTAATGACCTCCCAGATCATTTGCAAATAAGCTATGAGTGCGATAAAAATCCCTGGCAGAATATATTCATGCAGGACTTTATCATGGTCGCTGAATTTTCTGAACACGAAGGCCCAAGACCATTGGTAAGAATATCATGTTTTGTTGTAATGTTTGTGTTGAAAAGTCAAAATTGGTCATCATTAGGAATATTGATTAATGGTAATTAGATAGTTAATTAGATAGTTCACTAATTCTAGAGGTTTAAAGGGTCTTAATTTCAAGTGGAATTATACACACTTCAAATTCAAGCCAGGAACAGTTGATGGAAAAAATGAGTCAACTATAGGTCCTCCGGCAGGAATTGAACTTGCGCCTTTGCGATGCCGGTGCAATGCTCTAGAATTTACCTACATCCAGTGAGGTGCCAAAAATCGTAATCAATTTAGTTCACTAATTAACTAGATAGATAGAGTTGTTCCACATGTCTATTACTATTTTTAAACAAGAAGTGCAAATAAAAAAATGATTACAACCTGTCTCCCAATGCCCTTCACTGCATGGTATAATATTGTGGTTTAAATCTTTAGTTCACAATACCAGATGATGCAGGCAAAATCTTCGATAAGAATGCTTTTTCAGTTCATGTGATGTCTGTTGATTACCATGCACAATCTGGGTATGATAAATTGATCAAAATTTTGTGTTTGCCCTTTAACATAGTCATGCAAGGCTAATTGATGCCAAATGTTGTGTCTACTAACTAAAGTGACTAAAAATAGTCCTGCACAGAGAAAAAGATAATCGAGTTCTATCTTTTAGGGTTTTATTTTCACTTGTTGATGACACACAACTTATATTTTCTGAAGACAGAGAAAATATTTATGCCTATGTGAGTTTTGTAGAAAAAATTAATTGTGTTTGCTATTGATGTGAGTCATGTAAGAATGTTCACATTCTCAGAAATATATTTATTTTAATTATTTTATTTATTTAGGTGCATCATTTTATTTTACATGATATTGAGGCAAGGGGTTTTGTCCGGCCTTATTGTATGTGTTACATTAGCAACTGTAAAAAGTAAGTGAATATTCTGCTAAGGTAATGTTGTCTTGAGATAATTAATAGCAGTTGGGGATGGATCCATTAAATACACTTAATCTTTTGCCTCTTAATAGAAAGATTATGGACAATTTGGAGAATTTTATTGATGAATTTAGTAAGGTACTGAAAATGCATTGCTACTGTAAACCAAAAGGAACTATTGAAATTGAAAATGCAATATATATTTTTCTTGTTAAGATTTCAAACCATTTTAAAGCAGCCAATAAACCTTTGTTCCTTGACGATCTCAAGCAAAGACTAGCTGATCTGAAATATGTCCAAGGTAAGTCCATGCAATGAATAAGTATATATTGATTAATTTAAATTTAATTCAATAGATTGTTCAAATTCTCCTATATGATGCTTGTGGTTCTCATCTCTAGATTGTCTTGAAAACATTGAAAGTGAAGATTCAGAATGGGTAGAAGTTTCACAGGTATGTGCATGCAGTGAAGCCTATACCAACCTCACTTCTCAATTAGGTATAGAACCAAGTGGTTTACAGCTTATTCAATATTTAGCTTCAGAAAGAATGAGATATTGTTACGTTTTTACAGAAAGCATGTAAGAACCTGCAGGGTTTGAATACAGAGACAGTCGACTCTATGTTGACTGAAGCAGAAAGAGCCATCACAGTCATGAAGGCTGCAAAGACTGTAAGTACATGTAATGAGATGGTTGCATTATGTTATTAACTTGCAACTCTTCCATTAATGAGTAAAATCATCAGGCATTAAACAAAGTGAAATACTGAGGCACAGCTTTATTATAATGTATATAAGTTTTTTTTTCATATTCTGATTTCTAATATATATAGGCAACCAGGGAAAATACTGCTGAGGGTGAAGTTGAGAAGAATTCATCTACTGGTAAGACTACATTTGTGGTATTATATGTGTATATATCAACAACATATTACTGCATATTTTCACTACTTGCTTTTGGTTTCTTAGAAAGTTCAAAAAAGTACGCAAATAAAAATTATGATGAAGAAGTGCCTAAATTGACAGCTAATGGACAAGGTATAGTAATATTCACTTTATTTCTTTGCATTGTACATGGAGTCAAATTAAGGCCTAATCATGTTCATTAATATTGAATTTTGCCATCCAAAATCGTGCAGATACTTCATGTTATGAGCTTACACCAGGAGGACAAATACATGATGTAAGTCGAGTCATAGGCGGCCCAAAATTGGCGGCAAAAACTTTTTCGGCAATTTGTCAATGTAATGTATAATATATAATTACATATTATACATGTATTATATATATGTAATTATATATTATACATTACATTGACAAATTGCCGAAAAAGTTTTCGCCGCCAATTTTGGGCCGCCTATGGTCGAGTATGATAATTATTTAGATTTGAAAAAAAACTTGTGGTCATGAGTCTCTATTGCCTATATTTCAGGAAATCATTGAACGTTTGATTCGTGAACGAAAAAGGCATTTGATAGCATTAAGGTGGGCATGCAAGCACCACTCTAGTAATCAATCTAATACAGAACAATAAAGGAAGGAGACTTTTTATGCAACACAATTGTTTTTTTAGGGATATTCATGCTTTGTGTGGATACCGTGCGGTAGAAGGGCTAGCATCTCTTCAGAGAATACATCAAGTAAGCCTGAGCTACGAAGTTCGAGCTTTTTTGACACTATGCTAATTGAGGAATGGATATGTACTAGGGGGTGCATCCTTCTTGCATTAGCTCAGAGTCCATTCATTCCTGTGCTGACTCAGAGAAATTGCCCAGTTCAAGTTTGTTTGATACGAAAATTAAATTGCTTAGCAAGACAATGACTACTATAGCTCTCATTTTCAGCATTTTTATCAACCATACGAAGTGTTTTCCATCATCAAAGAAGAAACGCCATTGTTAGGTATTCGATTTTTTAATTTGTTGTTTTCTAGCCTTATTTTTCATGCATATCTATTAGCGACTTTGCTAACCGTGATATTCGAAGTTGTTTGCAAGGTCATCTGTGAATGTTCAACATTCATGAACACATATGTTAATTGCTTATTCTAGATCCCTTTTCATCATCATTTGCCATTGGCAGTAGTTTCGTTATGAACTTCCGAAAGGATATTCATCTGTAAGTGTTGATAGGCTTAGGTACACAGCGCTTTACCCGACAGTAAAATTTGCGTTTCTTTTCAGTTCGAAGGTGGACTCAACCGCATTTTTTTCATCTGATGCCTTCTCGAAAAACTCTGTAAGTATTTATGTGCATCGCAGAACAACGTAGTATCTTGCAGAACTTGTAATACTTGTTAGTATTTTTCAAGTGTTACTACAGAAGGAAGCCTAAACTAAACTAACTTTATTTATACTGGATAGCTCTATCAGTTCTAAATTGTTCTTCCTAGAGGTCCAGTAAGGATCATCTCTTATTGATCCAGTGTTACTACAGAAGGAAACCTAAACTAAACTAACTTTATTTATACTGGATAGTTCTATCAGTTCTAAACTGTTCTTCCTAGAGATCCAGTAAGGATCATCTCTTATTGATCCAGTGTTACTACAGGAGGAAACCTAAACTAAACTAACAACCTAAACTAAACTAACTTTATTTATACTGGATAGTTCTATCAGTTCTAAACTGTTCTTCCTAGAGGTCCAGTAAGGATCATCTCTTATTGATCTTCTTATGTAGTTCGAAAGTGCTCGCAGTGAACTGAGTAGCGAATCATTCCAATCATGTGTCGAAGACAATGAATCAGATCGCGAAGGATTTTTCGAAGAAAGAAGGCGGTTCTTTACTCACACCCCTTTCTCTGTTATGTGAGTTGAAACAAGAATTACGATTTACGAACACTGCGTGACATTACACGCAGAATTAAGTTACACGAAGTTTGATTGGCGCGTTAGTTTTGCTAATTTATATTTATTTCTCGTGTCCAGGACCACGAAGGATTTGATTGGTGGAGGCAACTTTTCGGACGGCATTTCAGACTGGGCTAGTTCATTCAACGGTAGCCCGTCTTCGGCCAGCCTCGCTGACCTTAGCGATGATTCAACAATAGAACGTTCATACACCCCCACTCCACTTGTCTCAGACACAGAGCCAATCCTCGCACCCAGTTCCCGCGCAAGCCTCGCACCCAGGCCTCTCAGTGGCAGCACTGGCGATCTTCCTTCGACAGGCAAGAATTCATCATTACCATTTCGAAGACAGTTTTCTGCCGTCGAGACTCAAACTAACCACCTGAAGGACATGCTCAGGGACGTTCTGCCATCGACAAAAAAGTCGGAAAATGTTCAAGAGGAAGAAGACGTGGCATTTTTTGCGCCTGGTTCCACCCCCCAGTATAAAGTGATATACAAAGATATGTGCGAGGTTGGTTTGTCGGAGACTGGATCTGGCGATGGGCGGGTTGGAATGAGAAGGTAATATTTTAAGTGTTTGGCATGAGTGGGTGACCTTATTCTTTGCTTCCTTTGTGATCGAGGCAACTTGATGGTTCAAGGAATCACGAACTATTGATGCTGAAGGTGATAATCTCTTCGTAGGCTGGAGAAAATTAATCTTCAGTGCTATGCCCAGCAGCTGTGTCGTCGTAAGTCTGACGGACCAGGTAAAGTTTTACATTACAGAGTTGATATCCGTAAGTTGCTGTGTGATCATATGTCCACCTCAGCTGTGACTTGCTCTGCAATGTTTACCTTAATAAGGTTTAAGCTATGTTTAGCTCCGATCCCTTGATAAGGTTTAAGCCACGTTATAACGAACAACGGGCAATGTTGGAGCATCCATCCCGCTTTCATACAACCAACCGCAAATCATAATGTTCATTTCAAATATAGGTGGTGGTGTTCTTCGTGTTCTCAGAAACCATGGTTATCTTGTTCACTTGCTATATGCCTTGTTGAGCGGTAGAACTGTTGTGATCCTGGCAGACTCTGCTCATCAAAGGTAGGTTAGAACTGGTTGAAAAAACTCAGTGGCATAGCCAGCCCGACAATTTAGTCGTGCTAATATTTTGGTGTTCATTGACTGTGAAAACAACGAATTCTTAAAGAATTAATAATTCTAATGACTTGAAATTTGCATAGCATGACCAAATTGTCAGGCTGGCTACGCCACTGAAAAAGCTTACATTCTTTCTTAGTTTATACCCAGGGCCGTAACTAGAACGATAATTGGGGGGGTGTTTATTCATATATTCAGTTTTGCCCGATGGATTTCTTTTGTAAGTGCAATAGCTCACAATGGAAATCCGTCGGGCAGAACTGAATATATGAATAAACACCCCCCCAATTATCGTTCTAGTTACGGCCCTGTTTATACCATTTTTATTCTTATTCTATCGTTTCCATATGAAAATAGATTTGATCACCCTTTTCCATGTTTAAACTCTTGCAGGAATGTTGAAAACTTAATCACTTCTCTATGGTTGTTTGTGCCTGGAGACTGCAGGTAATATGAGATGTGTGGAACTGAACTGAATGAATCTTAGGTTAACTGGATAATTTTCCTTCACGTGTTTAGAACTTCTCAACAAGTTGTTTTATGGAGAACTAAGCCTTTGAAGTTGTCTGATTTAGGAAGGTAACTCTTCGACATTCTGATATTCTAAATCAACTTCTAGGAATTAGTTGCATCTTAATCGTTCTTTCCAAGTTTTAAATGATTCGTCTTCTTCTTTAAAAGAGACCTGGAACCATTAAAATGAATGTATTCAGTTGTATATTGTGGGGGAAATCTCGCTATGCATTGGTGAAAGAACTTAAGTAGATTTTTTTGCACATTTTTTTAGAATTAAATTGGTCGGTCTAGCAAAATCAAAGCAATTCAAAATCCTGCCTAATTCAGTTCAGGTGAGATGTCAAGAATATATTATACACTGTGGCTCCGACTCTACCTCTCATTGTATCATCACAAGTCTCCCAGTCTACCCCTCATTGTACCATCACTTTGCTCCAACTCTAACCCTCATTGTACCATCACTTTGCTCCAACTCTAACCCTCATTGTACCATCAAATGTGATTTGTCTATTTTAACATATTTTAGATGTACGTATCTATGCTTGATTATGAATCTGGTACTCTTACCACGCCACCTTATCAGGTACGATTTCAAGATTACACCTTTGTTTTCGCAAAAACGTTCACGAAACCCCCCTACTTTGGTACTAAAAAGGTCATGTTGTGTTTAGGGTGAATTTTTAAACGAGATGCTGGCTTTACGAAGATATTGGAAGGTAATTAACTGTGTGTTTCATCTTAGAACTCATACTCAAATTTCTTAAAACGAAATATTGAGAGCTAAAGCATTTCTATATATGATCGAACTCGACGATGCTACTGGTGTCTATAATGTGTACATTTTATTTCCTTTTAGAGCGATGCGATGTTTATTTCATACATCCATAGGTTTGTACCCGCGAAATAGCGATAAATGAAACAGTCCACATGCATACCACCTTATGACATACGTCGTGATATGATTTTTGTTTTCTCCTTCCAGTGTCTTCCTTGAGATCAGCCTGAAAGCATTCGTCTGCTTCTGTGCTATTTCACTTCGCAGCTCAGCCACAGACGCAAACTTACCATGGTACTGTATCAAGCTAGCAAACTTGTTATTGCATGTCATTTGAAATATATTCGCAACAGGCAACAGTATTCAAGCTACTGAGTTTAATAGAGTCGTGTTTTTCAGGAAAAAGAGGAAGTTGATTCCGAGGGAATTCTCTTTGGAGGTAGGAAGAGGTGGATAGTTTAATTTGCTCTTGAAAAACCTCGAATATTCAACCTAAAGTTTTGCTTTCTGTAGTTTATGACAGATATTCTCGATGCTCTTGGTGTTCTTGGTTCTGATGTTCGTATTGTGATGGTAAGAAGTGAAGTTTATAGATTAGTTTCTCTTTATTTGACTCTATACTGCCCTTTACTTAATAAGACTTCATGTATCTTAGTATATTTTGGATCTCGTTTCACATCAACAAATTGCAGACCTGCCGTCACAACGATTAACAGGTATGACCGGTATACGCATGACGAAGGCTAGACATCTCCCTAAAGTAGATTGGGCACTAGTGGTGTAATAATATATCTTTTCTTCATATATCTTAACGTACGTGTTTTCAGTACACCCTTTCGGATAATCACTTTACGAGTACATTAATAACCCTGGGGCCGGTTTTATAAAACTCTTATCTACATTTTAAGTAGTTAAATTAAATCGTAGCTATATAGAAATTACATTATTCTGATTGGCCAATTCTGCCACAAACTATAGTTAAAAGTTAACTACCTTTTTATACAACCGGCTCCTGGAACACTTGTTGACTTCTCCCTCGATTTCTTGTGTGAGTTATGAGTTTCAACGCGTTAATCCACGGTTTATATATTTGATTTCAATTTTAAAAACCAAAAAACCCGTCGTAAGATTGCTTTCTATTTTTAGACAATGCTTCGTTGGATAGCTTAAGTTTGGGGAGCGCGAACTCGTGTGAAAACTCAGGTAGAAAATGAATGAAATAATTTGACGTGGCTAAATTTTTTTGGGCTTTTTTTTCAATACTATTTGTTTGTTTACAGATTCCTCAAGTCACATGTCAAAAACTCGTCCAATCACGTTAGACTTTACTCAACGTGTCGTGTATAAAAGAGGCAGCGACCGTCCAGTTTTAGGGTGAGATTTAGTTTATGTTAAAATTGAGTCTAAGAGCGCTTTTCTTTGTCAAAACGGTCATATCTTGAATTGAAATAGAGTAATTCGTTAAGAATATAGCAGTGAAACTGCATCTCCCGAGCTGGGAAGTTAAAAAACACAATATACTTTGAAGCAGATTTCTCGAGTTACTCCGAAATACAAGTAATCTGTCTGCACTGAAATTCGACAGAACAGATCGGTTTTATCTTGTAAAGAAAGCGCGTTAAGACGAAGTGCTGCTGTGTTTTTGTCTATTAAATAAAATCGTCAAAAATTTCATAAACTGTCGATACTTTTATTTATATAGATACAAATATGTTACATTTTGCGACTCTCCTTACGAATAACTGTTTTACCTTATTCTCTGCTTCTATATAAAGATGTCCAAATTTCTGTTATTTATGTATAACTATTGAATCCTTTCAATAAATATATTTTATATCTCTGTATAAATACAACCACCATTTAGTTATCATCTCTATATATTTTATGGTTCGATTTGAACTACTGACTTCACTAAGTCACCACCAATTAAGTCCTTGTTTTCAGATCAGTGATAGTGAATGCACCATCCATGTAATATCTTGAGATCATCAGTTCACATGTTTTATTTTCTTCTGATAGTCCAATGTGATGAACCGTTATCCCTGACTACCCTGGCGTATCCCGTCTTCTCCGGTGTGTAGCTGGCCATCCCATTGGAACGACGGTAAGCCTCTTGCATTCTCTGTGCTCGTTTCGTACGAGTCGTAGCCTCTCTGTGAAGACGTTGCGTTAAAACTACATAAAAATTGATCAAAAGTCATAAGAATACACTCCCGGATTAATGGTCTTGCTGAAGGATTGTGCAGGATTTGTATACTTTTGCTGTGGATAACTGAGTATACATTTTGAGCAGACCAGTTGATCCTGCGATAATTTTGGGGATTAAATTGAAAGCGAAAAATCTCTGATTTTTAATTTTAACACTTCATGCGTTGAATGGAGACACTAGTGGACGATCATTATTTATGTGATAAGGTTTAAATCGTCACGCTGAATTTGAACTATATTTGCATCTGGCTAATAATTTGAAGAGTGTTAATATAATGTAAATTGATTCTGTACAGAATGTATTTATATCAAGGTGTGCTACGCATCTTTTGAATTGAATGTATAGAAATTGAAAATTCAAGCGATTCATTAAAATTTCATAGCCGAATCAATATCGTTTTTGTTGCAACAATAACAATTGAGGTTAATTGCTACTTCCCTTCACCGTTTCAGTTCTATATTCCATGTTCGGATTCATTTTTGGCAAGCAAAAATTGAAAGGAATTTCCTGAACCATTTGGTTCTTGTGTAAAAGCATATTCGACACAAAAACAGATACTGATATTGTTATGTCTTGTTGTGTTATTTAACGGCTTGTCTGATTTCATTTGCAGGAATTTTACTCACTGAATATTCCTAATTTTTTGCACAATATTGTACAGAGTGTTGTTAGTGAAATATGAGAAATATTCTTAAGACAACCGCCCGTGTTCGTTTCAAATTCGCTTTATTTGTCAGCATGCTGCAGGTGGCTAGCTAAACGATCTGTTCAGGTCATTTAGTTTTTTCCTGATATTGTATTTCCTGAGTGTTATCGACGAAAAAAAATTTGCCTAAACTTCTGAAACATGCCCTCAGCTAATATTTGCTTTGAAATTTGCTGCTGTGTTCTCCATTTTAAGGTCAATCACACCTTATTCACATTCGTTTGCAATATCTGACTCGCAAATACCAATAGTTTAGTTACAAGCCTCGAAACATGCACGAACTCGTAAAAGTGGTACATCGAACAGGTGGAAATCTTCGTCATTTTTAACTAGACGAAATGTCGGAGTTTTTATCCGTTTTTGAAGTGGATGTTTCCGCGCGAAATGGTGTGTGAGAGGAACTTTAACACGCGAATGACGAAAGTTTTGCGTTGTTTAAATCCCGTTAAAGCTTCTTTCATCAAACTAATATCAAATACGCAAATATTTATCTTGTGGGAGCTCGGAAAAACACTCAGAAAGGCGTAGTTCGTATTTTGATGCAATGCAATTAGATCGTGCGCTATGAAAAGAATCATCTTTGAATTTACAAATAGTCGGAAACAATCGTAGCGATTACGAAGCTGAAAAGGATTAAGAAATCTTTAAAACAGGGGGAGTTTCTGACGTGCTTCTTTCACAGTCGTTTCATCACATTAATGGGAGTCTAGGCTAAACGTTTGCTTCAATTTCCGCTGGTTTTTCGGCTGACGTGCGGGCTTGAACATTTGGAGTATCACAATCTATCAAAACCCTGCCTTTACGATTCAAAAACATCACTTACCAACAATGCCTTTGGGTTCATTCTGATCATCCCCGTTCTCGAGGTTCTGGGACAATCTCGCTCTTGTTTTGTTCATTCTTATTTCCAAGACCTCATCGAGTTCGTCAGAGTTGAATTCCTGTTCGTCCGAGTCGATATTATCCTGGCTGTTCCACTTTTCCTCCTGCATTATGTGATATAGTTTAGCTTGCTTTGTAGTTTGTATAAAGTGTTTGTCTTCTGTATCGAATATAAGCTCGAAGCACTTACTGGATTATTTCAGTTCTGATATGCGCTTCTGTTTGCCGGCTCTTATATACATTACGTAATTACGTCATTTCGACCTTTTTGGCCGGGTAAATAAAGAGGGGTAGTCAAGGCCGTACTTTGTCATTGTCATACATGCATGATCTTAGTCACCCGATGCGCTGACGCGGCCGTTACCTTAGCAACGCCCACGCCATCAAACAAGCGATTTGCATACAAAGTCGACTCTCTATTGCACTGATGAAGGTCCGGGTTAACGGACCGAAAGCTTTGCAGTATTTAATACTTACGTGGTGTACCTACAAGTTATTATAATTACTAAAGTCGCCATGCAATCATACAAGAAAATTATTAAAGTCGACTCAGTCATACATCGCCTTTTAAAGCGTAGTGTCTGGGTTATTACATGTAGCAATTTTAGTTAAATCAAGGAAGAGATTAAAAATAATTGTCTGAGGGCGATATTGTCTTTGACAAAAAAGTCTATTTTTAATTTACAATTGTTTTGCCTGTTTTCTTGGAGTTCCTGTAATGATCATATCTTATTGATCCAGTGTTACTACAGGAAGAAATCTAAACTAACTTTATTTATACTGGACAGTTCTGTCAGTTCTAAACTACTTCTTCCTAGAGGTCCAGTAAGGATAATCTTTGATCCAGTGTTACTACAGGAGGAAACCTAAACTAAACTAACTTTATTTCTACTGAATAGCTCTATCAGTTCTAAACTGTTCTTCCTAGAGGCCCAGTAATGATCATCTCTTATTGATCTAGTGTTACTACAGGAGGAAACCTAAACTAAACTAACTTTATTTATACTAGGTAGCTCTATCAGTTCTAAACTGTTCTTTATTACAGGAGGAAACCTTAACCAAAGAATATATTTTTTACTCTACGTGATTGCACTTAACTGGGGATTAAGGCCCTTATAGGTCGAGAGGTTTTTGGTATATTTAGGACCGTAGCTGAGAGAATAATTTGAAAAAATGCTACGATGATATTTGATTATGATAAAACGTATCAGCTGAAGTCAAACTAAAAGCATCACGTATGAACAAGGTAAAGCCACTAAAGGTAAATATAGAATAATTGCACATTGTTCTTTGTTGATACGCCTGTCACGCACGTAGTGTGATTCTAGGTTCAACGTGATATAAATTAACCAATTGTCTAATGTATTTTTTACCACGGTTCTTAGACCTTACTGTGGCAGTGTAAGTTACGAAAGCCGAGTACGGATGACGTCTTTCTGGCTCTGGGAAAATTTTTTTCCTCGAACAAAAGGAACAAGTTCAGAACCCACTTATCCTCGGATCACTAATTTGGTTGAGGTAATATCCGCAACTGATTTTGAACTTTGGACCAGAGGGTATTTGATTAAGAACAACAGCACGTTCACATGAAATCATCGTTCCAATGGATTGTAGCCGCATACACGGTTTGTGTGAGATATCGTTCATTGCAATACAATGAACTTTGCATATGGTTTGAACCAGTCTTTATATGAAATAAAACAGAATTCAGTAAGAAAATTAATGGTATTTCGTTTCAGTACATTGGGTAGCTCAATCTGTTCAAGAAATGGTTCCCACTTTTAGGACCAGCGAGGACGTCTCTTTGGTAATTTCAAAGGTAATTTCATGTTGAATATAGATCCATTCCAATTTTAGGGGGAGGGCTGTTGTGTGATACAGTCACGATTAAAGCACGGCATTCTTCACAGGTAATTAAAGATGAAATTGTGATAAGACAAAATTATATGTGGCAATATAGACGGCTCCCAGCCGCAAGGATGGAAATCTGACGACACAACTTTATTTTCACAATTTGAATTAAGATACAACGTCGATTGTCCACAAATCATGCTCGCGACCACATCTCTCTGTGTCTGTTTCCGTTTTTCTAAGACTCTTAAGCAACTTGCGTGGGCAGATTTAAACTATTGTTTGACGAGGTTGAAACAACTACACTCGCATATACTCATAATGCAGCCATCAAGGCTAACATAAAGAACAAACTCGTTTTAACTCGTATGTATTAGCGTTTGTCTAAAACTATTATACAGCAAAATATATACATTAAGTACAGTTGATGACGTCATAGACGTCTAATTTGCGTGACGTCAGAAAAATAGATATATCAACTATATATTGAATTCAATTATATATTGAAACACTGTATAGCATGTTATTGAGACAGGAAGAATTTGAATATATACATTGAGATATTCAATTGTTTAAAATATTCAGTTTAAAACTTGTTCTAGATTATAAAAAATATAATCCTTGATATTTTGAGGTGGTACAAACCAGGCGAATGCCTTGCAGGAAACAACATATTTCAATTGTGTTGTAGTAGCTAGGATAATGTACCCATCTTTTGTAGCAGCCGCTCAACTCATCTCATTATTTGCTAAACCAGCTATTGTTGATCACCCCAAAAATTGGTGTCAACTGTTCCAGTCTTTACTATTGTTGCTATAGTGATCTGATGATTTAGTCACATGTGGGGTGTACTGTCCCATACCAGTTGAACGGAGGTAGGCATTGTTAAATTTCTGTGCTCTTTTTGTTCTTGCAGAAAGCTCTCGATTTGTAACATTGGGGCCTGAGAATACAAAGTAAGAAGTTTGTCACTACCATAGATCACTGAAGAGTGGAATTGTGTGTCGAATTAACATTCACCAACCTGCAGTTCCATGTTTTAAAGAGTTAACAATATTCTGTCGATGGACATCTGGATGGTGATTCCTCAAGGGACTATCATTGCTATTCTCCAGTAGATCATGTGTGTTATTTTCACCGAGAATGTCAATTTGATTAAGATCAGCATTTTCAGAGTATGAATATCCTTGCCGAGGAACACTCCATGTTTTAGTTGAATGATTACCTCTTGCAGTATCTTGAAGATGGCTTGTCTCTGTAGGCAGGCCTGTGGTAGAAGTTGGGAATACTTTATATTATTTATGCCTATTTAAAATTGCAATATTTGATGTAACTTTCTTTTGAAATATATTAAAAGAGTGCATTAGTTAGGGGTGTTTAAAATGATCTCCTTTATGGGCGTTTTATCAAGCAAGGTTGCAAGCTATTGATTGAATGTATATCACAGCAGTCTGTCACCTATGAAGGTTATGAAGGAGGACTAGAGTATATTGATATTTGTTAGGGTGACAAGTAGACAGACGTCGCTATGTCAGACTCGATCAACATTTGGGAAATTTTGTAAGAATCTTTCACCGATTGCTATCGTGAATCATACCTGAAACTCTGCCGTGTCTTGAATAATATGATTTCTGTCCAACATCAGAGGCCTTCACGGCATTATTAACTCGTACATCCTTCCTTACGCTCCACACGTCTTTCAACATGTCTAAATTAAAAAAAGTTTCACAAAGTAAACACATTAACGCTTTTAATTACGGTAAAAGGTTTCAAAATCAGCGAACACGTTTCAAAATGCAAAGATCAGTGAAAGTGCTCTTACCATCCATTTGCTTCCGTTTCTCTTTAAACGCTTTTACGTTGCGTTTGTTTTGAAAAACATTGTCAGATAATTGACTTGTGCGCTCATTGTTTGTGCTAACATACCGAAATCGCTCTGGTTTCCCAGCTAAAAAACAGGAAAGAATTTAACATAGATGCGCTTTTTGATAGACTACAAAACAACGTCATACATTTGTCTCTCTCTCCGTCACTTTCGTTGCTATTATTGCTGTTTTCGTCGTCCTCCATTGACCAAAAAGAAAACATATTTCAGGCCATTTTGTAACTTTCGTGTAAACATTGACAACTGTTGTTATAGTTTCGCGGTTGAACGCGGGGAATTTTCCCCGGGAAAATGCCCCCCATACTTCATGTTATATTGGTTAACGTGCATAACAAGGCAGCCGACTCTTTTTGACAACTTTCAGTTACGAATGATCCAATTCCGAGCAAGTTTTTAAATTTTTATTTTTTAAAAAATTACATTGAAAATAAGGAAATTCCGTTGATTTTACTGCAAAAACAAGTTAATAAGCTTTACTGCATAAAAAATGCAAAACAATTGCACCGTAATCATTTGCTCCACCAAGCCCTTATATGAATTGTTGAAATGCATTGCCTTCTCTTTGCTTTCCTTCCTACCAATATTATAACTGCTATGGTAAAAACCATTCTCTTAATTCTTCGAGGGACTACATACCTGTCATACTTATTACAAGCGGTATGGGCGCAAACTGGAATAGTTGTTTTGGAAGGCCGGAAGGCAACTGGCGGGTGTTTGACAGACGAGAAAACATTTGGAAAAATAAATTAGCGTTGCTTTCTCAACCAGATCTCTTGGTCTAGTGGTCGCGGACTGGAGCCGCGAGTGGTAAGCCCACGGTTCGAATCCGGTTGGAAGTATATTTCGTTCTGACCTTAAAAAAATAAGTAAAATAAATTAACAGCAAGCTTCAATACAAGAACCCGTAGCCTACTGGTGGAGACAATGTTTTCGCATTTTGTAGTGTCTTTTTGTAATGTTTTTCATTATGTCCTTCGAGAAAAGGATGCTACTGAGTAAGATACATAACCACTGCCTTTCAACGCAAGATCTACTAGACTAGTGGGGAAGACAATGGTCTTGTCAATGTTACATTGATAGTTCGAATCCGTGCAAGGGTGTCTCTCATCATGACCTTCAAGTAAGGGCTAACGATGATAAATCGGTGGGAAAATATTTTTCATTATGACCTTGAGTAAAGTAAAACAAATAACCAAAGTCGTTCAACAAAATATCTACTGATCCAGAGGTGTGGAAAATCGTCTTAAAATTTTCGCCATTGTAGGATAGGTAAATGCGCGGTTAAGATTAATTTTAGGGATACCCAGAGATGATGAAAGGTATATGAGTACCAAAAGACCTGCGTTGAGGAGAGCGGCACGGGATAGGCCTTGGCGATGCTAAAATCGGCGTCGAGCCTCAGATGTCGACGTTTTGATACGCATTTTCCCGGGAGGATGGAGGGGCGTTTGCTGAGAAACAGACTTTTGACGTCCGTTTCCGGGGGGATTGATCAACCTGTTTCTGCTGATATTTCTCATAGAGACAGAAATGGCAGGCGGAGTCTGGGCGTTGATATAATCGCCCTCAAACTTGAAGACCTTTTATTAGAAAATTTTTTGTCGAAGACAAAGTCATCAACTTTGATGGCGATTTTAGCAACGCCCAGGCCACGCCTACCTATTCTGTCACCATGGCAACTATCAGTAGAGACATATGTATCGATCCCCCCGGAAACGGAAGTCGAAAGTCTACTCCTTCGCGATAACCCCCCTGGAAAAAATCGGCTCAAAATATCGACAGCTGAAGTTCGATGGCGATTTTAGCAACGCCCTGGCTTCGCCCACCTGGTCGGTTGCCATGGCAAATATTAGCAGAAACAGGTGTATCAATCCCCGCAAAAACGAAAGTCAAAAGTCTATTCCTAAGCAAACTCCCCCCCAGGCGAAATGCGTTTCTAAACGTCGACAACTGAAGCTTGGCTGCGATTTTAGCACCGCCAAGGCTCCTCCCACTCGATCTGTTGCCAGCAGAACCCCCCCCCCCGCTTTGAAAACCGCGTGTGAAAAAGAGTACTGCAGAAACAGTCTTTGAGTTTGACGGCGAGACACACCCTGTACGGCATGTTTATATACCCATATCATTCCAGCCGTTCGAGAGCTGAACTGTACTTGTTATATTCATTAGACCTTAGGATTGGTGTCTACGAGAAACGTACTTTGTGTTTTATTTACGCTATCTTAGGATATGCAACAGTTTGTTAAATCGTTCGCCATAAAGGTGACTATTACCTGGTGATATTCAGCAGTTATGTCAGTAAGCAATAGCGCAAAGCTGATGTGTTTAGCAAAACAGTACGTTTGGCTTTGCGGTATGTTTTCACGTTTGCCGTATAAAACTAATTTATTGCTTCAACGACTGTGTGCACCTCCTAGCTTTTGAAGGCCTTAAAACTTTATACCGCAAACGTGAGAAACTTACTGCAAAGCTGGATTTACTGCTTTGCTAAATCCACGAGCAATACCCTGTTGCGTAAGTTGAACGTTTATAATTTAACGAAACTGTTGCAACATTAAGATAGCGTAGATAAAACGGAATGATAGAGAGTGGTTTGCAGTCTTAAGGTATCTAAAATTGATCATCGTTATCGCTGCCTGCAGGACTTGTTGTATGGGCTAACTACATATGATACGCTGTAAGGCATCAGTGATAAAATACGCTGTAAGGCATCAGTGATAAAATACGCTGTAAGGCATCAGTGATAAAATACGCTGTAAGGCATCAGTGACAAAATACGCTGTAAGGCATCAGTGATAAAATACGCTGTAAGGCATCAGTGATAAAATACGCTGTAAAGCATCAGTGATAAAATACGCTGTAAGGCATCAGTGACAAAATACGCTGTAAGGCATCAGTGATAAAATACGCTGTAAGGCATCAGTGATAAAATACGCCGTAAGCCATCAGTGATAAAATACGCTGTAAGCCATCAGTGATAAAATACGCTGTAAGGCATCAGTGATAAAATACGCTGTAAAGCATCAGTGATAAAATACGCTGTAAGTCATCAGTGATAAAATACGCTGTAAAGCATCAGTGATAAAATACGCTGTAAGGCATCAGTGATAAAATACGCTGTAAGGCATCAGTGATAAAATACGCTGTAAGCCATCGATTGCACCGTAACCATTAGCCCTCATATGAATGGTTGGTATGCATTGCCTTCTTTTTGCATTTCTTCCGATCAATAACTGCTGTGGTAAGCACTGTTCACAATTTAGTTTGCTTGTTAAATAAAACGGTAGACTTGCTTTCTATTTTGCACTTATTCACCATTTAAGCTAAACGGGCTTGATACAACCGGCCCCTGGTTCTTAAGACAATAATCTCGCAGACTGAGAGAGTTGGTTCAAATGTTCTTCATTCACTTCATTTCTCGCGCAGTCGCAGTGAGTGAGTAAAAATCCCATAATCACCACATTAGGCAATGTTATATATACTAAGCCTTCCACTGATGGAATGACTGGAGTCATAAACACTGCGTTTAGCAATATTCCATCTTTTCCATAAAAAGGAAAAAGTGAAATAAAAAGTCTTGACTTTTGCGACCAGCACTGATGGACCCCGTTTGATATGTTGTAGGTTCAAATCTCTGCGATATTCCATCTTTTCCAGTAAAAGAAAAGAAAAAAAACAATAAAAAAACTTTCGTCTTTCACCATCAGCAGTCGTGGCCGAGAAGGTTAGGACAGTGATTAGTCCATAGGGGGTGGTTCAAGCCCTTGCAGTGCCTGAAAATAATTTGCGACTTCTTATTTAACTTCAAAGTCTTCACCACCAGCACTGATAGCCAAATATTAAGATTTAAAAGTCTCAAGTCGAAGAAAGGATAAAGTAAAATAAAAAAACATTCATCTTTCACCACCAGCAGCGGTGGCCGAGTGGGTTAGGACAGTGGTTAGTCCATAAGCGCTGGTGGTTCAAGTCCTTGCAGTGTCAAAACATGAGCTGCAAATTCTTATTTAATTTAAAAACTTCAAAGAAAGGATTAAGTAAAATAAAAAACAGTCGTCTTTCACCACCACCAGCGGTGGCCGAGTTGGTTAGGACAGTGGTTAGTCCATAGGCGGTGGGTGGTTCAAGCCCTTGCAGTGTCAAAAATTAAGTTGCAAATTCTTATTTAATTTCAAAGACTTGTAAGGATAAGGTGAAAAAATTCTAAGTCACTGAAGAGTGAAAATTCTAACACTGATAGCCGGTGGTGAGACTTAGAAAATTTAAAAAGTCTTAAGTCGAAGAAACGATTAGGTAAAATAAAAAACAATCGTCTTTCACCACCAGCAGAGGTGGCCGAGTTGGTTAGGACAGTGGTTAGTCCGTAAGCGGTGGTGGGTTCAAGCCCTTGCAGTGTCAAAACATGAGTTTCAAAGACTTGGAAAATTTAAAAAGTCTTAAGACGAAGAAAGGATTAAGTAAAATAAAAAACTGTAGTCTTTCACCACCAGCAGCAGTGGCCGAGTTGGTTAGGACAGTGGTTAGTCCATAAACGGTGGAGGTTCAAGCCCTTGCAGTGTCAAAACATGAGTTTCAAAAATTGGAAATTGAACATTGAAAAGTTGAAAATTGAAAATTGGAAGGTTAAAGTTGGATGAAAAAAAATAAAAATAAAAAAGGATAATTGGATGTTTCAAAAAATTGAAAGCATCAAAAAAAAAAAGAAAAAAGTAAAGTCAAAAAAAAATTGGACAATTAAAAAAACCCGGAATTTCAATAAAAATCGGAATTTCAAAAAGGAATCGGAAGTTTCAAAAAGAAAGAAAAAAAAATTCGGAATTTCAAAAAAATAAAAAAGTAAAAAAAAAAATTCGACAGTTGAAAAAATAACAAATTCGGTATTTAAAAAAAAAATTGGAAGTTTCAAAAAAAGAGAAAAAAAATTTCAAAGTCAAAAAAATTGGACAGTTTCTCCTCCTCTCTCTCCCCTCCAAACAAGGAGGGGGAGAGAGAGGAGGGGAGAGAGAGGGGAGAGAGAGGGGAGAGAGAGGGGAGAGAGAGGGGAGAGAGAGGGGAGAGAGGGGGGAGAGGAGGGGGGAGAGGAAGGGGGGGAGAGGAGGGGAAAGAGAGAGAGGGGGGGAGAGAGAGAGAGGAGAGGAGGGGAGAGAGAAGGGGGAGAGAGAGAGGAGGGAGAGGAGGAGAGGGGGAGAGAGAGGGGAAGAGGGAGAGGAGAGGGGAGAGAGAGGGGAGAGAGGGGGGAGAGAGAGGGAGAGAGAGGGGAGAGAGAGGGAGAGAGAGGGAGAGAGAGGGGAGAGAGAGGGGGAGAGAGGGAGAGAGAGGGGAGAGGAGAGGAGGGGAAAGAGAGAGAGGAGGGGAAAGAGAGAGAGGAGGGGGAAGAGAGAGAGAGAGGGGAGAGAGAGGGGGAGAGAGGGGAGCATACATCCGGAGGACCTATGCGCCCTCCTTTTATGCTCTCCCCCCTCCTCTCTCCCCCTCCTCTCTCCCCCTCCTCTCTCCCCCCTCCTCTCTCCCTCCTCTCTCCCTCTCTCTCCCCCCTCCTCTCTCCCCCCTCTCTCCCCCCCCTCTCCCCCCCTCCTCTCTCCCCCTCCTCTCTCCCCCCTCCTCTCTCCCCCCCTCCTCTCCCCCCTCCTCTCTCCCCCCTCTCTCTCCCCCCCTCCTCTCTCCCCTCCTCCCCCCCTCCTCTCTCCCCCCTCCTCTCCTCCCCCCTCCTCTCCTGTCCCCCTCCTCTCCTCCCCCTCCTCTCCTCCCCCCTCCTCTCCTCTCCCCCCTCCTCTCCTCTCCCCCCTCCTCTCCTCTCCCTCCCCTCTCCCCTCCTTGTTTGGAGGGGAGAGAGAGAGGAGGAGAAACTGTCCAATTTTTTTTGACTTTGAAATTTTTTTTTCTCCTTTTTTGAAACTTCCAATTTTTTTTGAAATTCCCATTTTTTTTTGAAATTCCGAATTTGTTTTTAAACTTCGAATTTTTTACCTTCAATTTTTTTTATCTTTTTGAAACTTCCAATTTTTTTTGAAATTCCGAATTTGTTATGAAACTTGGAATTTTTTTCTAACAGTCCAATTTTTTTTCTCTTTTTGAATCTTCCAATCTTTTTTTGAAATTTCTAATTATTTATTTATTTTTCAATCTTCAATTATTTTTTGAAACTTCGATTCTTTGAAATTTATTCTTTTCATGCAACTCCTGTTTTGACACTGCAAGGGCTTGAACCCACCACCGTTTATGGACTAACCACTGTCCTAACCAACTCGACCACTGCTGCTGGTGGTGAAAGACGTCAGTTTTTTATTTTACTTAATCCTTTCTTCGTCTTAAGACTTTTTAAATTTTCCAAGTCTTTGAAACTCATGTTTTGACACTGCAAGGGCTTGAACCCACCACCGCTTATGGACTAACCACTGTCCTAACCAACTCGGCCACCGCTGCTGGTGGTGAAAGACGATTGTTTTTTATTTTACCTAATCGTTTCTTCGACTTAAGACTTTTTAAATTTTCTAAGTCTCACCACCGGCTATCAGTGTTGGTGGTGAGACTTAGAATTTTTTAGACTTAGAATTTTTTCACCTTATCCTTACAAGTCTTTGAAATTAAATAAGAATTTTCAACTTATTTTTTGACACTGCAAGGGCTTGAACCACCACCGCTTATGGACTAACCACTGTCCTAACCCACTCGGCCACTGCTGCTGGTGGTGAAAGACAAAAGTTTTTTATTTCATTTACTCCTTATTTTGGAGACTTTGAAATTAAATAAGAATTTGCAACTTACTTTTTGACCTACATGCGAAATCCTCACTTAGACAACTTACGTTATGATCAATACAGTGACTTTAAAACTTGTAAAAAAATTCTCTTTCATCTTCACGTTCGTCTTGATAACTGGCTGACGAGATAAATCTAAAACGAAAAAAACTTTAAATTAAAATCTATGACAGCACTAATCTATGGGGAGGGAAGGGAAGGGGCACCCCTGCAACATGATACACCCCAAATAAACAAGCCCGCCAAACAAGGCACCCAACCAACCACATGTATCATGTGCTGGGTGCCACTTCTATCTATCAGAGACCTATCTATCAGAGACCTATCTATCAGAGATCTAATCTATTCGGGCAAATTTTTCCACTTCTCAAAGCAAGCCTATATAGACGTACAGTGGTTTCTATGATATTCTATGATTGTGTGAGAAACGGAAACCATGCGTTGACTGCACACGCCCGTAAATCGTTTGCGAACGCCCGTTAATCGATTTGCGCACTTCACACTTTCAACAAAATAAGATACATGAACTCGCTTTCTTGTACAAACTAGCTCATATGCAGTGAAACTTATCTACACTTCCTTATGACTAACTAAGGGCGGATTTCCACTGACGGGTTTTTTTTGGAGGCACGTATACGCACGTAAAAGCTTAAAATAATTTAATGATACTTATAAAATCAACGATTGATTAGATACATCGCGCTGTATTCTGCTGACGATTTGATGTGTTTCTCTGGCTAAAGGTTAATTAAGCTTTAATTAAGCAATCCTCGCTTAGACGAACAACTTACGTTATGACAAATACTGTGACTTCAGAACATAAAAAAAATTCTATTTATCTTTACGTTCGTCTTGACAACTGGCTGTTGAGATATACCTAAAACGAAAAAAACAACTTTAAATTAAATAAAATAAAATCTATGACTATGATTGGGGGAGAATCGGAAACCAGGCGTTGAGTGCGCATGCCCGTCAATATATTTGCGCACGCCCATAACTCGTTATGATTAACTAAGACCGGCTTTCCACTGTCGCTGCTTTTTAAGCTTCAAATCTTTTAAATTATACTTTTAAAATCGACGATTGAATAGGTAGATCGGGCTGGATTCTGCTGAGAATTTAGTGGCTTAAGGTTTTATAACAATTTAAAAAACGCGGCAGGCAGAAAACGTTTTTGGGACTGAATCACTTTAAGGAATTATAAGGCTAAACTAAAAAGGAATCAAGCAACGATGCGGTGGTCAAGGAGTCATGATGTTGAATTGCGTGCGGAATATCCTGGTTCGGATCCCGGAAAAGTACATAAGTACGTAAGCCACATGAAAGTTGAAGTGAACGAAGACGAGTATGATGATGACAATGACTAAAAAGTCCGGCGCAATGTCTGAGACTTAACTCTTATAATCCCAATCCTACTGTGATCCAAACATTCTAATCCCAAATCGTCCGATCCAATCTCTTCTAATCCCACTGATTCTTGTAATCCTAAGCGTCCCGGACGCCAAATCCGAGTACAGGTTCAGTATTACTTAAGTAATTTAGCTTGTAGGTACACCACGTAAGTATTTAAAAGTTACAGGGATTCGGGTCCGTTAACCCAGCCTTCATCAGTGCAATAATCATCTAGATCACCTTTCTATAGAAAAGAACTTGAAGTGGTAGACGATTTTGGACTAAATGTTAAGATTGCAGAGGTTTTTTAAAGTTTTTTAGATTTTAACTTTACGTGCGAAGTACTCCTTTTCTATAAAAATTAGGAAGAACAACAATCATTATGACTTTCGAAGAGTTTAAACAGCCTATTTGAAAATGCATGGTGATTAGAATAGTTAATTTTGATCTAGTTTTATGTAGAATTCTTTTAAATATGTATATAGTTGATTTTTTGGAATAAAAAAGATGTATAATTTTGAATATAGTATTTTAACGGAGTGCAATAAAATAAAATAAAATAAATTAAATTGAATTGAAATGAAATGAAATAAAATGAAATAAGATGAATTGAATTGCACTGATGAAGGCCCGGGTTAACGGACCGAAAGCTTTGCAGTATTGAATACTTACGTGGTGTACCTACAAGCTAAATTACTTATCGACTGTCACCATGCAAACATACAAGAATAACTTATTACTTCCTCTCTTATATTTAATGTAAGATTATAAATAAAACTATTGACATAATTGACAAAGCTATTTTAACTTAATGTCACCTGAATTACGACGATATCTTATATATATATACATATTTGGTCACATCCATTTATATAATAACTACAGTGAAACACGCAGTTTGATTGGTCAATAGCCGTGCGGGATCACGCAATCCTGCACGAGGAATTTCTAAAAGCACTTGCGGGATTTTCGTGGGATTCTCAAAATATCGTTGTTTCACTGTAGTTACTTTATAAAACAATTACCAAATGCTTTTTTCGTGCAGGATTGCGTCATCCATGCACTCGGGATGTCGCGAGACTTTCCGAAAGCGTAAAAAAAACACTCGCCCGAGGCTCGTGTTTACTCGCCCGTGGCTCGTGTTTACTCGCCCGAGGCTCGTGTTTACTCGCCCGAGGCTCGTGTTTACTCGCCGAGGCTCGCATTTACTCGCCCGAGGCTCGTGTTTTTTTACGCTTTTCGGAAGTCTCGCGACATCCCTCGTGCATGGATGACGCAATCCTGCACGAAAAAGCATTTGGCAATCCTTTAATAACAACGAAATATGAAAAATCATTGTTTTGACGTGCCATTCAACATTAACCATATCGCACCATAGTTACATAAACATGCACAAACCATAATTATTAGGAACTGAATTTCCTATGAATTAAGTTCGTTTTCCTCTAACAAGCCGGTGTAAACGACAACTTTCGACTTGTTGCCTTTATCAACCTATAGACATATGCAAGACTACGAAGCTTTATTGGACTGTTACAATCCTTATTAATGATAATTTTTTTTGTCCTCCACAAGTTCACAAAAAATGGAAATGGTTTCGAAAATACCCGACCTCTATGTACACTGCATAAATATGAAGATCCTATTGATTGAAGGAATATTTTTACCGTGGTCGGAACTAGCGCGCATTCACTGCTCAATTCTCATCCCTCCTTCTGCTGTTAATCTTGCCTTACTGACTATTAACATATCTTCAAGTCGCAGTATTGCCACGCAGGCGTTGTGAGGGTTGTGTAACACCAAGGTCTTTTTCGCCTGCCTTCCGGGTTGCGACAATAGTTGTGGTACATGTACTCCTGACGATTGTTTCTCTCCATTAGCCCCCGTTTGTAGTCGTACCAGTAGTTGCCGGAATAAAATTCATTTTTGTGTGGCCAGTTGCTGTTCCATGCTTGACACGTCACGCCCATTTCGGTGTAGCTCAGCTTCCCATCATAATCACGGCCGTTCTTTGTCTTCGATTTGATGCATTTCGCTAAAAAGAAGACGTATTAGAGAACTGATAGGAATGGAGCACGAAGTCACCTTAACCCTTGAAATCCTAATCTTTCTAATCCTAATCCTCGTACTCCTAACTCGTATTATCCTAATCCGTACAATCCTAATCCTTCTAATCCTAATCCTCGTATTCCTAACTCGTATAATCCTAATCTTTCTAATCCTTATCCTCGTATTCCTACCTCGTATTATCCTAATCCGTACAATCCTAATCCTTCCAATCCAAATCCTCATATTCATCCTAATCATCCTAATCCGTGCAATCCTAATACTCCGACAGTTCATCCTGATCCCGGCAATCGTCAGTTCGAGAGTGAAATTTGGCAATGAAAGTGAATTTACCTGAATTTACCGTTGCAATCTTATTGCAGTTGTACATAGCGTTAATCTGGGCGACATCAATATCCGATAGTCGCTTTCTTTGCCCAATTCTCATATTCTTCACACTTTTCTTGCGAATGCGTATCGTAGCCTTATCATTCTTGGTGAAAAATTTACTCCCATAATGCATCACGGACTCGAAGTCGTACGCATACCCCATACTGTCCATTTTATCAGCGTCCATCTTATCTGTAATAAGAAAAATCGTTTGAAATCCACGCATACGAAAACGGGGGCAATTTTACAGTTTACCAGGGGCCGGTTGTACAAAAAGGCAGTTGACTTTTGTTAGTGGTAGAATTGGCCATTCAGAATGTTGTATTTTCGAGGTAACTACCATTTCATTACTCAAAATCTAGTTAAGCAGCTTTATACAAACCGGACTGATGAAAAACGGACAAAAAAGGCGGTAATGTCATATGTCATATGTCGTATTGATAATTCACGTTATTCGCCATTTTTCCTTGACGTCATTTTTCTAGTTCATTCCGCAAAAATGTACATACGGTACCATTTATCTTATAATCTGCCATCACTAGCTGTGTTTTGTTTTATGAAACCCTCCTTATCAAACAGTATTGGCAGTTCTAAGAGCGAGCAAATCATTGATAAATCTTTCATTCAATGTATTTATCATCATCAAACACAATACATGTATCAATTCCTGCGAGAGGATGATACTTGATTCCCATCTCTCAAATTATTCAGGCTTAAATTTACGAAATCTAAGATTTATACTCGAATGACTCTCAGATGGAGCAAAGTGCCAGAAAATCTTATTTGATTTGCCACGAATGCATACAGGTGAACAATCTAGTCGCTCTGATAAGCCATCTTTCCACATTAGTATAATGACGCAAATTCACCTCTATAAACTCAGGCTGAAGGGTAGAGCGGGATGATAAAATGATGTAATCTATAAACATACTAAGCCCATTGAAAGAGCACCTCCAGATTACTCTAAGAGGCCCAATGGGCATTCTAGAAGAAGATTAGAAGATATCGAAGTCTGGATATTAAGATAAATTTACTACGCACTTACTGAATTGTTCGTGATATTTCTTATCGATGTTTTTCCACAAAACTTTCACATATTTATCACGGTCACTTCTGCTCTGTTCGTGCCAAAAACCAAGTGCATGACCAATCTCGTGAATGATCGTACCAGCGTACTCGCACCCTGTTCCTACACCAATATCTTGCTTCCCTCCTTTGCGTCCAACAGTCGACCAACACCTGGAAAACAAGATAAAAATCAGGTTGCCTCCCGGCCTAACAGAGATTATTTAATGCATGTTTGTTGGTGGATTCTAAATTAGAAATAAGATGACTTCAGTGTAGATTGTCTTCTGTAGTAACACTGGATCAATAAGAGATGATCCTTACTGCACCTCTAGGAAGAACAGTTTAGAACTGATAGAGCTATCCAGTATAAATAAAGTTAGTTTAGTTTAGGTTTCCTCCTGTAGTAACACTGGATCAATTAGAGAAGTTCCTCACTGGACCTCTAGGAAGAACAGTTTAGAACTGATAGAGCTATCCAGTATGAATAAAGTTAGTTTTGTTTAGGTTTCCTCCTGTAGTGACACTGGATCAATAAGAGATGAGAGATCAACAAGAGATCCTTACTGGACCTGTAGGAAGAACAGTTTAGAACTGATACAGTATAAATAAAGCAAGTTTAGTTCAGGTTTCCCCCGTAGTAATACTGGACAATCACGAAATAATTAATTTACTCTGTCACCAGGAAAAACTTTTCAGAACTGATAGAATTTTCTAGATTAAAGTTAAATGACGCATAGTTTTAACCTCAGGAAGGATTACTATCCCGAGTTATTGTTTTGATCAACGTGTGATTCTATAGATAGACATCTATGTACATATCTATGCATATATTTGTCAGTTTGTTTGCCTCAGGAAACTGCAAATGCATGCCAGATTACAGTAAAAAAACATATTTGCTTATTCATGTCAACAAATCGGATCAATAAAACCTCCCCAAAGTTCAGCGCTCCCTAATGAGTTGAAATTCCCTGCGATATACTGTTTATGGGATACGGTATATTTAGTCTGAGAGATATTTTACAGATCATGAAAAACTGATGTTGAGGAGGGGGGGGGGGTTACCTGCTGGAAAGGTTGAAAATAGGAGAAAATGGGAAGGAAAAATCTTAGCACGGGAACACTTACGGGAGAGGGGATGGGGACCAAGAGAAAAAAGTGCGAAAAAAGCTTCTTCGTTCTTCGCCCTTCTGGCCCTCCCTAAGTTTCTCTCCACTGAGCTTCACTCTGCTTTTAAAGAGGCCAAGTGCGGTCAAAAGAGTCGATGAGAATACACGAGAGTCGATGAAAGTTGCAAGACGTTTAATGCATGCATTCTTAGACCTCACTTTCTGATCACCCTATCATCAGTTTTGTTCGAGAGATGTACTTTGTAACTAGATTACGGTTTCAGGTATGATCGAATTGAGCAAAGCCTTGACGGTCCACAACCAAATCAAACTATCTGCGATCGATTAAAGCTCTCTTGTGAAGGCAAACGCCAAGGTCATGACCTCGTTTAGCCAAAAAAAAAATCGGCGCAAATGCGCGTGTCTCTGACAACTTAATTCCGCTTCTTATCTTTCCCATTTATCTTTGTTTTGAGTTTCCGTGACTCGAAAATACCAGTCAATTAACATTTTTCCTTTCTTAAGTATTTTTCAAGGGTTCCCTCTATGGCGTTTTAATTGGATTGCTCTATTGCAGATAAAAAGTCGAGATAAAACCCCTTGGGTAAATTGCGTGAAATTTGAGACCAAAGGAAAGTGTATGTTCTTTCTTGGCTGTTGAAGTCAAGGAGTGGACGGCTGGTGTGAGTTGCTTGTTTATTTGGTTCACATTTCTTTGGCGAAAGATTTGAGGGGGTGGGGGTTGTTTTCTTGCGATAAAAGGGCGTGGTCGTGAGGTTTTGTAACGAGACAGTGGTTCATCTGTGACCTTAGTAAAAATCTCGAGTTTAAGTGGATTCATTTTTTAGTTTTTTTTAAACTTGGCATAGCTTTCCATTGTAATGATTGCATGAAGATCTAGATTGTCGCTCATTGTTAAACATAATGAGCGCTCCACTCTCATCCAGTTTTCATCCAGAAACGATCTCAAGAAAAACCATTGAGACTTTTGAGAAGAGTTTTCGAGATTAGAGCGACTGGCTTAAGATCCTCTGCGTGAAGAAACACTACGTGCCGCCAAAATGTAAACGTATTTTTCTAATCTTCATTACGTTGGCGAATATCAACAAGCAATGTTTCTTTACCCTGATATTTAATTGTTTTGCAAGGAAGTCGTGTTTAATAACACAGATCTGACCGCGAAGTTTACCGTTTGTATATAATGGACCGGAAATTAGGACTTGAAAATAGAATAGGCCAGTGTTATTCTCATTTTGAAATTCTTAAGGCTTCCGGACTTAATTTACGACCATCAAATTTAAACTGTTGAGAAATCGCTGGCTTTTGCGGTGAAATTGAAGGGCCCTGTCTAGCTGTCAAGTTGTAGTGACTAATGTATCTGTTTTCGACGATGATAAATCGTTATGGTAGATCCTATCAATCACAAGTTTGAATATCAGTATATTTGAGTGTATATCGCCAGTGGTAATAAACACTACAAGATACTATATTTAACACAGCAGCATGCACTGAAGATGTCTAAGTATTTGTGTTGCTAGTTTATCGTAGTGTTTTCTAAACGATTCGCTAGGTACATTACGTTGCCCAGTACGAAAACATGTGTTGCCATTAAACGCAGAGAGCCTTGAAAATAAGAGTTTTTACATGTTGCAATGGTACACAACGATCAGATCAATCATGTCCCACATATTTGCAACGAACCTATTTTCAACATGCTGGTTCCTTGTGTTTAAAATGAGTACCCTTTTTATACGATTGTAGTATAATGGTACTGTTGTAAATAGACTACGCTTTGTCCTGTTGATCCGGCTTACACAGACTGTTTGACGAAATATTAAACTTACGAAATAAACTCAAGAATATATCATCATCATCTTGCCAACTTCAGATTTGTAATGTTGAAAAAAGTACTTCCTATAGTAACTTCCCATAGTGATGTTTCAAATCTAAGACACATATCCATACTATTGAATGTTCTGATTTTGTGTAAAGATTTTGAAATAGTTTTTGAATCAAATCAAATCGATTTGACAATGCCTTTGGCTTTGAAATAATACCGATTTCTTTTATTTAACTGAATTCGCAAGCGAAGGCGAAGATGTATCGTTTGATATTTTTTCGTTGTAAAAATATTCTCTAAATAACCTCAGTGAAACGGTGACCCATTAGTTATAAGCAAAGAGTTTAGGTTCTTTGAACTTAGTTGTCGATGGCAAGGTTTAATATACACAACCTAAGATTTACGAATGCATCCGAACGAATGCTATAGGGCATGCTGATTGGCTAAAGGTTTCGACTTACCCATCCTCGGCAGCAAAACGTAGATAGTCGACATCGCCCGATCGTTTCTTGTGGAATTTCACGCAAGTATTCTTTTTCCAATGACGAATTGCTTTACGAATCTCGACTTTGGCTGTTTGCTCTGAGAGAAAAACACGAAAATTTCGTTACAAAAACATGTTAAAACCCTTTCTGAGATAGTTTGTGCGCCCCCAAATAAGGACTTTAACGTCGGTTCGAGGTTTTCGAGAAGGGAATGTCATGTCAAAAAATATCGTTCAAAATCTCGACTAGAAAGTCCCCAAAAAATACCATCAAAAACTACAAAAAAGTTTATAGTTTTCGCTGAAATAACCTTGACAAATGTTTCAAGGTTAAGAAGTCCCTCTTAAAATCTCATATGGTATTTTGTGATTTGAAGCACCTATGGTAAGTTATCGTCTGGTATACCTGGTTTCCGACAGTCAGGAGCCATGTCTGCCGGGTGATTTAAACCGGTCACAAAACCCTACCATGGTAACCGAGCTTCCTGATCAGACAAGAGTATCGCCAGAGGCGTCTGCAGTAAGCCTTCGACCAGATTAAGTCTGGCTGGCCCGGTAGTAATGACAGGCATTAAACACGGTGATACCTCAAGAACTCTGTGGATGAAGTTATGGAACCCCCAAACAGAGACTAACCTCCCTAGATAACCCTGCCTTCCCCTCTATGATAAGAAGACCTCTTTCTGCCCAAGGGATAAACAGTGAAATCTTAGGCATGCAGTTGTAAACAAACGGCTGTAAAACCTTAACAATATTATCAAAAATGATCTCAGAAAACGGACTTATAATGCGACCCTCGTTCAATGCTTAAGGCATTAATGTAATGTAGCAATGTCCTCGCTGTTCCTATAGCCTTTTGTAACGTAAATATCCTAACATAATCCACGGTCATCCCTCATTATCTTTTGTAACTCAATACTTCGTTTAATTTCAGTTCGAGGAATTTTTAATGTGTTAACATGAAATTCAACTATATTAAAATTTTTATATTCTAAAATCGTATGAGTAATAAACTAAGAGAATCATACGTCGGGCTTTGATATTCATAGTAACAATTCACTTGTAAGCTTTGAAAAGGCAAAATCGTATTCGCAGAAGCTTCCTTTAGAGTTCAAAACGTCTTTGGTCTGCATCGTTGGCGAATGTTTGAAACAAAGCTTTAAGTGAGAGTGTTCTCGGCATTTTAATGTTGCTTGATCAGGGAAGTGATTTAGAATCTAATGAAAAGACGAGCGGTGATTTCTAAGATGTGATTAAAAAAAACCTGTTGCATGGTTTGGATTTCCTTATTAATAATTACCGTAATTAATTTTCATTATATCCACAGCACTTTGGGCGCAGCGCCAAGAACAATGCGTTAAAGGTTTGCTCCGCGTTGCCGTGAGATGTTTAAGATGTCCGTAGGAAGTGAGGCGCTTGGGCGCGGGTCGTTTTTCTTCTCCAAGCGGGATATCCCGTGCGCGCGAGGCATTGAAGGTGCGAACGTCTTTGAATAAACTGTGAACAATTTCTTTCAGTGCATACTTGAGGTGAACGCGAGTTGATATAGCCTGACCTAGACCACATTGTTGTTTCGAAGACAGCTGAACGTGTTTGTGCGCATGTGATTACGACCCTAGTTCCGTCTGAAAACATCGTTGAAATGATTGCAAAAAGCAACGAACGTTTCTCATTTGTCGTAAAATACAAACTCCGAAGTATTTTTGTAATCGATGACGGCGATCCTGTATTGATTAGGTAATATTTACATAGCCATGCACAACTTCCCACTTCCCAAAGGTTTAAACCTCAAAGAGTTGGTCCCGAAAATCGAACAGGGCATGGTCTTGAAAATTACATTATTTCGGTTATAGCTTAGTCCAGGCATAAAATATTTGGCAGTCAATGCAGGCAGTGGTCGTGTGGATACTGTTTTCATTCCAGTCAAACTTCAAACATATACTTTTCATTGTATAGATATAAATGTTTTGTGGTGCTATGGCCTCTCGCGTTAGTGTATATGATGAGTTTACTTCTGTGACACAGCTTATATGACACACTAAAATGCCTGCCCTACATTTTGCTTCTAAATATTGGACTTTTTAGTAATTTCTCAGTCATTTTCTTTCTATATACAAATCCCGCCGTAGTGTAAAACAATGATTTAAAGACTCCTCGCGTCTGAGAGATCGCTCTGCGGCCAAAGCGAAATGAAACTTGCTTCAGAGTACGTTTTTGAAAGGAAGGTTTTGGCTTGTTGAATCAAGCGCTGTCGCTCATATCCTGGAGTTAAACACAATCACGGGGCTTGATCCGATCAATTAAGACCCACTTCGACAAGAGCGTGCGTGCATAATATTCAGCTAAGCCCGTATCACTGTCGAATGATATTAAACGAAATATTTGATCCTAAAGTACACAAGAATATGCATGGGATTAAACAATCCTCTCTCTTTTGACCTAATAAACTTTCGTAATCAAATATATCAGCTCTTGGGAGGCCCGGCTACAGCTCTCCAAGACAAATTTCAAGCAATAATATAGCACTAAAAGAACCGCTGTGTACGAAATTGCGATAGAACTCACAAAGCGATTAAATGTACAGTTTTTTCGTTGGATTAACAGCATGCGATGCAGTATTTCTCAAAACAAATTCTCAAATTGATGTTGAAATGAGCTTAATTGACCACGCTTGAGATACAAATAGATTTGTTTCATGTTTTAAATCATATCATATCTTTCTGCCATCACGGTCTTAATCCTAACTAGTTTTGACAACCAGCACGGCTAGTGATAAACACAGTATGTGAGTCCTTCCGTTTTAATTGTATCGAAATTCACACCATTAGCGTTTCAGGAACTTCAAGTTAAGCGCCGCCAAAGAGAAGCGACAAAACAGAGAGAGACGAGAGTCGACGTTTACAAACGATTCCTGTATAAGATGCATTAAAAGCTATACCAAGTTCAGGTAAAACAGCAGGTGATTCAAAATTCACAGCCATGCACTATAGCAAAGCCTGCTTTAAGACAAATCGATGCACTCAGAAAAATAAAAAAGCTAATGTACTCGTAAGAAAATAAAAAAAAACTCGCTAACAGCCTGGCGTATATAGCTTTGACGGATTACTGGCTAATGATGGTTAAGGTGGGTTTTATGGCCAATATTCGGGCAAATTTTGTCATTTATTGTAACAAATATCGAGCTTAATGTCAAATATATTTGCATGAATGATATATTTTCATGGAATAGATATGATGCGTGTATATATTCAAAGATTTCAAAAACTGGATACATCTCGAATTCTTGGGCCGCCATGCGCTAGGAATTGCTCCTCTTATCTTGCGCTATTCGGGAAAACGTGACCAGTGCCAAGCTCGTCAATAATTATGATAATTAATAAAAATATACAAACAAGAACTCACTGAGTCTTCTGTCAATAACGAACGGGACAACGCCATTTGTCCATCTGGCTTCTGGCTCTTTCTTAATCGCTCTTCTTTTACGAGTTTCCGCAGTGTCGTTGAGCAGATTCATCATGTCTTTCGTGAGCACGATATCTCCTTGGAAGAACGTCGAGTTTAATCCTAAAACGCAAAGTTCCGCTCTTAATTGAAGTATATTTCGTTGTGACAAACTGTCAGCTACGTGCCTGGAGACAAGTAATATTTTATGATTAAACGTTGTCGTTTATCCAGGCGCTAGAATACTTCGCCAAGATGTTTTAAACGCGACTGAGTGACGATGCACAGCGAGGTGACGATGAGGCCCATCAAGAAGGCGACAAATTTTGCTGGTCGCGCTTTGCTCTATGTGGCTTCGCGAAAGAAATGAGGCGTTCGTGCCAAAACCCAGCTATTTCCTGTCATTCACGACTCATATTTGCCATTTTTTTGCCCCCTTTTCTATAAATGGCGTTGTCTTATTAAAAAGATGCTGCCTTTATTGACCCATGCCAGTCACGAATGCAAATTATATTGCAATGATTTTGGCGAATGAGCCCAGATTATCCTGATACGTTAAGCTGTATTCGTATAAACATTAATGGAGCTACCCGAAGAAGAAACGTTTTTGAACCGTTTCGCTTTGAAATAACCTCTTCCTAATACTCATTTCAATGCTATGGAATCAACACCCAAGATATTGCAGAATGCTATCGTTCAACTGGACCCCCACGTTTGAAATAACTTCAAGATGGGCACCTCTGATGAAATGGTAAAATGGGTGGGAAAAAATGATAGTATTTTGGGTGAAAGCCATGATATCGTATAGTTTCGATATTTTACGGCAAAATCTTAAACTGCAAAACGTGGTTTCGTGTTGATGATGTTCATGTTGATACAACCGCAGGTGGTTCACGGATACCAAGTAACTGAACGATTTGAAAACATACCTCAAACGTGGTTTTTTAGTACCGATAATACTTAGCGACAAGCTGCCTGGTATGTGTACGAATTACTTAAAAAAAAATACCCAAACGTGTTGATCTTATGTATCGCTTTTATTCTATAATAAACTGCCGTGGTTTGTGTCTGAACTATATCTGACGAATATCTCAAACGTGGTGGTCCAGTGTACGTAGTATTCTCACAATACGCTGTGGTGGTTTGTGTCTAAATTAGCAATCGAGGGCTGTCAATTGGAGGTAGTATTCTACAACAAGCTAATCTACTTTCATAAAAAGTTATCGCTCGTAGAGTACTTCATTTTTTTTCACGTATTTCAAACGCATCCCGACGGAAGCTGATCTGTAAAGATCTACCTGAGTGCAGGAATCTCGAGTGATCTAAAAACTGGCACAATGAATGATAACACAAGCCAAAACTCGAGTCAGACCGATACGCTAATAAAAACGTTTCGACTTTCAATACAGATACCTAAGTTAACCTATGACAGATAAAAGCGTCTGTGTGTAAAAAATCTTCAAATATTTGCAACGTTCGGCACGTTAATTCGTCTTCATCGCGGTATTCTTCGATCCGCACAGGACAACGAGGATTCTGACAGATATTGACATGATGAAGACCTACCTTGGTTTACTTCCCAAGCGTCTTTGGGCGACGAAGTTTCGTCAGCAAACCTGTCCACTACAACAATGCGTTCCCTGGTATTCTTTCGATGCTGTCCTCCCGGCAGCGTTCTGCCATCGACGATAACGGCTGTGGTAAAGAGAAACGTTGTTAGAATTCTCCACAGAGACATGGCGAACGAAGGTAGTTTGTGATTTGACGGAGCTCGCTCGTGCGTCAATGCCGTACGAATTATGATTGAACTGTGGTCTGTCGCCAGTTTACATAAGGTCAATGCTGCCACGGTCGTGCGTAAATATCAAACTGACAGCTTATATGTATATACGCTAGGCAAACAATAGACAATCAATTAAGCAATAATGCGGTCCACCGCAGGGGTGCAATTACTTTAAGACTAAACTAGATAATGGTATCATAATTATACATGACACCGCCAATATGCTCTTGGTGAAGCCGGATTGAATATTCTTTCCTTATTTGACGCGGAAAAAATCCGCATTCTACAGATTGCTTCCTGCCGTGGTGGAGGGGAATAATTTTAGAATTTTTGCATCGGCTTAAGAAATTCTATTTCCTTTGTGAACGCATGCTTTCGCCTTTGGGACCGCTTGAAATATGGGTTTCAATGATCTTTATAATGCATGTGAGTTTCCACGCACATATTTTGATGCGATAGAAAATAGAGGATGTAAGAGGATGTGATGCTACGTATCAAATTCCACCTTGAAAAACATCCTTAAGTTAAGGGTCATCTTATAGTCACGTTTTAGGACTTCACTTAATACATTAACTGGATAGTTTTATCATTTTTAAACTGCACGTTCTTCCTAGAGGTCCAGTAAGGATCATCTCTTATTGATGCAGTGTAACTACAGGAGGAAACCTAAACTAAACTAACTTTATTTATACTGAATAGCTCTATCAGTTCTAAACTGTTCTTCTTTGAGGTCCAGTAAGGATCATCTCTTATTGATCCAGTGTTACTACAGGAGAAAACCTAAACTAAACTAACTTTATTTATACTAGATAATTCTGTCAGTTCTACACTGTTCTTCCTAGAGATCCAGTAAGGATCATCTCCTACAGATCCAGTTACTACAGGAGGAAACCTAAACTAAACTAACTTTATTTATACTAGATAGTTCCGTCAGTTCTGCACTGTTCTTCCTAGAGGTCAAGTAAGGATAATCTCTTATTGATCCAGTGTTACGACAGAAGGAAACCTAAACTAAACTAACTTTATTTATACTGGATAGCTCTATCAGTTCTAAACTGTTCTTCCAAGAGGTCCAGTAATGATCATCTCTTATTGATCCAGATGGAATTTAGCAGGTGGACATAGTAAATTTTAGTGAGAACATTAAACATTATTCGTGTACATCTACTAAAGAGTAATGACAATTTCAAGACGAATTAGACTGTTCTGCGCCTTGCCACTTAACGCAACGTACTAATTCTAAGAATATATGTACTTGACGTGATTAAAGCTCGCAACAGCTTTAGGCAAAATTTTAACGTAAAAGCCTTCAGTGACGACTAGAAATAGTACAACGAATCCTATTAAAAGTCGTCTTCACTGACTTATCCACGAGACTGTCTGTCGGCAGATGACAATAATATTTGAGTAATGTCAGTGAAATTAATGTTTCCCAATTAAAACCAATAAACAGCGCAATCAATGGCTAAAAAAACTGCATTTAATGTTCAAAAGCATTTCCGTACACATGCCGAACACCACGTTTTTCGGGTTGTGAAAAATAATATAAATCAATTTTGCACGCACCATAGCCTTGGAATAGCTCGACAATTGCGTGTTTCGCTCCAGGCAACGTGAATTCTTATCATTTAGAAACCATTTTGCTCAACTCGACGAAAGAGAGGCGAACACACGCCTGCCTAACCATCTGTCGGTTAAAGCAAAAAAAAATCGTTGAAATTTTACAGCTTTGCCTGTTTCAATCTTTTCTTTCTATTTTATGGCTTATTTCTTCGAGAACTGGTCTGTTCCAGCAAGACTTCATGTTGTTTTTTGGTCCAGGTAAGGCAAGACATTGTGCATTAAATAAAAACGGATGTAAACAATTTGTAACCGGCGGTGCCATGTTAAGAAGGTTTCTGAGAGCATTCAAATATGACAATCTACGATAATCCCCTGCCCTAACTGTTTTCCAAGATACCATGGTTCAAAGTTGACATGACTTGAGTGGATGTTTCAAGAGGAGGAAACCTCAACTAAAATCCATTCATACTAGCCTAGCTCTATCCCCTAAACCGCTCTTCCTAGAGATCCATAACTGAAGCCGGATAGTATCTCCTACTTGATCCAGGATCAAGGAAGCTTAAACTAAACTGAACTAAACGACTTTGCTTCTACCTTGCAGATTGCTCTAGTCAGTTCTAGACTGTTCTTGCATGCCTACAGATCCAGAAAGGATAAGCTCTTATTGATCAGTGGTGTCATCATCATAGAGAATAAGGGAAAATCTTAAAATAAACAAATTCTATATTTATACTGGATAGCTCTATCAGTTCCAAACTGTTCTTCCTAGAGTTTCAGTAAGGATCATCTCTTACTGATTGAGAAGTAACATAGGGGTGGGAACTTTTAAACGAAACTAACTTTATTCATACTGCATCGTGGTGTATTGAATTAGTTATACTGTTTTACATGGAGATCTACTGTTAGAGTTAATTACCTCGGCTATTTATCCTTACCAAAGAAGGAAATATCCACTAAACTACCATAATCGCTATTGGATCACTATGACTTCAAAACTGTTTTTCGTAAATATATATAATTAGGGTCATCTCTTATTGATCTAGTGTTACCATAGAAGGAAATCTAAACTTAAATACCTTAATTCATACTGGAAAGTTCTATCAATTCTAAACTGTTCTCCCTAGAGGTCCAGTAAGGATCATCTCTTATTGATCCAGTGTTACTACAGGAAGAAACCTAGAGGGAACTAACTTGCCAGTGTACTGTATAGATTTTGAGGAACTCATATAAAAAACGTCGAAAACATTGTGAAAGACACATGAACAACATCAATCAGCATCCAATGACAATCAGAAAAGCGATGTTTTCAAATCTAAGACAAATTTCAAAGATGACCATTACCAAACAATTAACTAGTATATTACGACCCCAAATAGCCTTGGTCCCATCACGGCTAAAAGAACTGAGATATTAACCGTGGTTCCATCCATATGTTAGGATAGTGTATACGATAGAAATATTAGAGTGCGTTTCTCAACAAATTCTTCCAGATTTTGACGTTAAACGTTTATTAAATATTTTCATGATGTATTCTACGCAGCGGACAACAAGTGAACATCATGTCAGCGGGGCACTGGATTCGTTCATTTAAATGAAGGTTTATATTCGGTCGCTATTTCGCCTGTCTTCCAAAGGCCTTGCACATGCAGTGCCCACTTGATAAGTGAAGAAGATTTATGGCCATTCGATTGTTAGACAGTTGTCGGTTGTATTTGAGGAGTGTTAACAGGCTAAGTGATCATATGGGGAGTTCCATATGAATGCTTGTGTTTATTTTTCGTTATAAATTGGACGAGTAGGACCGCCTAGCATACCTGAATTTCCCGTGGATGACAACGCAAAGGTCAAACATGCGGTGAGTTTGTTTATTTCCGTAATAATATTTTAAATGCATGTCGAAAATGCTATCTATCACTCCTGATAAGTTTCCCTATAGGTCCCCAATAAGGATAATCTCTTACTTATCCAGTGTTACTACAGGAGAAAACTTAAAAAAAAAACTCTATCTATACTGGATATCTCTATCAGTTCTAAACTGTTCTTCCTAGAGGTCCAGTAAGGATCATCTCTTATTGATCCAGTGTTACTACAGGAGGAAACCTAAACTAAACTAACTTTATTTATACTGGATAGCTTTATCAGTTCTAAACTGTTCTTCCTAGAGGTCCAGTAAGGATCATCTCTTATTGATCCAGTGTTACTACAGGAGGAAACCTAAACTAAACTAACTTTATTTATACTGGATAGCTTTAACAGTTCTAAACTGTTCTTCCTAGAGATCCAGTAAGGAACATCTCTTATTGATCCAGTGTTACTACAGGAGGAAACCTAAACTAAACTAACCTTATTTATGCAGGATAGTTGTATCAGTTATTAAACAGGTCCAGTAAGACCATATCGAATTCAGTGAAAGAAAGAGTCTAAGAAGCTAATTAAATAAATCTAGCAAAAACAATATAAAAAAATACTGCTATCCACTACAGAAGAAGACTAATTCACATGCAGTCATGGGTTCCTTAATAGTGACAGGATCACTGTGAGATGATGGTTACTGGATCTCTAGACAAAACAGTTTCGAAACTCTCAAGCACATCATCTTTAACAATCTTAAACTGGCTCAATTATCTGATTGCTATCAATCTATATATTGCGTCTGGAAATAGATAAGACCTGCGTAGGCCGGAGGACGCTGATAACCTGATTGATCAGTATTAGACATAGTGATGGATTAGTTTTCAAGCGCGTTCGATGTAATATCATTAGTTTTGAAGTGGCATGTCCTTTGATACAAATGACCGCCTTGTTCTATACTCGTAGAACGTCGAAACCAATAAAATATTATGTCCTTTGGAATGCATTAAGAAGAAAAGGATGATTGACAAAAGATATTATAAATTTATCAGGCTCGTATATGTCGTCTTCAATATTTTAGCCTGTTAACATCTCACCACTTTAAAGAGTTTAAAGACTCACACAATTCAAAAGACTTTACCCTTTTTGCTTTCAAGCGCCCTATACGTAACGGTAGTTGCATGATTATCAAGCAACTTTGAGTTGCGATATCGCTCTGCTTAGAAGCGATTTTGTTTGTAAGAAAACCTTGCCGATTCTTTTTGCTTCTTTGTTAAACTAAATCGCTGTTGAACATGGCGAAATCACAACTCAAATTGGTCATGATAATCAACTACCGTCACGCATTGCGCGCTTGAAAGCTAAAAGGGGAAAGGTCTGTTCACTAAACTGACATATGGAATGTAGTTTGTTATTGGTAAAGCAGTATTGCATTGCTGTTGGTTTTAGTCCGATTTCGGCTGCCCATACATATACTTTGCAAGTCAACAGACTATAAAGCATCCATCAGAAGTGAATTGGACCCGACAAAATTGGATCGTGTGAACAGACCTTGAGATGGATAGATAATGTTTAATTTTAGTATTCAGTATTCACAAAATCAGATTTTTTATCTTTTCAAAGTACAGTTCACATTCCACAGCATGTATGTTTCGTATGATTGTGTTATCTACTGATTAAGAGGGCAGAGGGAGGCTGCCCGGGCCATGCACGCGTTCTTCTTTGAACAAGCCTTGTTTCAACCGACTATATCCCGAGGGAGTACGAGATGACCGCGACCTATTCCGAACAATGATGATGGTGCAGCCTATTAATTGGGCTATTCAATTGAGTTAATTAAAAATCCATTATATACCAGCGGAGGTCAACTTCTCCTAACCCCAAGCCAGGTCTGATGTCCTGTTCGGGTGTTTATAATAAAAACTCACTAATGATTTGATGAAAGCGGTCGCATTCCAACTGTAGCTGTTAACATCCCGACATTTCCGTGCAAGAAGCGCTGAATAAATATTTTTTTTTCGACGCTTCGCACAACAATCTTTTGGGAATTATTCCGGCGACAATTCTGTCACTGCTGGCAGGAGTTAAAAACACTCAACAACTCGATGAGATTTCTCTCCTGAGTTTTCTATTCAAGCTGTCAACTATGTTAATGAATGCCAACCAGCTTTGTCTGGGTTTAAAACCCCAAGGACTTGACGTAATCCAAACCGATATGAATACTCGAGTCTGTTGTTTCTCTCAGTCGATGCGGGCAATAAATAGCTACCAGCGTTGTCTGGGTCGAAGACTCAAAATGCCTCGATGTACTTCAAAAACACATTTAATTAGAATCACGATTCTTCTGCAAGTCTGTGTTCTTTCACAGTTGACTTAGCCGATGAAGTACTGCCATCTTTGGCCAGGGTTAAGAAACTAAACTCTTTAGTGCACTTCAAACTTCACTCTGGCAGGATTTACCTTTCTCCTACGAGTCTGATTTCTCGCCCGTTTGGCTCAGCCGATGAATGACTACCATTTTTGGTTGCGCTTAAAAAACTGAGTCCCTTTAATACACTTGAAAACTCATTTGAGCCGAGAGTTTCGTTTCTCGTGAGAGCCGGTCTGGCTGTCTTTCTCGGTCACTCAGCTGATATTCGACCACCATCTTTGGAAAGGGTTAAAATACTGAATGCGTTGAAGCACAATCATTTCAACAGAGTTAGGTGTCGGTTCACCCGGCTGATATCGACGACCATCTTTGGCTGGTTGGGGATTAAAAAAACTAAATACCTTGATTCCTTCTTTAAAATAATTTTAACAGACGTTAATTCCCAGAAGATATTCGACCACCATTTATGGCTGGGGGGTAAAAAAACTGAACGAATTGACGCAACTTTGATACTCGTATAGACATAGTTAGGTCTCGGTTGACTCCGGGGTTAAGAAACTGGTTGTCCTTTTTATGCACTTCAAACTCACTTGAGCAGAGTTACGTTCCTCTTGTGAGTCTGTGTTCTCTCTTGCTAGACTCAGCCGAAGAATTGCTACCAGCTTTGGTTAAGGCTTACTGAAAACGTGAAGTAGTTTGATGCACTCCAAAACTTATTCAAACAGAGCTAGGTTTCTATACTGTGCTCTCTCTCGTTCGACTAAGCTCATGAATGGCTATCAGCTTTCGCTGGAGTGCGTAGGTAAAAAAACAATGGCTTGTTGCAGTAACGAAAAAAAATTCTTATACTTTAGAAAAAAATGACTGATTGGATACAGCCGATGAATGAGTGTCAAGCTTTTGTTCAAGTTAAGAAACTGAGTTACGCAATGATACTTTTAAACTAATTTTAGCACTGTGAGGTCTCTCCAGTATTCAGTCTCTAAGAAGATCCAGTCTTGATGAATGAACATCTTCACGTTCTTCCGTTCTTTTTTGAAAGAATGTTTTGATGAATGATCACCTTTCGTTTCTGCTATAAGTTGATGAATGAATGCTTTGATGAAAAAACATCTTTACTTTCTACTGTAAGTTGATGAATGGACGCTTTGATAAATAAATATCTTCCCTTCCTACCGTAGGTTTATGCGTGAACCCTTTGATGAATAAACATCTTCCTTTTCTACTATAACTTGATGAATGAACCCTTTGATGAAAAAACATCTTCCTTTTCTACTATAAGTTAAAAACGAATAAACGCTTTGATGAATGAACACCCTTTGTTTAGTAGTGTAAGGTATTTCACGCGAGGCGCGGGAAAAACTCGAGTAAAAAAACTTGAGTTCAGTGAAAGCTGTTCTTTTTGTATTTCGCTCGCTCATCGTTTCGATTCTGTTTTCTATATTTGAATAACATGTTGCATAAACGACGTAAAAAACAACAATCGTTTTCCATCGTAACACCCTTCCTTTCTACAATGAGTTGATGAATGAATCCTTTGATGAAACAACATCTTTACTTTCTACTATAAATTGATGAATGAATGCTTTGATGAAAAAACATCTTCCCTTTCTACTATAAGTTGATGAATGAATGCTTTGATGAAAAAACATCTTCCTTTTCTACTATAAGTTGATGAATGAATGCTTTGATGAAAAAACATCTTTACTTTCTACTAATTGAATGAACGCTCTGATGAATGGAACTAAACTCCTCCGGGTAAATTAGAACCTAGTCCTTTACGATCCAGAGTGGTGCTATCACTTTGCACTAAACTATCGTGAACATTGTTCCTGGAATATAAGGCGAGAACTAAGGAATGTAGGCACTCTACGAGTGTAGTAGCACTTATGGTTTATTTATAATTGGATTATTTTGTTACACGTTTCTGGAAACCCTCCTGAATAGTACGCTTCTGTTTCACTGTTCTCCGAAACCGCCCAAGAATATTGAAGTCAGTCAAAAAGAAAGAGGCAACGAATGGAGCGTATTTGCAATGAAATCATTCATTAAAAGCTCTGCCCACACGATCCAATTCGTTTCTGATGGATGTTTTATAGTGTGTTGACTTGCAATGTATAAGGGCAACAAATCAACTAAAGGCAACGCAGTACTGCTTCATCAAAATATGACTTCATTCCATACGTCAGAAGTGAATTGGATCCAGCAAAATTAGATCGTGTGAACAGACCTTAACGGAAGTTATAGTCTCTTTGTCGTCTTCACCAAATCGACAAATTGTTCAGTTCAAAGACAAGGAGATGTGACCGGAGTAACTTCCTGACTTTGTGGCATTATCATGTAGCTACCCCACGCGAAACATGGGAGAAGCAAGGAGGATATCGGAAGACCTACATGAAGGTCAGCCTTGTTGTATACTTGCAAAAGTAACAAGCCATACGGAAATTGTCCATCCTCAATAAATTGAACTCCAAATTAGCCTCATATTGAATCTGATTGCCGCTCGACAAGTTAATTGTTTCTTGAAATAGTTTATCATGAAGTGATGAAAGTGTGTCTTGTAAAAAAACAAACCGAATGTCGCGATAAAAATAGTTCGTAATGATAGTGTTTTCGCCCATGAAAATGTAATGTGTTTTGCATGCTACACACGAAGGACTTATATGGCTTGAAAAATACAGGAAACGCGGGTGCATTGCCTGAATTCTTGCATACAATTGTTTGTTTTTCTCTGCTGTGTAACTGAAGCTGTCTTTATAAATCAGTTTTTTTTTTCACATGCGTGTATGTGTGTCCTTGAACGTGAGATATGACTGTACTTCTGTGTGTCAATATTTCGAGTTCGACTATAACCGCGGTATACAGTAGCCACATATCTTGGAACGCGAGATATCTTGAAGTGGTCTGATCTTGCAAAGAATTTGCGGTCAAAAGCTCCATTGTTTAATTTAAAGAAGTTGCATGTACTCAATGTAGAGTTAAGCATAGTTATACATCATACAGAGTACGTTGTTGAGTAAATGTGAGCATGCAGCGCCATCATTTCGGGCTTGAAATAATCGCTTGAAAATAAATAAGTGAGAGTGGGAAGCATATTTGATCACTGTGGTTATGCTTGGTTTTACTTTTATTAATGCGCAGGATTCCCAAATAGGGACGCACGTTCAAAAAAATTTGTACGTTTCGGCACCGACTTGTGCTTGTATGCAATGATTAGAAAAGGCGTATATTTTCAAGTATCAGCTTAGACTGTGCGAAATTTCGGAGAATTTTTGAAATTGAGTCCATCAGAAACCAAATTTTGGCACATTTTGGGGAGCGATTTCCTATTAAGTACCCTATATCAACGTCTGAATTAAGTACCCTATATCAACGTCTGAATTTGCCTGGACTGGTGAACCAGTGAAAGTATAGCTTTCGGTTAAGCACGCCACAGTCTAGTTGTTACAACATAGAACGCTTTCCTTTATACGGTAAAAACGGTCAAACCCGATCCTGTTGTGTTTCAGTACAGACAGATTACTAGTATTTTAGAGTGTTTTAAAAAATCTGCATTCAGATTTAATGTTATTTACATTAAAAAATCTGCATTCAGATTTAATGTTATTGGCCACCTAATGTAAAGCGCCCATATAGATATAAAATTTCAGATGCATAGAATTTTTCTCAAGAAGGTTGGGAAGTCTACACTCAGGGCTCATGAGGCGCTACTAAAGCGATCTAAAGCTTTCTATACCAAGCAAGCAAATCGCGGCAGACTGTCGAGTTTTCTTTCAGTTCTTTAAGATTTAGAAGAGTTGTGTTTTGCAAACGCATGAATCATTCTTAACAAAACAAAATAGCAAATTTTGAAAGACTAGAAAGTGATCAGCATTCTTTTGCATTTCCAAATTCAAAGCGTTCATAATGATCTGCTATTTCACGCCAATTTCACGAGGTATTATTTCTAATGCTTCTTACAACAATGGCCCTCAAGCATCAGTATATAAGACATTGCGAAACGCTATCCTTTCTTGTAGGATAATTCGACTTAATTCTAATCGCAACCAAAGAGGCATGGCTAATTCATTAACACTACACTTACGATGACAAAACATACAAGAAAATGTGACATACCTGAATATGCAGCCAAAATAAAAACAATTAACACCGTCAGACCGCGGTTTTGAAATGCCATCATGAATTTCAGCCTTGGTTTCCTTCTTGCGGCCAAAGCGCTTCAGCTAAAGCGGATATTTTTCGCGAAGCAACAAGAAAGGAAGCCAGAAATAGGTTTTTCTTTCCAGGTTCTATTCGTTCGCGTGGGTGGGCAGAGCACTGCTTATACAAAGCTTCGTGAAGATACCTACAGACAAAATAAATTCGTTGTTGTGTTAGTTTTTTCGCAATACGGAAAACGACAGCTTAAATTTCAAAATCAAAGTTAAACGCTAAAGATCAAGGCAGAATGTTGTGTAGCATCATGCGTTTCTTTACAAAGAGCACATTTTTCCATTGCCCTGAACGACACAACTCTATAAAGTCACTCAAACACTTCTTTCAAACACAGCATTACATTACAACAGTCTCTGTCAGTTTTTGATATATTTCACTCCAAAGTTTCGTAAACTTAACGCGCGTAACATGTTAATTACCTGGTTGCGTCACAACCGCGCGAAATGTACGAGTCTCCTTCAGTGCAACACTTTTGATCGAGAAAATTGTTTTAGGTGAGACCTCGCAAACAGCAAGTGACCAACTATGAAAAGTATTTAAATCTCGACAAGTTATGTAGGATAGGAAAGATCGCGTGATTCTATTGCATCGTCACGTCTCGACTGACGTCAATGCATGAAGTTTAGCTCATTTTAAAAGTGAAATTGGGGTAAAAAACCTGTGCATGAGTCATATTTTCAAGACTGTTCTATGTGAAAAAAATTGGATTAATATTAAAACAAGGGGTATTGTTGACCTCGCTAGAACGAGCCATCCCAGAGGCAACAGCCTATTCGGCTGTCTTGAGAGGTATGGTCCTCATATAGCAAGGGAATAGTCTTCATTAGCTTACAGAAAAAAGCTAGTGCCATTACAAAGTTCAAAAGAGCCAACATCAGTTTAAGCTACCAAACGTTTATTTTTTCTTTGGCGGATAAGCCAGAGTTTAAAAATGCTCTCATACATCTTATGAATGACTGAAACTACATTTTATGCATTTAAGATGTACTTCCAATGACAATTAAACTATTTACATCGAAATATTTCAACTCAGTTGTTCAATAAATAGATAATTTGGTTTTCCATTTTTAACTTATCCACCGTTTAAGCTAAACGCCTTTCGAACAACCTGCCCTAGTAGTATAAGCGGATGTTGGATAACCATTACCGTACGAGCATACTGTACGAGTTGTAATAATATCATGTTAATGAAATACGAACACGCTTAAATCATGCATCAGGGGCCGGTTGTACGAAACCTGTGTCACAGGAATTTGGCTCCCTCTAAAAAACATAGTTTATACCTTACGATTTTAGAACTTGCTAAAGTGTGGCTTGTTATTCTCGCGAATATTCATTCTAGGTTCAGAAACTTGCTGAATATTGAGTCACAAGTTTCTATTTGTAAAAATCGTCTTGTGCAATCATGTTTAACACTGAGCTATATATATATATATATATATATATATATATATATATATATATATATATATATATATATATATATATATATATATATATATATATATATATATATATATATATATGTGTGACGTTGTTAGCATGACTTCACTTCTTGGCACAGCATTTTTTTCGCATTCATTTAGGTTTTTAGCTCCTGATCCCAATGGAAAACTTCGATACGGTTTTACAGATGAATTTTTCCAAAGTTCGCGATTTCAAAACTACATATGTAACGAAACGTGTAAACAGAGTAATACTTAGATATTAATAATTGAATGATCAACAGGAAATGGATGCACTAGGGAACATTGATTGACACTTTTATAGAAAATGTAACTCAGGAAATGGAAGCACTAGGGAACATTGATTGACACTATTAATTAAATAATTAGAATGTAACTATATATTATAAGAGACATGAAATAAAAGAAATCAGGGCGTGAGACGGATTGTTGTTGATGGGAAAGCTCTAGCTTGCTACATATACATATATTGAGAGTATAAAGCAAAAAAGCTACGGGTACGCGGGTACCACCTGGAGGAAGGTTTGCTTTGAATGAGGTTTGTGAGGAAGGTTCGAAGTTGAACACTCTAATTGATCACATGCATGTACCAAAAAACCAAATATCTCTTTATGCTGGTTGCCACTTGACTCAGTGACGTAACGCCATTTTGAGGAAGGTTTTCAAAACTTGAAATCCTACCGGAAGAAGGTTGAACTCTTTTTGCAAACGAAATTTGTCATCCCCAGAAATTTGGAGACCTTATAAATCATAGGCTTGACGATTATACATACATAGGAAAGGTTGTTTTATAAAATTACCACTTATTTTTTTATTTATTTAATGTTGTTTTCGATCAAGGGCCTGTTTACATGGAGCGAGTTATCCCAGCTAGGCGAGGTGAAAACTGCATATAATGATGAAAGACTAATCAGGTTAAGCCTTTTTGATGTGATGCGCTTTTTACCTCGCCTAGCCGGGATAACTCGTTCCATGTAAACAAGCCCTAAAGCCCCTAACTAAGAGCCTAATGACGCAGTAATGTTATATGTTAATCCTAGATGCACATTTTGCCAACGCATGATGTCATCGCCTGCTAAAGTGTAGTCGTTATTCTGAAGAATTTTATACTGAACTATGCGGTAGAATTTAGGCTAAAATAACTAGAAATTCCAATCGTTTTGTGTCCTTGGTTCAAAGCTATAAATTTAGGTCCTTTGTGCTGTGCATGGGGATGTGTCTATAAAATTGCATTAGCATATTATTTGCTCATTTATATTTTCATTCACTTTTCGCCGATATGAAAAGTTTTTACACAAATAAATGAAGCAAACTAAGTATGAATACAAACAAACATTTACGATCTTGCTTTTAGAAGAAGCTTCGCGATTCTCGAACTCATAGCAGGGCCGTGTTTTCACACTCCGGGACCCGTGGCATTTTTTTCCCGCAGGGCCCAAAATTTTTGCTCTCTCTATAGCAACGTAGCGTTCCCAAAAATGCAGTTAGAAGAACTGCTTCAACTGTGTATATGTGTGTATAATATTATATATTATTCGCACAAGGTGACGTTGGGCCACTGAAACTATATGCTTTATGCTGATTTTACACATACAAGACCCGTACAGACATGTTTTCTTGACCAGTTCACTTGCTGGTGAGTATGACGAACCAGTTCACTTGCTGGTGTGTATGAAGTCAGTTCGTTGACAAGTGTCCCTTGCCAAGTTTTATTTGCTCGTGTGTACGTGAAAAATTTGTCAAATTTTTCTTGACAAGTTTTACGATAATATGAGTATATTTTACGATAATATGAGCCATGATAAAGTGAGTATAAGACCGAATCTTAAAACAAACAGAAATGATAAAACTTCAAAAACCTTACTGCGCAATTCCTTGTCAAGTTTTCCTTGACGGGCGTACACACAAGCATTTTTCCTTGTTGAAAAACTGGCATGACTAGGTTTTGAACGAGGCTCCTTGTCAGGGAAAACTTGCCCGTCTGTACGGGGCTTAAAGTCTGCAGAATCAGAGACAAGAGTATATATATGTTAACTTGGTATTTGAATTTTAAGTTTATATTTATCATATATCCTCATGCCATATTTCAATCAAAGTTGTCCCCAAGCAAAGCCAAAGTGAAAAAGCCAAATACGAACGCGGAAGGCTTGCCGGGAATCCGTAAAAAGTCCAATTTCAACAATTTCATGCAGTAAGCCGTAAAACGTAAAAACGCTGCTATTCGGCGACTTCTCCGCTTTGCTCGAGTACAACCTGATTTGCAATAAATAAGTTCCAAGATAAACCAGGGAGCAGCGTGGCAGCGTCTTCAAACAACTCAGTTAGCATCAAATGTGGCATAACAACTGCATCTGGTATGAATCATACTAACTCTCCTGACGAAGGCCCTCAGGTCGAAACGTCAAGAAGTGTTTTGTCAATTTTAGGCAGTTGTTATACCACATTTGATGCTAAACTGATTTGAAATAGCTGTATATTAGTTACAATGTTCTCGTTACATACACCAGATTATAGCACACCTATTAAGCATAAACCTGACTAGAACTAACTGGCGGCTTTCAATGTATGGCGGTTTTCACTGTACATATATACAAACACTGAAGGGCTAAGCTATATTATTATATAAATATATATAATAATATAGCGTTATTTACTTTTAGCCTAAATCGCGGGGCCCTAAAAAGCGCGGGGCCCGTTGCATTTGGCGCATTTGCCACTGTGTAAAACCAGCGCTGACTCATGGCAATAAACTATAAAAAGAATGTTTTCGAGGGGGCCAAATTTCCTAGGAAATATGGCCTGGGAGGATCACTATCCGCCGGATAGTGATTTTTTCAATCGCTTTAAAATCGCCCGTTGTTTGCTATAACTTGGATTAAATCTTTGTATTCCTAAATCGAGGATCCCCTTTAACAATTGTTGGTTCCAAAGATGAAATTTTATCGCTTTTTGAGCATTTTTAGATGAGAAGAAGCGGTTGCGGAAAAATCACCATCCCGTGGATAGCGCTATCCAGCTTTCGTACAATCGGCCCCAGACCAAAAACGGACCGAAAGCTTTGCAGTATCAACTACTTTCCTGGTGTCCTACAAGCTAAAGTATCTGTTACGATATCTGTTTCATGCCAAGCACGCCACGTACTATTCAATGACAGTGCATGGTGAGTGGCTTTCAATCTTAATTCATTGGGCGCTTTCCTTTATACGGTAAAAACGGTCAAACCGGTCCTGTTATATTTCAATACAGACAGATTACTTCTATGTTGGAGTGTTTTAAGAAATCTGCATTCACATTTAACTGTTATTTACATCTGATTAGCAGGGAAAATGCAGTTTCACAGCTATATTTTTTAACGAAATACTCTATTTCAATTCAAAATACGACCAGTCTGACCACTTTTTGGCCGCTTAATGGAAAGCGCCATTGTTTCATGTTTTATTCGACGCATAAAAGTTCCGGCCGTGCCACTTTTACTACAAGTACTTTGACTACCTAAATAAGTAGTCTGAGCACGGATAAAAATGGTAAAACGGGTGCCAGTCGCGCGTAGTGTAAACGGTGCTTTAGTTCGCGCGCATGCAAGGCTGGAATGTGATTTTATTCCATTCCAAACTATGCCGCTTTCTAAAAATATAATGAAATTCGGCCTTGTCCAGCTTGATACGAAGGTAATGTCATGAAATCGGCCTTTTCACCAGCTATGTATTATAGTAACGTAGGTGGCATTTATACATTTATACCTTTCAAAGTATATCTTCTTTTGAAACCGTTTCTCTTAGAAGTAAGGAGCCTTTTCAGAAGAAGCATTTACTGGAGACTACAAAGTGCAGATGGCTCAGTAGCTGCAACCGGGCCACTTCGTATCTTTCTCAGTTAAATCGTAGAGACGTGTTGTAAGGCATAAAGTATTGATTTATATCACAGGTATTTGAAATATAACATCTCAAATCTTTATTTGGTCTGGAGAAAATAGGATTAGAAGATAAGAAAGCCCATTAATGGGTTGAGAGGGCACCAAGTATAGCTTGTAAACTTATTAGAATAAAAAAAATTTAAATTGGATAAAAAAATAAGAAGCCAATAAACAGGAAACAATTTCTGCAAATGCCAAATGTGTGATTGAAACTTGCTGGAAAAGACTTTTCTATCATTTTCTATCATGCTAATGCACCACTTGTGAGCTTGTATGCATGACAGCATTATCTTTTGTAATGATTGCCATGATGTGTGCAAAACTCAAGTTCACAGAGGGAGGAGTTTTAAACATGTTATTTTGTTTGCCTTGAAACAGATGATTGCAGAATGAATAATGAAATTCAACACCACAGCTAAAAAAAGATCAAAAAATATGTGGAACCGAACAGGCTGCATGGTCGCAAAATGTTGCAATCGAAATAGGAAATAAAACCTATGGGGAATAGAATTTTGCATATATATGGATAACAGGTTTGAAAAATAACCACTAACCACTTCTAGTGGAAAATAAAGATACATGCAAAATTTCCAACTTCACAGGGTTACATTTTTCACATTTTTGCAAATATTGTAGTTTTAGCAATTCTATGATGTTTATTTTTGCCTTGTGGTAGATTGCATTCTTCATCCTTTGATGAAAATTTAGTCAAGAGTGCATGCAATTGTGGTCTGTGGATGATAATTTTACTTGGTAAAGGTAGGATAGTTTGGAATACTGATGTTATATGGTGAATATAACACCATTGACACTAACTATATCAGTAATCAGTGTACTGGTAGGCTGGTATGAATTTTTCAGTCATACTAGTAACTAGTAAACTGTAATACTAGTGACTAGTAAACTGTGATACTAGTCACTAGTAAACTGTGATACTAGTCACTAGTAAACTGTGATATTAGACTAGTCACTAGTAAACTGTGACTGTGGATTAAATCAAGTTGACAAGCTCTTAGTCAAATAGCTTCAGTACTTGTCAAAAAAAGTATTGAAGGCTTGAAGCACAGTATAACTTGTCATGAAACTTGTTACAAAACTACCTCTGCACTGGAATTTATTATATCTATAATACTACAGTACAACGTATTTACTGTAATATTTAAAATACAATGCAGAAAACACAGCCAGGTTATGAGAGAGGTTCTATTATTTACCTATTTAAAAGCTAGTTAAAAATAAACAAAGTCTCAGCTTACCTGAGTGAAACCATCAGCGAACACATGTTTTTGAAAGCGATAAATTTATCCGTCACGGCATCTCTTCTACTCAGTCGATCCTTGAGCTGTGCTTTTAGGTTTCAGCTATACTTTTCTGACATTCATATTTTGTATTATAACTTTTTTGTTATGCAATAAAAGCAATAAATTCCCGCATTGATTTCTACTAGGCCTGGATAATTTTCCACACACTCAAACAACTCTCAAATCCAGACATCAGTCTATGGTTTAAGCGATTCTGATTGGTCGTTGTTGCCGTGTGGAATGTTACAATCGATGCCTGATTGGATAAATTTAATTTTACTGTAAAGTACTTGTTTTAGGTTTATCTCAACAGCCAGCTATCAAATTGAACCTGAAAAGTGAAAAGAAAACATCAATAGGATATGTTTTATTTTTTAAAAGTTTTGAAGTTGTTAATCTCACATAACGAAGGTTGTTGGGTTGCGCACATGCGCAGTCAACCTAGACTACGACTCTCCCACAATCATAAAAGATTACACAACGAAAAAAAATTGTATACCCAAAATTTGACCAAAAAAGTTTGGTCTCTGATAGATAAACCAGGCAACCTTGCACGTGAGGTTGGAGGGACGCCTGGGGGCATGTTGTCGGTAATGAGGGTGTTTCACGTTGCATGGGTGCCCCCCTTCCCCCCTTAGATTAGTGCGAACACAGATTTGACAAATTTTCTCCATACTAAAAGTTTTAGCGACCCTGGGTGTTCCTTGATGACATTTTCGGTCATTTTTTTGGGTGCAATTTTTGCTGATATTGCTGCTGATTCGGCCCTGAAGCGGAACGGAAGCACCCCGGAGCCAGTAATACTAATAGTCAGCGATTGAAATACAATAATGTATGCGTGCGCATAAGTTGCGTGACGTCACGCAGGATAGAGCGCGGCCACTGTGTCAAGTGATACACAAGAAAAGAAGGCAGAAATTTTTGAAAAGATTTGAAAAAACCGTTAAATTTTCGCCTTTAATACGTTTTTAAACAACGATCGGATACCTTTGGCATCATCTTCGAGTCTTATTGCGTGTTTCTGGCTTGATTTGAGGCGCAAAAGAGCGTTAAATCTTGTCAGAATCGTGGCTTTTGTCGACAACATATTGGCGTGATACGGGCACATTTTTACACCAATGGCCCAAAAGGCCATTTGTTTACGTCGTACAATAAAACTGGTCTTACAATCGTCCTCATAACATCAACGTTCAGCGAATTGGCACATGTTTTACAATATCAACCAGCTCTGGAGGGAAATGCATTGTTATTGTTGTGAAAACATCGTTTCAAAATTATAACATGTGGAATTCGACTATGCCATCAATTGTGTATCAAAAGTAAGACGCGATTGTGAGTCAAAGATTATAAAAACACGATTGGAAAAACTCAAATACCTACAAAGGGATGGCAGCCAACATGAATCTACCTCGAAAGCCAAATCTAGGCGAATATGTGTCTAACAACATGCCGATCGCTGACTATAACATTGCCATGCAGAAACAAAATGCATCGACAAATTTTTCTGCAATGCCTTTGTCTCAGAACCCAATCGGCGGTGTAAATGATAGTACAATGGGGCAGCAAGGCCCCGGTCCATTTCCCCAGAATCATTTTAACCAAGGCATGAATAATTTTGGTGGACAATCTAGGCAATTTCAGGAGAATTTGGAGAGTATGGCACGGATGAAATACAACCCCAATTCCAATATGGCTGCCGCCGGGCCTTACGGAGGGGTATACGACACCAATCCTGGCGAGCCCTTCCAGCTCGCAATGGCTCCAAAATTTCGCCCACAAGATGTGTTTAATATGAATAAAAACATGGAGCAAATGAGCTATGCCCAACAGCGAAATATTGCGAGCAGTCCCTGGTCTTACGATAGTGGCAGTCGTAACAATAGACCGCGCTCATTACAACCTGCCAAGTCCGGGGTGCCTCAACAAGTAAGTCAAATCTATGTTTTTTCTTTTGTTAAGTAATTTATTGTTTATTTTTCGCATAACGATACCGTTGCGTGACAAAGTACAATGTGTGTTCATATTTTTAGGTTAACCATGCTTCATTGCTTATAGAATTTCTATCTGACCACATGTTTTCATATTAACACCTTGTGTTTGGTTTGAATTTGGTTTCATGTTAGTCTGTCATAATACTGCGTTAATATGCCAATCACAATTATGTAATTAAGCTGACCATCCTGGAAACCTGATATTTCTTTTGTGGTCTATTGTATGTACTTTTCAGCCCAATGGCATTCTCTGTGTCCATCTTTTCCAGCTGATGTCCTCAAATGCATGATTCAGACCAAACATGTCACCCATTTATCTTATTCTATTAACTATTCAACCATTCACTTTCTTTGTTGGAATGACGTCTGGCATTTTTATTTCATTTGTAATTTTCATTTAGCACAAATTGCAACTGATGTGCAAATTGCAACTAATTACGAATTGAAATTTGTTGCAATGAATTGCAAATTGAAATTTGTTGCCAAATTAAGCACAGACTGATTTGCTACAAGGATACAAAAAATGCCGATAAAGTGCTTTGAACAATCAAATTGCCGAAGGCTTTCTGATCATTTAGATTGTTTTTCATTTTGTAATTTGGTTGCAAATGATTTTGGGCAATACACCTCGTTCAGTATTTTGTCAAATTTGGATTTCACTTGTCCAATGAAAACCTTGAACAATTTTCTTTACATTAGGGACGTGTTGAGCCAAACATGGGTCAAAACCTGGCACCAGATCAAAATTTTCCAAGTCCTGTTGCGGGAGGTTCACCTCAGCAACCTTATCAAATGCAATCACCTTACCAAATGCAGTCACCATATATGTCGGGTGATATGTACAAACAGTCCAGAGAACAACCTTTCGCTGCTCGGGGGATGGGTGGAAATTTTAGACCGCAAGAGTTCTTTCATCAAGAGCAAATAAGGCAAATGGCTAATGTAAGTTATCAGTAAAACTAGCATGTGATTGATGATGATGGTGTTTGCGAAATATAAAAGAAAATAGTAGTGTGCACCCTTTTTCAGCTATGCTTGCCTGTCATGCCAAGTTTGATGTGTGCTTGAGTGTGTTTCAGAGCTTAATTTCAGCCGTTTTTGCTGCCAAAATTTTATTTTGTTAAACAGTGTAGTTTGATCATAAAATATACACAGAAGTGTGATATAGGAAATGGAGTGTGTAGGTATTCTAAGAAATATTTTGACAATTTGTTTTTATTTCAGCCATATCAACAATCTCAAATACCTCATGCAGCTGGGAACTTTCTCCCAGGAAATCAGAAGAATCCTGCAACACCCTTTGGACAGCCAGGCATTCCCAAACCTTCCCAAGATACCATCTACTCTCAGCATTTTGCTGGTAGTCCAAAATCTAATGGACCTCCTGCGATGATACCAGTAAGTTGATGGTGAAATTTTCAATGTAGTTGGTTAAAAAAGTTTCATTTGCAAGCTAAATGCTCTCTAACTTGAACCCTGGGTACTTTGTAGAATGCAAAATAAAATTGATTTTGAAATATATTTAGAATATGACAGATGACAGACAAATGCCATTTCCTAATACCAATTATCCGGTGAGTCCTTTGGGATCACAAATGGCCGGCAAGCCACCAGGCTATCCGCCATCGCTGGGAATGCGAGGAACGGTTTCACCAAACGTCACCATTGGCATGCCAAAGAAACCGCCATACAGAACTCAAGAGGAAGGTTTGTGGCATGGTAGTTGTTGTGTGTTATGTGTGAATAGATGAAGAATTTCTGAACTCAACTGTTCTTGAAGTTTGAATTTTTGCCTTTTGATAGATGTAGATAAGTGGACAGTTATTAATGCTTCAATGTGTAAGGTTCCTTATTTGCACATCCGTAGCTAACCCACTCATTCACATCTGTCAAAGGAAGAAAATCATGTGTGTGTAAATGAGTCTTTATTGATAAATTTGTTTTATTCCATTTAGCAGTCACATCTCCTGGATCCCATCAAAATGCAGCTGCTGCTGCCGCCGCTGCGGCTGTCCTAGCGGCAGTCAATACAGCCAACCCAGGTCAACAATCTGATATGCATAATATCACATCCAGGCCACCCAGCGTACCAAATATGCCCTCTCGGCCACCTAGTATCCATGCAAAAGACCCTCGGAGTCCTGCAACGTCCATTGTCAGTGATCATAAGTCAGAATCTGGTGGTTCGGGAATCAATGATATCAGAATGACACCAAGTCCTTCGAGATCTTTGTCAAGAAATACACCACAGCTGGCTTCATCAGAGCCTGCGCAAGTCTTGAACTTTCCAACTGATGTTGAAACAGGTAAGATTCGAAGTTTGAATAACATGTTTATATCCAGTACAAGTTTAAATACCATCTGAGTGACATCTTAATATACTTCTTCCCTTTTCTCATAATAGGTCGTGTCCCATCACCTTCAGTAAATCAGTTGCCAAGTACTGATATTGAGGCAATGATACGGTCGGTTTCAAATATTCCTGGTGGGGCTCTCCCTTCGAATTCTGAGCAATCAACTGTAATCCGAAGAGGTAAGCTTTTCAAAATAGTTGAAGGTTTGTTGGTAGAATTATCAAATCAAGATGTATTTTGGTATCCAATGATGAGTACTAGTTCATTGTTGATAAATGATGAAATTCACAATATTCACTCTAATTTTTTACTGAGGATACTGAAATACCTTGAGCAGAACGAGCATGTTATATTTATTGAGTATTAAGTGGTGGATTGAGTGTCAAACTAGCTAATTTTGATTGAACAAATTTGTTTTTTAAGGTAAGGCAGACACTAAACCTGAACCCACAGCCAAGACAAATCATGAGTCAGCATTACCCCCAGTCACTCCTCCATCGCCTTTTTCTTTATCACCTTCCCTTGGTGTGGACTTCGATATTGACATGTTGTCTCCATCTTGGGACGTTTCTTCATCACGCAGTGCTACTCCGGTATGTATCCAGTTATCCATAGTGTTCCTTTACTATCCTATCTAACATTATGCGACATGTATCCAGTTATCCATATTGTTCCTTCATTATCCTATCTAACATGCGACCCATGGCTGATGCAAATCTTAAAAATTTTTACTTTGGTTATATTTTGCTGGGGTATTTTTTAGTATGGCATGGCCCCTCAGTCAACAAACTACAAACTAAGACCTTTATTCATAAACGTGGAAAGATTTTGTGGAAAAAATTAGTTAACTTATGTATGCACTATGAACCAGCTGCGAGATATAATTAGGGCGATCGTTAACAGTCTGCCCCTGAGGTGTTTTGACTAGCAACCCGTTTATAAGTAATCGCATTTTAGTAAACGTAGCTTTAGTTATTGCACCTGTTTATTATAAACTGATTCGGAATATTGTATTTCAGCTTAGCAAACTGTATAAAATCTCGGAAGAGCCGGAAAGAAAAGAATTTTTAGATAAGTTGGTCTCCTTTACGGAACAGCAAGGTATTGTGTGCTATATCAACTTTTGTGTAGTGAATTGCTCAACTTCACGGATGTTTTGTAAACTTTTAATGTTATATGAGAGCAATGAATACGCTTCCAATGTGCCGAACGCATAAAAAACAATAGATTATCATTTGTGACGTCTCATGTTCCTATCCTTCTTTCACCGTTTGGAAAAGAACAGGCGACGATCTCGCTGCACTTTCGTGTCCGCCATTAAAACAGTTTGTTCACCTCTGGAATCGCCGACGTTTTGCAATTTCTTTTCGGCACTTCCAACACACGTAACGAATACGAGTCAACACGCGTCAAAAAAGAACCGTTTGCAAAGTATTTTGCATTTGGGATTTGGTTTTTATTCACCTAAACTACATTGTAGTCATTAACAGTCATGATTGATGTATTAAAGAATTCATACACAGTATGTATTAAAACTTGCCTGTTTTTCTTTAGGAAAGACGCTGAATGAAGTGCCCAATATTGGCGGTTCCATTTTGGATTTATTTAAACTTTATCAACTCGTGTCTAAACGGGGCGGAATGCAAGAGGTTTGTCTTCCAAATCTTTTATATTTCACATCACGTCTGCCAAAATATTCCGAAGTTCGCCCATTCGTTTGCGAGGTTGGAAGATTCATATATGTGATGTACACGCGGGTCTGTAAACTCGGCGTGTGATTGGCTATAAAACGAAAAAGCAGCCAATGAAATGCTGAGCTGACATTCCCTTCCTCTCATGTTAAATATACAGATTTTTTCAACTTCACAAATTCAAATTTGTCTACTTCGGAATGAACTTAGAATTACCTTCTAACTCAAATTGCAGTGTACACTTTCTAATCGTCTAACAGTTATCATTAGTTAGACTAGCAAAAATGATTTAGCCACTACATGTATGTGACCAATACTGGACCATTCCACCTCAGCCATAGTATCGTACTTTAGTCTCTACTATATTTATACTTAGGCGGTTCTGTCTGCATTTTACGATCTCTTTAAACCCATCATTTCAAGTATTGCTATGCATCCAATGATGAAAGATTGTTGTTTGAAATTTTAACAATGAAAATTTCTATCCAAACCTAATTCTCCACTGAGGATGCTGAAGCAACAAGGCGCATGATTTTTCCGGTTGTACAACAACAGTTCCTATCATCGCAACGGCGACTGTTGTGTTGTGAACATGATGTCCGAGGTTTTTTATGTTTTGTATGTTTAACAATTTAGGTGACGCGGCTTAAACTATGGAAGGACGTTGGCGATTCTCTAAGAAATGGCCATGAATTGAGCGCTGAAGATGAGCAAAACCTGAGAGAACATTACGTTCGTTTATTGCTACCATACGAAGAGAAGTTCGGTTGTTTTGCCAATCAACCTGCTGCGAGCACTCTGCCAAATTCCGCCCCCAGTTCAAAACTTCTGGCAAACACTGAACCGGAAAATATTGATCTTTCGACTATGACGTATAAGAATTTGTTTCAAGCGAATTCAACCACACCCGCCACTCCATACAGCCAGGGAGGTACACCTTCAGCACAACCACCCTCCTACCCAGGTTCAGCTCCGAGTACCCAAGGATACCCAAGTACGTCGCCCATGCAGCATTCTGGATATCGGAATTCACCAGGGTATTCCCAAACACCACCTGGATACACAGGTTATCCACAGGGCTCCCCACGTGTACCATCATATCCTCCGAATCACCCTGGTTTTTCCAATCACCAATACGCGAACTTCCAGGGTGGTCCCGCTCAGATGCCGGGGTACCACAATGGTATGGTGTCATCTCGTTACTCGAACTATCCCCGCAACGCGGTCCCTCCCGAGGCAATGTTTGGCCAATTCCCTCGCACCCCGGGAATGAACAAACCCTTTCCACATGACCCGCAGTCCCAAGGCATGTTTCCGAACTATCAAGGCCAGGGGCAGCAGCACCCCCCGGGATTCATGTATCAACAGCAAGCTTCAAACATGGCCTCGTTTCAATTGGAGAGACAGCGAGCAGCTCATCGCGGAGGGGTACGTTGAAAAATTCCTATTTGTGGCATAACTGCGACTAAACTTTTCACATGAATTTCAAGCTTTTTAATATTTTTTTTAATCGTTACATAGGTAGGCTCCCCTGGACCTCGAATGCAATCCCCCTGGGTACAAAGGTACCCAGATGGCCCTGGTACCTCCTCGGGTAGTCCTTCACCCTTTCATCACAACTCTCAGTCTCCCGGACTGAAACCACCAAACGCTCGTCCCCCACCGCCCTACCCGCATCCAAAGCAAGAGAAGCCTTCACCCACGCCCCAAAGTGCGGCGGCGGCCCTGCAGTACCAGGCTATGAAGTCCGGTGTGAAACTACCGCCTGCGAGAAAGGAGGATTTGTTTCCGGTCGGGTGCGTTGAAACAACGCAAGCTGTACACAAGAAGAAGAGACGATTGACAGCAAGGGATATTGGTAAGAATACGCGCATTGTATTGGATCCAATTCGCTTGATCTGCTTTGCTTTAGCACTCTGCTTTGGGTTTAGTTGATTTTCTTCTCATATACATTGCAAAGTAAGACTATAAAACATCCATCAGAAATAGATTGGATCCGCGACAAAATTGGATCGGATGAGAACCCCTCAACATGACCTGTGAGGTTTCCAATTCTGTCGAGTCCAATTCATTTCTGATGGATGTTTTATAGTCTTTCGACATCTAATGTATATGTGCAGAAGATCGACTCAAGCCAATGCAGTAATGAGATAAAAATGCAGTTCAAAGTTTGCTTACAATATTCGCATCTCTTTCGAGTATGAAGTTGATGTTTGAGATGATTCCTTACCTGGTTTTTGAATGCTGAATTTTCGAGTGTGGTTTATAGAAGAAACCTTAATTTAAATTGTTCTCTTTCGCAGGTCCTGTCGAAGCGTGGCGTATAATGATGTCGTTAAAATCTGGCTTACTAGCCGAGACAGCCTGGGCACTAGACACGTTAACCATCCTGCTTAGCGACGACACGACCGTAGGCTTCTTCAAGCTCGGTCAGCTACCAGGCTTCCTTGATACAGTTATAGAACACTTTCGACGAAACCTAATCAATATTTTTGACGTTTTGCGAGAGAGTGAGATCGACACGGGCATTCCAGAGCGATGTAGTTATGGCAAGGATCAAGAGACGAGAAAACAATTGTTCAACGATATCCTTCCGGACCAAATAGCGATCGAAAACTTTTCTTCCATCATTGTCGGTGGTTGTTTAGTCGATAAAGATGAGCTGGGATTTTGTAGCGGGGTAAAAGACTGGGCAACAGGTGGCGGAGACACAACAATACACATTCAAACGCATTTTGAAACGGATCCACAATTCTATGATAAATTAAAAAGGAATACGGAGATTGAGAAATTGGATGAAAATACAGAGAAGAACCAGACTGTGGATTGCTTGTCGGAGAGCGACAAGAAAGAGGATTGTCAGGTCTCGAAAACTACCGATAGCAGTGAGAAGGAATCAGTTAGCGATGATACAGAAGACTTTAAGGAACGGTCGAGCATCCAAGTTGAGGTGAACAACGTCTATAATGGCATTCCATCACCCGATATCTCGCGAAAATCTGTGATTACCACAGGCTCGCAAGTAAAAGTGAAGAAAAAAGTCGCTGGTGTTTTAGACTGGGAACTGCAACAGAATTGCTGTAACGGCGAAGATGGTATTGAGGATAACTGTGAGTGCGAACCGGTGAAAGTCGAAAGTGGGAGCTCTGTGGATGAAAATGAACTTGCAAATGTAAGCAAACTTAAGACCGAAAGTTCCAGTGATAAACTGGAACGTGAAGGTTCAAAGAAAGCTTCCACATTACTTATCAAAAGACTGAAAACTGAACTTGATCTAGACGTGGACTCGGTCAGCAAGGAGACTGAGGAGATAACGTCGAGCGTTAAGCCTTGCGATACGACCGTTGCTTCGTTGTCTACGGATACAGAATGTGAACTAAAACAGGAGTTTCCTCTAAGTAGCTTGACTTTGTCTCAAGATTCTGCCGTGAATTCCTGCAGTTGTGTCTCGAATATCATCCGAAATTTATCGTTCGTACCGGGAAATGACGTCGAGATGGCGAAGAACACGTCACTTTTGCTGATACTCGCAAAGCTGCTGATGTTACATCACGTGAGACGAAGAAAAACGGTGGTTTCCGACAGTCAATATAACGATAGCAATTGTTGGTGGCAGGACTGTTTGGACAGTATTCGTGAAAATACTTTAGTAACAGTTGCTAATATTTCTGGATACTTAGACTTGTCGCTAGTGGATGGAAATGTGAGTAGGTCATTACTCGACGGACTATTGCATTGGCTTGTCTGCCACTCCACCATAGCGGACGAGCCGTTGCGAAGCACGAGTTTAGCGGTGTGTCTGACCCCTAAGCAGCTGGTTCTCGAGACCTTGGCAAAAATGAGCGTGATGGAAGCCAACGTTGACTTTATACTGGGCTCCCCGGATAAAAACAGACTACTGAAGGTGTACGAGTATCTGGTGAAGCTCTTTTCGGACAAAACGAACGAGGTTACTCGGGAATTCGCACTTGTGTTACTGTCGAGCTTCACGCAGGCGAATCAGGAGATATGCACCGCGAGCTCGGAGAGGAATCTTGTGACGGTCTTAGTCGGATTTCTCGAAGACGCTCGCGATAGAGTGGAGTCGATGGCCGTGCGAGGCTTGCACCCGGGGATGTTTCGCGACAACGATTTGAGAGTTAGCATGGGAATGCTAAGACGAGCTGGGAGCCTGCTGGCGTGTATTGCCAAGCGAACACGCTGCACTCATTTGATCCCGTTTCAGGAGCGAATTTTGGATCTGAGCATGTCTCGAGCGTTGGACGCCGAGGTTCAGTCGCATCTAAGTAACGTTCTGTATAACCTTCCTAGGTGATAGGAGAAAGTTTGGCTTCACAACCGATTATAGTAACTGTTAGAAAAGTATGGTACGGTTTGAATTAGTGCGAAAAATAGGTTTAAAACTGGTTTGAACTTTGTGAAATTGGACGTGAATGATTGTCATCTTGGCTTCATTTGGCCAATTGCTCGACGTTTGAAGGTTTTATGCCAGATATGTTCATGGTGGTCATTTTGTCAGTCAACTATAATATCTCGCGCTCTATAAAGTACACCATACATAAGTCATAATTCAGTAAACCATTTAGTCGTCTAATGACTCTCCTTTCTGTTGAAGTTAACTACAATAAGCTGTGTTGTTACATCATGTCTTACACACGATGGTTAAGATCAAACTTATTGACACGTTTAAGAGCGAACGGAGGCTTCCATGACATGTATTTACCATCAAACACGGGGTCAATACGTGTATCGAAGCGTTTTATTCATTACTTCATCTATAAGGGTTGTGAAGCCAAAAGTTCAACCATGGACAAAATTGAAGCGATCGATCTCCAGGATAAATAGTACGAATACGTAATTATTAACCAGTTTTGGACAAAATCTCGTCTTTTACCAACTTTGCTAAGATGATAGCTTGACATCAAATGACGTAAAATAATTTTTGTACATTGGAAGAAAGTAAACACATGAACTCAAGGTATGCATTCATACAACGGATGCACGTAACATTGAAAATATTACAAATTAGTTATTTTGTTAAATAGTGGTTGGATTGATCTTTTAAACTCTTTGAAACGAAAGCAATGCAGTTTCACCTTCGCATTGGAACAACCAAAGTAGAGTATGCAAACTTTCTCAGCCAGTTGCTTTTAAATCAGACTACACCCAATTTGATTTTTCGTGTGTGTGATATCTCTGAAGAAATATCCGATGCATCGAAAGTTACGGTTCTTTGTCATCATTCCCTGGTTGGGAAGAATATAGCAAAAGGTTATTTACAATGGGACACGCTAACCATCAAAGCATTTTGTACATCATATCCCGGGAATTAGAGAAACTTATTTTCCCAGATCATTTCCTATCTGAAGGCCCATTCTGTCTAGATCTTTATAATGAAGATGCTCAGGTGAGATAGAGAAGAAGTGAAGATGCATGGTAAAAATTGAAGATTGGTTAGGAAATCATCATGCCGGATCGCGAGTGTAGCAAGAGATCAAAAGATTAAAAACAAAACCATCACACAGTTGCCTTCATGTAGTTTTATTTATATATTGGGCACTATTCAGTTTTTCTTGCGGGGAAAATTGTTGAGAAATGGAAGGGAGAGAATGAGAGATCGTCTTTCTATAACCTAGCCTGCGAACGGGTTCTTATGCCCATCAACACTACAGGCATTTGCTCGTGTATAAACTTTAAATCCAATTTATACTTTGTTGTTGGACAAATTTAAAGTGGCATGGTTTATTTCTTGAATGAATGTTCCACGGTTGTAAAATATGACGGTAAGTTTTGCAGATATTATTGTAGTATTTGTATGTTTGTTACATGCACAATGTTACAATAGAGAGGTCATATGTCAAGTTACATCAAACATAAACAAGACAATTCCTAACGCATACAACATTCTTACAGACACCTCTTTTATGTAGGGCTCTTATGGATACCAGCTTTGTGCTAATGGGGCTACCCTCCACTAAAATAAAGTTATATCATATATCAGACCACTACTGTTCAAATTCCAGCTTATGTAACCCCACCATGTCCATGAATATCACTGAGCTATACCAATACATATTATAACACCTTATTCTCATGAGATTTTATTTTCAAAATTGAACACATTTGCAATCAAAGTGTACTTCTTATTGAAACTTTGCAAATGGGAAGAAAAAATAAATAGATTGAAAAAAAGCTAAAACTAACTGTACAGTTTTTGTGCATAAAACTTTTTTATTATCACAATCTCTGATCAAACAAGATGCAAGTCATATTTCACAAGGAAAGTTTCAGCATCTTGATGTAGTTCTAATGAATAGTTTGTTAAAAAAAGAAGCCAAAATACAGCTGTTTTGTGGAAATTAATGAGTTTGCTTTGTTTGTGACAATGCCAGTTAAAATATGACCGTTTGAATAGCTTGCATCCTTTTCAATTTCAAATGTCGAACCTTGAGATGACTTGTGTCATGTTTGATCAGGGTTACATTATCAGCTCTGTGAGCAGAAGTATAGATATTCTAAATAATTTTATATTTAAAAGCTGCTAAGTTAAGCATTGATTGAGAGATGTCACAGTTCATGTGTAGCCAGCAAACAGAACTGAAGTTTGTATGTCATTGTCATTATTATGACATTGGCAAATATTCATTTTATATTAATTGCTATGTACACTTTCCTGCATATACATCAACGTTGTTTCAACTGATCTATATAAGAACAAAGCAGTGATCTTAGTAAATAACTATTAAACTTTTCAAGTTGCAAATCATGGTTTATTTTTCAAATCTAGCAGAGTCCATTTAGATTACCTGTTAACCATTCAACTCCTTCATTCAATCCTTCGCCAGTCAAAGCATTGCTTGCACTAAAACAAGAATAATTTTGAGTATAGGACAGCATATTTTTATTCTATGAAGCAACCATTAATTAGCTCACACTTTAACTTGTATGATTCTGTGTACTTTTCATTAATCTGGCAATGCCATTTAGTAGGTAATTACAAAACTATTTACTAGCATTTTTTTCTAGTCCGGTATTTTATTCTAACACAAGGTGATTCTCCATGATAGGGTGATAGTATTGTACCATAACATTGATAAGTGAAATCATTTGGGGTCGAATAAGGTTAAATTTCAACCTATCAGCTACCTTTTAGATCCACTTGTTAATTTTGCTATTATTACAATTTGGTTTTGCAAGGCTGATCAAATTTTGCAATACACATCAGGTTTGATATGTCATTATCAGAAAAGTCTGTTGTATAATCTAAAAGCAGTTACCATCCGAAATATATCTCACCATATATGCCAAGGTTTATCTTTGATCTCTTCAAGTTTCATTAGATTGCTAACCTACAATGAAAATAAACAGTTTAAGGTTTCAGTCCAGTTTAAGCAACATACTACACTCAATTTCAAGCAGCTTTTCTACCGTTAATTTGTGAATCTTTCCGACTATAGCCACAGTCGGCATCTGAATTAATCTTAAGGGTGTGAGGTGTGCTCACATGTTTTAGCATGTATGGTGTAGTGACATAAGTGGGACTCATCTGGTTGCATGGCTAAAAGAGAATCAGTCCGGCATAACCTCACCCACCTTTACAGATGATAATGAATCCCTCAAGTCCATTTTATTCGCAAAGAAAAGTATGGGTACACGCCTCGATGATATGTCTAAATTGATTGAGAGTTTGAAACATACTCAGTATATGAGACATATCCTTTAGATGAAAGCTTAAGAAGTTTAATTTGATCATACCTGGATGTTTTATCAATAAATCTAATTCATCTTTCGATACAACCACCCTGATTTTATCACTGCTGTCAATTACGAATATCACAGCTTGGGCATCCCTATAAAATGTACAGTGGAGATTCGGTAGCATTTTTTAACTGTCACAGTGAGTTTCTGAATCAAAACTTGATTGAATATCCTATCCAATGATTACTTGAACAATTACTTTCAACAAAATTGATTACACAAATGATCAATGTCATGCTCAAATTCCAATTGTTGTGGTTCTATCTGCATTTATTGGCACTAATCAATTAACACTTTTATTTAACAATGTTTTACCTGTAGTAATGTTCCCAAAGATTTCTATATTTTCCTTGTCCTGACATGTCAAAAACAGTGAAAGACAAGCTGAAAAAAAAATGTTTGTGAAATCAAAAATGTTTGTGAGGTATTCTAGGAGAAAGCAGCTACATATGATGTAAGGTTTAGCAACTGCAGACATGTCACACCTTGGAAATATTTAAATGTTAACTTTGGTTAGTTGTGATGTTGAAATGTTTGACTGAATGGTTTCAAAAACATTTTGGGTTGCATGATCAAGGTTTCACAGGAATTCTAAGACATTGAAGACTATTTCATTTGTATTACTGATCACAGATGTTACAGCAGTTTCTCAATCACAATGCTTGCACACCTGCATGCAAATTTTAAAGTTAAAATCTTAAATTCACTTTTTTTAGGATTATACGATTAGTATCCATGACAATAAAAACGAACATATCTTAGAATATAAGTTTGACAGTTCATTTTTTCACAAAATTTACCTTTGAGTAGCAAATTTCTCAACGCTAAAACCAATTGTCGGTACAATATCGGTCGCCTGTGCCTAAAGATGAAATTTTTGTTAAGAAATATAGCATTTTAGACAATATAAACAGAAATATAATCCTAACCTTGTCGGGCTTCAGATGGTTTATTATGGTAGTTTTCCCGCTGTTATCCAAACCAACGCACAGTACACTTGCTTCTTTCTTCTTCACGCCAAGCCAAATGGCTAGTTTATCGAACATGCCCATGATTGCTTGGCAAAAATAAAAAAATATTTAAAAATACTATTTCAACCGGACGAGAAGGACGCCATTATAATTGTAGACTGTTACTAAGCCGAAGATTGCGCGAAGATTCATTCGGAAGCATCCGTAGTTGTTCGGCTTCACGAACTTTCTCGACCGATGACATGTCTCTTAGTATCCCCAAGTATCACTGTTATGTCACCTGTTACTCCTTCGTTATACCCCGATTTATTCCCTATTGATATCAATCTTCCTGCAAGGAATGTTTAGGAGATTATCTTGCTTCATCATAAACATATTATGCTAAATATTAATGAAAATGTTTGATCAAAAGATATTTTCTCAATAACATCCTGACCAATTAAATGTCGACCAATCATGAGCGAGATTCAAGGCGCGTATTCAAAATTTTGGCGCCTTCGTCTTTTGGTTCACTCTAAAAGATGTCGTCTTGCTGTGTGGACACCCGTCGCTAAAAAAACCGTAAAAAAGAAACAAGAAGAAAAACGTCGTTCCCTCGTCGCAGAAATGACTTCAACTAACAATGGCAAGTATAAATTTGTGTTTTTATATTTTTTGCATTGATATTTTCCCACTTTTATGGCGAGAAATACGGGCTGAAGTCGGTTGTCTTCTCGACCGAACCAAAGACTTTACCTTCGGTTATGGCGGCTTTTTTTTACTTTTTTCGTTTTTCTTTCGTTACAACGAAACAGGAGAAGACCTAAACAGAATTTGAAAAGAATTTCGGGCTTTTTTCGGCCAATTTTCGAAGCGAAAATGAATTTTTTTCAAGCGTCGGGTCAAACGGTGAATTTTTTCGTTGACGTTCGCGTTTTTACTCGCTTTTGGTCAGAAATGTTATAACACAAGTTGAAAAGAATACTCAATGGCGGTCTTGCAAAGTTTTAGGTGTTTTTTTTCGCAAAATTTTGGTCAAAGGAATTGGAAATTTACTGGGAAAATTACTGAACATTCCGCGCGCGTGACAAAGGCTTTCGCTTTAGTTATTAAGCAAACTGCATGAACATTTCGGGGGTTCTTCGGCAGCTTTTGAAAACTGAAAACTTTAAGAAATCTTTTGTGAATTTTTTTGTGAATTCAATGGAAATGTTGAGGAGAAAAATTTTTAAGACGCGGGTTTTTTCAATTTAACTTAAGATAATTTTACAATTAGAAGGCCAATAATCTTATTATTGCCAATAATTAAAGTACTTATGTTTAAATTATTAGTCCTAAGAACTATTTTGTATTCTATTCCAGGTGGAAAATGGAAAGGTCGGATCTAAATGTACAAATATTTTCGAAAAACTTTTCAGAATTTAATAACTTAAGCAAAAAATCGTATTTTGGCAATTTTGAGAAAAATGGAACTCCCAAAGTTTAAATTTAAAAAAAATTGTTACTGAAAACGTACAAGGGCGGTGGGCATTGCATTCTTCTAACTTTTCCAAGGTCTCTGGATGAGACTTCGAATTATTCAGTGAGCAAACTTTGTGTGTGGAAAGGCGTGGCGCACCTTTTTATATACATTGTTTGTCTCACTGGGTGGTTGGAAGACATTTGTAGGTATCTTGGGAATTTAATTAGATTGCAATGTTTTCTTTTCATAGCTGTCAGTCTAAAAGGACAGCAATTGTGCTAATGCTATAAGCTTTAGCAAAAAAAATCAGTGTGGATAATGTGTATCTTTTCATAGCTGTCAGTCTAAAAGGACAGCACTTGTGCTAATGCTATAAGCCTTAGCAAAATTTATCATATATTACAATGTTCATTTTTCATAGCTGTCAGTCTAAAAAGACAGCAATTGTGCTAATGCTATAAGCTTTAGCAGGAAAAAAATCAGTATGTGTCTTTTCATTGCTGTCAGTCTATAAGGATGGCAATTAATGCTATTATCAATATTGCTATAAGCTTTAGTGAAAAAAAAACTTAGTACGTGTCCTTTCATAGCTGTCAGTTTATAAGGACAGCATTTGTGGTATTGCTATATGCCAGCTTTAGCAGGAAAAAAATCAGTATGTGCCTTTTCATAGATGTTAAGTCTAAAAGGACGACAGCAAATGGTGCTATTGCTTTAAGCTTTAGCAGTAAAAAACGTAGTATCAATGTTTTTCATTGCTGTCAGTCTATAAGGACAGCAACATGTGTTTCTCTAAGCCTTAGTAGAAAAAACTTGGTGTGTTTTGTTAATTTGTTTCCATCAAATTAAAATGAAAGTTTCTTGTTGTTTCTATACGGACAACAAAGTTTGCTATTGCTATATGCTGTAGCAAGATTGGCTTTTTTGCTGCTGGCTTCAAAAAACAATAGGTACTAGGATACACTGCCCATAGATGTCATTTCTATATGGATGGCACCTTTCAGCTAGTAGCAAATTTATTTAGTTAAAAAATGATGCATGCATTACGGTATTTGTACATTTGATTGTGGATATGCTCGTTGGAGTCGTTAATCAAAGGATTAAATGGATTTGGTGGGTCATCATGGGTAAAAGATCAGGGTATCATATGGACAATTCGGGGTAAAACGTCAGGGTACTGGTATGATGACATGGAACGTGTATGGTTTGTGAAATTCAAAATTATGCTGTTTTTGTTGTGCTAATCTGAGTGATCTTTCTGTGCATGCAAGCAGGGCTTGGTGGTCAATTGGTTTTATTTACACACTCTAAAAACGTTTCAAAGCATGTATTTATTTGGCTAACGTGTGCAAATAGATCCTATTGTGTTTCATAAGATGCTAGGTTTAAATTAGCTTAGGACAAGCAATAAAACTTTGTCAGACTCAAGTATTTTATGCATGTAATTGTTAATCGTTTTGGCCATATATCTGACACAGTTTTGCTTGGATTATCAGCTAGGAGGTACAAATGGTACCATAGGAAATATTCAGCCTGATGACGTGCATGATTATTAATGTAAATGCCACCAAGCATTATTATGCCATAGGTTAAGACCCCACCCCCCAATCAACGAGGTACGATGTGGCTTCTCAAACGGTTCTGGGGTACAATTTGCATGATTGCATGATCCGGTACAGTAAATGTTACAAGAATGAAACTCGACCGTGCATGAAAATATCGTTGCATGCTATAGTAAAGTAGAATAGCAAAAAGTTGGTATTGAATACCGAGACGGTATTGAATGCCCAGCATGCATCTTGCGCGAGATGAATATGGTGAAACAGTACGGTGCATGAATATACCAAATATGGCGTAGTTGTTACGTAATCATCGGAAATAGCACGCTGCATGAATATACCAAATATGGCGTAGTTGTGACGTAATCATCGGAAATAGCACGCTGCATGAATATACCAAAATATGGCGTAGTTGTGACGTAATCATCGGAAATAGCACGCTGCATGAATATACCAAATATGGCGTAGTTGTTACGTAATCATCGGAAATAGCACGCTGCATGAATATACCAAATATGGCGTAGTTGTGACGTAATCATCGGAAATAGCACGCTGCATGAATATACCAAAATATGGCGTAGTTGTGACGTAATCATCGGAAATAGCACGCTGCATGAATATACCAAAATATGGCGTAGTTGTAACGTAATTATCGGATATAGCACGCTGCATGAATATACCAAATATGGCGTAGTTGTGACGTAATCATCGGAAATAGCACGCTGCATGAATACAGCAAAATGTTGCGTAGTTGTGACGTAATCATCGGAAATAGCACGCTGCATGAATATACCAAAATATGGCGTAGTTGTGACGCAATCATCGGAAATAGCACGCTGCATGAATATACAAAAATATGGCGTAGTTGTGACGCAATCATCGGAAATAGCACGCTGCATGAATACAGCAAAATATGGCGTAGTTGTGACGCAATCATCGGAAATAGCACGCTGCATGCATATAGCAAATATGGCGTAGTTGTGACGCAATCATCGGAAATAGCACGGTGCATGAATATACCAAATATGCTGTGACGTAATAATCAGAAATGTCCATTTGCGCACACTGAAAATAGCGAAATGATATCGATAAAAATCCGGCTAAAACAGTAAAAACGTTTTTCTAAAAAAGGCAGAATTTGAGTCTTGCTAATGATCAACATTGCGATGACTGTATTATCGTTGAGTACCCGCGGCTAAGAATAGTAGAAAATTTTTTTTCCAAAAAATAACTGAATTCGGATTTTTAATAATCCAAATTGCGCGTTATTAATTCGTAAAAAATGAGCTTTGCGTCACCTGACATAATATGTCGTACATGCTGTAGAAATTAGTATTTAAATATATATAGCCTTGCATCACCTGACATGATATGTACATAGTACATGCTGTATAAATTACTATTTAAATATATAGATTTGCATCACCTGACATAATATGTAGTACATGCTGTAGATATTAGTATTTAAATATATAGCTTTGCATCACCTGACATAATATGTAGTTCATGCTATAGAAATTAGTATTTAAATATATACCTTTGCATCACATGACATAATATGTAGTTCATGCTGTAGAAATTAGTATTTAAATATATACCTTTGCATCACCTGACATAATATGTAGTTCATGCTATAGAAATTAGTATTTAAATATATACCTTTGCATCACATGACATAATAAGTAGTACATGCTGTAGAAATTAGTATTTAAATATATAGCTTTACATCACATGACATAATATGTAGTTCATGCTATAGAAATTAGTATTTAAATATATACCTTTGCATCACCTGACATAATATGTAGTTCATGCTATAGAAATTAGTATTTAAATATATACCTTTGCATCACATGACATAATAAGTAGTACATGCTGTAGAAATTAGTATTTAAATATGTAGCTTTGCATCACCTCACAGTCACATAATATGTAGTACATGCTGTAGAAATTACTATTTGAATATATAGCTTTGCATCACCTGACATAATATGTAGTACGTACATGCTCTAGAAATTAGTATTTAAATATATAGCTTTGCAACACATGACATAATAAGTAGTACATGTCATAGAAATTACTATTTAAATATATACCTTTGCATCACATGACATAAAAAGAAAAGTGGTACATGCTCTAGAAATTAGTATTTGAATATATATAGCTTTGCAACACATGACATAATATGTAGTACATGCTGTAGAAATTAGTATTGAAATATAAAGCTTTGCATCACATGACATAAAAAGTAGTACATGTCATAGAAATTAGTATTAGGGAATATATACCTTTGCATCACATGACATAATAACTAGTACATGCTTTAGAAATTAGTATTTAAATATATAGCTTTGCATTACCTGACATAATAAGTAGTACATGCTTTAGAAATTACTATTTACACATATAGCTTTGCATCACATGACATAATATGTAATACGTGTACATGCTGTAGAAATTAGTATTTAAATATATAGCTTTGCATCACCTGACATAATATGTAGTACATGCTCTAGAAATTAGTATTTAAATATATAGCTTTGCATATTACCTAGCTGAGATAATATGTAGTAAATGCTGTAAAAATTAGTATTTAAATATATAGCTTTGCATCACCTGACATGATATGTAGTACATGCTCTAGAAATTAGTATTTAAATATATAGCTTTGCATCACCTGAGATAATATGTAGTACATGCTGTAGAAATTAGTATTTAAATATATAGCTTTGCACCACCTGACATAATATGAAGTACATGCTCTAGCAATTAGCATTTAGATATATA